AAAAAATTGAACAAAGATTGGTTTAAATTAGTCGAATAAATACAGTAATCAAAAAATAAACATTAAGTGAGAGTTGGATTTTGGCGATTTTGGGTATGGTCTGTTCATAGATATAAGAAAGTGACCAATTGCTTTTGAATGGGATTATCCAAAGTTTCAGAATTTAAGTTCAGGTAAAATTGTGGTCCTTAATAGAAAATAAGTTTATACCTACCTGTGTTTAATATTCCTTGGTTAGTTAGTTAGTTACGGGTCGTAGGTCAGCCGGTTGGAAAATGGTACAATAAAATGAATTCAATAAAAACGTTTGGATGTACTTTACAAGATAAATAAATGGCAGCGACGGTCAAGATACTTAGATCCTTGAAAAGTTGCCAACAGGGAAGTCTAGGTCCCTTAAAGAAAATGGTTCCAATAATGTTCCTCAGCGCCATGAGCACATAACAATAGTTAAGTGGTCAGTGCCCCAGCTAATGTTTCGGTTGAAACCCACGTTTTCACTGTAAACAATTTCGAATATTTTGAACTACACTCGAAGCGTCTACGCGCTTTTTAAATTGCAGCCGAGTACTTATCCTGGTGCAATATTTTCCGGGTTTGTCGGAAAATAAAAAAACCTTGCCCATTTACGTCATAGTTATTTAATTAAAAAAATCCTCTAATCTCGGCCAGCATTCGCTGTTGTCTTAATTGAACAGATAAATGATAAACGTTTCTTTATTAAATCCGATAAATCGGGCTTTTTATTTTAATACGGGGTGTTCCACAAAACAAGCCACAAAAGTCGATAGTAAAACTTAATTTTGTAATTATTTAATGTCGGCTGTGGGACACTCTGTACAGTGGAACATATAAATTTGACGTCAACTTCAATCGACAACGGTCGCCCGTATAGGGCGGCAACCGCCATTTTGTCTGCGCGTTAGAAAAGGTTACCAGGCCATCGGCCTTGAGGTTTTTTTACTCTGCTCGCCGGCCGGGTGGTACGAATTTAAAAATTTTAGTTATACAGGGTGCTTCGGACTTAGAGATTATCAGTCAAAAAGAACGAGAGGGTGTTGAGTCAAAGTACGACAAAGTATTAAGAAGTCTGTGTATAAAATAGTGGAATGCAGCCATTTTGTGTGTATATATAACTGTTATGTACGACTGTGTCCCTGTGTGAAGGTTTATCTAATTTGTTTTGCATTTTCGTAATAGTTAAGTCTAGAAAATTAATAGAGTTATCCTGTTCAATCTCGATAGTGCATTTTATACGATTATGTAATGAGTTAATTTAAATGTAATGTCCGTTCCAACAAAGCAAACAAAGACATCCACGTATCTATACCACCATAGAAAACTTTTACTTAAAGGATTAATTATCCATAAAAATCTCGGCTAACAAAGGACTAAGTGGGTTTCCCATAATCAAACCTTCTTTAGAGATGTAAATCTGTCCATTAAATTCAAAATAATTTTGGTCTAGAGATACTATTAAGCAATCTAATAAATCTTGTTTCACCAATGGGTTAACCTGTTTCCGAGTTAGGATAAAATTTGCTAAATCTATCACATCCATAGGTGGAATACTGGGAAATAAGTTTTGTACATCAAAAGACAATAGATTTGCGTTAGAAGGGATTTTGATATCTTTAATTTTGTTGATTAATTCAAAAGAATTTTTTATTGCAAGTTTTGGTTTAAAATCTGTGTGGAGTTTTAAAATATTTGCTAATTTTGTTGAGAGTTTAACTGCTGGAGTCGTCGACGGTTGTGGATTCATAATTGTTAACAAATATTTGTCTTTGTCACTAAATAGTGTGGAGTTAGTAATTACTTCCTTGACTTGTCTTTGATATAACTCGGTAGGATCGTGTTGAAACTTGTTGGTTTTTGAAATATGTTCTGGGAGATCGATAGCTTTCCTTTATTTGCACATGTAAATATGATGTTATTTTCAGAAGCGTTGTTTTTGATAAATCTTGCCAGTGACATTTGAGAAATTTATTGGTGTTTGTTTTGTTTAAATTAGAATCGTTAATGTCCTTAATTACTAATTCACAGCCGATCCCTAAACAGTCTAATTCTCTATTAATGTCCGAGTGCTGTGAGTTAACGTTGAAACCTTTTTCCAGAAATTCAAATTCATTTTTGGAAAATGTTGTGTCTGTTAAGTTTATGAACCTGTTGTAAAATTCGTGGTCGGTATATTTTGGAATAACTGACTTAGATATTTTTGTATTAGAAATTAATTTGTCTAAATTTAGTTTTTGTCTAAGAAACTCTATCATCAGATGTGTCGAGTTCTATGGGATTCAGTCTATGAGACAATTCAGAATGTATTACCTTTACATAAATGTTATTTGTATCCCGTTTTCTGTACTCGTGTCTTCGTTCTTCCTTCATCCATTTCGTCTGGCCTTGGGTCTGGCCTTTCCTTGCAGCGGGACCTCTGTTGATGGTTTTTAATTTAATAAACTTGGGAAAAACTTTATTTTGTAAACATTTGTTAAAAAACCAAATTTTTTGGGAACATATTTAACAACGTAGAAGCGATTTGAAATACCAAATAGCCAAGAAACCAATTTTAGTTTCTTTCAAAAATTGAACTGGAAGCCATGGAGATCAACAAAATGAGACATTAAAATGTATTGCTTAACGATCAATTAGATTTATTATTATTAGATTATTATTATTAAACTTAATTTCTCACAACAACATTAATTAAGGTTTTATTGTCATTTTTCGGTATATATAGTAGCATGGTGTTGTTGAAACAATTGTCATTTGTATATATATATATATATATATATATATATATATATATATATATATATATATATATATATATATATATATATATATATTCTTATTTATTTTATTGAGGTTTATTTTTATTTTCTTTTATTCTACAGAACAAAACATAAACGCAATTATAAATATAAAAAGTTTGCTTTATTATTATTAGAAGACCGGGATGTTTAAGGCGAACGCTATAGCAAGCATCGTTGCCATAAAAATGAGGTTATTAGTGGCGTCAATGGCGCGCGTTCATCGCGATCGAAGGAAATTTCCGACGGTCGCCGGCCATATACAGGGTGGTACAGAAAGAAAAACAATCTTTAAGTGTTCAACGAAAAATGTATTATTAAGTTGTACGCCTTATGTAACGCATTAAAAAATCGTTTTTACGAGGGAGCTTTTTCATTAACATCTCACCTTGGGAGGTATCAGGCTTAGATGTACAAAATTTAAATTTGATTTTAAAGCATAAAATTTCGATATTTCAGGTCGTAATTGGGTGAGGAAAAAATATATGACTTAAAAAAAGTTTGCTTTTGTATTTAGGAAACCGATTGAACAATGTTTCTCAAAATCTGGGGTTCTAATTTGTAATTAAAAATAAAACCATCCAAATAATTAAGTTTTATTATAAAAAAGTGTAAAATAATTGAAAAGTGTACGCTTTAACTTTTTCTTTTATATTTTGCGCGTTCCGGCTTATCTTTTCGCGTAGAGGTGGAACATATTTCAAAACATTACTAAAAATTTTTTATGATACCTTAGGGCACTTTCTTAATGACGATATAAAGTTAAACATAGATAAGTTGAAATCAGGAAAGATGACACCAGCAAAAAGAATACGCTTGGTGTGTTTGTTAATATTTCCTGAATAACTGGAAAAAATTCATAAACAATGAACGAGTTGGCTTAAAAAAATAACAGCAATCCAAAAACTTGGCTCAGTTTGGCCAATAAAAAAAAATCAAATTTCAGCTTTTCGAAAACAGTTAGTTTCAAGCCTCCGTAAAACGACGAAATACATTTCCGTTTTCTAAAAATCGATTTTTATGGTAGCCCTGATACCGGACTCAAATATTTAGCCCCATGTTCACTATTTAACGCGTCTTTCCGCGCTCCAGGGGAAACAGCTGAAGAATGACGAGCGCACCAGCATCACTTCCGGCGACGGCGTTTCGTGCCTCCTCCTTCAGGACATCACCGCCGACGATAGCGGCAAGTATGACGTCTGCGTCGACAACCGCCACGGCAGCGATTCCCACTACGCATCTGTAGCGGTGGAAGGTAAGGGGAGGGGGTGCATCACAGTTACGACCAATCGCGGCTAGCGGTGGACGCGACTAGACCGCGCCTGCTATAGTACTTTCGCAAATAGAAGGTTTTGATATACTGTACGCAATAAAACTACCTGCGCAGGCCTCATCGCGCAGAGAAAGGCTTGGCAATGACACGCCGACGAGCAAAAACGTAGTAGTGGTATAAAATTGAGTGATGCTGATACAAAACGTTTGTAATTAATGCATTGCAATGATATGCAAAAGATTAACAAAATAATTTTTAAAATATTATTTGGTTTATATCTAAATCTATATATCATATTAACTATTGTCTAGCAACTTCTTCCGTTGGGGGTTCCAAGGAATTTTATGCTATCCCTCATCAAGGTCGTTTCTTTGTTGAAGCTCATGGAACCGGACATAATTATGTTCTTTCCCAGCGTTTACTAACTTTAAGGCCACAGAATCATGACCAAGGCATAATATTTATGCACATAATAAAGAAAAACGGCCCCAGGACGAAACCCTGAGGCACTCCTATCTTGACGTTAAGTGTTTTGGCGTAATTTTGTTGTTGTTAGGATGGGTTTTATCTGGCATTACGAAAACGCCATTTCGAGGTATTTATTAACTATCAAGCACAGACGAAAGCCTGAGGCATTTATTATCTAAAAAGTTCTTCCGTCAACTCAAAACTATTTACCTGCTGGAACGTTCTGATTGGACGGTCCTTTTAAAAGCACGCCGTCGATCTGTGGTCAAAATCCTTGGTGTCTGTTTGGGCCACTGGGTATATATGAACGTAGGTTTCATAAGATATTATAGTCACGTCCCATCTGCGGTACCACACGCTGGTACCGCTCCGTGTATACATGGCGTTGCGACATGGGATCCGACCGCGGCCGATGACGTAGCGAGGGGGGGGTGGGGTGGTTAAAAATGCGCGACGACCACATGGCGATATCTGGAGGAAGGGCTATGACGTCGCCAGAAAACTCGACGCGAGAATATTTGCTACGTAGTATTTTTACGATAAAAGTGACGTCATCGAGAAAAACTTCTTTTCCGTTTGCGGAAACTGACCAAACAAACAAGAACATACTCAGTCGATGGCTGGTGAATATTCTGAAAGATCCGCTTTAAAGCTCGACGTTAAAATACTGTCGCGAAATGCTCCGTATTTGTGAGCTCCATATAAATCGCGATGACTGTTTTTTTTTGCCAACATCGCCATCGCGGACGTTAGATTTATGTACCGATAGTCTCGATCGGAAATTTATGCCGTGCAACAAAAAAGCTGCTCCCACGGTATATACGGTTCGCGCGGTAGTTAAAATTCGAACGGCACACGCCGGCAACCTTGCCAATTAATCCAATTGTAATGCGTCGTTATATACCATCAAAAGCACAACCGCGGCGAAAGTTTGTTTACAAACTTTAAGTAAGGGGCAGGCCCGGATCCAAACCTACTCCGAGGACGACAGTGACTCAGCCGGATAAAGAAAGATTAGATAGCAATCATCTTTCTTCCAATATATGGGCAATTAGTTTTTTTTTTCTTTTGCTTAATTGGGTACTAATATGATTTCAAATAGTACGACTTCAAAGATATTTGCTGGGACGTTTCCGTTTCTGATATTCTATATAAACCATTAGATCTCTTTGCAACCGTCAAGAGCATAGCCAGCACTGTGACCGAGTCTCTAGCGAAAGAACTTTGGGGCCTACATCACTGAATCAACTTTACGAAACTTACTGTATGAAGTCAGTGCAAAACTCAGTCCCTGCATGGGCAAAGCAGCAGCAGAGTGAAAAAACTATATACATGTAATCTTCTTGAAGAGAATGTTGCTTGTCTTGACTTTACCGCACATTGAAAATGCAATGAGTATTCGGATGCAATGATTTGTCTTCTACATGGAACATTTGATCTCGTGGTACCTGTCAAGAGAATAGCCAAGAGTAGGTTTCCCAAGCGGCTCTCTCATACTTTACATTACGCTCAAATCCCTAGAGAGAGGACTTCCAGAGCTACATCAAGGACACTGAATCGGCTTCACAGCGTTTAAAAGTCAGTTCAAAAACCAAGTGAACCTTCATATTGCATTACATCACTGCTGAACACTTTGGCTTCCTTTTACTCCTCAAAAATTTATCTGATTCCATAATTTCTGACATCTACTCACATTGAAGAACTCTATCTTGGCTACTTTCCTGCATATGGGAAATTCTCAAAAGAGCAGCAAGCACATCAGTGCAAAACTCAGTCTACACAGAGAGAGAGAGAGTACTTCCGGACCTACATCAAGAATACTGAGAGACAAGAGATCTGACCCTTTTGAGAAAATGAGTGCAAAATCAAGTAAGCCCCCATATTGCATTAAATGAGCAGTTATGATCCACCAAGCAGCTGTGCTGACCATTTTGGTTCAGTTTGCACCGCAGAATCATCGCATGTTGCATTTATTTATCTGAATCTGTAATTCCAGACATATACTTAGAATGAAAAACTATATCCATCAAATCTTCTTGAAAAAATGTGGATTGTCTTGAAAATAAATCTTTGAAAGATGGCTACTTTCCTGCAATGAGTCGACGGATGCAATGATCAAAATTTTTTTTTGGTATTCTATATGAAACATTTGATCTCTTTGTACCTGTCAAGAGAATATCCAACGGAAGGTAACCAATTCCCGAGATAGAGAGAACTTCCAGAGGTAGATTAAGGACACTTTATGGAATGAACTTTACAGCGTAACTCAAAAGAGATCTCGTCCTTTGCAAAATCAGTGTATGCCCTCGCATTGCATTAAATCAGCATCCGAACCCCGTGCTGAACACATTCAATTCATAATTCCTGCATCTTGCATCTACTCACAATGAGAAAACTATATACATCCAATATTCTTGAAAAAACGTTGATTTGGTGGCCCAACAAATGTGCCAATTTGCTACATCGTAAGCGCATTTACAAAATTTTTTCAAGATATTATTGTTAAGTTATTTTTATTAATTATATCTAAACAATTTGGATAGACCGGATAGACCCACTATTTTGTTGGGTTAAAAGCTATATTGTCGAAGGGATGCAGATTGCATTAGCAACTTAACTTCTTCTTCGTCTTTATGGCTTTTCGTTGCTCTAGCATTTCGGGTGGAGCCCGACAGCCACGACACTTATTAAAAAAAAAACGTCAAAAAGCACCACAACCTGGTAGCGGAAGAAAGTCCGGTCCTGTGCCCGAGAGTTTCTCACGGCGGTGTCTAATATTTCACCATTAAGCAGTCGTTATCTAATAGGTGTCATGTATAATTATCTTGAAGGTAGAAAGCCGCATTGTTCAATTACCCAGATTTATCTACCGTTCTATTTGAAATTGGTTATTAATAATTACGTTGGTCGCCGAACACCTGGCCAGTCCGCGAAGGCGGCGTATGAAACTGTCTCTTCTTCTTTTCAACCCTCCGTGGTGTAATCTCGCGATAGAGGTTACGTTTCGCGTACTTTACTTTCATATCGGGCTGTCAATGATTTTCTAGATATTTTCCATAAAGCAGTCGCGAACCCAAACGAGATGTCGAGTTTAGTGAGGAGCACGTATACTTTCGAAAGCAGAAAGAGCGACAGCGCGCCTTTCGAAAAGCCCGGGTATAATTATGTTGCGATTAACGCGGTGCACGCGTTCCTTCAGGGCCCCCTGACCCCCCGAGCGGCACGCCGTGCATCACAGCGCACCTGGACACCGTCACAGTGGCGTGGTCGAGCTCGCCTTACGACGGGGGTAGAAAAGTCACCTGCTACGTCGTCGAGTACACTTTATTCGGGAGCGACATTTGGACGACGGCCGTGGACGATTGCGAGAATCTCGGCTACGTGGTGGGGGGCCTGCAGCTCGGAGGGAGGTACGTGTTCAGGGTGAGGGCGGTCAACGTCCACGGAGCGAGCAGGCCCAGCCTGGAGAGTGGCATCGTTCAGCTGGAGGAACACAGTAAGTAAACCAAGTGCTGGGCGTAAAGTGCACGCCACTGGATTCGGCCGAAATATTAACGACGGCAAAAAACAATTAAACAATTTTATCTCGGCCGGTTTATGGTTATTGTCGTGACACGAGGCCTTCGGTGCGAATTTGTCAGTCGCGGTCTGTGATTTTACGGGTTTTTGCTTCCTTTGAGGATTAAATGGGCCGTTTTCTGGGTTGATTTGGGTGGAAATGGTACAATGGATATCGACGACGGTAAGTTTGAAACTTCACGTCGTTCGGGCGTCTCTTTCGGTCGACTATTTGTCGACTTCAGTTTTCCCCTTTTTTTTTTGAACGGTCCAGAATATTCGACGATTTTGGGACCGATTTAACAAACGGATTGGCGAAAATAAAAATCTCGTATTCGTTTGTCGAATCGTCTTTAGTTTTATTTAAATTTATATATAAAACTATTTTTACATATCATAATCGACTCGCCTGTACATTTTATAGCAAAGTTGTAATATATGTTTTTAAAAGGGCCAGTACGTATGATAAACTCGTGTGCCGAGCTATTGAGTATTGAATTAAATATGATGGTAAAATTGCAAAAGGCCAATACAACAAACACCAGCAAATATTTTCCATTACGCTATTTCCAAAACTTGACGAAGCTGAACAATGACATATCGAATGAACTAAGTATGTAGATATATCATTGTTTTTTTATTTAGAGCTTGGCCAAGAATCCTGTTTGTTTTCCTCCTCGTGCGGTAAAATGTTCAAATCTCTATTCTCCCTTTTTTCTGCTCTATTATAGACATTTACTTTTATTTATTATTATATTATATTATTATTTATTTATTATATACATAAACACTGCTCTAAAACTGTTTGCTTCATAATACCACTTAAATATGGTTACTTTTTTTTTTAAATTAAATAACCCAAATTTATCTTCAATTAAAGGGCGTTTAATAACGTATAACAATTACAAATAAAAATGTTTTTACTCTCACGAATTTTCGTGTTGTCAAAATGTACCTTGCTGGTGTCAAACTGTCAAAACCTCCTGAATCCAATATTGCAAAGCCTGAACGCATCGGTCTAAAATCTCTAAAATCCAATCCAGACATCGTTATCCTAAAATCAGATAAAGGAAATGCTACGGTAGTCATGGACACAAATGAATATCACGAAAAGATTCCAGATATCCTTACAGACGGATCATATCGTCAACTTAAAAAAGATCCTACGTCATCTATTTATTTATGTATTTTATTTATTATTTATATAAATGATAGGCATCAAGTTTTAAAAAACTCCTTTGTTAACTTATTTGCTGATGACACGCTTATTTCAGTCTCTGGGAACGATTGCAAAGAAATAGCTTCCAAACTGAACACCGAAATGCTGTGTCAAAATAAACTGAAAACCAAGTGCATGGTTATCGGTTCTAAGGTTAACTGTCAAAAATTTTATAAGTCGGGGTATTCTGTGGCTATAGAGGGTAATAAAATTGAGTTTGTTTCCGAAATTAAATATTTAGGGGTGATCTTGGATCCACAATTATGCTTTAGTAGTCATGTTGAATATCTATGCAAAAAATTGGTTTAATAGTATAATTTTGCCTCATTTTTCATATATTTGCTCATTGCTTATATCTTGTACAAAAGAAGATTTAAATAAGTTACAGTTACAACAAAATCAGAATCATCCTGAACTGCGATAGATATACTCCTATAAAGAGTATGTTAGACCAGCTAAATTGGCTAAATGTCGGGCAGTTCATTCGAAGAGCAAGTTTAATGTTGGTTTATGGAATCGCGCACGATCACCAACCAGGTCAAACTTTTATCAATATAATATGTGAGCACTTCAATGTTTCTATGGTAAAAACAACAAATTTACGGAAAACTCTATTCTACGATGGTGTTTGTAATTTTAATGAACTGCCGGATAATATTAAGGGTGACGTAGAATCCCTCTTGCTCCTATTGCCGCTAGAGAGCGTTTTGCTCCATCGTTATAAATATAATTTATTTTCTCAAAAACCTATATTATCAATAAAAGAATCCTATAGAAGTTCTTGATATGTTTCGTGTTTATTTTCAAAACATTGAAAATGCAGAGATGCATTTAAACGCCAAGATCCTGCCGTTTCATATGTGTTATTTTTTATTATTGTAATACTTATACTGTTTTAACAGTGAATTTGTATATATTTTACTAAAAAAAACAACTATTTACTTACAATAACTGTTTTTGATCGTTGTGGTATTTGGATGCTTTTATTTCTGGTTCTACTTGCGTCTCTTAACGCATTGTAATGATATTTTAGTGACTCCAGCGAAAAGACTATTAAAGGATTTTATGTCATTTTTGTATATTACCGATAAAGGTGTATTCTGGTGTCTCTGCACGCAACTATTGTGCCCTTTAATATTCTTTGGGAAAATAAATTTTATTTATAGGGATGTCGCAAAGCGCCATCTAGTGGCCTAAAATAATTTCCCGTATTTTCTCTCGGCCGCTTTTATCGTAAGTTTTTTCACCCCCAAGTCTTTGCGACCGTTACTTTTCGAGATAGGGACGAGGTCCCCTCTTAATTCGCCAGAATAATCAGTAACTAGCCTCCTTTGGTTCCGCACTTGTAGACGAGTCTTCGTCATTCGAGCACCGGCTCGTCGTACCGGAACCCGGTGCCGAGTTCAAATCGCGCTACGACGTCCAAGAGGAACTCGGCAAGGGCCGTTTCGGAGTCGTCCACAAGGTGATCGACAAAACGTCGCACCTCAAACTCGCCGCCAAGTTCATCAAATGCCGCAACCAAAAGGACAAGGACAAGGTCCACGACGAGATCGACATCATGAACCTGCTCAGGCACCAGAAGCTCCTCCAGCTAGCCGCAGCGTTCGAGAACCCCCGCGAAATGATCATGGTCATGGAGTAGTAAGTAATCCTCGTCGCCGTAACCCCCCACTCCACGCGCACGCCCTTACTCGGCATCTCCCGCAGCATCTCGGGGGGCGAGCTGTTCGAGCGCGTCGTCGCCGACGACTTCACCCTTACCGAAAAAGACTGCATCCTGTTCACGAGACAGATCTGCGAGGGCGTCGCCTACATGCACACCCAGAGCGTCGTCCATCTGGATCTCAAACCGGAGAACATCATGTGTCACACCCGCACCTCGCACGAGATCAAAATTATCGACTTCGGTTTGGCCCAGAAACTCGAACCCGACAAACCGGTCAGAGTGCTATTCGGCACCCCCGAGTTTATTGCGCCGGAAATCATCAGCTACGAGCCGATCGGCACCAGGTCCGACATGTGGTCGCTGGGCGTCATCTGCTACGTGCTGTGAGTCTTTGAAACGAATGCCGACGCTGAAACGATCTACAACCGTGCCCCGTTTTCAGCCTGTCGGGTCTGTCGCCGTTTATGGGCGACAGCGATTCGGAAACCTTCGCCAACATCACCAGGGCCGACTACGACTTCGACGACGAGGCCTTCGGCACCGTGTCACAAAACGCGCGGAACTTTATCGGCGCCTTATTGGTCAAAAGGAAAGAGTAAGTTCGCGTCCAATAAATCACAAAATATCGACGTATCAGTGTAGCTGATACGTCGCAACGACGGTTTAAAGGAGTCGACAGCACGTCGTCGACCAATAAATTACCTAATATCGACGTTTCTGCGACGTGCCAGCTTAGTTACAATAAAATCGAAGCTGATCTTTCACAGGGACGTAACACCATAACACGTATATTAAGTTGCGCTTTAAAGACGTCGACAGTCCGTCGTCAACCAATAAATCACCAAATATCATCGTCTCTGTGACGTATCAGCGTAGACGTATCCAAGCTGTTACGTCACAACGGCATCCTGCAGGCCTGCAAATTACATAATATAGACGTTTCCGTGACGCGTCAGCTTAGTTACGATAATATCAAAGCTGACCCTTCATAGGGGCGTAGCACTACAGGACGTATGGAAAATTACGGTTTAAAGGCGTCAACAGCACGTCGTCGTCTAATAAATCACCTAATATCGACGTTTCTGCGACGTGTTGCTTAAGCTGATCCTTCACAATTTCGTAGCACTACAAGACGAATCCAAAATTTCGGTTTAAAGACGTGGTCGAATGCGATATGTCACAGGAACGTCCTACAGGACATAAGCAAAATTACGATTTAAAGACGTGGACAACACATCGTCGACCAATAAATCATTAAATATCGACGTCTCTGCCACGTGTTAGCATAGATACGTCCAAGTTGATACGTCACAACAGCGTCCTGCTAAATAGATTTACCGGACGTAAACAAAACTGCAATCTGAAGACCTAATATCGACGTTTCTGCGACGTGTCAGCTTAGTTACGATAATATCGAAGCCGACACTTCCTAGGAACGTGCCAGACGTCTAGACGTCGCCAGCACGTCGTTGACCAATAAATCACCAAATATCGACGCTTAAGTAGGAGAATGTCACAAAATTACTTTTTAAAGAGTCTGCGACATGTCAGCATAGATATGGCCAAGCTGATACGTCACAACGGCGTCCTGCTAAATAGACTTACAGGACGTAGACATAACTACAGTTGGAAGACGTCGAGAGTACGTCGTCGACTAATAAATCACCTAATATCGAAATTCCTGCGACGTATCAGCTTATTTACGATAATATCGAAGCCGACACTTCCTAGGAACGTACTAGTACAAAATTACGGTTTTAAAGACGTCGACAGCTTTAAGAAAGTGCTTTTTAAAGAAGTCGATCACAAAATCACCAAATATCGACGTCTCTATGACGTCTCGACCTAATTACTAGAACGTCGGACGTTTCAGGGACCGCATGTCCGCCGAGCAGTGCCTGAAACACGTGTGGCTCGACCCGGACACCCACCGGGAGACGGTCGTCCTCTCTACCGACAAGCTGAAGAAGTTCATCATCCGCAGGAAATGGCAGGTAAGTCGGCGACGGTGACGTCTTGCATGGCCGGTAGTTTGGCACGTCTGTGTGCGCGTGCGTGTGTGTTGGTCGTTTAGAAGACGGGAAACGCGATCCGCGCGCTCGGAAGGATGGCAACACTGTCGGCCAGCAGGAGGAACTCTGCGAACTCGACACCGAACACGCCCAGGGTCTCGTTCTCCGGCGGCTCGGTGCCGAGGATGCCCAGCGTCGAGGACAGACGGGGCTCGGGCATGGTGGCGAGGTACGATACCTTATCCGCGTCCTTCGACGAAACGGAAGAGGTTTGTGGGGAGGTGGACCACCAAGCCGATGAGGTGGTCGATTTGGACGCGAAAGTCGACGCTGTCGAGGAGGTGTCGGACGTGACGGAAACGATCGAGATCGGAGAGAAGGTAGTAGTAGATTGCGGTACCGGTACCACCGAAGAGTTGGAAGAGGGCCTCCAAGTGAAGGAGTCCAAGTCGCGGAAGTTGGTACGGACGCGGGCGTGCAGCGAGAGGAGCGACAGCGGTATCAGCGACTGCTCCACCCACCTGACCTCGAGCAGTTGCACCTCCACGCCCCTCCTGGGCAAGAAGTTCCCGATTGACGAGGAGGACGGCGAGTACCCGAGCGAGGAGAAACTCGCGGCTGAGGGCGGGGCGGGGGAGGGCGAGTTCGGTGGGCGGAGCAAGTCGGACGACGAGGACGGATGGGGAAGCGACGCGAACAAGCGATCCGGTAAGCTCGATGGATGCGGCGTCAACGCAAAAAGTAAGTGTGAGTAGAGAGCGTTTAGAAAGTTGTGAAATGGACGACTGTACAGTTTGGCTCGTATTATATAAAAAGTGGTACGTCATCAAAAAAAATTCCAAAAGTGTCGGAAATCACGCCATCGAGGACAATAACTATGTCCGTTCAAGCATGAATTTTGTCAATTTTACATGAAAATTGGTCAGCCGAAGGTCATTCGATCAACCCCACCCTACCTAACCTTCACACTCTCTCCCTCAAACCCTCCCCATCCACTCATTTATTAAAATAAATAAGAACTAAAAGTTCAGATTTTCACGAAATTATATATTATTGCATGACATTTTTTTTTCGACAGCACCGTGTCTTTATCAAATGTAACATTTAAAAACTACCTGCTACTATATATACCGAAAAATGCCTATAAAACCTTAATTAATGTGGTGAGAATTTAAGTTCAATAAAGGACAGATATGGCTTCCAATAGATTTAATTTTCTACTTTTTGTGGCTGTATGTAAAATATCAAAATTGTCATCAGAAATGTGTTTTTCTGTGTTTAAGTGTGTAGCATAATTAGAATCTAGACTGTTGTTTTTAAACGCTCTTTTATGTTCGTTAATGCGTTTCTTGAAGGATCTACCTGTTTGTCCAATATAAATTATAGGACAAGATCTGCATTTCAACCTGTAGACACCTGATTTTTGGGATTTTGGACATTTCGTTTTATTGTTTTTTACTTTTTTAACTAACAGCACAATAGGAATAAAACGAAATGTCCAAAATCTCAAAAATCAGGTGTCTACAGTTTTAAATACGGGTCTTGTCCTAAAATTTATATTGGACAAACAGGTACATTCTTCAAGAAACGCATTAACGAACATAAAAGAGCGTTTAAAAACAATAGTCTAGATTCTAATTATGCTGCACACGTAAACACAGAAACACATTTTTTTTTTTTAAGTTTTAGTTCTTATTTATTTTGATAAATGGATTTTCATCAAGTAAAAGCCACCTCAGTTCAACATTTATTCACCTTAATGACTCATCCTTTTTTTTTCTTGCGTCTACCAAGGATCGAACCCGGGATCCGTCCTCGTTGAACGCCGACTTTAACCCCGAGCTAACGAGGTTTGTTCGAAATGTGGACTCGTCTTTTCTTCCGTCTTCCGAACTCGGGTTCGATCCTCGGTAGACACGAAAAAAAAGATGAATCATTATGGTGAATAAATATAGCGTTGAGTGGAGTGGAGTGGACAGACAGGGTGTGAGGGTTAGTTAGGGTGGTTGATCGAATGACCCCGGACCAATTTTCGCCAACACTAACCTTAGATTTTCTTTACATGTAAAATTGAGAAAATTTATGCTTGAACGCTATTCTAGGGCATCAAGTCTTCAATTATAAAACACCATTACCTTGGGAGGAAACCCGACGTCGTAATTCGAACCAAACTATTCTTCTCGTGTGTTTTCGCTTTTGCCGTGCTGTTCTTCATTTTATTTTCCCCCCGAAAATCGGTCATTTTCCGCAGGCCAACCACCAAACGCGGGCCACTGCTTAAGCCGCCTGCCTGTTTACACCTCTCGGACGGTGACCGCGACGAGGAAGAAATTCGACCGCCCCGAAGCCACGCCCACAAACCAACGGCTCCGTCAAGCTCCGCCTTCGTCTCCCGCGCCGGTGCGCAAGCCACGCCCACATGCCGTGGACCGCCTAGTGGAGAGGTTGGAGGGCGGCGGCGACGGGTCGACGCTGAGGACGGCGACGCCGACGGTGAGGTTCCGCAGCCCGTCGCCGTCGCTGCTGAGAAAAACTCAGGCGGTAATCGCGAAAGAACAGTGGCGCGACGACCCAGAGCGGTTGTATCCGAAAAACGGCTGCCCCAAATCGCCGGGGGCGGCGAGGAAGGAGCGCAAGCCGAAGAGCGAGGCGTTCCAGAGGGCGGCCGCTTTCTGGAACACGCCCAAGACGTGAGGGGCGGGGCGATTTTTCGTGTTTCCTCCCCCTACGCGGGTATAACGCCCCAGATATTCGGATTTATTTTTTATAATATAAAATTATCTATTTTCGTGTTACCCTCGTATAAATATATATTTTTTTTTCTGTATCGTTTGATCGTAGCGTTGAACTGTATACATATAGAGCGAAAGTAATATATTAAGTTTCTCGTTGCTGTTCGTTTTATTTTCTCGTCCCGACTACGCCACTGACGTCTGTAGCGGTAAGCGTGGCGTTCCATTCCACAACACCTGATTGGGCGTGGTTTCTTTTTTGACTCCGCCCCTAAGACTTTGACTCTGTCCTTTTGGGCGTGGTATTTTATTCACTTAATTCCTTTGTGGACGTAATCAGTTATCAAATTCCGACCCTGTGGGCGTAGCAGTAGACCTTTCCGAACAATCAAACATTTCCGATGGCCGACTAATATAGTTTTCCGAGGCAAACGTAATTTTTTCGAAAAGATGATGACATTCCGCGCATGAATCTAAATTTCACCCACACACCTGCACTTTGCGCCATGTTATTTCCAAACAGCAATCTCCACACATTTAACTCGTTTTCCCGAAACTTAACGCGATCTGGGCATATTTTGAGAAAAAAACTGCCCTTAAAATGCCACATCCAAACTGAAACCTGCCTATTTGACCAACTGTCAGTGGCCATGTTACTTGTCACGACGCAAAGTCTCATTGGTTAGTTTAAAAGGACAGGTGCTAATGGCCGTTCTCAAGATTTTTTTTTCATTTTATTAGAACTAAATAGCTCGCTGTCTTGTAACTACTATTGTAAAACCATTTAAACAACAAAGTAAAATGACATTAAACACATGAACGCACCTTCAACTTAACCTTCGAGCGGAGTCGATTCAAGTGACCAATTATGATCTATGATGCCATGCTGCAGAGAACTCGGTGATAGCCTCTCCCGGTTTTTTTATGTTTATGTTATTTAAGAGACGTAGATTTGAGTCGAAAATTACCCGAAAGTTGGAAGTTATGGTGCCCCCGTAGGGTTTCTCAGTTTGGGAACCGTCGAGGGCTCTCTAATCGGCGTATGATGGTACAAACAAAAATAGCCTAATCACGATGGAATACGATTATAACGCTTTCCGTAAAGAGTCGGATTTTCATAACCGGTGCTGCGGGGGCGCGTTATGGTGCATACGTGACATATGCGGCGTGATATGCGCCCTGCTTACGTGGCTCCTGATTTCCTACTCAGAGTTTGTTGTTATGTGTGTGATACTAATTCCTAGTCCCTACCCTGTTTACAGCGTCATAAACGCTATTATATTCCAGACGTGCGCCTTTTTGGCTTTCGCGTCGCACTTGAAAACCATGTTCACCGATCCGGTAAGTAGTAGACTCACCATATCAGATGCTCGGCGGCAACCGGGTTATGTTTAAGGGCGCCGTGCCCAAGGGCAACGCGACCAAGGAAATGATTAAACAGATGGGTTTCCGTGAGGGCAGGGTTATATTCAAGTGCCCGAAATGTTGCAGTATTAAGCCGGACAGAGCCCATCACTGCTCTGTCTGTCAGAGGTGCATTAGGAAAATGGATCACCACTGTCCTTGGGTGAACAACTGCGTAGGCGAGAACAATCAAAAGTACTTTGTACTATTTACCGTAAGTGATATAACAGGGTGTGTTTTTCGGTCCCCTATTAGCGGCGGTTTGTAGTTTTACATTTGTATCATATCGCTCCATTCGCTGTTTCTGGCGGTGAACCAGTTTCTTATGTGCATCCGGCACGAGTGGAAAGACTGCGCCAGCTATTCGCCGCCCGTTACCATTGTGCTCCTCCTGTTCCTGATGTTCGAGGCGTTGCTGTTTGCCATTTTTACGGCGGTGATGCTCGGCACCCAGGTCCAGGCGATCTGGACCGATGAAACTGGCATCGAGCAGCTGAAAAAGGAGGAAGCCAGATGGGTGAAGAAATCCCGCTGGAAAAGTATCCAGGCGGTTTTCGGGCGGTTCTCGCTGCTGTGGTTGTCCCCGTTCGCCCGGCCCCGCAAGTACAAGAACGAGTACGAATTTTATTCCGTTTGAATTGTATAAATGATTTGTTAGTATTATTTTTTTTTTATTACGGAGAAAAACGGTTTTTCACTTGTGATAATTTGAAACGTGTACATTAAACTTCCACATTCTCTCTCCCGCGACGAGAAGGTATATCACATTTTCGTTTGTAAGGCTGAATAAAGACTTCACTATTTACCGATTTGTTATTTAAGGACCAGTGACGTCATATTGCTTGACAAAGCGTCCATGTGCTTAACCTCGCTCGGTGGCATGACGTAAACGCCCATTGGAAATGTATATTTATTTACAACAATCTGATATATAATTATTATCTTGTACTTGGAAAGTTTTTTTTTTAAAATTTGTGAACCGGCCATTAGGTCGTGAACCGCAACCGATACGTCAGCTGTCAAAAAAATACAAACACGGGACGCCAGGCCGAGTGGGTTTTCGCGGCATAAACGGACGTTCTCGGTGTCGCAATGCCCCCGAAAAAACGCGAAAAAGAGCCCGACCCGTCGAAAAATCCGCGAATCGACCACATCCAGGCAGATCATGAGTTGTTTCTGCAAGCATTCGAAAGTAAACGCCGTCCACGGGTAAAAACTAAGGACCGGGGATTAACGTTGGTATTTCCGTTGTTTCAGAGCCCACCCAAATCTACAGGTACCTGAGGACGCGGAATATGTGTTCGGTGAGTGTGTTTCCAGTCAGTTTTCTGCCGGTTTCTGACAGGTTAGGTGTTTTTGTAGCCGATTTTCCTCAATAGGACGGTGACTTACATGAGACACAGGATGTCCAGGTCGCACAAAGGTAGGGCCGCGTTTAAAGTCGATTCGCTGTTGCAGCGGGTCCTCGACAAAAAAGATTCGATGTGCATCGAGCCGGGTTACATTAACCTGACGTTTTTGGGGTTTAACAACGCTGCTTTGCCATGTGACGCGGACGTCGCGCAAGTCGAGACGGTTTTACTGAAAATCACGCACAAAAAACGGAAAGACAGCTCGGCGCCGAGCATGCAGATTTCGTTGGGCGTCGCGGACGTTCCTATTAATCCGGTTGAAGGGCAGATGCCCCTGACTGCTCCAACAATAAGCATACCGACGGAATCGTTCTCCTCCAATGGCGGGCCCCTAGTCAAGTCCTACATACTTCTCTTTCGGGTCAAAGTGCTCACAGACAAGGACTGCGAAGACGACGAGCCGGCAATGAAAAAGCGCAAGTCGGTGGGCGGCAATCTGACAGACAGCGTAAAAGTGTATAGTGCGGAATTGATTATATATGATAAACACAACCGGTGTTACTTGAGTGACGGTGATTACGATGTGGTGGTGCATGACGTGTCGTCGATACCGAAAAACTCACCAAAGAAACACTCTAGCTGGGAGAACGTCAACGATTTGGTCGAGACTTGCGGCAACATCGACGCCTTCATGAAGGGCTCCATACTGAAGTTCAAGTTGAACTGGTCGACTGAACCCAGTGCTAAAGTGGTGGACAGGCCCAAACTGTATCCCCTCCAGGAGAACAAGGAGAACATATCAGCTCTGGCCAATGGTGGGTTGGTTTTTAAATGTCGGTTGTTTTGTTTGTTAGGAAAGGTAACTGTTAAATTCCTATCATTTTATAACCATTGCGGCCCAATTGTCACCCGCAGGTTTAATATTGATTGACTCAGGGGTATTATCACTTCATATGCCATATAGGGCATAAATTGGCAAATTCAAAGTCACGAATAATAAGTTCTGCTTTATTCTCTTAACTTGATTTAAAGGTGCAATTGACAAAACATGCAATGAAAGGTAAGGGTGTGTTCAATTGGATGTAACTTTTTTGTTTTTAGGGATATCAAGGTAAAACAAAATATAAAGAAAAGTAACCAAGTTTTTTTCCAAGTGACGTGCAAAACAAAACACTATCAATGTTCTGATATATAAGCTTACGTCATATTTTAATAGATTTCTTACCCTTTAATAGAATATCTTATTCTGATTACCTTGATGTAACACACTTTATATTTTATTTCACTCGTTTTTGACAAATCGGCAAAAATATAAACAAAGTAGAACAAAAAAAAACTAAAAATGACAAAACCCACCAAAGTAAAAAATTCTTTAACTATTCTAAATACCACCATTTTTCTGACATGTATGATGTCGGGGGCTGTTGGGTGGCCAATTCATAGTTCCGTCCTTCCCTATCCAACTCCTGCCATATAATCAGCGAAGCTATATTTACAGGTAAAAAAAAATATATTGTTTTATTTAGTGCCCTAAGAGTTGCAAATGATGATCTCCAGCTAACTAACTAAATTGATATATTGATTAGTATCCCCGGGTTTTTATCTCGTGTATTTGTCTTGGATTATTAATACCAAATATGGCGTATTTTGTGTATTACAACCCTTTCTTGTAATGAACGAACTTTCATCAGTCCATAAAATGTTTTTCAAAAAAATTTTCTCATTATGTCTAATTAAAAAATCCAAACAAAACTGCATTCAAAACAAATAAGAACTAAAAATTCAGATTTTCACGAAATTATATATTATGACATGACAATTGTTTCGACAACACCGTGTCTTTATCAAATGTGAAGTGAACGCACGGTACCTTTGTTGTAAAACTTCTCTCTAGGCGACTCGGAGTCGGAAAAGCTGCAGATAGTGTACCAGTTCGTTTACAACAACAACTCGCGGCAACAGACGGAGGCGTGCGAGGACCTGCACTGCCCTTGGTGCAGCTTGAACTGTAACGAGCTCTACACGCTGCTCAAGCATCTTAAACTGTGCCACTCGCGGTTCACCTTCACTTACGTGCCTATTTCGGTGGGGGCGCGCATCGACGTCGCCATAAACGAAATGTACGACGGGTCGTACACCGGCTCGCCCCACGACCTCATCACGCAGCCCACGGTGTGCGCGTTCTCGAGGAACGGGCCCGTGAGGCGCGCGTCCGTCACCCACATCCTCGTCTGCCACCCCAAGAGGCCCAAACCGAGCCTGTCCGAGTTCCTGGAGCTCGACGACTGCGAGTACGACGGCCAGAGGCCGTTCATAACCGGTCACAACAGGTACGGTGACCAGGAAGGGGCGGGGCCGACCCGAACTTTGGGCGTTTTTCTTACAGACTGTACCATCACACCACCACGTGCCTGCCCATCTACCCCAAGGAGATGGACGTCGACTCTGAGGGCGAGAACGACCCGGAATGGTTGCAGAACAAGACGATGATGATGATCGACGAGTTCACCGACGTCAACGAAGGTAAAACGACGGCGCACACGCGGGCGAAATCTCGGCCAAGAGTAAGCCCCGATAATTCTAATAAAAAAAAATTGGTGACATGTGGAATAACCAACTTTTTTACTTTGATTTCACTCGAGTTGCAATCAAAATCCTAAAAAAAAAATCGATTTATGTTTCTGTGGCATTTAACATTTCAATTTTACTTCGAAATTAAGCACTTACGAAGAAAAAATTTTGTACCGCGCATATAACTCGACGTAGTTTCCGTTTCAAGACATTTTGGGTTTTTCAAAACTTTCAACAAAACGCCCAGTTTGTACTACCAAATCCAGGCTTTGCCTGATCTACTAGCAAACGCAAATCATTTAAAAACAAATCAAAAACTCTTTTATTTTGCGCTACTTTCGTCCAGTGTTTTATAGTTTTATTTCACAGCTAATTTGAGCAAAAGGAAAAAGTTTATCTATTTCATATTAATAATAATTATTGTATTGTTGAAATAAATGACCATAAAAATTAAAAATTAAATATTTCAACCAAGACCGCAGCAAATTGCCCTAGAGATTAATGAAATAAAAGTATTCCTATAGTTTGAAGCCAGAAATGCCCGTTTTCTTTAAGGAAAAAGCGAAAACCAAATTTGTTTTAAAAAATTCTGTAACTACATTAAAATAAAATTGCCTGAACACCGCTGTACGTGGGTTATTCTACAGGGTGGATCAAATTATAACATATTATTTATTTATAACTTGTGTCCTAAAATGCTTCATTTCGGAGATACTGCAAAAAAATATTTTTTTTTGTTATTTTAACAAACCTCTTCTAGAATTTGCTTTCAAACTTGGCAGGCATTACATAAAAAATAATTAAGTTAATAACATTAATTATTATTAAGTTATGATTTTCGGAATTGTTATATAATAGTACATTATACAACCGAACGTGTTGCACTCTACTTTTTCTACGACCGTTAGTTTTTGGGTACATTTTCGCAAAACAGCATGAATACATTCACAGACAAAAATGTCAGAATTGACAAACGTCAAAATTCAAAGCGTGAGAAATATCTCCGAAAGCGTCCGATTGCTCGCAAATCCGTGCGGAAAAATCCCGGAAATGTCCGAAGTGGCTCGGATTCGTGGGAAACGAAACTGACGTGGTAAAGTGACGCTTCCGGCACGTATTAGGTGCACATGTAATTTTTTTTCTCGGTTACAGTTATAGCGAAACAACTGAACAGATCGTTTTTGTTTATAATTGATCGGGGTATTTAAGTTTATTCTTAAAAACCCGATAAAACATTAAAAAAAAAAATGAAACACGTTTTTTTTGCAATACACCTCCATAAATCTCAAGGTAGATGGCGCTCGAGTCGTATAAATTCAAATTCAGAAATTTAGTGTTAACTTAAAACATTGACCAAGAAAGTGTCATTTTTGATCGTAAAAATAAGATTTCACTAGGTAATTAGTTTAAATAATTAATTATGACAAAAAATTAAGAATATATAGAAATGGACATGACAGTCGGCCGGTATCGTGTAGTTTCGTCCCGAGTGACATAATATTATTAGATTATTAATTGATCACCAATGAGAACGAACAATACAAGAACCGCTTTATTTATTGTTGTCCGCTGAATAAGCTGTTTAAGTTTCTCTGTTATAATTCAGGATTTTTATTAGAAACGAAGTCAGAAAACACCGATTTTTCACTTATTACAAGGAATATCAACTGTCATATTTCAGAAAAAATAGGGACGTATACTTTTTGGCCGGGGTTTCCCCGAATATCATGAAAGGTGGGGGTGATTTTTTTTTTGTTATCGCTCGTGTTAAGGCGAAAAGGAGCTGATGAAGATGTGGAACCTGCACGTGATGAAGTGCGGTTTCGTCGGCGACTGCCAGATCCCGTTGGCCTGCCAGATGTTCGTGCAGCACCGCGGCAAAGAGCTCCTCCTCAAAAACCTCTACCGCAACTTCGTCCTCCACATGACGTCGCTGTTCGATTTCGGCCTCGTGAGCGCCGTCTGTCTCTACACGACGCTGCAAAAGCTCCAGGAGATGGTCGGCGAGACGGGCGCAATAAGGAACGTGCTGAAGGAGTCACGCGAGGCCCAAATGGACAACCTCGCCAAGGCGGGGTGCGTTTTGCACCTGCCCGAGAAGCCGTGCACTCTGAAGACGCCTTCCGCGGGCCGGAAGACCGCGAACGTCGGCCTGCAGAGGCGCAAGGGGACGCCGACGCCGTCCGAGGCGCCGACGCGGCGGAAATCAGCGAGCGTCGACGCGTCGACCACCAGGAAGAGGCTGTCTTTATCTCTGAACAAGAACGATCAGAAATCGAGTTAGTTTCGATCGGTTACGGACCCATTTCAGAAGTGAGATTGTCGATGAGGCAAGGGGGAAAACATATTTATTTCGATAACGGATCGGGGATGCCTTACAAGCGCTCAGGTGTCGCTGCTATTTTCCAAGGAAATAGTTCTTTTTTTAAATATATGCGATAGGAAAGTTTATATCGCGCCTTTATCCCTTTTTATTTTGTTGTATGTTTATATTGTTTGATTTAGTTTAGTTGAAATATAACCGCAGACGCGCACACTTTCGTTTTATTCCAATATCCTCGGTAACGGCCACTGGTAACGCGGTGACGTCACCTATATCATTATCATAGTGAGAGTGTCGGTCGGAGAGCAAAAGGCTCTTTAAAACATACTTATTTCCAAGGAAACAATTCTTTTTTGAAATGTAAGCGATACAAAGGTTTTTATCGAGACTATATTAATTTTATATTGTTTTATGTTAATATTGTTTGATTTATTTTAGTTTAAATATAATTCGCACACTTTGTTTTATTCCAATCGCATCACCAACGACAATAGGTAACACGGTGACGTCACCTACATCACTCATCAGTAACGGACCTATTTTGATAGTGACCGGAGAACAAGGGCTCTTGAAACACATGCATATTTCCAAGAAAGCCGTTTTTTTCCATATGTAAGGGATACAAAGGTTTTTATCGTTTTATTACTTTAAATATAACTACAGATTCACGCACTTTGTTTTATTCCAATCGCAACGCCAGCGATCAGGGGTAACGCGATGACGTTGAGTACGTCATTACGGCCGGTGACGTCATACAGTGTCGGTGTAAAAGAAAGGGTATGGTTCTCCGTGATTCTCTGCTTGATTCTAAACGTTTTTCCATAACTCAAATTAAGTAGTTCTTTTTTTTAAATATTCGAGATATAACGTCAGAAAAATTACGTTATATTCAAATCAAATATCTTTATTCAAAAAATCAAATTACAATTAATATAACGACCCTTCACAAAATATATTTTTTAATGTACTATATATGTATGTAAATACTGTGGAACAACTTATTGGCGAGGTTGCCAGCGGCCACTTTGGTGAGATATTAAATCTCGCGCATATGTATGTTGAAGTTACCTCCTCAAGATTTGTTTCATGATTGTCGATAGTAAATCTGTAATAGACTTAAGCTTTGTAATATATAAAACTTTCCACTTTATATAAATTTCAAATACATAAAAAATATAAATTTTAATATTTTTTGTACATATGCGGCCAGAAGAATTTTGGTTAGTTTATTTTTTTGCTTGACAGCTCTTCTTTTTTTCACCTTCTCAGCTATTGGCAACACCGCTGACGACTGCAGGTTAAACGCCGTGCCCACTTTGTTTTGTTTACGGTTGAGCTTTGACCATATGAAATTTGAGCGATATTTGTGAAAATGCCGTTAAACGTATGTATGTAACGTATAAATTTGATTCAAAAAATCCGCTGAGGTAAGTTTGTTTTGATAATGTACACGCATATGCGCAGTAACCTCTTATCCCCGAAGTTTTTTCTAACATGTGCACTTTCAAATATCAGCCTGTTGCGGCGCTAATAGTGATTAGTATTCCGCAATCATTATAAGAATAAAAACAAGAAAACGTTTCCATTAAAGAAATCGGTTAAAAATTGTGCCGTTCGATTGAAATATTGAAATGTTTGTGGATTTTTATTGTCCTTCGTTGTATATGATCATACCTAGAGGATGATTGATTAGTCCAGACCAAATAGCCACTAGAGACATAGAAGCCTTGCGTAAACGCCGAGAATACGGGATCTTATAACGCAACTATGAAAAAAAAATTGAGTTCGATTCAACATGCGCATGAACGAGATTTAAAATCTCGTTCTTAACCAATGACATGGCAGCAGACATGGTCGCAGACAGCTCGTCGATTTTTACGGCAGTATTTTCGCAAAATATGCCACGAAATTTTCAGGCAGCGAGAGGTTTAGGGTGTGTATATCGCTATTTACAAAGACAATGGCCCAAATGGCGGCTTAGTATATCATTTTTTACCGTTCTAAAGCTACTATACTATCTAATGACTATGTGGCCAGACCTTTTACGAATGCACCGTCTAGGAATTTTGGATCGTAAGCTGGCTGAGTGATCTTTAACAATCGTGGCCGTTAGAAGTGTAAGTAGCAGCGGGAAACTAAAAAGAAAAACTTAAGACTTAAAACTCTTTATTAAATACAAATATAAACTATGTTAACCTAGAACAGAAAAAAGGCTCGTGCGGCTACCGCGCGTACACACAAAAGAAATAACCTTCTCTGCTTCTTCCATCAACAGTAACAATTTCTCTTTATATATATATATATGATAGAAACGAAAAAAAAATGCGTTGGACTGATAACTCCTAGCCCTCCTGGCCAAAGTCTTCTTTAAACTTCTCCAACTTGACGAGATCCTCGTCGTTGACGGTGGGCTTCGACGTCGCCAGCGACCTCAACATGTCGTTCTACAACAACGCCCTCTGTCGTCACGTGGACGAGTTGGGAGGCTAGACTTACCATGGTGACGGGCGGTTCCGCGAGTTTATCGCCGTCGACGTCCATCCACGTCATCTCGATCGCTCCGGGGTCGCCGGGCGAGCACGGCGTCAGCAGATCGTCGACTACGACCTCGGGGTTCTTGGGGCTCGGCCCGCGCACCTTTTTAAAATGCGTCGCGGTCTGTACCTTGCGCACGGGTTGCATGAGGGCGTCCCGCACCACTATACTGATGTCCGCCCCCGAATAGCTGGAAAAAACCGCTCTACAACGATCTGCATTCACGCACCTTTTGAAGCAAGTGCGTGAAGCAGGAGCGGGATTTCAAATAGTGGTTGTTCGGTTTGTAAAACCGGCAACACTGCGTACGCACTCCCACAATTTTCAGTTATCGACATGGCTTGGAGCGGAGTGTGTCGTAACGTTCCTAAATGGCATAGAATGTACATTTCAAAAATAATTTTAAAAAAATGTTTGCTTTATGTAGTTTGGTTTTTATTAACATCGCGCACCCTGTATATATTATTATTATATCTAATGCATCAAAAGTAAAGTGAAGTGAGAATTATGTACCCTCAGACATATCTGGTTCATACTGATAGACTCTCTACTTTGATTTACTGACGTATCCAATGCCAGTGTAATTGACTTAGTGTTTAATAATTTCAAAAATGTTACTGTGAAAGAGTCACTCAACACAAATGTATTGATATTTCAATTGACACAAACACACTAGAATCCCTTAAGACAAAATCGAATTTGGAAAATCTTAAATATGATTATGATGAGTGTCGTGGCTCAATCTTTTCAATGACCTAAAAGTTGATGACTATGTCCATGTCTTTTAGGACATAGCCTACAAATCTGTTACAAAAAAACGTTCCCAAGAAAAAAATAACAGCAAGTATCCGATCTGATATGTCTCAGGCACTGAGGGGTATGGTCTGTTCATAGATATAAGAAAGTGACCAATTGCTTTTAAATCGGATTATCCAAGATTATTACCTAAAGTTTCGGAATTTAAATTCAGGTAAAATTGTGGTCCGTAATAGAAAATAATTTTATGCCTACCTGTGTTTAATATTCTTTGGTTTGGTATACTGCTTAGTTTAGGTTTATTAGTAATCATTCTTATTTCGTGTGTAATGCAGCGTGTGTTGAATCATGTGCGAATTATGCAAAATATCTGCGAGTCTAGTGTAGCTCAGGAGAAAACACTATTCTATTAAGAGTTATAAACAATGTTTATTTGACTCTCAGTGAACGAGGTGCCAGCAACCATCTTTAGAAGAAACGGCCACATTGACGAAAATTCCAACGTCAACTGTATGAAAAAGTGTGGATAATCCCATCTCTGCGAGGAAAAAAAAGAGCGATGCTGACATTTTCTCGAGTGTAGATGAAAGTGATCAAGATACAATACGGCGCAAAGTTTACCAGTTATACGAGGAACAAAGCGTGCCGACATTAGATATCTTAATTAGGAGGCTTGAAAAAGATCGAACCGGTGTTAAATGTGGCGAAGTTTTTAACATCCCTAGACAAAGTTGGGCAAGTAATAATTAGAACAGACGATAATAGCGATAGTGATACTTATGTATTATGTGAATAATTTTAAGTAATTTAAGTAGGTAATAAAAATAATTTGTAATTTTATTTTAGATTTAAACATAAATACATACATAAATAAATAAATATTGTTTAGTATCTTTCCTAACAAAACCCCAAATAATTAAATTCTAAGCAAAGTGCGGACCTGCTCGGCCGTATTTCATTCTTACAGCTTGCCCGGGACTTTGCTTAATCCGAATCAGTTAGTCACTTTCTTATATTTATAAACAGACTTTACCTTAGTAAATTGTGATGTTAGTTCGTCGTGTTAGGGTACTAAAAAAATAAATCTGTCAACTGCTTGCCCATATGTGGTGCAGCCCGTTAGCTAACACGTGTCATTCGGTTTTTGTTAAATTTTGCAGATTTTTTTTTAAATATGGGTGGATGTCCTTCAAATACTGTGGTGTGCCTTGGTTTTGTTGCCCGCAAGTATTTCCAGTAAAAATAATAGAAATCTCCAAACGATATACCGATATACCGTTTTTACGACATATTTGGTAAATTTTTTCATCGGTGAGATTCCTCAATTATTATTAATTAGTCTATGCTGTGAAAAATCCATTCTCTTTCTGGTCGGTTCGCATCTCGGTTGTGGTACATGTGCTTTCGCTTAACACAATTGTAAGAACGGTATATCGCTTGCCGAACTCTAACTTCATTTTCTTTTTTGTTTTCAAAGCGCTTATTAAACATAATAATTTGTCTCGGATCATTACGGTGGGAATGCGTCAGTCCTACTGCTTATTCGCGTACATAACACGATTTTGTTAACTTTTCGGAATGTTTTCTCGGTGTATCGAATCGTTATAGGAAATGATTTGACTCAGCTCTCTACAGGTTCGTTTTTCTATCGTTTACGTTACCCGTCGGTCCTCCTCCCCAATTCTTTCACGTCCTCCTCGGACAAGGTGTTTCGGGTATTGCCGAGGTGTAACTTGAACATGGTGACGCGCGCGTGTTCCTCGGGCAGCGGGATGTAAATGCGCTTTTCGAAACGTCGGCGGATAGCGGCGTCGAGCACCCACGGTATGTTGGTAGCGCCCAACACGAGGATACCTTCGGTATCGTGCCCGACGCCCTGCATCTGCACGAGGAACTCGGTTTTGATGCGCCGTGCGGACTCCGACTCGTTATCGGACCGGGACGAGCACAACGAGTCCACCTCGTCGATGAAGATGATGCTCGGTTTGTGAGCGCGCGCCAGCTCGAACAGGTTGCGGACCAGCTTTTCCGACTCGCCGAGCCACTTGGACACCAAATCCGACGACGATACCGAGAAAAACGTCGAGTTGTTCGCCTCGGTCGCGACGGCTTTCGCCAAATATGACTTGCCGGTACCCGGAGGCTGAAAACGCGGCGTTTTTCTCAACCGAGAACGACTTTGAGGTTAGGGCACTCACTCCGAACAAGAGAATCCCCTTCCACGGCACCCTTTTGCCGCTAAACAGGTGCGGGAAACGTATCGGCAAGATGACGGCCTCCTTGAGGGCTTCCTTGGCCGCGTCCAGCCCCGCGACGTCCGACCACTTGACGTGGGGCTTCTCGACGACGATCGCGCCTTCGAGCTTCGACTGGAGCTTCTTTTTTTCGGGGTCTTCGTCGTCGTCGTCGCTGTCGCTCTTTTTCTCATCCCTGCAACGAAGGTATGGTCACGCGGCGCGCGCCCCCGGTTACTTAAGTCGGCTTACTTGGAACCGCCGTCCAACACGGGCTTCTTTTTGCCTTTTTTCAACGACTCTTTGATTTTCTCGGCGCGTTCCAAGTACTGGACGCACTTGGCGCGTATACTCTCCTTGGCTTTCTCGCCCTGGGCCTCGTCTACGAAAAAATCGCCGGTATTACGGGGACAAAGCTGGGGAAGCTCACTTACACTTGATCGCGTGCAGAAAGTATTCGACGCCGTGTTCGTACAGGCGCAGCGCTTCCTCGTAATTCTTGTTGCGGTCCTCCTCGGTCGCTTTCGTCACCAAATCTATCGCCTTCTGGAGGGTCGTGCCTGTGGCCATGGTTGTAAGACGACGGGTGACTCACGAATTATCACGAAAATCACGCCGAAATTTCGAACCTCGGACGTGGAGACGAACGGTCGGCTGGTCGGTTAACTGACGTCGCCGAAAAGCATCGTATCAATCCAAGCTCTAACGTCTTTTTGCGTGAGGATACACCGGGCACTATTTTACAGAAATGACGGTATACTGGTAAAATTTAATGACAGTTGGTTGACATATAAATTTCAAAAGTGTGGCGAAATCTACCGACCGGTAGCCAAACTAAAATGTAATATTAGTTTTTGGCATTTTGTAAGGGTATTAATTATTGAAAATATTTTGAAACTAGGCGCCATCTACGAGATAGTAGCGACACCAAGATATATTTAATACCATTGAAGTACCAGTAGATAGCCGTATCGTTTTTGCAAAAAATAATTGTTTTAATTTTGTATTACCCGTTTAATTGCAATCGCAACTCGCTCCGAATTACCACAACTTTTTTATTGAAGATCCGTATGGTAAACCATTTTGCTTGCCAGATGTTTTACGAGAGGAGACGTTACTGTTTTCTGATAGATGGCGCGCGCCCATTGTAAAACGTGTTGCATATGCCGTCAGGTTAGAAAATTACAAGAGCATTTTTATGTGGACGTCGTAGGCGAAAAATGGTTATCGCGACAGTAACGGTATTTATTTTCCCAGCGGATTCGTAAACTGGCGCACTTCCATCACGAAGAGCAGAGTTCAACACTGATGCGTAATTTTTCCGACGACACCGTAACTAGGTTAGTGGCGATTTCTATTCCCGCAAGGGTGTCAAAATTCCAAGTGAAAATGACCGCGCGACAGCCGCGTAAACGCTCGCCGACCGTTACTGCGCGATAATTCCAGATCCGTACGACATGTTCCCGAGGGGCAGAGGCCGAGCGGCCGTCTCGCAATACGTCGCGAGACAAACAACCAGACCGGGCAAAAACATATCAATCCACGACAATAATTGCTGCAAAACGATTAGCCTAAACTTGGGCTTGGACTCGGACGATTTGGCGTTTTTCGAGGAACTCAAGAAGATGTACAACATGGGTTCGTTTATGTTCAATTTTGACATTGCAACAAGTTGCTGTCGACTTGCTACCTTTTCAAGTTGCAATTTGTTGCAGGCCCAGATTCTCCACAAATAAAAACGAGCCTCTAGAGAGCAATCTCTAAACCATAACTTATCAAGTTTCTGACATTACATAACCTCAATCTGTGTTGACTGAGAAAGTTATTGGCTCCAAGTAAAGCTCAGAGGCGAACAAATTAACTTACCCTTGCATATTTCTTAAAAATTAATTTTTCTCTAAATGCTACAAACACAAATTTACCTTCTCTTTAAAAGGTTGTTATTTTTTGTTACTTTAATGTCCGGTTTTTCTTTGGGGTGTGGGCAGTTGCCGCCCACTCAATAACAGTATCCAAATAGTCCACAATTTAATTTGTTTTTGCAAAAATATTTTGTTTTGGGAATCCCATTCCCCTCACCCCGAAACGGGTCGTTTGTTTCAGTAAAGCGAAGCCCGCCGGTCGTCTCGAAGCTCGAGCAATATTTCGGCGCGTGCGCTGACCCCTACGAGCAAACGCTCCGCCTCCTGAACAACTGCCAGGACTTTTTCAACGCGAAAAACAAAAGCCTTCCGATTTTCATAGCGGAAGAGTTCCGGCACTGGAGTCGCAGTCGCCGCGACCGGATCGCGCACCTGCTCGTGCCCCAAATCAAACTGGACGCGTTCAAGTTGATCACGAAACAAAACTTCCAGGGGCTCACGAAACTCGTGTTCGACAGTTACGAGATGGCGCAGCATCCTCACGTGTTCGTCGACTGTCTGCGTTGCTTGATCGAAAACAAGCAGTACAAAGAGGTAGGGCGGGGGTATTTGCCGCCGAACGCGCGTTTCAGACGTTCTTTCAGGCCTGCCAGTACGCGACCATGTTGAATCTCCACGGGGAATTCGGCGTGGACGATTTCCTGGTGCCGCTCGTGCTCCAGGACAAGCTGTACAGCGTCGACGAGTTTCTCGCGGGAAGTCCGCGACACCAGGTCGAACTGGTGCAGTTTTTGGACTCGGCGCTGAGCCAGATGTCCGTCGGCGACACCATGAACCCCTACATCGAGTTAGTACACTTTTCTTTCAAATGTCATTTGTCATTCCGCCCCTAGATACGACGGTTGGTTAATGCGATCTTTTCGCTGTTCTGTGATCGCCTTGCCATTTGGTCTGATCTTTGCGTCACAGCTGATTGAAAACGTAATTTTATCGCCTGATTTAAAATCGTAACTGTAATTCCTATTGTGGTTTTGACTAGTTTTTTGGTTATTTGACATACAAGTCGTTACATATTTGAATCAGTGGTTTGAAGGTATTTTTTTGTAGCAGGCTTAGTTAAAGCTGGTTTACATTCTACTTTGTACTGGCACCAAGTGTTTCTCTGCATTTTAAGACTTGAAAGTAAAATATAAGAGCTGCAAAAGGGCATAAAGGCTCGATAACAGTCGGTAGTTTGTAGTTCTTTGGCAAATTGGCGATTTTCAGGGAGAAGGGTATACCGGACGTCAAGTATGACAAGGTGCACTCGAAGCCGTGGAAGAAACTGGTGACCAGGTTCGCGAAAATGTTCAAACTGCCGGCGGACCTGACCCCGAACTTGAACAAGAAGCGCAACGAGGGCGCTCTAAAGTTCCTCATCCACAAACGCTTCACGGAGAACACTTTTAGTAAGTTCCTCTTCCGGTGGAGGCGGAGCGGCAAACTGTATTTTGCGCAGGCGACGAGAGCTGGAAAGAGATGGTCCAGGAAGCGGTGGGCGACGACGAGTCCTTGCAGAAGGAGGTGGTGCAGCTGGTCGCGCAGTACGGGGAGTTCCGCGAGGCACTCTGGTGGGCCCGGCACTACGACGTAGACAAGAGCGGGTGGCCGTACGGCGTCCGGCTACTGGACGAGAACAAGTTGGAGGAGGCGGTGCAGGCGTCGCCCCTCGTCGACGACTGGGACAGCGAGCCGGCGAACAAGATCGAGTACCATAAACTTCGCTTGGCGGATGACCGCGTAGTCCTGGTCGATACGGCCGACAAGTTTAGGGGCGTGGTCGACACCGGATTCCAGGTGAGTCGGGTAACCCATTTCCGGTTTACGCGACACTGTGTCACTTTTTTGTGAAATTATTGATGCCGTCAAAAAAATTAGAAAAGGTTTTTGAGATACAGGGTGAACTCCACAACCATCGATTTGGGTACCGCCCAGCCATCTCCGGTGTCTTTTCAATTATCGAAAGAGTTTAAAAAACGTTCACGTAGGATTTTTTTCGGTAGAATCCGGCGGCGTAGTTTGTATTTTATTCGCTCTTATCGTTTATTACTTATGGAATGGAACACCCTGTGTATTGTTTTTTACATCATTTCGGAATCGTTTAAGCTTTTCAGAAATATGTATTAATATAATGTTTTGAAAAGTAAGCTGAAAATTTGGCCATGATGTTATATTAATTAATGCGAAATAACATTATATCTAAAGAATCTTAACATAATATTCCTAAAACTGTTTTTCAAAAGAAAACGTCCGCAATTATGGGAAACAATCGCTGCTTGTGTCTGGCCGAAAACAAAACCACAATCATGCCTAGGTCACCTTATTTACCGGATATGGCCCCCTGCGATTTTTTCCCGTTCTCAAAACTCAAGAATTCCATGAAAGGAAGGGGTTTGGAACGATTCAGGAGATCAAGAAAAAAATCGCTGAAAGAACCCAAGGCCATACCTGAAAGTGCGTACTAGAAGTGCCTCGAGACATACATAACAACTATTTATAATACATATTACTACATATACTTAAATCTTTATTTTACCATACTTTTTAATTTTTTTTCTGCGGGTATCGTCTTGCAAAGATTTTTTTTTTTTTTCAAAAAATGATCAGAAGGCTTTATAAGGCCCCCGATGTGATAACTGTTTTATCCAAAACTATCCAAAAAATCCATACACTTAGCTTTATAATTTATTATTTGGGGTACGGAGATGGATTTTTCTCTATAATTTCACTTGTGGCATTCGATGTTGTTGCTAAAAGCTCAGACAATACCTGCTGAGCTTCTTTGTTGGCATTTTTGGAATGAAGTCTTTTCGATCTAGATAATTCTGGTTCTGTTGGTGGCTTCTGGTTAAATAATAATCGGGTGGGAACAGCAGTTTTTTTTTAGAATCTTTTTTAAAGGTAAATCTAAAGTTTAAATTTTTTTGGTGAATTATTTAATGTGTTACTCAAGACAAAAAAAAACTAATAACTCATTTTGTAAGTCGCATTCGTAATCATTTTCAGTAAAATGAACTGAGCTTTTATCTGGATTAAGTTGGTCCTCTCGAACTATCCACTCGTTCGGAATAGTTTGGGATGCTAGATCTTTCCCTTCGGGAAAGCGATGAAAACTGCATTTTCGAGAACTTGCTTTTTCATCAAAATAGTTGTTATTGCACCCATAGATGGCATCGCGAAAAAAAGATCTACACCGAAGTTTGAATGCAGCCATTTTTACATATCTTATGCACCCCGTGGACGGTTAAAAAGGAGCAAAATTTGAAGCGTTTAGCCCAAACCGTTCGGAAGTTATCGTCGAAAAAACAGAGAACGGAGAACAGACAGACAAAAAATAAAAACAATTTTTTTCTATGCTGATTCCATCTGTACCAGCGGCTATGCTGGACGATGCACCGTTATCAAGATCTCGACTTAAGTGAGGAGCGCGTATACTTTCGATTTCATCGATATTTCGAAAGAAACAAGTAAAAAACAAACGACGCCACTGAATCGATAGTTTTGGATTTCACCCTATATCTCAAAAACCAAGAAGGCCCTGATAATTTTGTCGACGGCATCTTAATTTAAAAAAAAAGTAGCAGAGTGTCGTGTAAACCGAGATACCCTGTAAAAGTGTCAAAAATAGGATAACCTGTACAATTGAATTCGTTTTTTTTTTTTTTTAAGAACGCGGACCTGGTGGGCATCGATTGCGAGTGGAAGCCGAGTTTCGGCAGTCAACTCAACGAGCTCGCCCTGATGCAGATCTCCACCAGGGAGTCTGTCTTCGTGCTGGACGTCGTCAATTTGGCGGGTCGGGAAAGTCGCTCCTGGGAGACGCTGGGCCGCGACTTGTTCAACAATTGTGATATTTTAAAGTTAGGTGAGTCGTAGCGCGCGCGCCCTCTACCGTCGGGAAATGAAGGAGACGCGCGTTGTAGGTTTTAGCCTCACCAGCGACTTCCACATGATCCAGCACGCCCTGCCCGAGCTTAATTTTTCAAACGCGCGGGCCGGCTTCCTCGACCTTTGCTCCCTGTGGAAGCACCTCGACAAGTTCCCCAAAGTCGTCCTGCCCAACGAAGGTAAGAAGACTTTAGCTCGTCACTAAACGCGAGATCTCGGTAACGGTCGGTCGGTTATTTGTTTCTGTCCTCTGTTCTTCGTAACGAACCTTCGGTAGGTTTCTGAAGGCAGGTAAAATTCGAACAGTTGGTAGTATACTTCGACCAGAAATATAGTCCTTTTACAGTCGACCCCGCGATTAACTTTACCTACTGTTTACTGAGTTAAAGCACTATTCACTTTATAGGCGTCGTAGATTATACGCCTATTTTATCTATCTGCGTGTTGCTCTCTCGAAGTACCAGCTTCTTCTCTCACTTTCCTCTTGACTATCCCATTTGAAACAATTTTTCTCACAGTTGACTTCGGAACTTTGGTCATGTCACTCGTTTTTATTGGTGCTCTTGGGATGGGTTTCACCACGATCTTGCGAAGGTCTGCGTCAAGGAATTAAATGCACCATATTTTTGGTCGTATTATACTAAATACCCAATGAAGAATTACAATCTACGTGACTCCGTGAATAGGACGTTATCTGCGACGGGAAGGTCCCGGGTTCAAATTCGATTTGTTATGAATTTTTTTTCTCTATAAATAGCATAATTGTATTAAATAATTTACACCGTGATTGGTTAAATTTTTATTGTACAAGAAACTAGAAACTGTCTTTTGTTTAAGAAAAATATTTATTTCTATTTCCAATTGACACTAATATTTAGGAAATTAATTGAATGTGTGTAAAAGATTCACAGGATATATTATACAGGGTGTTTCGAGATTATTTATTTCGATACCAAAATAAATTTAATAAAATAAGTAGACGCTTTGGGTGCCCGCAAAAAATTTTAGTGATTTGCAATAGTGAGCCAGTGTGATGCTGCCGGAAAACTATTAATTAGCACGCTTATATAGAAAAATGCAGGGAATATATTAAGTAATTTTCAGGATTACAAAAACGTCACTAATTACGTTTAGAAAGTATCAATCGATAAATCCATTCAAACGGAAATCAACTAAATTTTCGCGGATAATGCAAATTTTTTGAATTTATTAAGAGGGGGCGTTCCTGGTGCAATGCCTAAAAACAGCCCCACGGTTTCAAAAATTACGTGCTGGGTATGTCTTGATTGCCATACCCCACCTGCCCCTTCGGAACAGGCGTGCCATCAAGCGACAAACACCCTTTTTTAAATATGTTAATCATCCGATTCCGTTTAATACAGTCGAAGCGGTTTACGGGCGGCGTGGAGCGCGCCGCGCCATCTGTCGCCCGGTAGCAGAAGTACACTAGGAGCGGTTGCCGCGGAGATTGTTTTTCATAAATGGAAAAAAAGTATGTTTCAAACTAAATTATTTTGTGCTGTTGGTTGTTAAAAGACTTGAAATATTAGTAAAAATGGTATATTATGCAACAAGTGCGGTAAACGGCATTTGACTCACGAGTTTATTTGACACTACGAGCGAGTTAAAAAGTTTACTGAACGTGTTGCATAGTATACTTTTTCTACGACCGTTAGTTTTGGGTACATTTTCGCAAAAAAACACGAATACAATCACTGACATGACCGTCAGAATTGACAAACGTCAAAATTCAAAGCGTGGGAAATATCCGTCCGTGCGGTAAAATCCCGGAAATGTCCGAAGTGGTTCGGATCCGTGGGAAACGAAACTGACGTGGTAAAGTGACCCATTCCGCCCGCTAGATCGGTTTGGTAATTAGGTATTTTACAGACGGGAGTAGAAAAAAATATTGAAGCCTTAATTTTCTAATATTTTGTTGTGTTGTGGCTAAAATGTCTTATTCGTTCCTAATTGTATAAATAAAAAAATATATATTAAAATGACGCGAGCCCCCTTGCAGTATTGGTTACAGTTCTCCAAACGATACGCTGTTTTTACTACATAATCCGGTATTTGACGTTGGTAAATTTTTACGAAGCTCTATCTGAAGGCCCTCTCGGTTGCCGAGTCTTTGATCCATCCGAATCCATCTGAACAGAAATAACACCAAAGTTTCAACGGCTAAGAAAATATTATTTCTAACTAACCAATAGCAAACTGGGAAAACATCCATTGTAAATCAATTGTTTGCATAAGATTCCTAGGAAAATAATTTATTATGTTAAGGCATTAAATTGGAATACTTTTTACAAAACTTCTGAATTCCTCCTGCGTCGGTTTCATCAGAGCCAATCATCAGAGCTTGACGGAAACTGGCCCGCATTTTACTCTACCTGCTTATATATTGTTTGAAGGGGGCGGAGCTTAATAAGGGGCATAAACACCGTCTCGAATGACCGATTCCCATATTTATTTATCGAATAAAATTTTCTGTCCGGTTTTGAGATGAGTTTATTCGTCTTAGTCTTAAGGCTCTTTCATCATGTTCTTTGAGCCTACTTGATAATTTTATAAGGAAGGAGGACAGTAGAATGTGTAGGATTGCTTTCGGCTTCATTGCTATTGGAAGGTTGTGGTGTAGTGTATTTTTTGATGGAACGCTTAATATATTTAATGTGGAAATTATTAGAGAGAAGAGCAGAGGTAAGGTGTTTTAATTCTGAGTTCAGTGACTCGGGCTGAGATAGTTTTATGGCTCTGTAACCAAGATGGTGATGTGACAATGCATTAAGGTATCAGTCTGTGTGCATAGGTTCTCTGTAGTGAGTAGGGATTTTACGTTGAAACTAACCAGAATATCTTGTGTATCTAATGTAATGCTCTTTAATTGTTCAACGAAGTGAAAGGAATTAAGTACGAAACTATCAGTTTTCCTGGTTCCTGGTTTGTGGATCTTTGGGGGTCCGTAGAGGCGAGGAATTTTAGAGTCATGAGGAGTCACAGATTTTTTCCGGACCCTGATAGAGAAGAGGCCTTAAGGTTGTTTTCCGTAGATGACGTATGATCTTTTTTCAAATCGAATTTCATTAGCTGTTTGAGATGGCATTTTCTTTAGGATAGACTCGACATTTGAATACGGATAATACATAGGGCAAGGACGAATATGGAACCTTTTGAAAGAACTTTTTTTTCCGTTTCCGAAAGTTGGTGCGATGATCGATTTATTACAGTGTTTGATAGTTGAGACGAGTTTGATGGTTTCCCTATTGTTGACGTTAGTTTTTTAAATTTATGAATGTGATTCATGTTTGAAAGGGTATCGAACTCGGACGGGGACAAGATTGAAGCAATTTTAAGATGTAGGCACTTGGTCTATTTCCTTACGGGTATGATGAATTCTTTCTCGAAGTAAAGCGAAAGTAGATTTTCGAAGAATTTTTTAAGCGTTCGAGGTTTTGACATGATATATTTGAATAAAATCGAGAATAACGTTATCGCAACAAAAAGGGTCAGTGTGCAGAGTAATCTTACCAGTTTCAAAAACCGACGCAGAAGGAATCCAGAATTTTTGTAAAAAGTATTACAGTAGACGGGGGAAGTTTTTTCGAAAGACATTAAATTGGAAATCAGTTTAAGCTTTCTAATATGTTCTTAACATAGGATATCAACTTATGTATTGGGCAAAAACAGTTTAATCTTAAAATACAACAGTGCCGCACGGCCAATTTCTGTCGCCTAACATCTTAAATACTGCCTTGGCTTGTAGTACACGTGCTGAAAAGAATGGGCCTTTCCGTAGTCAAAACTGTAAAGGATTGTAAAAACGGTATATCGTTTAAAGTCTGTTCATAGATATAAGAAAGTGACAGACTGATACTAATTAACGAATGACCCGGGCAAGCTTTAAGAATGAAATATGGTCCGTACTTTGCTTAGAATTTAATTATTTAAGGTTTTGTTAGGAAAGATACTAAACAATATTTATTTATTTATGTTTAAATCTAAAATAAAATTACAAATTATTTTTATTACCTACTTAAATTGTCGGCGGAGTTTAATCAGCAGTGAAATCAAACCCGAAGTTCTGATTAAGAACTTTAATGAAAAGAAATCACGATTCACAGAATACTATTAAGAAAAATGGATAAACGGGAAGAGAATCAAAACGTACTAAGTGCAACTTGCGTTGTACTTCGAGGCGGTATTTCTCTACTCGATGTAGATCCCGACTCTGGCGAATTTTCCGGCGGGGCGCGAACAAAGGCGGTTGTCATGGTTACTGACGGACAGTTGGCTCTCGCGGCATAATTAGCGCATTCACTAGATCGAGAGTCAGCAAAACTTTTCTCTAACTTAAATTACTTAAAATGATTCACATAATATATCAGTATCACTATCGCTATCATCGCCTGTTCTAATTATTATTTGTTCTATATTATTTGCAATATGGATATACGATTGTTCTGCTTTTTCTATATGTTTAACAGAATTTGCCCAACTTTGTGGAGGGACGTTAAAAACTTCGGTTTCTATAAGTTTGAGGACATTTGAGTTAACACGGGGCCAAACATGTTCAATGGGATTAAATATACAGTGGTAAGGTGGAAGCCTTAAAACTGTATGCCCTAGATTTTTTGCATAATTATCAGAGACGTATTTCTTTTGTAAGTTCAAGCTTTGTAGAACCTCATTTAATTGCTTTTTGTGTCACATGAGGAAGGGGTTTTAGCCAACTGTCTACTGTGATAACTTGCATTGTCCATTACAATTACGCTTAGGAGGAATGTTTGGAACTAGTTTGTTTTTAAACCATCTTTCAAATAAATCAGCGGTGGTGTCTTCATGGTAATCCAGAGAAGAATCTTTAATATTTTTCGCAGACAGAGAAAGTCCATTTGCAATCCAACCATCTTTAGAGCCAGTATGCAAAATAATTATTCTTTTACCTCTTTTTGATGACACGTTTGTTTTACACTTATTAGTTGAGTCAATCCAACCCTTTTCCGGGGTATCATAAGTGTCGAACTATGTTTCATCCAAGCCGTATTATATCTTGATCACTTTCATCTACACTCTAGAAAATGTCAACATCGCTTCTTTTTTCCATCGCCGAAATGGGATTATTCACAATTTTCCATACAGTTGATGTTGGAATTTTCGTCAATGTGACCGAGGGAGCCTCCCCTGAGATACACTAGACTCGCACATATTTTGCATAATTCGCACACTATTCAACACACGAATATTAAACACAGGTAGGTATAAAATTATTTTCTGTTGCGGACCACAATTTTACCTGAATTTAAATTCCGAAACTGTATAATTGGATAATCCCATTCAAAAGCAATTGGTCACTTTCTTATATCTATTATCAGACCATAACTCTACTGCGTAAATTACCGTAAATGATACCCGCTAACGCCTTGTCGAATTCAGTGCAGGGCGGCGGGCCGAGTCTCAGCACGTTGGTGCAGGCGTGTCTCGGAAGGCCCCTCGACAAATCTGAGCAGTTCTCGAACTGGGAAAACCGCCCGTTACGTCAGAGTCAGGTCCTATACGCGGCGCTGGACGCCTACTGTCTGATCGAGGTTAGATCGCGCGATTTTCTTTTACACGACGCTGACGTTACGGTTTTGCAAGGTGTACGACGTGCTGAAACGGTGCTGCGAGCACGCGGACTGTCCGTTTTACGAGATATGCGACAGTCTGTTGACTAGCGAGCGCGCGGCCAAAAAGAAACCGAAAAAAACGTCGGGCAAGAAACGGCAACACCGCGAGGACGACGTGGCGCAACCGCCCGGACCCCACGCCGCGCCCGTCCAGGCGGACGAGCTCAAGGTGGTGTGCGACACGATGCTCCAGGGTCTCGGCAAGAACCTGAGACGGTGCGGCATCGACACCGCCATATTGGAAAACCATCAGGACCACCAGCAGTGCGTAAAGTACCACGCCACGGAGCACCGGTACATCCTGACAAGGAAGGGGCCCTTCAAGACGGTAAAAGGAAGAAGAATAGACGTCCGGGTCGGGAATCTTCTTCTTCTTTTCAGCTGAGCGGCCGTGTTCCGTCCGGCCACTGTCTCAAAATCGTCTCGGACGACGTGGACGAGCAACTGCAGGAGGTGTTGGACTACTACAGGGTGTCGGTGACGAAGGACCACGTGCTCAGCCGTTGCCAGGTGTGCAACGGCAAGAGTTTCACCGAAATGCCGCAGTCAACGATGCTGGCGCTGTACGACGGTGCGACGGCGGCGCCCCCTAGGTACGTGCCCGCGTGTTACTACGAAGACGAGTCGACGGGGTTCACGAGCGACGAGGATTTCGACGAGGACGCGCCCGGTCACAGTTCGACGGCGGCGCCGACCTCGACGGACGTCGGGTCCCGGCAGACGAGATTCGGGGCGACGATAAAGGTCGACCAGATCCCCAGGCCCGTCATCCTCAAGTACGACGCGTTCTACGTGTGCGACGACTGCGGCAAAGTCTACTACGACGGCAGCCATTACGGCCGCCTGCTGAACGGCCGCCTTCAGGGCATCGTGCATTAATCCGCATTTAATTGCATTTTCTTTTATTTTGTAACCGATTTTATTAAACGTTTTTTAAGTTACATTGGTCTGATCTTCTTTTTCTTCTTCAAAAGGTGATGCCCTAATGTGCCTTCGATACTAGACACCTATGCCTTGTGTGAGAAGGATGCGTGTTCTCTCACTGCAATGGAATAAATTTCCAGGATCTTTGTGCTAATTTTGAACTTATTTTTACTTATTTGAACTTATCTAACGTGCGCGTTTAACCCTTTGGACTCGTATGTAGCCGTATAGGCACACCATGTCTTATCATTACAGCAGGTTGGTCGGTCTGTTATCCTCTAAGCTCATTTATAATATTTCTAAATTGGTTTCTTCAACTTTCGTTGACGACATGTTTACGTAATGTATATATTTCAAACCCAAAGAGTGTAAGATAGAGGGGAACGCTCCCATTAATGGCAATGTTAAATGGCGTACACGAGTTTCAGCGCTCTCTAGTGATTGTATCCAGTCATTAAACGGAAAACGCGCGAAACGTAGGGTTCGATCAATTTAAAGTTTGAAAGGTAAAATGTGAAAAAAAAAATGTCGAAATAGCTTTAGATTTTTTTTTATTAAAATATAAATAAAGCGCTGTTATCCGTTACAAGGTGCTGTGGTATTTTCAGTGTGACGCATTACTTTAAACGGCCATGTAGTACTTGGATGCAAATAATAGATGGCATTCGTAGCAGTATACGCGACCTTCCCCACTGTCTTCTACTCTTTGCTTCCACCACTTTTTGCACTTTGAATATTACTTAGTTTTATAACTAACACGATTGGGTTATGTTCGGTGTATATTTAGAAAAAAAATCAAATGAAAAACTAGGGAAGCTGTGTGACATTTGCAGCCATAAGCCTGGACTACACATTGGTGACTGCTTCGAACGGTAACATAGACTACATTTTATTTATATTGTGTATAAATATTTAATGATAAATGGTATCCCAAGATTTACTATTTCTGTTGGCCATTACTTTTTATTTAGTGTTTTTCAAGTAGTTTTTTATTTAGTTATTTTTCATGTTATTATATTTGTAATAAATTATAAAACATTACTATTACCGAGGAATATATTTTTGTCGATAGTCTAAAATGTGTCCTATAGATTGCGGAACGCTGGTAAAAAAAATTTTTTTTCATTAAATGGAGCCGCAAGGGTTTTGCTAGTCCTTAACCTATAAACGAATTATCTAAATTAATTTTTTTGGTCAAGTTTAAAGTTTAACTCACAGGTGGAGCCACGAACGCGTTTACATCGAAACGTATAGATGGAGATGGAGCCATAAAAGTATTTTTATAGCTCTTCTCATGGCTTATTTGCGACGAGAGAATAAAAATAAACGTTTCATAGTTCAAAACAAAACGGGCAGATGGCACCATGATAGACGCGTAATTTAGTTCTGTTCTCACCGCCTCGTTCCGAAGTTTTTTATGGGTTCAAAATACATGACGCCAAAATGATTTTCTTATAATACCGAACCTCTCATCCATTCGATTTTCTAATACACTTTGAAATAGTATATTATGCCACAAGTGTGGTAAACGGCGTTTGAGTCACGAATTTATTTTTAAACGACCCTTAGTTTTTGACATTACCATCAGAATTGACAAACGTCAAAATTCGAGCTCCAAAAAGTGTGGTAGTACAACGGAAATGTAATGTGGTAAAGTGACGCTTTGAAAAAGGGACTAGAAAAAAAATATTTCAGCAGTTCGTCAGCAAACTGCCGATATTGATGGATTTGTTAACGCGTGGGAAGAGCGGGAAGAGAAAAATTCAAAGCAGCGGAGGGTTCTGTGCGCGAGTAGCTACACGAAGTGTTGTAAGTCAACAAGATCGCCCAAAAACGCCACATTCAACCATTTGCTAAACTATATTTTCGCTGATTATAACAAAACAGGGATTACAACTCGTAACCGTAATAGAAACCGTCCCGGTAAACTTTGTTTATGTCGTCGGAATTGCGTCTGAGCCGCTTGCCCACCGGCTCGAGGTCGTTGTAGCACTTGGTGAAGACGCGTTCGATAGCGCGCATACCCTCCTCCTCGGTGACATTCCGCGCGGCCAGGATCGAGCTCAACGCTTTGTTTTTCACGCACGTCTGGTGGCTCTGCTTGAAATTGAATATGGACGTGTCGCCGGCCATCCAAGCCGACATGAACGAGCAGTGGGCCAAGTTAGCCGCCCGGATCTCCGTACACGCGAGATGGTCGAGGTTTTTAAAGTCCAATTTGTTCTGGCAGTAATCGAACATGTGGATCATCTCGTGCATCAACACGCCTTGCATGAGACCAGATTTTTTGACCGTATTGTGACAGATGACTACCTAAAACTTGGTAAACACAGGAGTCCGTGGGAAACGTCCTCCAGCTCACCTGGTTTAGAACGGGGTCGTAGCCCCCGCTAACGTTGGGGGCGCACTCTTCACACGCGATGTGCCTGCGGATATCGACGGGGCACCCGGCCGATTTTAGCGCCCCCAACATCAGTTTAACCAAGGGGCTTTCCTTGAAGCACCTATAAACGTTCCTCTCGCACTTTATTTTCTCCAAGTTGTCGCGTCCTTTTGGCGAGAACAGCTTGCTGACTACTCCCGTGTTCGTAGACGGCCGTTGTCTCCTCTCTGGGTACATGTCGTAACCCCATTGACTATTATTGCCGGTACCTTCCCGCTGCCCATTTTCTGCACTCTCGTCGACGAATGTCATATTTACAGGGAAATATTCCCACTACCGTCGCATTACCCAGCCGAATTTGCGAGTTTAATACTTTAGTAGGTTAGGTAACCGACATTGGAACTACTCTTCCTCTTCTTTACTCGATTTAAGTTGCCCAATAGGAATTAACATGGAATACAAAAACCACATTCTGTCGTGAGCACTGAACATGGCGGATGGACCGTGGTAGAAGCCGATTTTGTTTAATTGAACCAAAGTCCGTTATTAACAAGATTGCTTTCGAAAAATCGTCGGTGAGCGGGGCAAGTTTGTAGCAAATAGCGCGAATCATTTTAAAAAGAAGGCGCTTCGCGGATTCTTGTCCTGAGGGACGCATTGTTTTTCTATGGTGCTCGTGCGAACCACTATGGAACTTTCGCAAAATCGATGTAATTTGATTGTGAATACACCCTCTATAAAGTGTCCTTCACAACTCGTCGAACACTTGGGTAAATATTAAAATTTGTACTGGTAATTGCAATTTAAAATTATATTTCTTCAAATACCTTGCAACCCCTGTATTATAGACGAAACCTTAAACTCTCTCTCGACAGAGTTTACCATACTGTTCATATCAAATATCACAACTTTAAAATTTCTAGGATCTATTGGAATTTTTTGCCTACAAACGACGTACCCTGTATATAATTCCAACAACGTTCGAAACAGAGGATATAGTTCTGGATGTCCTTAGTTTCCTGGTATCCGAATTTTTCCAATAGAGTAAATGGTTTCCAAAGAACTATTTGTATTCTGAAACCATGCAGACAAAAGATATATCAACGGGTCTCCCACGTATTACGGATGTAAATTTTTTACCATCGGATGAATGGCTTTAGAAGAAAAGATGTTTTTCTGAATGCCAAAATAACCAACAAAAAATTCTAAAATTAAAAAAAATACTTCGCGTCATTTTATTACTCCCAATTTAAAGAGTTTAAATGCGGGTCCAGACATCTACTTTTCTCCCGAGTGTGAAGTCGGTAGTTGCAATACTTATGGAGTACTTATTATGTTTTTTAATATTGCACGGAATATCGAGAACGCCCTGTACAATACTTAACAACTGTAAATACAAAAGTTTAAGCTGTCTATATGGGCTATATCGTTTTTTTGAATTTGCGGCGCACCCTGTATATTCTTGGAAAATTGTCACTAATCAAAGTTTATAGAGAATCTTCTGTCTGTTCAAGAATTTTTTTGGCCTCGTAAACAATTTTTGAAAAATGATGTTTTTCGTAGATCGTTACACGCCCGATTTTTTATTTTTTTAGAATACCGCCCGACCCCCCAGCCCCCTCATTTTCAATTGGTTCCGTCACGGGGCAAAGCTGCATATATGTGCCCAATATCTTCAAATTGGTGTTTCATAGCAAGGTGCAAAAAACAGTCGAAAATCGCGAAAAAAAGATCGATACCGGCGTCGGATCAGGGCTATTTCTTACAAGCTTATGTACCTCGTGGAGGGTTAAAAAGTAGGGAAATTTCAATTTTGTAGCTCCTAGGGATGTTCCGATACCTACTCATTTCGATAGTACTCAAATCTTGTTTCGATACTACTCAAATAAATACTCCTAAAGTAAAGTATTTTTTAATTTATTTTAATGAACGTTGAAGGACAATAATTAAACAAAATTAAGAAGGAAAAGAAAACTTTTATTATAAAGGTTTGCGTCACGTTAAACAAAAACTCCATGATAACATTAGAATAATAAGCCGATGATTACAATAAATAAGATTATTTGTAAGCAATCTCTTGTATGTTTGACAATGAAAAAAAATGAAGGGCGGACGTCTTTTTTGTCTCGGGCTCGGTCGAGTGAAGTCGGACGAATTCGGCTTGGCTGACGCGAGACAACGCGTCACCATAGATCAGATAGAGATTATGTTTGTCTGATGCGTTCGGTTTTTTTTTTTAAATGGTGGCCCAATGACCTTAAGTAAGTGCGGTTAAATAACGAGAAAACGAAAAAATAAAATATGATTCTTCTAAAAATATTTATTGTATGATTATAAAAGCTGGTCTATATCTAAATTGGAGAAACACGAGAAGTCATTACACAAGTTACTTTTATGTTTAGGCTTAAAACTTTTGTCCCTCACGTCCAAAAGCTTCTGCGCCAGCTCTGCCATCTTCGTCCCTTCAAAAGTGCGAAACTAAGCTCAAAGTCAACAGAAGGCGATTAAATACAAACCAGTGCACAAGATTATTTTTCCTTTTGTTAAAAATTTGATCGCGACGGCAGTCTTCGTCAGGCACTCTTCAGACAAGAACGGGGGATCTGCCACGACGAGGTCGTAATCGTGTTTGTTCTCTTGGGGAATGTTTTGCGGGCTGTTGTAGTCGTAAAACACAAAGCTGCTACCGTACGCCGCGAAACGCGTATCATACTCGAATAATGTCACTGCAACAAGTGACCTCGCTTACGAACCCCGCGCAACGCATCACAAACCTTTAACGTTATCGCCGGCTTTGGCTTCCGTTTTTCGAAAAAGCGAAGGGCATGATACTAATGCTATCTTGCTGTTTGGGCCGGCCGCCTTAACGGCCACTGTACTGAGCTTGTCAATGGTATCCTCGTCGTACCAAAACTGGCTGAGTTGCTACAAAGAAACCGGTATAGATAATTATTTGACGATTTAAAAGTACGCTACCCAATCTTCATGGAACACAAAGTCTGTATCAGCGGCAATTTCCACAGCTTTGCGTTCTTCTTGTTCGCGATAAAATTCAGCCAGAGCCTCCATGGCATGCCCCGACAACCGAGGTACGTCGTCTTCGATTAATGCACTCGTCATTGCAATAACAAAATGAATTTTCGAATTGCTTAAAACGCGCAAATAATTTGAGGTTATCAGCAGAGAAATTTGTTTGGTAAGTAGAAAGCGTTATACCACCTCCTTGCCAGCCGGTGAAGATGGCTCCCGAAGTGAAATCATTAATCAGTAATCACGGACAGTTGTTTTTAGCAGCCACGTCCAACTAACCAAAAAAAATTTAAGGATTCAGTAAATTGTGGGTAGTAAATTCATAGCGTAACGTAACATAAGGAACATAACCCCTTAACAAATAGTTTTTCACGACTTTATGTATTATCACGCAGAAAGTGTAACGGTACGAGGTAAAATTAATTTAATATTTTATAGTAGCTCACAAAAAAGGCATTTTGCATGTTTAGTGCAAAAACTTCGTATTTGATAACATTATTCAATTTAGAGCATTAAAGGTTAATAAATATATGTATATTCGAGTTATTTCAAATGGTGTATATTCGATGGGACAATATATTTTATATATGAATTAAGGTGGCGCATAAAAAGCATAAAAAGTTTTTAAAAAAATCTACACGTTATTAAACGGCTCTAATCGATTAGAAAGTAGGCAATAAGTCGTCGTATTTTCTGGAATGTTCTGTGACAATACTTTGTAAATGTCAATAAATCATAAATTTTATCGATGCGCATTTACTTCATTTAATTACATTTTACGCGACCTAGTTGAATTCTTTTAACGTTGTCGCCGCGAAATAAACGAGTCGTCATCGCCGAAGCTCGACTAACGTAGCCCGAGCGAAACGGATCATAAACGACGCGATAATGAAATAAAAATTAATTAAAGGCTTATAACATGTTTTCATTTTAGAAGTACCAAGGTTAGGAAGTCAAAGAGTTTAATGTTTTATCTTCGAAGAAAGCTGACAAATATCGAGGAAGCTCGAATAGAAGAAATTAACTTCTTACGAAATGCCATTGAAAGAAATAAGAAAATCCAGGAGGAAAGAAATAAAATTTTGCACTTATTATGTGAATTACAAAAAAAAGAGAGCAATAATTCGAAAATATATTTTTATTTGTTATAAGAGCATATTTGCTATTTGATTCCTTTCCTCATTTCCAACCTCATCTGCAATATCGACTTCCAGGTGTGGCAGATCCTCTTCTAAACATGTCAAATGTCTCGATGGATAAATAAGTTCACAATTGTAGGTCTCGAAAATATTTTAAGAATAAGTTCCCTCCATAATTCCTTAGTCTTGAAATTCTTTGGTATTGGACACCTTCATTATCCTCAAATATTCGAATTGGTTCTGCTAATTCCAAAACCTTTTGACTAAATTATCCTCCGTTATTTCGTATTCAATTAAAATGTTCGTAACGTCCTTTCTACTTACTAATTTCTAATATAGTAGGTCCTAGAGTACAAACACGTTTCCTCTTTATTAACACGTGTTAAATCAGCAGCACTACACACCAACACTGAAAAAGATATATATTCGAAAAAAATCAAAATCTCAAAGTCAACAACACCCAAACAAAAATAAGACACCATAACCTCTACATCGTCACCTTCATAGTCATAGTCGTCGTCGCCATAATCGTTATTCTACAAAAAAAACAAAACGAACTTTTAATTTTTTTTATTATCGGTAGTAATTACGTGATCAAACCAGCACTGCCCTTACTTTAAGGGACACAATTGCGCCGTGCTTAACGCGCAAGTGGGCCACTTCGTTCACGCGATGAATATCGTTCGGATATCCGGAGGGGGAAAAATATATGTAAATTGCGGCTGACTCTTCGGGTGCAAACAAACGTTTCGAGAATTCCACCCGAAACCCCTTCGATTCCAATAAGGACCGTTCCCGTTCGACCAGTTTCACTTCGGTCTTAACCGGGCCGTAGTTGTGTATCAGCACAGAATAACAAACCGTCACGTCCCTAACTACGTCACCGAAATCGATGACGTACGGATGCACGTGGAACTTGGGAATATGAAAAGACTTTTTCGATACGCAATGCTCGCGTAGGACGTTCTTGTTTGCCGTGATGTGCTTACACGCCAAAACCCTTTCTATGGACATGTCAATGTCTACCGGGTCTGGGTAGAGTTCCTAAAAGAGAACTATATATCAACTTGAAACTGAAGCTATTTTGATATGCGATTTCATTCCAATACTCTTACGAACAACGATATTTTTTCGAATAATAACCGACAAAATCCGGAAATTATATATATACGAGGTTAACGTAAAAATTTCCCGGCCTGCCATAGATGTAGCTCCAGTATCACGATAAAACTTTGTCTTCTTTTAAATATATATCTTAGTAGGCTGCGAAAAAAAAAATGAAGTCTTGCGTCAAATAGTTTTTTATTGACAGCATTTTAAACAAGACGTGTCCGAAACAATGTCGCACATAACACAAATTGAGTATAGAGCAGTCCTGAAGTGTATCACAAAAGATGGGTTAGCACCTAAAATTATTAAAGAAAGGCTGGTTGGTATGTAAGGTCAAGGAAATCTCAGAAATTACTAAGCTTTCTGATACAAGTGTTCGTCGAATCCTGCATGATCATTTAGGTATATATATATATATATATATATATATATATATATATATATATATATATATATATATATATATATATATATATATATATATATATATATATATATATATATATATATATATATATATATATATATATATATTTTTTTTTTTTTTTTTTTTTTGGAACTTTGTGGGTCGGAACCGAAGCCTGCGATAGAAACTATTATGACGGGAGATGAAACTATGGTTCCCTATTATGACCCTTTATCGAAAAAAGAATCAATGGAGTGGCGTCGTAAGGCTGAAGCACCTCCAAGAAAATTCAGAGTCTGCCAGTCAACAAAAAAGGTGATGGCCACGATCTTTTGGGATTGTGAAGGAATTCTTTTGATAGATTTTAAAGAAACTAATACCACTTAATACCACTGTCAATGGTAAATATTACGCAACATTATTACATAAATTGCGAGACTGCATACGTGTAAAACGTCGAGGAAAACTGACCAGAGGCGTCCGTCTTTTGCACCTTAATGCGCCTGTCCATACTGCTGGTGTTGCACAAGCTCTCATTTCACAGTGTGGGTTCCAACAGATAGATCATCCTCCCTATAGTCCAGATATGGCCACCAGCGACTATTATTTGTTTTTTGATATTTGAAAAAGGACTTACGTGGACGGCGGTTTAACGATGAAGTTGAGTTAAAAGAGGCTGTTTTGGTTAGAATATTTTTTTTTAAGAGATGTAACAAGTTTATTGAAGTTAAGGGGGATTATATTGAAAAATAATAAAAAATTGTTACTCTACTTTGTTTCTTTCATATTCAGGCCGGGAAATATTGGCGTTGCCGTCGTATATATGCACACGAATTTTCAATTCTCAAATTTTTATGAACTAAATTAAACGATAAACGTCGTACATCGTGTGTTAGGTATTCCCAATCGCTATCCTCCCAAATTGCTGGTCGGTGGTCATCTGGGACGCCGTCGTCGGGCCGCTTTCCCAAACAACCCAGATACTCTGGAGTTATCCAGGATATCGCCTTGTAGGCGTCGCAAACGTCTATTTCGTTTGCGTCGCACCTCGGAACGGATAAATAAACTTGACTGGGTGTGGCGTATCCGCTCACCAATATTTCCGACGGATCCAGGTATCCGATCTGAAAAGTATACGTAAAATCAAAAAATATTAAAAAAAAAAGGTTACGGAAACTAATTTCGCCAATAAAAAAATACCTCGACAACAAACGTCTTGCTAAATTCACCGGGAATCCCCGGAAAGTAGCGAACAGTTAACGAGACACTTTCGCTAGGGGCGACGAGTCCCGTTTTTGGATGTACGTCGAGCGTCCCGATGCCCGGCTCATCAACGGAAATGTCGTCGCAACACACGTTAAAACTGAAGTTGCACAAGCCGTCGTTACTCAAAACCAGTTCGCCCGAGCAGACTTCGCAGAATAACTAAATGGTTTGAAAGAGTTCTCTTAGTTTTGGGTTCTCCAAAGCCTTACGCTCAATGTCCGTCCGCTATAGTTTTTCGAAGTGGAAAGCTTCAGCAACAATAATTTCCAAAAATTTGAGCAGTCACGACATAAAATATAATAAAACGAAATATTTAAAGAGAAAAAAAAACGGAACCGCAATCGGGTTTGAACCCGATCTCTTTCGTGTCACACCGGATAGTAACTTTCAGAGCAGACACAATTAAAATGGTCGCCGATACCTGATCGGCTCGAAAGTCCGATCCGAGGAACAGGGAACAGGCCACAAAAACATATTTTATCACAGACATAATTAATGCTTGTCAATGTAACTTCGTTTCTACGATTTTAATTAATTTAGATTCGGTCTCCAAAAAAATTTCAATCAATTTTTTTAAAATACTTGCGGAACTTTTTTCGACACTTCGCGTTCATTGATGGGCTCGGATACTTTCTCGAAACTTGATTTGATCGGTTTCGCGAAAGTAACAAACTCACCGTGTTCGAGAAACGCACGTGATCCGTATTCAGTTTGTAACTTTGCTTGGCGGACGTGCCCGTGAGGTGCAAAAGTTCTTCCTCCCCCCCGCGTACCGTGCACGCCAGCGTCGCGCACACTTCCGCGTTATGCGGAGGATCAAACGCCACCGTTATCACCGCGTATCCGTTGGGTTTTATGACCCCCTCGCAGGGCACCAGATAAAACGGATCCGTTGTATCGACTTTCGCGTTTCCTTTTACGAGCAAAATATCTTCGGCGCGCGATTTAAAGTCGGAAAACTGCTTCAATGCGGCAAATAAAACATTCTTCATTTCTTCCACGTCGGATCGGCCGTCGCGGTTGAACTCTTCCGGTTCTACTAAGCCGCCAGCCTCTCAAATTAAATCTATGGTTAACTTTCGGGTCATTCCGATTCTTTTAAGGCTAATTTTAAGCTCACAAACTTCTTGGGGAAAAAAACCGTTACTGACAAATAACCTCAACGTTATTTAGACAAGTTAACATATTTTATTTCCGGAAATGCTGGAGCGTAAAAGCATCTACAAAAGAGTTAGATCACGTCAAGGGGTCCACTTGATCATAAAAATATAATCTATATATATTTTTTATAAGTACTTTTGATGGAAAATTGATCCCCCAGACGATTTTTTAAAATTTTGATTTTAACAACTTTTTTTTTTAATGAAAATTTTTAATTTAAAAATAGATTAAAAATCAACCGTAAGAGATAAATTTAACAACCTTTAAAAACTTCCCCAAGGTCCGATCCGAGGAACAGAGAACAGACCACTTTTTTAATTAATGCTTGTCAATGTAACTTCGCTCCTACGATTTTAATTAATTTAGATTCGGTCTCCAAAAAAAATTTCAATAAGTTAACAAATAAAAATTTTACTGATTTTTTGATAAAAAAAATCATGTTTTTTAAGTTAAGTTTAAGATTCTGGAAGAAAATTTCACTGCTCGTCATTAGTTTAAACAAAATGAATTTATTTATGACAGCCTCTCGAACTGCATTGAAGGTTTTATCAGTGATAATTTGAAATAATAATCCCACTTTCCCTTTTTCAGTAGGCCCAAAGTTCTTTAAAAAAAAAAACAAACAAAATCATGAACTACAATTAAAAATACTCGCCAATTTCATTATTACAAACCATTGGAAAATTTTTCACTAGTATTTATTTAAAAAAATTATAAATTAAAAATAAAATAAAAATAACTGACGACAAATTTACAATTTAATTATTTAAGCTTCTAAGGAATCTAAACAAAAACGAAGATATTCTAATAATGCCAGCAGACAAAGGAAATGCCACTGTCGTCATGAATACGTCGGATTATAATGCAAAATTGGAGGATATTTTGAAAGACCCAATATACAAACTAGTCACCAGAGATCCCACGACATGTTTGGAAAAAACAACTAAGTCCAAAATTCTCGATTCATCAATAAACGAGGATACAAAGAAGAAACTTATTCCGAGGGAAAAATCGAGTCGTTGCCCAAAATTCTACGGGCTCCCAAAGATCCATAAGGACGGGGTTCCCCTGCGTCCAATCGTGAGCGCCTTTAACTCACCATTATGCAAGCTGGAAAAACATCTGGCCAGTGCACTTCAGCCCATAGTGGAAAAGGCAGATTCCTATGTTAAAAACTCAGAACATTTCACTCAGATTTTAGGTTCTCTCAGGATGGATGTCAAATCCCTCTACCCGAGCATTCCAGTAGAAGAGGCACTCTTGCTTATAGAAGAAAACGAAGATCTTCCGCCGTACATAATGGATCTGTCAAGACATTGCCTGAAAAACGCTTACTTTATGTACAACGGGAAAATTTACCGACAAATAGATGGAACAGCAATGGGATCATCTCTCTCACCTGTGATTGCCAACCTCTTCATGATTTACTTCGAAAAGAAAGCAATAGAGAAGGCAAATCTGAAGCCAAAACTATGGACAAGATACGTTGATGACGTATTTGTAGTATGGCCTTTTGGCAAGGAGGAGCTTTTGAAATTCCTAGATCATCTGAATTCCATTCACCCAAGGATTCAATTTACAATAGAATTTGAAGAGGATAACAGTCTGCTCTTTTTAGATGTGCACATCACAAGGGCCGAAGATGGACATTTGGAACACACTGTCTATAGAAAAGCAACACACACTAATAGATATCTGAACGCTAAATCTCATCACCACCCATCACAGATACAGGCAGTGGCAAATACATTAATTGCTCGGTCCTTCAGGCTCACAAACGAGAGGAACAGAGATGAAGAACTGAAAAAAATTAGTACCTGTCTTCGACAAAACGGATACCAAAGGCGCATCATCAGCAAGGCAACAACAGCCGCAGCAGAGAGTGCAGGACGAGACCCAACAAAGATCGATCGCTGTCCTGCCATACATCAAGGGGATTACTGACAAAATCGGCCGAATATTACGGAAACACGACATATCAACGGCATACAAACCTGATCATACCATCGGAGCAATCCTAAGAAACCCAAAACAAAAAATTACTCTGGAAAACCAAGGAGTATAGAGTGTAGCATGCGGATCGTGCAGCCCGACGTATGTGGGACAGACCAACAGAAGGATTTCAGCCAGGCTCGAGGAACATCGTTTAGCCATAAGAAACAAACAAACAACATCTGCTTTGTTTCAGCACCAACATCAGACAGGCCATAAAATTGATTTCGGCACTTGCAAACAAATAGCTAATACTCCTGATTTTAGGACTAGGATTATACGAGAGGCCATCGAAATAGAAAAGTCCGGACACCTCAATACGAGAGACGACGCTCTGCATTTATCCAACACGTGCGCAGCAGCCAACGGGGACATCGCAACTACGATCGGGCGAAATTAACAACGCGACAATTCGGGGGGCGGAGCCACTTCCCCTCCCGCACAAGCAGCACCGTTACCATCTCCGGCGCAGGGTATAAATACCGCACGCACCGCCGATAACCTCCCAGTGTTTTCGGAGCGCGAGCATTGAAGATGCCAAGTGAGATTTTGGCGAAACGTCTGCAGGATTCCAGTTGGATGCAGGATTTGCAGGATTCCAGTCGGAGTTCAATGAGCGAACGGATGATATCCCGGAATATAGTGTCATCACATTTTTCCATCCGTGAATCAATACGTGACAATATATATATATAAATATATATATTTTTTATAGGTTGATTCTTAGGGTTTGGTCCACAGTGAACAAAACACACAAATAATTTTAAAACATTGTAATTGTCATTGACGTTTCGACCGGCAGCCCAGGTCTTTTTCAAAAACTGCAAAACAAAGGACAAAAAAAGCGAGATCATATAAAGAATTAATTAGTTCGCTATCAAAAAATAAAACGTCTAACACAGAAAATCTAAAACAATAGACATATACGAATTTAAAAATTACAAATATTACAAAAACACATTACATATATTAGTCATACCCACAAATTTATTATTATTTTTTTAAATGTATATTTTTAGGGCTGTTTGTGAAAAAGTACCACAACATACATCATAGCCAAAAACAATAACGTTCTTGCTTTGGCGTACGAATCAAAAATAGAAGTGGAAAATAAACATTCATTGTATCTGATGTCTTTTTTTTCCCTCTTAGTTTTTATTTATTGGTTTTTTTAGAGTGTACGTTTGTGAGACCCACTGGTACGCGGTGGAGCATCTGAGCATTAAAATGGTATGGAAGTAACATTAATGTAGAAAACGGGTTTTGAAATTCAAAATGTCAATTACGCGATCTGGCAGCCATTTCAGAACCTCGATTTGCTTAACTGTTTTTTACATTTTTACATTTTGCCCTTACTTTGACAGATGGTATAGGTTACGAAAAAAACTGGGCATTCAAGCAATTAAGATTTTTCATTTAAATTACCTCCGTACAAGCTGAAGGCGTGGGTCGCACCGCGAAACTGCCCCCCAACCATTTCCATTTGTACGACACTTCTAGGGAACTGACGTTCCGAACGATGACGGTTTTGTAGGGGGCGGAGCCGTTAGGGACGCCCGAAAAGTTCACCCGATTGGGGTACATTTTAACGGTGGGGAAAATGATTGCGCCGTGCAAGGGAATGATATCCTGCAAACACGTATTTCGTCATAACCGTAGACGGAATGGTACATCGTATTTTATACGGTCTTCGGATGATCTTCGTATTTCAATTGCAACACGCCGCACTCTTTATATTTCCGTTTGTGCTTTATTTTCGGATGGTACTGCAAGCGGGCGATAAAATTTTCTCCCGCGTCGATGTGTCGAACCATTTTCTGCTTCTTTTCCTTATTTTCGACTATCTTGAACCTGTCGTCTACCGTTAACGACACTTGCAAGTTCACCCCCGTGGTATTGCTCATGCACAACGTGTCTACAACGCCAGCGCATTCTTTTTGTTAAAATATTCCGATTTATCATATTATAAACCCACTTCCTATTAATTCAATAGAAAAAATTTTACTTTTAAATGAATTCACACACAGAAAAAACAAATAGCTTTTAATGATCAAAATGAATAAGAACTGAAAGTTCAGATTTTCACGAAATTATACATTTTGACATGACAACACCGTGTCTCTATCAAATGTAATATTTACAAACTACCTGCTACTATATACGAGGTCTGTCAATTATATTCCCGGAAAAGTGCCCGGACGGTCCGGAATATACATAAATTCTTAAAATTAAGTTATAAGCCTTCGCAGTAGTCTCCCTCTAGCTCGATGCACCGGCGCCACCGTTGGATCCACCATTGGAAGCACCCCCTGAAGATAGGGCCCTCAGCACCCGTGTCGTGACACGTTGCACCTCCTCGACGCCGTCGTATCGGTTGCCCTTGAGGAAGGACTTCAATTGTGGAAAGAGATGAAAGTCGCAGGGGGCCAGGTCCGGGCTGTAGGGGGGGTGCGGAAGCGTTGGAATGCCGTTTTTGGTCAAAAAATCGCGAACTGCGAATGACGTTCGGCCAATTCCGGCCGTGCACGAAACACACGGGCCTTCAGACGTTTCAAAACTTCAATGTAGAACTTCCCATTGACTGTCTGACCTGCTGGAACGTATTCGTGGTGTTCAACTCCATTAATATCGAAGAATGCGATGAGCAAAGATTTCACTTTTGATTTCGACATTCTGGCTTTTGTGGGGCGCTTCTCCCCCTTTTCCGCCCACTGCATGCTCTGTCGTTTGGTCTCAGGGTCATACTGGAACACCCAAGACTCGTCTCCGGTAATAACATTTGACATCCAGCCTTCTCCTTCCTCCTCAATTCGAGAGATCATGTCTTCACAGATGGATAAACGAAGCTCTTTCTGCTCAACTGTGAGCACTTTGGGAAACCATTTTCGCGCACAACTTGCGCATCCCTAAATCCTCGTGTAGCATCTGTCGAATGGTTTCCTTGTTGATACCCAACTCGTCTTCCAACATTCTGAGGCTTACCCGACGGTCTCCGAGCACACGCACGCGCAGGCGATCGACGTTTTGTGCCGTTCGAGAGGTGGAGGGAGCTCCCTCACGTGAATCGTCCTCCACCGACTCCCTGCCTTCCCTGAACCGCTTAGCCCACTCGTAGACAGCTGTTTTTTTCAGGCAATCATCCCTGTACACATCGGTTAACTGTTTCATAATTTCCGCGGAACTTACACCACGTTTGACCAAAAATTTGATCACTACTCTTTGTTCAGTTTTTTTAGCACACATTTTCGCGACAAGGGGTCTAAACACGCCGATGATCAAAGTACTGTAACACACGAACTGAACATCCGATCGAGACGAAACTGACGCAGAAATGAATCCTCTTTCGAATGACACAACGCGAACGCCGTAGCATAACGAGAGTCGCAGTGTTGCCACTTTTCCGGGAATCTAATTGACAGACCTCGTATACCGACAAATTTCAATAAAACCTTAATTAATGTTGTTGTGAGAATTGATCGTTAAACAATACATTTGAATGTGTCATTTTGTTAATCTCCATGGCTTCCAATAAATTTAATTTTCTACTTTTTGTGGCTGTTTGTAATATATCAAAATTGTCGTCAAAAATGTGTTTTTCTGTGTTTAAGTGTGTAGCATAATTAGAATCTAGACTATTATTTTTAAACGCTCTTATATGTTCGTTAATGCGTTTCTACCTGTTTGTCCAATATAAATTTTAGGACAAGATCCACATTTCAACCTGTAGACACCTGATTTTTGGGATTTTGGACATTTTGATTTATTGTTTTTTAAATATTTTCCTATTGTTTTGTTAGTTCTGAAAGCTATTTTTGAACCAAATTTTGACAGATGTTTTGAAACTTTTTCGCTAGGTTCTCCTATGTATGTAATTGTTTTAAATTGTTCGTGTTCTGTATTTGGTTTCGGAGTTTACTGTTGTCTGTATTTGTTTTTTATTTATAATTTTATCTATAATTGACGGATTGTAGCCGTTGTTCAGTGCAATGTGTGTAGTGATATTAAGTGCTTTGTTGTAATTTTCTGTTGAGAGTGGCGTATTATAAAAGAGTTAAATGCAGCCATTTTGTGTGTATAAGGGTGATTTGAGCTGTTATGTATGACTGTGTCCGTGTGTGAAGGTTTATGATATATTGAAAAATCTAATTTGTTTTGCACTTTCGTAATAGTTAAGTCTAAAAAATTAATAGAGTTATCCTGTTCAATCTCGATAGTGAATTTTATACGATTATGTATTGAGTTATGTATTGAGTGTAATATTTCTCATCAAAAAACGCAAAAATTCTTTGACATGATATTCTATCGCTCCAAAAATATGTTCCTGATCTAACGTACCGCTGGGTGCCTTAGCGGGCGCAGCCTCCAACATCTGCATCTCGAAATACAAGTCCCGTTTGCTAAATTCGAGGGTCGGATCTACGAATTCGGCTGCGACCGCAAAACACAATATGGTCTGAGGGACGGCCGATTGGCCGACGAGGGCGTGACAGTAAAACGTCTGTTCCACAATCTTAGGCCTCCTCGAGTACCCTTTAATTGAGACCTTCTTGCGTCCCTTCTCGCATAATTCGAAATGGCTGGGTTCCATTTTAAAAACACCCCTGAAAGAAGACAGAAGATTCACTAACCATATACAATTTACGACAGAGACGAAAGTATAACTGTAAATTAGAGAACAAATTGATTTTTTCATTTCCAAAATACACATTTTTTATTAAATCAATAAATTTAGTTGATCAGTATGAAAAACTATATGGTCTATATCAAATCAAAAGCAATATGTAAACCACGGTTTCATACTCGGAATCCTCTTCGTCTTCCGCTTTAAGGTTCTTCACGGTTTTCCTCTTCGAGCAGAGAATTTTATGAGAAAAATCTCCCTTATTCGCAAACACCAGATCGAGCGAAAACTCTTTGCACGTGAGCAGTTTGCCCAGATCGCATCGAGGCGTGATCAACGGTTCGACGTAAATGGACGAACCGACGGCGTCCGCCGACACCATCACGGACAAGGTGTCCCCGTCCGAAATGTCGACGAAAAGCGTCTCTCTCGCCTTACCGGGATTGGTGAAATACGCCGAAACTCGCACACTTCTGGTTTCTTGGCCTTCCAATCGCAACGATTCCTCGTCGACACTAAAGACGTTTTCGTCTTTCTGTAAGCACGACGTTCAATAAGCGGCCTCGGCTGATTCGATAACATTTACGAAATACAGTTTAACGTCGGCCGGGATAGGAGAATCGTTGGCGAGGGTCAGCGTCGCGTCGTATCGATTCAAAACGTTTACTCTTTTGAAATTGATTTCGTCCGGGGAGTAAGAAATGACTGGTCCCTGGCCGTTACAGTATATCCGGCACAATTCCTGCGTCAATCCTTCTCCGAGTTCAAAACTGAAACGCGATGTAAATTAGGCGGTAATCCTACCATCGAGGTATAGTCTGGTCATAGATATAAGAAAATGACCAATTGCTTTCGAATGGGATTATGCAAGGGTGGTCATTAACATACAATGCAACAAGATTATTACCTAAAGGTTCGGAATTCAAATTCAGATAAAATTGTGGTACTACTTAGTTTATTCTATGGAAAATTGTGAATAATCCCATTTCAGCTAGGAAAAAAGAAGCGATGCTGACATTTTCTCGAGTGTAGATGAAAGTGGTCAAGATATAATACGGCGTAAAATTTGCCAGTTATACGAGGAACAAAGCGTGCCTACATAAGATATCTTTATTAGGAGGCTTGAAAAAGATGAAACCAATGTTAAATGTGGCAGAACTACCTTATGGAAGTGTATTCAACACATGAGTTTTAGATTTAAAAAAAAATGACAAAACCAAGTTTAATGGATTCTTTTAGAATTCGACTGAAATATCTAGAAAAAAATTAGTGTTTACAGAGAACAACAAAGGCCAATTATTTATTTATTTATACATTTTTTGCACTTGGCAAGTAAAATTTCGCAAATACCCCGTAAGTCTCTTCTTGAACACTCTTGGGCAAGGCGCGCCCTTAATATTATCCGGCAGTTCATTAAAATTACAAACACCATCGTAGAATAGAGTTTTCTGTAAATTTGTTGTTTTTACCATAGAAACATTGAAGTGCTGATTGGAACGTATATTATATTGATAAAAGTTTGACCTTTTTTCCAACCATAATTTAAGATAGCCCGGTTGGTGATCGTGCGCAATTCCATAAACCAATATTAAACTTGCTCTTCTAATGAACTGCCCGACATTTAGCCAATTTAGCTGGTCTAACATACTCTTTATAGGAGTATATCTATCACAGTTTAGGATGATTCTCATTACCCTATTTTCTTGTAACTGTAACTTATTTATATCTTATTTTGTTCAAGATATAAGCAATGAACAAATATATGAAAAGTGAGGCAAAATTATGCTATTATACACTTGGTTTTGGAGCTATTTAATTTTGACACAGCCATTCGTAGAAATACTGCATTTCGGCGTTCAGTTTGGCAGCTATTTCTTTCCAGAGACTGAAATAAGCGTGTCATCAGCAATTGGTATCAGTTAGTCACTTTCTCATATCTATGAACAGACTATATTTAGTAGAGGGGAACACAGATAACAAACTTAGTTGTTTACCATAGGATTTAAAAGTGAGAATGGATTTTCGGACTAATAATAATCGAGGAATCTCACCGATGAAACTCTATACAACTCCGTCAGCTTTTAGCATTTGTATGCAGAAAGTACCGAAGTACGAACACACAATAACGCGTTTTACCATTTTACGTACTTGACGCGCGTTTCGCCAACCAAGTTGGCATCTTCAGGAGAAGATTAAAACTTCGATGGCTTCACGGGCAACGGAACTTAACTTATACCATAAGGTTAGCACTAAGATTAGGTTAATATTAGCAGATATTTGGTTTCTAAAATCCTGTAAAAAACATCGTTTTCCCAAATTTTGTAAACATTTCTGTAACAAACTCATCTTTGGTTGCCACAGTTTTACTCTTCTCCTGAAGATGCCAACTTGAGTTTGCCAAAATTGAGTTTCGGTTTGTGGTAAAACGCGTTATTGTGTGTTAGTGCAGTGCCGAAGGTTCCAGTCCAGTCCAACCAAGTTAAATACCGGATTATGTCGTAAAAACGGTATATATTTTGGAGAACTTTACTGTCAACAGCGATATCGTATTCATGATAATCTTGATAATTATTCAGCCATTATATTGGCTTTGCGAGTTAAGTTTGAAAGTGAAATAATACCTAGTAAATATAACCACGAAATACGCTATTTTGGAAAACTGCCTGCTTAAATCGGTATAAACATGACAGTTAGAATTTCCGGAATTACCTCAGCGGCAATTCTTGCGGCCCCAACGAAATGGTTTTGATCAGCAGTTCGATTTCGACGGCGCCGCTGGGGGGTATTAGAAATTCACGTTCCGTATGAACGCAGCGGATTGTTCTCCCGTCTTCTCTCTAAAAACGCATTATCCATTACAGACCGCAGGAGGTCCGCGAGACCAATAATGACGAACGGTGAAATTTTCTTCCCAAATCTTAAACTTAAATGTGTATAGAACTTTAAGTTGCAATAAAACAACGCTGGATTATTCGATTGACATAAATTTTATTTATCCGAAAGATAATCTCGTGGCATTACATTTTAAATATGATTTCTGGCATGTGACCGCCACGGCTGGCGCGGATGTAGTCCAATCTGGACGTCTAATTTTCGATGACTTTCCAACATTTGTGGCCGTATATCGGCAATAACACGGCGCATGTTGTCTTCCAAATAGGCAAGCGTTTGTGGCTCATCCGCATAGACCAATGACTTTACATAAACCCACAGAAAGTAGTCTAGCGGTGTTAAATCACAAGATCTTGGTGGTCAATTCACAGGTCCAAAACATGAAATTAGGCGGTCACCAAATCGAATGTGGCGCGAGCTGTATGACATGTTGCGCCGTCTTGTTGAAACCACATCTCCTGGATATCATGGTTATTCAATTCAGGAACGAAATAGTTAGTAATCATAGCTCTATACCGATCACCATTGACTGCAACGTTCTGGCCATCATCGTTTTTGAAGAAGTACGGAGCAATTATTCCAGCAGCCCATAAAGCTCACCAAACAGTCAGTTTTTCTGGATGCAACGGTGTTTGGACTTGAGGATGAGCTTCGCCCCAAATGTGGCAGTTTTGTTTGTTAACGTAGCCATTCAACCAGAAGTGCGCTTCATCGCTAAACAAAATTCGCTTATGAAAATCGGAAACAACGGCAATCTGGTCTTGGGCCCATTCGACCAATCTACGCCTTACTTGATGATCGTTTGGCTTCAATTCTTGCACGAGCAGCAGCAATAGTTTCTTCTGAACGCACCGTACGGCGTCTCTGGGGATGCGAGTTATCAATAAGAGTAAACGTGGTGCATGGTTAATCAAATTAACTGCTCTGATGGACGATTTGGTCGACGATAAAATGGACGTAGTGCGCGATATGTAAATACTTCGAACACTCTGTGTTGGTGGTAATCCGGGTGTTCATCCGTTCGTTGTTTGACCCTGGAGTAGGATCTTTCGCCTGACTTTTCGCCAAAATATCACTTCGCATCTTCAGAGGCCGCGCGTCCATGTCACTCGTACGTGTTAGCACTTAAACTGAGGTGAAAATGAGCGGTGCGGCGCTTTTTATAATCGCGGTCCCCTCCGCCGTAAATTGTATCGCGGCAAGGTGGGGGACACGGTTGCCGCGACTAGCGGTGCTACCTCGCTATTGGTTCGACTTGATTGCGCCGCGGTGGTTGGCGCTTCCTCGCTATTGGTGGAAACAATAGGCTGTGCAATCACGCTGTTAGTGTGGTTTAGTACCACTTTCCAAACTGCAGGGAGGGTTGAGGCATCATCTCTGTTGTTTATGTTATCATCTTTTTGAATTTCAATCGCCTCCCTTATTGTTCTCTGTTTGAATTTTGTAATGTTTGCGATCTCCTTGCTTTCTCCAAAATTCATTCTGTGACCCGTCTGCAGGTGGTATATATATATATATATATATATATATATATATATATATATATATATATATATATATATATATATATATATATATATATATATATATATATAAATATATATATATATATATATATATATATATATATATATATATATATATATATATATATATATATATATATATATATATATATATATATATATATATATATATATATATATATATATATAAATATATATATATATATATATATATATATATATATATATATATATATATATATATATATATATATATATATATATATATATATATGTATTGGTGCTAATCCGGGTGCTCATCCGTTCGTTGTTTGACCCTGGCGTTTCGCCAAAATATCACTTCGCATCTTCAGGGCCGCGCGTCCATGTCACTCGCACGTGTCCGCACTTTTAAGCAGATAAATTGAGATAAATTGTGAGCGTCATTTGTCATTGTGGGGGAGTAATTTTTAGCCTGCATTTGACGTGCGTGTTGTGCTACGTCCAAGTTTTTGAGAAAGGTGAATTTTTGGTCTATAAAAATAACTACACTGGGAGAGAGATGGAAATTCGCCCTTCTTATCTCTGCAACATACCTTGTCGTGGGAAAACTTCACACGACCCGTCAAATCGGTTTCGTTTTTAATCCGGAGAGTTCTTTTGTACTCGTAGTTTATAAAGCAAAACTTGATCACGATATCTTTTGGGTGACAGGAGAACTTTGGGTAAGAAAATTCGCCCCGTATGGGAAGGTGGATCGCATATTGATTGGGTTTCCACATAAGGACCGATACGATCGTCTTGAACGTGATGGGCGCGGGAGACGTCAATAGAACCTTAAAGCGGTTTCTTATTGAAGTTAAAAAGTCGTTTAAATTTCGCGTACCTTGACGTTCTTTTGCGATCGCGCACTGACACTGCCAGAACTGGGCTCGACGCGAAGCGTCACTCTGCCACCCGCCGAATCAGATTCGTGCACCACTTCGAATTCGATATCGACGAGAGAATCGTTAAGCAATGCGAATCCCGCTTGATGTTCGAACCCTCGTTAAATACGTGTTAAATTCAAGTCCAACGATCTCTGAACTCGGTTGATTTAAAAAAAAAAGTTAATATTTTTATTGCACTTACCGACGGAGACTGTGCCGAAGTTCACGGCATTCGGGACGCATTCCAACAGCGGACATAGCACGTTGCCCCTGCAATCATCTCGTTCGATTATCTTTCTCACAAATCGGCTAGTAATATACTGGTTCCCGACTATTATACAGGGAGATAGACGTTTCGCGTTTACAATCGAAACTCACGTGACGATGCATCTTAGAATTTCTTTCGATTCGTCGATTTCGAAGTGCAGCGGTTCCATAAAGGTGCCCTGGACGTTCGAGCATAACGTCACGACGAACGCTTTAGACAAATTCGGGTCCACTTTTAATGTATCGGGGACGCAGGAAATGTCGGCGCCGCGGTCGGTCATCTTGGACCGATACTTTACTGTACCGGGAATGTCGCCTGCAATTGTCAACTTAACAGCAATAATAATCTCTCACGTCTCATTTTCTTTCAGCGTTACGTTTGATGTGGTTGTGGTTACGTACTGTTCGAAACTCAAGTTATTTTTATTAAGTATTTTTTTTACTTTGGAGGCTGATAAGAATTTAGTTGGCCAGTACTAAGAATTTTTCTATCGAGCAAAGTTCACGTGTGAGAGAGGGTAAACGCGACAACAAAATTTTATATTTATAATTAAGTTTTTTGAGTCTAAATGGAGGATGATTAGGCCATCACCGAGGTGATACGGTTCACATCTGAAACTAAAAAAAATATCCTGAAGATTAATAAAACAAACTTAATATTACTCAATATCACCAGAAATTACAGATAACAGATATATCTTGCATAAAATCTGGGAGTTTCGGTTGGTATTAAGGGCAGAGACACGCCCAGTACCTCTTTCAATCACTAGTGCTGATCGTGCAATACATACTAAGGGCAGAGACACGCGAAATATGCTGTCGCAAATAAACACACCGGCACTGAAGGGCAGAGACACGCGACATAAACGACAGGTCGTAATATACTGAAGGGCATACCGATATTTTTGACGACCAGTTCGTAGCGATGGCGATCGCTCACGTAAATAGTATTAACGTTTAAATTTTTCACGTTGATGATCAATCGGGGTCCCATTCCGCGGCCCCGCATGGTAAATCTTATTCTTTCGGCAACGCCGACGATGTCCAGGTGCGCCGTGCATTCGTACGTCGTACTTTTGACGGGCGAAAAGTGCAATATGAATTCCCGCGTCGAATCCGGCATGATTGTCCCCGTCTATACGAACAAACACGGTGGAAGCGAGATCGTGCTATTTGGCCATAAAATATAGAGTGGGCGAGTGAGTTTAGAAAGGAAATAAGCTGTCAAGACGGAAGATGATGCATTTTGGAGATAAGGGAAGTCAATTTATACATAACCTCAAATTTGCCCAACCTATATAAAGCAATAACCAGAACAATATATTAGCTATGACGATCGGTCCATTTTTGTAATTAATTTAATCTGAATCCTAATTTGCTTTCGTATTATTATTATTAGTATATTAGAACTATAGTACAGGGTGGTAGATATGCTTCTAAACCTTTTCTAAATAAGTACGACCAATTTTTTTGTGAAAAACAGCTCTTTTGGAATAATGTGTTCTTTTTTACACTTAAAAACAAAAACTGGGAATTTTAATTATGGATCCATGGAAGTGGTTAACATTTAAAAACATATTATCTATAGTATTATTATTTAAAACCCACAATGTACAAACTTATCACATTCAAAACACAGTCGGATTCGCAAACCCGAATTTAAAATGAAAATTAAAATGTTATGCCGTACCGTGGGAACTATTTTAAAATGCCCGTTTTCGAACGCGAATCCCGCGTGAGATTCCAATAATCGGCCCTTTTGAGCCTCGTAGATGCGCTCATAGATTTTGGAGTGCGCGCCCTGGTCCACGACGCCCAAATATTCCAACTTCTGGCACCGTACTTTCTCGTATTCGCTCATTTCCCGAGACAGCTTCAGCAGTTTCCGTTTCAAACGGTCCTCCGCCGCAAAACTGTGCGATTTCCAGCAAAAATCCAACGCGTAGGTGCTCCGGTTGCAAAGCATCAAGCTCCGTTGGCTCGTCAGGCCCGCGTAAACGTCACCGAACGTCATCCAGTTCTTTTCCAGAAAAATGCTGGCGGTTTTCACCTCGCATTCCAGCACGGTGGTTAAGCGGATCTGATCGTTGCACAGCAGCGTTTCGACGCGACCCACAGAATAGCCGACCTCAGTACCGACGCACTGAATGATAATTTCGCCGGTGCCTAGTGGTTCCAACGCTATTTTTCTCACATTGACCCGGAAAGGCCCCTGTATAGAAAAAGTGCAGGATGCCGGCACATCGCTGGAGTTTTTCAGGAACAAATGCGTTTCCGACGCTAGGTTTACGACGGTCCCTTGCAAAACGACCTTGTCCGGTAAGTTGATGATCGGCTTGGCCCCGATACCTAAGGGATCATGCTCATAAAATTGTAAAAAACTCGTAAGTATAAGAAAACAAGTCCATGGTGCAATGGTGCAAGATTATAGGTGTTTTCGGTCTCCATTTTTCTATGTTCTATGCCATTCACAAGTAATAGAATAGTGGCTCTAGTATTGATCCCTGCGGCACACCTTGACGTAACTTTGGACTGTGGCATAATATAACTATCCGTAGATGAAAAATTTTGATTTTACGGTAATAACGTTTTAGTTTATTATAAGTGCATTCAATCTAGCGAGCAAAATTTGTTCTCAACAATACACGTTTTGCGAACTATTGGGTTGTTCGGAGTCATTTCGTTTTTTTTGGGGAATATGAAAGACAGTTTTCGTATAATGAATAAATATTTTATTAAATTATATATTGGCCGTTCTGGTCCAACACCTTTTGCCATCTTTCTGACAGTAACATAATTCCCCTCTCATAAAAGTTTTGGTCCTTGCTGGCAAAAAACTGGTTCAGGTGGTTTTTGACATCTTCATTTGAGGTAAAGGTTTTGCCATCCAAAAAATTTTGCAGGGACCGGAACAAATAGTAGTCGGAAGGCGCCAGATCTGGAGAATATGGTGGATGTTGCAGTACGTCCCATTCAAGCTGTAAAAGTTTTTGGCGAGTGACCAAATTTGTGGGAGGTCTCGCATTATCCTGGTGGAACACTACACCCTTCCTGTTGATTAATTCGGGCCTCTTCTCTTTAAGTGAATCATTCAATTTGTCCAGTTGATGACAATAGACTTCTGAATTAATCGTTGTATTGTCCGGCAAAAGCTCAAAAAAAAACGATTCCTTTGGCATCCCACCAAACGGAGAGCATCACCTTTTTTTGGTGAATGTTGGCTTTTGACACGTTTTGAGTCGGTTCATCTTTTCTGCTCCATGACCTCTTGCATTTAACATTGTTGTATACGACCCATTTTTCGTCCCCAGTAATAATCCGCTTCAAAAATGGATCATTTTCTTGACGTTTGAGGAGCGAATCACACACGTCGACGCGACGACACAAATTTCGCTCCGTAAGGACATGGGGCACCCACACATCGAGCTTCGAGGTTAAGCCCATGCCTTTCAAATGACCATAAACAGTCGAAGTCGACAAATTTAATCTCTCACCGATCTCTCGTGTAGTTATTCGCCGATTTGCATCAACTAATGCCTTTATCGCATCTTTGTCAGCTTCGACCGGCCTTCCAGACGGTGGTGCATCTTCGACATCAAAATTGCCGGATCGAAATTTTGCAAACCAGTTCTGGCACTGGCGTACTGTTAACACGCCTTCTCCATACACATCCGTCAATTTTTTTCTCGCTTGGACAGCATTTTTACCTTTACTGAAGTAAAAAAGTAAAATATGACGAAAATGCTGCTTATTGCTCTCCATATTTAAAAGGGCACCAACCAAAAACTACTGCGTAGAATTAATAGAACTTTTTCACACACAAGCCTTGCAATATCAGCTCTCAAGACATGTAATGGTTATGCGGCTTAAGTGTGAAGTTGGTTTCGAAAAAACGTAATTAAGTCCTCTGACGGGAAAAAACGAAATGACTTTCCGAACAACCTTATAAAAATTACCGAATATGGGAACGGTGATGTTTTCCGTTTCCGTCGCAACTGTGATTTTGTTGCGATAGTCTCGCTTTTCGTCTGAAGGGGAAAATTTTATTCTGAGAAGACGTTTCAATCCGGGCATCGATCTCCACGTAAAACTGCCGTTCTTCATGGACAAATGCGCAGAATTTTCAAAATCGACTTTTACATTCTGGGGCATCTACAATTTTCGAGGTTGCAGATGGCGGTAACCAAAGCTTTTACTTGTCATCCAAATGGCGTCAAACCACTTAAATTTCATATCAGATTAACTAACTAAATAATCTACTTTTGACAAAATTCAAATTACGTAAGTAAAACATTTTGAATATATCATAGGCAAATGACGAGACAGGTATTTGGCTTACCGAGCTTCGGTTAATGACGGATATGGTGGCCTCGTAAATCACCTCCTTTTCGAAATTTTGGAAAACTATTGCTTCAGGCGATACCTGAAGTGCAGTTGCCGTGGTCAATTTATATCGTCTCGATGGATCTTTTAATTTACCGAGTCTCTCTTCCGTAGTCAGCCGTAATTCGCGAAATAAATCCGAGGGTTTTATCTACAATACGAAGTGGTTATGGTCTGTTCATAGATATAAGAAAGTGCCCAATTGCTTTTGAATGGGATTTGTGGGTGGTCACTAACAGACAATGTGGAAGTTGTAAACAATGTTTGTTTGACCCTCATTGAACGTGGTGCCAGCAAGAAACGGTCACATTGACGAAAATTCCATCAACTGTATGGAAAATTGTGAATAATCCCATTTCAGCAAGGAAAAAAAGAAGCGATGCTGATCAAGATATAATACGGCATAAAATTTACCAGTTATACGAAGAACAAAGCGTGCCTAGATATCTTAATTAGGAGACTTGAAAAAGATGAAACCGGTGTTAAATGTGGCAGAACTACCTTACGGAAGTGTATTCAACACATGGACACATGGGTTTTAGATTTAAAAAAATTGACAAAAGGCAAGTTTACAGAGAACAACCCAATTATTTACTTGGTTCGACACTTATGATACCCCGGAAAAGGGTTGGGTTGACCCAACTGATAAGTGTAAAACAAACGCGTCACCAAAAAGAGGTAAAAGAATAACTATTTTGCATGCTGGCTCTAAAGATGGTTGGATTCCAAATGGACTTTCTCTGTCTGCGAAAAATATTAAAGATTCTTCTTTGGATTACCATGAAGACACCACTGCTGATTTATTTGAAACTTGGTTTAAAAACAAACTAGTTCCAAACATTCCTCCTAATAGCGTAATTGTAATGGACAATGCAAGTAATCACAGTAGACAGTTGACTGAAATCCCTTCCTCGTGTGACACAAAACCAACAAACCAAAACTGCATGTATAATAACGACATTTATTTTCACAAGCAATTCATTGAGGTTCTACAAATCTTGAACCTACAAAAGGAATATGTCTGGGAAAATTATGCAAAAAATCTAGGGCATACAGTTTTAAGACTGCCGCCTTATCACTGTATATTTATTTAATCCCATTGAACCTGCTTGGCACCAACTGAAATCTGCCATTTGTTTTTAACATCCCTCCACAAAGTTGGGGAAATTCCGTTAAACATATAGAAAAAGCGGAACAATCGTATATCCATATTGCAAATAATATAGAACAAATGATAATTAGAACAGACGATGATAGCGATAGTGATACTGATATATTATGTGAATAATTTTTAAGTAATTTAAATAGATAATAAAAATAATTTGTAACTTTGTTTTAGATTTAAACATAAATACCTACATAAATAAATAAATATTGTTTAGTATCTTTCCTGACAAAACCTCGAAATAATTTTAATTCTAACCAAAGTACGGACCTGTTCGGAGATATTTCATTTTTACAGCTTGCCCGGGTCTTTCCTTAATTCGTATCAGTTAGTCACTTCTTATATCTATGAACAGACTTTACATCCAAAGAGTATAAGATAGAGAGGAAGGTCGCGTCTACTCTTACGAGTGCCATCTATTATTTGTGTCCAAGTACTAAAGTACTGTCATGGCGGTTTAAAGTAACGCGTCACACTGACAGCACTTTGTTTATATTTTAATAAAAAAAAATTAAAACTATTTCGAAATATTTTTTTTTCACATTTTACCTTTTAAACTTTAACTATCTTATACTCTTTCGTTACATCTTTTATCACTCCACTACATTAATTTCGCACTGAAAACGCTTTAAAGCATTTTTCTATTGTCCAAATTGGTGTAGAGAATTAAAAATCCCTTTTTTAATGAAGTCCGATTAAAAAGTCCTTATTAAGGTTTTGCTATTCCGCCAAAAACCTTTTTTTTTGTTTTACAAGTTTCGTTAACCCCCATCGACTTCGGTGCGCTCCAATTCAATTCAGCAAACAATTCAAAACGAAAGTAAACGTTAATTTGTCACATTACCTGACATCTCTCTAGCTCGTCCGGCGTAATGTCCAACAAATACGGCATCACCTCGTTAAAATCAATCTCTTGTCCGGGACAATAGTCAAATGCCGCCTTCTTTTCCATTATTTTTTTTATTATTATTTGAGAAACGGTACCTTCGACAGCTAACTGAAGTTGACATGAACTTTCCAACGCAACTTGGAATTTCCGGATTTTGCCCGGATACCGCTGACGTTTCCCTCGTAAATTGTTGCAAAAATGTATTAGGGGTCCAATTAGACCAGATTTTATCAGTACAACTCGGATAAAGATGTATCAGAGTTTATCGCTAATGCTTATTTGGTGGTTATTAATAATAGTAGATTCTGCAAGAACACGTGATATCATTTGGCCCTTAGGTAGGTAAGGATGTTGTTCAGATTGTGTAAAATTATCTTATCTTATTATCTGGATTGGCCAGCAACCAGTACTGATGTTAACCCCATTGAGAATGTTTCGATCCCACCTAACAGTTTGAATGGACTCATCGGGGATATTGTCCAAAAATGACATAGTTTCAATCGAAACGATATTATTTATTTATTATTAATTATTAAGTATTCTGAAACAAAAGATATTTTTCGAAAGAAAGTAGTGGTGCGTCAGTAAATATCTGCCCATGTTAGTTCTATTTAAGACGAATTTAAAGCGCTTTCGACCATTGTCGACCCCCGAACAGAAGAGAATCACGTTTTTTCGATATTTTACACACGAGATAACGATTCTTCCAGTATTTGCTTATAGTTTACAATCTAAACATTGGCAGCTGTGTACACCGTCACTTAACAAGGAACGTTTGTTAATTATTTTTATTAAAAACCATATTTGAATTCCCAACTGCCGTTGCGTTTTTTAATATTCAGAGTCGATCCATTTATTTCGATTTTTTCAACAGTGCTTTTTTCTTATTTCAGTATGTTTTGTGTACATTAACCGATTAACACTTACTCGGCCTAAATCCATAAATATAGGAAAATAATTGGATATAAATAACTGAAAAATTGAATGTCTGACTGTGACTTTAAGTTTAAATGGATTAAATTGCTGACCTTTGTTAGACCGGCCAATGTGGGTTTATGGGATTTCTTGGACTAAATACAACGACCGAGATCTTAAACAGCGTAGAGCTGCGAAAACTGGAATACTTCCGTAAGGATAATCAAATAAAACAATGTAATGAGGCAGAATCGAATTTAATCCTCCCGGTTCGACAACTACGTCTTGTACTTATCGTAACTTATCGTAAACCAAAAAAAACATTGCATAAAGACCTTAATTCTATCTCCTCACCCCAACTTTGTGAAGGGGTCTTGTCGGATATGACGTAATACTATAAATATTCTAACACTTGAGGGGCGAGAAGTACCGTTATTTCGCGCAGCGGTCTCCAAAATACAGAATGATCCCCAACGTTCAATAGAAACAGAAGAAGATCGAAAAAAAAACCAGAGACTAGTGCGACGCGAGAATCCTGAGGTAAATCCCTGCCGCACGCGTTACGTCATTGACCTTAGGCCGAAAAACAGCCTTTCTCGGCATAATTGCGCGAGGGATTTCCGCCTAACCGCCAGCGACGCCAACCAGATCGACGAGTTTTCGACGAATTCGAATAAAATCGGATTCGCGAATAGTCTGCGTCGTCGGTCGTCGCGGTAATCTTTGTAATTGACTATATCGTGACGGACACATTTTAATAAAATGAGGACCGCCGGTTGTTATTGTGCCATCGCGGTCTTTGTGTGCGGTAAGTTTGAGTGAATGCTGGGCAACGGAGTCAAAAGGGACAAATCGGAGTTGCAGGTTTGGGTTGGGGCGCGAGCGTGTCGGGCCGAATAAGAAGACAATGGGTTTGGCCGCAGGAATCTCACGAGGTCCAGCAAGTAGCCGGCAACTGTACCGGAGGGTAAGATAAAATCGAATGCACGATAAAAAAGCGTTTTAACGTTGGCACGTAATTGTTATACTTAGAAATTAATCTTACCGCACTGTTTACAAATTATTCGCGAAATGCCTCATAATTCGCCCGTATAATCCAAGTCAGACCCGGAAAACAGTGGACGTAGGTAGCGTAGCGTAGAAAGAACAATTTTTAAAATGAAACTCCAAGACGAAAGCGGACAAGGACAAAGGTTTTAATGGTTTGCCCAAACAAATTGATACGGATTTCTTTTTTTTTCTTTTTCTTTAGATATTTGAATATGTGAAGCGAGTTAGCAAAAGTATAATAATAATAAAGTATAAAATAGTTAGCGAGCAATTTGAGGGTATTATGACAGTCGAGTCAATTTAATTATGCTTGGTGTGACAATACCGTAACAAATCATGAAGGCCTTGAAGCACCTACAGAAAGAGCTCCGCTTTTCATTCACCCTAACTATCGTTCTCCTAAAATTTAGATATCCAGTGACGAAATTCGATATTATTTGTTTTGAAGACTCCAAGTTGAAATTAGAGCTGCTGAAAGTTGCTCCCGCATACACATGTGATAAACTTCATTGCTCTTTTAATTAATTTAGAGGTTCGGTTCTATTCTGTTTTAAATGTTGTTTTTTTTTTCTATTTTATTTTCCTATTTAGGTAAACGATTTAGTACGAAAAACCAAAATGGCAATTGAGAACTTTCCCATTGTCACTAAACGTGGGATCCCGGATTCCGTGTGTAAACCCTTGCGATCCGGGAAATCGGTGAATCTTTCGAGAAGCCTTGCGTTGTGTACGACTGAAAATAAGTTGGATAGGTAAATGGTAATACCAACCACGACGGAATAGACAAAAATCGCATTATAGTAATGCGATGCAAATGCGACATTTTCATTTATGTTCATATCAATATCGCTCTTTTTTCAGTATCTTTAATATCTCCTAGAGCCCTCCACTATCTGGCATTATCCACAACTGCTTTATAATTTATTACTAAAAGGATCCGCAAAAAATATACAAACAAAAATCGCACCCTGATGATAAGTCTGCCCCTAAATTTGTTTGTTTGGAATGACAAGAACTTCGCAAATAGATTCGATTGCATTTAAAGAGGTCAATCGGTCTCGTTATCGAACTACATTGTGATATCGCACTCATTTCAAGTGTAATTATTTGTTTCGGATAGATTCCAATGCAAAACGACGCCCGATTGCATCGATCCGGACAAACAATGCAACGGCGTAGAGGACTGTAAGGACGGGAGCGATGAATACGAGAACATTTGCAAGGACATACCGTAAGTATGGACGGGAAGAAAAAGGCAAGCGTTGGTAATGTTCCCTAACAATCTCACGTACGAAACAATGCAAATAACCTCTACAGCGACGTTGTTGTTAATATTGATGAAACGAGACTACCAAAAAATATTTTCTAACCCTGAAATAAACATTATTCATCGTCAGAGAAGCAAGAGAAAATTCAAAGTCCACATGAAACTTATAAATCCAATATACACTCACTTTGTAGAAGACGGTCTGTTAAATACAAAAATAATCAAGAAAAAACTATACATACACCACAAATTACAACACTTAATGATGGCAGCCGCCAAACGACGAGACAAAGAAGGCATATCCTATCGCGATATTTTGCTCAAGTGGATGAGAAGAATGTTAATAAAATTTCTTGGTTTGTTTTGGCTAACAGATTAACATATTAACAGTTGGGAAAGCTAGCAATCAGCCTGTCCGTCACTGCGACCCAGAGGATATATTGTGACTCTCTCCATAGCTGTAGAGCTTTATCCAGGTTCGTCTCTCTAACCAGACTCCACAACTTCGATAATGGCTCCCTCGCATAGCTGTCTGCCTCTGGTTTGGTATCGCCCATGCACTCTCGCTAGGCCTTCGCAGTGGCACAGTACGTGTGCGGCTGTTTCCTCCTCTTCCTGACAGAATCTACGTTCTGTGTTTTCTTCCATTTCCACTTTTCTTCCATCAGGCTTAGATGCCTCTTAAGCCTGCAGTGGCCCGTCAGCAGACCTACCATTATTCTTACGGCATTCCTATTGTAGCTTAAAATTGGCCGATGGGCCTCTTAGGAATTCCTTGGCCTGTCTTTGCCCCGGCACGTCCCTCCACCATCGTCGGGATTCTCGGTCCATCCAATCCCTGATGGCTGTTTTTGCAACGGGTTTGGCCACCCCACAAAAGGGTTCTGGTCCAATCAGGCGCATTGACGACCCTTCGGAACTTGGATGTTATTTTATTAGATTGCAGGGCCTTTATAGCCGCTTGACTATCGGTGTAAATTGCAATTGATTTGTTACGGATCTTCCTCGCTTTTATTTCTCTTGCACAGTGTTCTAGTGCAGTGACCTCTGCTTGGAACGCTGTCGCTAGCTTACCCACTGGAATAGAGATTCTCCTTTTCGTCCTGGGTTCATATATTCCGGCTCCTACTCCTTCTTGAGTTTTTGAGCCATCAGCATAACAGGATATTTCTGCGAAGCAATACTTAGGTTTGTTTTGGCTAGGCCCCGATATATATGAGTTTTTTTAACTTCCAGCTGTTACGGTTATCTATTTAAATGCGCTTACGGGGCTTGCATCGGCGGCGACCAAAAATGCAACGGCGTTAAGGATTGCAAGGATAACTCAGACGAGGAAAACTGTCCGGTAGAGAAGAAGGGTAACATCTATTGCAGGTAAGTTGCTTTTTTCTCATTAAAGATTTATAACACTTATTAAGTCTTTAAATTTTGATATAAAAAAAACTTACGTGACAGGGGAAAATGCTTATCAGATTTAGGAGGCCTAAGTAACACAGAATCGAAATTTTCAAAAATTTAAAGATTGTCGAACTGTGCCATCGGTGCTCGAGCAGTCCGTCTTGCTCATAAAAACCTGTACTTTTGGGCGGTCTATTCTTTGGGTTTCTAGATCGGACCAGTTTGAATGCGACAACGGCCAATGCATAGAGGTGGACGGAAAATGCAACGGCGTAGCGGACTGCGAGGACAAAAGTGACGAAGCCCAGAGTCTGTGCTACAACATCTACTGTCCGGGCTACTCTTTCAAATGCGCATACGGAGCGTGCGTGGATCGAGACGCGCCGTAAGTCACTGAATAATTCTAATGAAGCGCAATAGTCGGAAAAGTATCCATCGTTTTGGGATGTTTGGCCTTTTTGTTTAAGAAGTATTAAAAAATTATATTTTTTAATACTTCTCTAGCTCTTAGCTCTTAGCTCTAAGCTAAGATGAGCTAAGAGAATACTTATTACTCCCATAGCCGGCATCCGTCGTGTCATCTATTTTTTTTGATTAGTTGTAAATTATTTTCATTTTCGTCAATTTCCAAGTGGCCGTACTGTGTTTCAAATGTCAAAAATATCCTCCGATTTCAGCTGCAACAACGTACAAGACTGTCTGGACAATTCAGACGAAGACGAAAAACTGTGCGGTCCAGTCGTCACACCGCCCGTCACGCCCGGCGGCCAAGATGGCGCATCGGGGTAACTTTTTTCTCCACCTTCCGCCTATCGCATTTTGATAATGCGTTTTTTTTTATTAAAAGCGGTTGCACGACCCCCGCGCAACCCACCGACGGACAGTGGACCCGCGACAACGTTAAAGGGACTGAAGGTCAAAGGGTCGGGATCGGCTCCCTCATCAAGTTTACGTGTAACGGGGGCTACAGGTTGTCGACGGTGAGGGATCAGGAGATCGTTGAGTGCAAAGAAAACGGATGGAGTTTGACGCAGATGCCGCATTGTGAAAGTACGTATGTACGTCGGGGTTTATTCGACGAGGTGACCTTTGAAATTAAAAATATATATCTTAAATTGACGCTTATTCGGAATTTCCCGCACACTTTTTTTTTTATCTTTTACGTCGAATATTTATACAGTGTGTCCCACTTCAGAAATGTAAAATCTTTGTTTTTTTTTGTTTGTTTTGAAATTTTTATAATTAAAATTTGTAAAATCTTAATATCACATATAAAATAGTGAAAATGAAAATGCTTCTCGATATTCTGCTTCAAAAAGCAGTTCCATTTAGTAGTGACTTTAGTCGATGCTATACGAAAAAACCGTTTCATTTCTCTTTAGTAAGCTCTTTCCAGCAAAAAAGAATTATCAAAAGCCGTAAACAAACATTCCACACGAGTATTGCTTAAGCGAACTTAATGGAAATTAGTGTAGTTAGGTTTTAAGTAGTCCTGAATAAAGATTCGTTGACATTTTATTCTTAAAGAAATCCCCAATAGCCCTTCGATATTTGACATCAAAAAGTAACAATTATAATAATAAACATGAGGTTTTAATGCGTTCATGAGAAATCTGTCCAATAAAAAAAAATCAAAATCGAACTATAAACAAAGATTAAGTAGGGCACACTGTATTTAATATTTTTACTAAAAAAATTAGACAATTTCTTGATTGCAGTTTCTTTGTAAAACCATCACATCAGGAATGATATCGTAATATCACGGTTTCTTTAGAAAATCGTAACACAAAGAATAAAGCGACTACGCATCAACTCAAAAATCCTCACTCCGCAAACTCATAAAATGTAATTGTAGAACTTTGCCCGCCGTACAGTTTCTTTGTAAAACCATCACATCAGGAATGATATCGTAATATCACGGTTTCTTTAGAAAATCGTAACACAAAGAATAAAGCTGCTACGCATCCACTCAAAAATGCTCACTCCTCAAACTCATAAAATGTAATTGTAGAACTTTGCCCGCCGTACAGTTTCTTTGCAAAACCATCACATCAGGAATGATATCGTAATATCACGGTTTCTTTAGAAAATCGTAACACAAAGAATAAAGCTACTACGCATCCACTTAAAAATCCTCACTCCTCAAACTCATAAAATGTAATTGTAGAACTTTGCCCGCCATACAGTTTCTTTGCAAAACCATCACATCAGGAATGATATCGTAATATCACGGTTTCTTTAGAAAATCGTAACACAAAGAATAAAGAGACTACGCATCAACTCAAAAATCCTCACTTCTCAAACTCATAAAATGTAATTGTAGAACTTTGCCCGCCGTACAGTTTCTTTGCAAAACCATCACATCAGGAATGATATCGTAATATCACGGTTTCTTTAGAAAATCGTAACACAAAGAATAAAGCGACTACGCATCCACTCAAAAATCCTCACTCCTCAAACTCATAAAATGTAATGGTAGAACTTTGCCCGCCGTACAGTTTCTTTGTAAAACCATCACATCAGGAATGATATCGTAATATCACGGTCTCTTTAAAAAATCGTAACACAAAGAATAAAGCGACTATGCATCTACTCAAAAATCCTCACTCCTCAAACTCATAAAATGTAATTGCAGAACTTTGCCCGCCGTACAGTTTCTTTGTAAAACCATCACATCAGGAATGATATCGTAATATCACGGTTTCTTTGAAAAATCGTAACACAAAGAATAAAGCTACTACGCATCCACTTAAAAATCCTCACTCCTCAAACTCATAAAATGTAATTGTAGAACTTTGCCCGCCGTACAGTTTCTTTGTAAAACCATCACATCAGGAATGATATCGTAATATCACGGTCTCTTTAAAAAATCGTAACACAAAGAATAAAGCGACTACGGATCAACTCAAAAATCCTCACTCCTCAAACTCATAAAATGTAATTGTAGAACTTTGCCCGCCGTACAGTTTCTTTGTAAAACCATCACATCAGGAATGATATCGTAATATCACGGTTTCTTTAGAAAATCGTAACACAAAGAATAAAGCGACTACGCATCCACTTATAAATCCTCACTCCTCAAACTCATAAAATGTAATTGTAGAACTTTGCCCGCCGTACAGTTTCTTTGTAAAACCATCACATCAGGAATGATATCGTAACATAAAGAATAAAGCGACTACGCATCCACTCAAAAATCCTCACTCCTCAAACTCATAAAATGTAATTGTAGAACTTTGCCCGCCGTACTACAGCACCAAAACGACGATCCTAAAATGCACGGAAGCGGAAAGCGGGTCGGAGGTGCCGTGCGACAAGGCGACCGCCGGCACCAGATTGACGTTCAAGTGCTCCAGGTTTTACGAGCCGCCCAAGGGCGTCAAACTCAACAGGTACTGTCTCGAAAACGGACTCTGGGACGGTGACAGACCGGAGTGCGTAGTAGGTCAGAGAGTTTTCAATATCTATTTCGTATTTAATATTTTTCCCGCGAACCCTCTCAACGTCAATTACAATATGGCGTTCGATCCGGACGCGATTTACTTCCCGGACGATTAGCGGGATTTTTCCGGTGTTCCGGCCGCCGATCTCAAAGGTGGAGCGAAAGATTCCGGTTCTAAACGCGTCACTGTTGGAAGGTGACGATGCAAATATGGCGGGCATATCCGGGTTGGGGATGGCCGTATTCACTTTGACAAAAAAGATTCGCGATTTCTCACGTCTCTAAGATAACCCCGACACGTAGGTGTTTTATTCGTATTTATTTGTCACATCGAGCTTAAATAAAGCATCACTTTCTTATAAACTAACCGCTAAGCGTTTAACTTGCAATCCTGAAAACCTATGTTTAATATAAAGGTCCTAATCTATAATTGAACTTTTACTTGATGAAAATCCATTTATCAAAATAAATAAGAACTAAAAATTCGGATTTTCACGAAATTATATATTTTGACATGACAATTGTTTCGACAACACCGTGTCTTTATCAAATGACATTTGATAAAGACACGGTGTTGTCGAAACAACGATACTGAAAGTGGCATCGTTACAATAATTGCATCATTTTGTAAAACACACAACCAAGCCCATCACACAGAATTGTTATTTCTAAACTTTACGAAGCTTTTCTTCTTCTTTTTGTCAAGTCAATTATTTATCTGTCAAGTGAAGCCGGCAACAACTTAACCTTTTTAATAATTTATCGATGGAAACATGCTGACAATCATTAAGTTCACAATAGGTTATCCGTTTGAAAAATGTCGGAAATCAAAATAATTATTCAGGTTAGTGTTAAAATTCGCTCACCTTTTACGTCGGCGGCAACTAACCAAAACTAACCAGCTCTAACTAGAAAATTGAACGCGTAAAATATCACGAATTCTGGCAAAGCTACCACCCGGTCCACATAAATCAAACGGAACGAGAAACGTATGACGAATACGTGACAGAGAACTTATTTAATGTAAATTGGATATTATATCGAAAATAAAGGATATTTCTGGAAGTTATTATTTTTAAATGCGGTTCATTCTTTCGCCGAAGACTTGCGGACAGGCCAGCCCTACGAGACGGTATCTTAAAACGGCTGAGGCAGAAATCAATTTAGTCTGATCCAATTTTAAATTTTAACCACTAGACACACACAATCAGATAAACAACATTGTGCTAGAAATATAACTGCGATTTTCGAAAAGAAACGAACGAATATTCCCGAAACAGACTTTACCAGCCCAAGCCTAACAGTGCAGACGTTGGAAAGGGGTAAGAATGAGGTTCTTGTCGAAGTCAAATGAGACGAATGTGTTTTTTGAAGTTAAAGGTTCGTCTATTGTGGTACCGGGCTTGTTTTGCTGCGAATTGGAAAAAAATGTTACCAGGGGTAAGTTCGCTCTCGCAGCAACTGTAACTTCTAACAAACTAACACATAATAATTGTTGTTCCACATGTTGCTGATTCACCACGTTTACACTAACTCTCTGTTTTCTTCTTTGTTGTGGGTTCCAAGCATCTTCTTTGGTATTCGTTGCGTTCCCTGGATATGTCCGTACCGCACCAATTGTTGGGTTCTAACGCCATCGATAATGTCGTGTCTTATCGTCTGGATTTTCCGGCCGCCCGTCTCCTTCTCTGCGGCTCTTGTTCTTTGTGTTCTTTCGTTTTTTAATTTTCTTTTTATTGTTCTTCTTCCTTGAACGTTTCGTCCAGTGTCCGGAATTGGAAGATATTCATTCCTAGGCATTTGTGTCCTTTGCAGTGCTTGACGGTTTGTAACATTGCTAGTCGTAGGCCTTGTCAATGTTGACTTCTAGAGCCAATTTATCGTGCTGTTCAATCAGCTTGCCTGTCGGTCAGGTTTTTCCGAAGTATCGGTAAAATCTTTCGGATGATATTGGTGAGAACATTTCCCTTTTCAGATCAGCTCTCACATTCCGAAGAGTCCTCAACTTTCTCTATATTTTCTTCTTTCCACTTCTCTTCTATGCTATTCTATACTCTCGTTTTGCAAGCTGATCTTCTTCGCGTTTAGTATTGTCTGGGTTTTCTAGCCACTGCAACGCAAAAGGTTCGAAACCAACTGAAAAGGGTAAACGTGGTGACGCGGTGACGTGAAAATCACCCTAGTCGGAAACTATTGCTTTCATCGTGCGTCGCTGACTTAATAAGGTTTTTCAGTATGCGGAGAGCAACGGGTGACGGCAATACCGCTTTTGGTGGACGGAAAAGAAATAGAAGCGGGCGAGTTCCCGTGGACGATTGCCATTTACAGGAAATCGCCGTCCGGGTCCTACAGGAACATATGCGGGGGATCGATGCTCACTCAAAATTTGGTCCTTACGGGTAAATAATAGCAAGCAAACGGTACCATTTTTCCAACTGAATACGATGGAGAAAAACGAAAATACAATTGAATTTAAAGTTTATGAAAATATGAGGAAAATGTACTCTTTTAAAATGAAACACCGTGAATATTGTTTACTCTAACGTTCGTAAATCATCAACAAAATCAAAATTATCAGCCCATGTATCTTTGAGACCGTTGGCTATCGTAACACCAATTTCCGCGTCTTCATTTATTTTAAAAAATGTTCGTCCCATTTTTTTTTTCAAAAACGCTTTCATTATTTCGAAAGATTCGATAAAAAAAATGGTGCAAAGGCCGTGCAAAATAATGACAGCCCTGCCAAATAGAAAACTGAAATTACTTTTAATGTGTTAATTAATTATATGTATCATTTGGTAACTTTATGACCTTTTATGTTCTGTTTGAGATTTACGAACGTTAGAGTAAAAAATATACAGGATGTTCCTTTTAATTGCTTGTCTGTTTTCGTCATGAATTTACCAATTTGAATCAAATATAATGATATAATAAAGAATAACGAGACGACATTTGTATTAATTTGTATTAATTTCAGCCGGGCATTGCGTAACGGACAGTAAGGGCAGACCTCGTGACACCGCCATTTACAAAATCGCGGCCGGGAAATACTACAACCGATACATGGACGAGAGAGATAACAAGACTGTAGAATACGCGGACGTACGTACTTACATTACAAATAAATGAATAAATAAATTTCGACTGTGTGTCCAAAAATGTCATTCTATTCAGATAGTGGGATGAGTTTACAGATCAAAATAACAGTTTTTCAACCTTGTTGTAGATCAAGACGATTTTGGTCAATCCGCAATACGGCGGAAGTAATCAGAATTACTTGGGCGACATGGCGATACTCGTACTGAATAGGGTCATTCCCTTATCACAGGTGATCCAGCCGATATGTTACACGAATTTGGCGGAAATGACCGTCCATTACAACGACTTGGGCGTGGTAAGGAATTGTTTCCGTCGTTTTAACATGGAAAGTGTTTTTTTTTTCGACCCAATAGTGGGTGCCGATTTCCAGGCAAAATTTCAATTCGCAAGGAAACAATGTTAATCCGATCTCTCTGAATTGCTGTGATTTGTTGTGATGACCATATATACATTTAGAAGTGCCGTCAACTCCACATCGTTGCTGTCACTATCAGTCTTTATAATATTATTTTCCTAAAACCGTTTATCACTTTGAAAAAGTCACTAATCACAAAACACATAAAATGAATGTTAAAAACAACTGTCCACAATGTCGTAAGCGTCTGTAGATGGACACGTCACACGATAAAAATACATTTCTTACAACTAACTGTTGCATCAAACAGCTTAACCATAACTAACTACCCCGGGGTTTCAGCTAACTTCAAAAAAATGGCTGCAGACAATAATATACGCCGACTTGACGCCAATTATTAACACAGTAACTGAGGCGATGCTCATCAGCACTGGCAACATTGTTTCAATTTCATGAACTGCTGCCATCTCGCGACTTATGACCGACTTTCGGTTCTCGAAAGGCGATCTGTGTAATCGTGGCGTCGCTATTTTCTTATCGTTCTTACAGGTGACCGGTTGGGGATACACGGAAGCGGACGGCGTCCCGTCCGACACCCTGAAGAAGCTGGAACTGCCCTACACGAACATCGACGAATGCAAGGCCACCTTACCGCCCGTGTGGGTCGACAGGTTTTTCACCTACGATAAAATGTGCGGCGGTTTCTATAACAAAAGTGAGTCGAAACTTCGGCCCGCGAGCTAAACAAACAAGTTTCAACGATAGCGTTCGAAATTATTTCCTTTGACCTTGGGTCGTATTCTTGCCCGCAGGCAGGAGCGTATGCAAGGGGGATAGCGGCGGAGCGTTCGCCTTCGAGAACGAGTTCCACAGGTTTTACGTCATCGGCATTGTCAGTATCAGTCACTCCTACAAAAAGGATACGTGCAACATCGAACAAAACGCCCTGTTTACGAGAGTGGCGGATCACGCGAACTGGTTAGAGTACCAAGTCTCGCAGTACTCCGATTTGAAGTCTTGAAATAATTAGACCGAATAAACGGACGTTTTTTTTTCTCCAAGTTTCCTTATTTTCAATAAACTACGTTCCCTCTGAGCGATTGGCCGAATGATTCTGGCAAACTCCGCCACCACAGTAGCTATTGCTAGTGTGTAATCAAAAATTATCTGTGGATAGCACGTCGAGAAATTAATCCGTGCGTCTAATCAATTTTGTGACATAACCTCAATGTCTTGGCTAGAAATTAATTGGATTGTTAACTAAGGGATTAAATCGATGGCGAACGACAGGGAAGTTTTACGCGAAGTATGGGAGGGCAAGTTACCGGTCTGTTTTAAACTCACTCAAGACGAAGTCGCCACGCTACAACAGCCGGACCCTTTCTATTTAATGGTATCTAGATTGAGTTATTTTCCTCTCGTGACGGATAAAGTTAGGAAGCACTTCTTGAAATACGTATCCGATGAAAAACAAGAACACGAAATGTGGTTGGAATACAACGGACAACCTTTGAAGTGGCACCTCCCTATCGGGGTGCTGTACGATCTGATTGTGGATGCAGAAGGCGAGTCGCTCCCTTGGGTCGTGACGGTGCATTTTGATAAATTTCCGGAAACGCAAATTTACAGATTTAGCAGCAAGTAAGTGTAAGAGTACTTTCGGAAACGCTTCATTTGCTATACTTTGTGATTTTAGGGAAATGGTAGAGTCGCATTTTATGTCCTGCTTAAAAGAAGCAGACGTCTTGAAACATAGGGGGCAAATTGTGACGAGCATGCAAAAAAAGGACCACAATCAGTTATGGTTGGGGCTTCAAAACGGTAACGTAGGGCATGCTGATGGCAACGGGAGAACTAACAGTTTTCGTTCGTTTCAGATAAATTTGATCAATTTTGGACCGTCAACAGAAAATTAATGGAAGTTTCCGGTGAGACCGAGTGTTTCAAATACATTCCTTTTAGGTGTTACGTGGGAGACGGCTACAAACAAAAACTGATAAAACCCGTGACCGATGACGGTAGGAAGAAAACGTTACAAGATTTAGTCCGTGAAATATTAGATTCAGGCTCGACCGGTAAGTATCAATTATTAGTCAATAAATAAATCTGAATTCATATTTCCTTTCAGCAAAGATAAAAACTCACGGCATGTTTCCGCCCCTGGACACTCCATTGCAGTGGATGTCGGAACATTTGAGTTATCCTGATAACTTTTTGCATTTATCTCTAGTTTAAGGAAACCTTTAGCTTTTATGTTCCTTTGTGATATAGGCACCGCTCTTTAAATGTATATTTTTTGTATTTGTTTATAGTTTACCTCTTAAGATGTAAAATGTCAATAAATCTTATGAACTTGACTTTATAACTTATCCCAATCTATCATCCTTGCTTATTGGCGATGTTTATGGTAGACTTGCCCAATAAAAGCAAGGAAGAAGAAGAATAATCTCTGGTTTCGTCAATGAAATGTAACCTTAGATCACGATTCTGTCCCAGACCTCGATGCGTTGTGAATAGTTGTGAATTTGCAACCATGTCGGGCAACGCAATTGAATTAGACGAACAAGATGAAATCAAACGTAATACCTGTAATATTCGCCGTGAGAGTTCAATATTACATTAAACGTTGCAGTGCCCGGCTCCAGCGTCGCGTTGGAAATCCTCAGCAACTGCCAGTTCGAATCGCTGCAGGGCAAAGTTTGCGAGAACACCCTGAAAGCTATCGCGGACATGGAATTTACAACGATGACCGAGATACAGGCCAAGAGCATTCCGCACCTGCTCGAAGGGCGGGATTTGGTCGGCTCAGCCAAGACGGGGTCGGGTAAGACTCTCGCGTTCCTCATTCCCGCCATCGAACTGATATACAAGGCGAAATTTATGCCTAGAAATGGTAATTTCCGACGTTGTTTAGTAACTAACCTCCATATTAGAACATTTCCAGGTACCGGGGTTATAATAATTTCTCCTACGCGGGAGCTGTCGATGCAAACCTTTGGCGTGCTCAAAGAACTCATGAAGTATCATCATCACACTTATGGATTAGTCATGGGCGGCGCCAGTAGGCAAAGCGAAGCGCAAAAACTCGCGAAGGGGGTCAATATTTTAGTGGCCACACCCGGCCGATTGCTGGACCACATGCAAAACACCGCCGAGTTCCTCTACAAAAATCTCCAGTGTTTAATTATCGACGAGGCCGATAGGATACTGGACATCGGGTTCGAGGAGGAAATGAAGCAGATAGTGAAGTTGCTACCAAGTGAGCGACCGTTTCATTGAAACTTAATTTATTCCACAAAATAATGGACTTTTCAGAAAACCGACAAACGATGTTGTTTAGCGCGACCCAGACGCAGAAAACCGAATCCCTGACGTCGTTGGCGCTAAAAAAGGAGCCCATGTACGTGGGGGTGGACGACACCAAGGATCAGGCGACTGTGTCTGGTTTGGAACAAGGCTACATAGTGTGTCCTTCGGAGAAGCGATTTCTCGTGTTGTTTACTTTCCTGAAAAAGAACAGGAAGAAGAAAATCATGGTTTTCTTTAGCTCGTGCATGTCGGTCAAGTATCATAACGAGCTGTTGAACTACATTGATCTACCGGTCATGTGCATTCACGTAAGTCTGTATGTTGTGGTGTACTGGGTGCCCCAATAAGGCAACGAAATTTATGTTCATTGAAAAGGGGTTTTCCTAAGCTATCAATTAAGGCATGAGTGGTTATTTTATTACCAGATGAAGCTTTCCAAGGTGGTCACGAAAAAATTGATCCGATAGGGGAACAAGGGCTCCAAAACCCAGTGAATCCCCCAAAATATAATGTTCCTTCCTAATTTGTGGATTTCTTCCAGGCATTAAATGAATTAATTAAATGTTTGACAGATCTAAATTAATTGAAAAGGTAACTAAATTATATTGACCAGCATTAATTAGTTTTTTTTTTTTTTTTTGAAACAAGTAGTATGTTCGTTGTTACTAGTAACTGAACTTTGGAAAATTTTTGAAGCCGGATAACATCCTAACAGTTGTAATTACTAGTTCCAAATTTTCTTGCACTCTAATACTAGGCAATGCGCAGCGTCACTTAAAATTTGGATCTGAAAACGGTATGGAAAAATTCTTAAATGTGGAAACGCGGGAGATCCGGGCCTTTTCGAGGGTAAATCATTAGCCGTACATCAAAATTCGTGGAAAATATGCCGATTGGGTTTAGGCAGTAGTGTAGACCGCGTCGAGAGCTACGATTTTCGTATTTGCGGATTTGCTCTATCGTGCAGGGTGCCCGAGATATTTGAAGTTATACCTTTGGAACTCGACGATTTCAGGGAAAACAAAAGCAAACGAAGAGAACGACGACATTTTTCGAGTTCTGTAACGCAGAGTCGGGCACGTTGCTCTGCACGGACGTCGCGGCGAGAGGTCTGGACATCCCGTCGGTTGACTGGATAGTGCAGTACGATCCGCCGGACGATCCCAAAGAGTACATCCACCGGGTGGGTCGCACGGCCAGAGGGGAGGGCGGCAGCGGCCACGCGCTGCTGATATTGAGGCCCGAAGAGTTGGGATTCTTGAGGTACCTCAAGCAGGCAAAAGTGTCCCTGAACGAGTTCGAGATCAGTTGGAATAAAGTGTCCAATATCCAGTTGCAGGTAAAGCTATACTCGTGTAAGTAACTCGTTATATCGGGACGCGTGTCATTTTAGTTGGAAAATTTGATCAGCAAAAATTACTACCTGAATTTGTCGGCCAAAGAGGCGTTCAAGGCGTACGTCAGGGCGTACGACTCTCACCATTTGAAGTTGATATTCGACGTGAGCACGCTGGACCTGACTAAAGTGGCGCAGTCGTTCGGATTTAAGGTGCCGCCCGCGGTCGACCTCAACGTCTCGGCCAAAAAGGTCAAGAGGTTGGAGAAGACGAGGAAAGGAGGCGGCGGATTCGGCTACTACAAGAACATGAACTCTCTGTCGGAAAGTGGGGTCAGAAAAAACGTCATCTACAGGCAGCAGGGCAAGAAAAAGGGCGGTAGGGACCGGAGGCAGTTTTCGCGTTAGTCGCTTTCCTCTGCGAAAATATAATTTTTATTTACTTTTTTGCGTATTATTTTGGACTAAGTGACATTTGAAAGAATGAATAAAAGTTACAGAAATCACCTAAAACGGAATCATATCTATTTTATATGTATTGTTACATGCTAATTGCATTTCTTCCGGTTCGCGTGTAAACAAATATAAGAGCTGCGTGCTGATACATACGTACAATATCTTTATAAAATCCACAATTTGCTTAACCAAAATGAATCCCAAACTTCTAACCACAACGCTTCAAACAACTAGTTCCCAGTTTCAAATTTCATATTTTCAAAAAACCCGGATAATGAGTTTTCAGTTCGACCGCTTTTCAAACAACACGACCGAAATCTAACCAACGACATAAATTCGACGTTCGTCGACCAATAGCGAGGCCCGATTCGCTGCCATTTTATATTGTGCGAACGACGCGTTATTTTTCATCCTAAAAACATGACGGTATTGAATGAAATGTTTTGGGTTCGGTGGCTGTAAGTAAATGATTTAAACGCAATATTTAGAGATTTCTTATTTTCAAATAACAGGTAACATTTGCACGACAGAAAAACACAAAAAGTGATGTCCGCTCTTTATATTCTGTTTAGGCCAAGGTGCGACGGGTCACCCGACCACTGGCCGACTTGCCCACGGGCGTATAACCAGCTCTCTGTTGACATCGAAACTTCTGTGGCACTTTCTCAGCTTACGGTGTAAAACACGATGGGAGTATACGTAGGCATTCTTTCCCAAATTTGCGGACGAGTGGCGTAATAAAAAAAAGGGAGTGTACTTGTAGTTATTATGTTAATTTTTAATTTCCAAGGCAGTTTCATGATAATTTTGATGCTCGAACAACTGATGTATCCAAAGTAAACACATGTTTTAGTATTTTGATATTCCTGTGACTACTATTAAAAAACTCGCATTTTTTAACCCTTTGGAAAGGTTTGTTTTTGGAATCGATTCTCGTGGGCAATATAAGTAAAGAAGAATAGTTGATTCGGAACGATTAATGTTGGTTAGTTCTTAATGTTAAACAAATACCAGAATAATTAAAAAGTAACTTTTTTTTGTTTGAAATCCACATTAGAATAACCTGTAAACAATCAAACTTTTACGATAAATAATATAACTATTAATTACGCGTCGTGTTGTTATCGGGACACAAAAGTGTAAACATGAATCGATGACCCACTGCCACCGCCGATAACTAGATAATTTTTCTATTCGCGGCCAAAAACCTAGAGTTGTTTCGAGAATGTCTCCGAATAAGCATAGCGACGTGCGCGTAGTAGCAAGGTTGCGAACGTTCGAGAGAAACAACAGCAGAGGTGTGTACGGCACGGAAAAAAACAAATCGGAAACTACTGGTGTATCGAACGGAAAAATACGCGACGCGTGCGGCGCCATCTGACGCGACTACGACGGATCACTTTTAGCGTTTCCTGTTATTATTTTTATGTAACTGTTTTATTGGTTTGTTCTCAAGGTAAACATAATCCTGGCGTCTATCTTAAATTAACTTCGCAGTTCGGCGACAGACGTCGACTTGCGTTCCGCAAGTGAATTTTTTTTGCGTTTCACACGTCACGCGGTCGGCGTCGTCGCGATCTTTTGGTGCCCTCGAATTAGTCAACAAACGCGGCAATTCGCGGCACGCTATGTGCATCAGGCGCGATGACGCTGTCTCGCGCCCACGAAGATTTCGGCAGCGACGATGAGTTCGTCGATCCGAAAAACGGCCTCGTCCAGTACCTAGGTTACGAAAATGCCGATCGACTGCCCGGCTTCGATAACGTCGTCGTCGCCCATTCGAGCGACGTCCATTTTGGCGACAAAAACGTGTACAACGGCCCGGTCACCATCAAACAGGTGGTTTACGCGAACGGGTCCGCGACTTTGGCGGACCCTAACGGCAAAGAGGGCGAATCGCCGGGCGGCAGAGACAACGTGGCGTTTGTCGAAGACGGCGCGGAAATCGGTAAACGGGACGAGGCCGAAACCCCCCGAGGTGACGGATCGCCAAGAGGTTAGGTTTTAGCGTAGTCGTCCCGGTGGCGGTAAAATAAAACGCGATAGAATAGGTCGGAGGGGAAACTGATCGCTCATAAACGATATCGGAATATTTGTTTTCAGAAAATAATAGAAAGAAAATTGAAAAAGTATTTTTACTTCGCTCCAAAGCCAAGACCATTTTTCGCCACAGACCACTTAACAATTCATCATCGCACCTCTTCTCTTCTGCCGAAGTCGACTTAATCCGTGAATTCGTCTGTGATGTAACGAACCCCGTTTCGGTCCGATAGAGGGCGCCACTCAAATTAAAATACTCGCGGAAGTACTTTTCACGTTTTCAGGCTTCATATGGCTCCAAAACGCTTCCAAGCGGCGTCCGCTGGAAATAGCGATATTTCTCGCCGTCGTGCTCCTGTCGCTGTTCGTTTTGCTGTCCGTCCTTTTCCTCAAGCGCCCGGCCGAGAAGGCGCGCGGTTCTACCGTTTCGGACACTCACGAGCAAGACGTCATCAATCCCGTCGATTACGAGCCCAGTAATACTACTCTCGTCGTCCGTCGGCCCGCGTAACCTCGCAATTTCCAGGTCTAACGGTTTCCACCCAACTCGCGAGCAAGCTGCACATATTCAGCCGCATCGAGTGGTTGGCTCAGCCGCCCGTGCAAAAGCCCAACGCCCTGCCCACTCCCGTGCCTTACGTCATTATCCAGCACACGGCCACCGAAAATTGTTCCTCCCACGGCCAGTGCATCCTGCACGTTAGGACCATCCAAATGTTCCACATCGAGAGCCGCGGCTGGTGGGACATCGGGTACAACTTCCTGGTGGGAGGGGACGGCGCGGCGTACGAGGGCAGGGGTTGGACGTCGGAGGGGGCGCACACGCTGGGGTACAACTCGAAGAGTCTGGGCATCGCGTTCATAGGTACCTTCGTCGCGGAAAAGCCGCCCGAGATCCAGCTGGTCGCGTGCCAGAAATTGATCCAGAAGGGGGTGGACGACGGCTACGTGGCCAAAAACTACAAGTTGCTCGCGCACCGGCAGCTCCACACGACGGAGAGCCCCGGCGCCGCCCTGTTCCAGGAGTTGCAGACCTGGAGCCATTGGGCGGCGGAACCGTGATCTATCCTCGAAATATATTAGTTAGTGGATGACGGCGTCGTTTCATTTCCGCCGTCGTCGGCGTAAAACACTCCCTCCAGGTACTTGGTGAAGTGGGTGACCGCTTCGTAGAGGTGCTCGCCGGGGCTGTCGGTCCGCCATGTTTGGTTCTCGTTGACGATTACGTAGTCGCGGCGCAGAGGCGCGTCCGGCGACTGCGCGTGGTCCCACAGGAATCCCTTGACGGAGTTGAGCGCCAGGTCGGCGGGCGCCTCGGCCGAGTAGTCGCCGACGAAGGCGAACTGTACGCTGGCCGTGCGCAGCGGCAGCTCGTTGCGCACGCGCCAGCCGCGGCCCACGTAGACGACGGCGTCCCCGCCCACCAGGAAGTTGTACCTGATGTCGGGCAAACCGCGGGCGTCCATATCGTAATCCTGGATCTGTTTTACCGCGGAGGCGCACTCGTCGGCGTCGCGACACCCGGGGCCGCCCGTGTGCGAGATGACGACGACCGACGCCGGCTCGGCGGCGTCCACGTACGACGGCGGGCGTCCCCGCCACCGGGCTCGGTCCGCCGGCGGTTTAGGGAAGGTGACCGCTCGCTTGCTCGATCGATGCTCGATCGACAAAATGGCGATTAGACCGACGGCGACGGCGACGGTGGCGACGATCGCACATCCTCTCCGCCTAAAACGAGACGCGCCATCGAAGATTTTGAAAAAAAAAAACAGAGTCGAAAAGATGTTTTTATTTCTGGTCTGTTCTCTGTTATCTAGTGTCTGTTCTCCGTAGCGGAGTTGCGGGAGGTATTTCGTCTATCGTACACGGTGCGCGAAATAAAGACCGGAAAGAGATTAATGGTCTTGCGACTGCATTTATATCGTCAGATTACTCTAAAGCTTTTGATCCGCTTGACCATAAACTTATGTGCGCCAAATCGAGTTACTACGGCTTCGATGATGTATCGACTCGATTTTTTGAAAACTACTTAGCCAACAGATATCAGAGAGTTACCCTTGACAATGTAAGTTATGAATTTCTACCCGTTTCATCAGGTGTACCGCAAGGTTCTGTCCTTGAACCTATTTATATTTATATATCCATCGGATATTTGAATTTGCTTTCAATTGCTGACGACATTCATCTGTTTACTTCTTCGATCCCAAATTATTTGATATTGTCTCAATTTATATCGATTTAATTTGTACATTGTAATATTCTTTTCTCCTAAACCTAACATTAAACAAGTAACACAAATGTATTTATTAACTAACGTTTGAAGATTGTGAACTATAATAAAAACCTTGGGGTTATATTTGAATGTAGACTTAGAATCGCGGAATATTGGTGAAAAAGTCTTATTTGGTTTTGCGTCATTTATACAGACATAGAACGGTTTACGGAAATTTTTAGCTCAATCATTTGTCCTTTCGATTATGAACTATGGTTTAGTCCTCTATTGCTCATTTCTTGACTTGAAAACAGCTGTTGCAGATTTATTTTCGGCTTGCGCAAATTTGATATTTCCCACAAAATCGAGGGCTACAAATTGACAGTAAAAAAAAAATCACTGCAACCATAAAATGTTCAAAAAATCCAAAAACACTCACTACTACGCAAAACTAGTCATCTCGGCGAACACGGACCATAGATGCGGACGGATGCGAATTTTAAATTTAAACCAATTTCTGTCAAAATTCATCTGTTTGCAGCGCCTCTGGCGGGATGTAAGCAATTAAACACGGTCTGAAATATTTCGGAGAGTGCCCAGGGTATGATCTGCAACGACCCGAGTAATTGTTTGTGTAATCCCCGAAACTCCCACTGCCTCAACACCCGCGCAAGAGCATTAGTTAGTAGTAAGTTTTCTTCAATTGCGTTTCTGTGTGTTATTCTCCGTAGTAGGTAACGTCTAAAATAGACGTTAAAAAAAGAAAACTAAGTTCAGAATGTCAGGTCAGGTAAAACTAGAGCGGTTGGTCATGACGGAATCCATATCAACTTTATTTTTTTCCCTCTCTTTGGAAAGTAGCTAATGTCCCTATTCCTAAGATTGACAACCCGCTGTCGTTTAGAGACTTAAGGCCCATTTCCATTCTGCCAATATTATGCAACGTGTCTTGAAAAGCCAAATAATAAATTATGTTGAAAAGGAGAAACTAATTGACAAAACACAAGCCGGTTTTAGGAGGGGGCACAGTTATGCTACGGCGCTTCTTAATGTGACAGATGACATCATCAGAGGAATTGATGAAGGTAAGTGTGATGTGTTGGTTCTACTCGATTATTCTAAGGCTTTTGATACCATTAGTCACAATATTCTGCTCACTATTCTTAAATACTTGTTTTGGGGAGGCATCCGTAAATTTAATTAAAAACTACTTAACAGGGAGAAAGCAAAAGGTGGTCCTGAACGGGGTCGAGTCTACTTGCCTAGATATAAGAAGTGGAGTTCCTCAAGGCTCAATTTTAGCTCAATACTTTTTAATTCTGTCAGTGAAAACTGGCAGTCATCATTTTCTTCAATATATTCGAAAATCTGCTCCATTGCTGCATCTACTGGATGAATATTTTTATCCCTCTGGGTCTATTTTACGGTAGTTTTCAAACGCATATAACAATCCGCGTGATACAAGCGTCCTGAGCCACTAGATCTAACACACCTACAATTCTTTTATGGATATTGCGAAAAATCAAATTTCAAATAGTTTGCTTGAACTCAGAAGTAGTTACGTAGCTGATTTGCTGTCTTACCGATTTGGACTTTTTTCTTTCCTTCATTTCATCCGCTTCTTTTTCACATAAAAAGCACTTATTTTTCCAATCAAAATCAATAGAAGTAGCCGTTTCGCAGTTTTTTTTTTGGGTGGAGAACATGTTGATGTGGTGTTCTTTTTTTTTAAATAAGCATTAATACATCCTTTATTGACATATTTTCAAATTCGCAATATTCAAATTCAAATTCGCAAATATTTAAATACTGAGAAAGTCCATCTCTTCTTTCCACAGAAGCAGCTTTCATTGTTGGTATTCCCCTAGTAACTTTTATAATATCTCTTAGCTCAGAGCTTAATTCAGACCTACATCCAATTTTGTCAAAAATGAGGCAATCATTATTTATATTATCACCATTCGATGGTTCACCCATTTTGATCCGAGGCCGTAACAACAAATATTACTAATATCAATAACTAACCTTTATATCACAATTAATTAAAATTTTTTTTTAAACAAAAATGTGAAAAAAATCGGAATTTTCACTATTTTTCCGATTAATTAAATTATTATTTCTGCATAAATAAAATACATAAAAATAAATCAACTGTTTGTGTAAGCACTATCTTATAGGAAATTTCATGCAGATTCCAAATATATATTAAATTTTACCATTACATTCTAACTTTTAAGATCGATCTGTTATAAAATATACTATTGAATATTCACAGTTGTTTTCAAAACCATGTAATATAAATAATAAACAAACACTTACTATTTATGCCACTATCTTCAAAGTTTGTAAAACTCAGTAATTAACTTTTATCACACTCGCTGCACAATAATATATTTATTTTTTAATTATTTTAAATTATTCTTTTTTCGGAGCAAACAACAACAACAACGTATCAAGCCTAGCAAGTTGCTACGTGTACTATTCTGTTAGGGCCCGCGTTAACGACACCCAACAGCTGCTGTTGCCCCCTCTAACCCCCCCCCCCTTCATCGTTATACCCGCAGTCCCTTGAGATCCAAGATGAAGTTTGTAATAGTTCTTCTTTTTATAAGGTTGTTCGGAAAGTCATTTCGTTTTTTCCCGTCAGAGGACTTAATTACGTTTTTTCGAAACCAACTTCACACTTAAGCCGCATAACCATTATATGTCTTGAGAGCTGATATTGCTGATATTGTGTGTGAAAAAGTTCTATTAATTCTACGCAGTAGTTTTTGGTTGGTGCCCTTTTAAATATGGAGATCAATAAGCAGCATTTTCGTCATATTTTACTTTTTTACTTCAGAAAAGGTAAAAATGCTGTCCAAGCGAGAAAAAAATTGACGGATGTGTATGGAGAAGGCGTGTTAACAGTACGCCAGTGCCAGAACTGGTTTGCAAAATTTCGATCCGGCAATTTTGATGTCGAAGATGCACCACGGTCTGGAAGGCCGGTCGAAGCTGACAAAGATGCGATAAAGGCATTAGTTGATGCAAATCGGCGAATAACCACACGAGAGATCGGTGAGAGATTAAATTTGTCGAATTCGACTGTTTATGGCCATTTGAAAGGCATGGGCTTAACCTCGAAGCTCGATGTGTGGGTGCTCCATGTCCTTACGGAGCGAAATTTGTATCATTCGCTCCTCAAACGTCAAGAAAATGATCCATTTTTGAAGCGGATTATTACTGGGGACGAAAAATGGGTTGTACACAACAATGTTAAACGCTAGAGGTCATGGAGCAGAAAAGATGAACCGGCTCAAAGCGTGTCAAAAGCCAACATTCACCAAAAAAAGGTGATGCTCTCCGTTTGGTGGGATGTCAAAGGAATCGTTTTTTTTGAGCTTTTGCCGGACAATACAACGATTAATTCAGAAGTCTATTGTCATCAACTGGACAAATTGAATGATTCACTTAAAGAGAAGAGGCCCGAATTAATCAACAGGAAGGGTGTAGTGTTCCACCAGGATAATGCGAGACCTCACACAAGTTTGGTCATTCGCCAAAAACTTTTACAGCTTGAATGGGACGTACTGCAACATCCACCATATTCTCCAGATCTGGCGCCTTCCGACTACTATTTGTTCCGGTCCCTGCAAAATTTTTTGGATGGCAAAACCTTTACCTCAAATGAAGATGTTAAAAACCACCCGAACCAGTTTTTTGCCAGCAAGGACCAAAACTTTTATGAGAGGGGAATTATGTTACTGCCAGAAAGATGGCAAAAGGTGTTGGACCAGATTGGCCAATATATAATTTAATAAAATATTTATTCATTATACGAAAACTGTCTTTCATGTTCCCCAAAAAAAACGAAATGACTTTCCGAACAACCCAATAAAATTTAATTTTACATTAATATAATTTAAGGAAAACTCCAAAAAATTAATAATTATTTATAATAATTATTAAAAAATTAAGATCGCACAAAATATTTTTCTATATGCTATTAAAAACACATTGCCAAAGTTTATAAAAAGATTTATTGACTGGCCCTGGATTCCGAGGTATAAACCTTACGGCGCTCCACTAATTATTCTTTGGCCAGCTACGATCGTCTAGTTATTACAAATGGCCCGTCTTAAAAAAAAGTTTCCCCGCCACTGGTATACCCGATTCAATAAAATCACACGCAAATTCTTTAAAAAACATTTCAAGTTGAACCCGATAACTAATTTTTACTTTTAATAACTTTCCATTGTTACCTATCACTATTACATTTTATCTATTATACTATGTTTAATTCATTAATTCCTATTTAGTTTTCGATTTAAACATTTAAGAGGTTAATAGGAGTAGCTTTTGCTAAAGTTCGCCTCGTCTCTACCGTATATTTGTATATAAAAATATACAACAATAAAGGCAATTTATTATTATTATTATTGGTGGAAATTAAACGTTAATTCTTAACGCGACTATTTACGCATTTCGTCTGTCGATTTCTATCGAAGTCTAATAGCTACGGGGTTCTCACCAATACTTTGCGTTGGCCCGCCGCCACGCGGCCATTTCTAGAGGCAACGTCACGCCGCCAGACACGCGAATGGTCACCGGCGCGTAATAATTGGTCTCGTAGCGATCCGCGAGGTGGACGTCCCTAGAATTCGCGACGACGATGGCCGGGGGACGGGCGTCCGTCGTCGAAAGGAGCGCCGCGACGCCGTCCGTCTCGGACAAGGTCATTAAGGAGACTCGCACCTATCGACGCTTTCGTCGATTGAAACGTCGTCCGCATCGCGCGATTTGTTTGCCTAATCTCTCGTTTATCGTGGAAACTCTTATCTGGCGACCCAAAAAAAAAAAACAACCGGAGATTTGGAGATAGGAAATCGCGAAGCCTCTATTAATAATTATAACAAAGCCGATTTCTGTATACGCTTTATTACTACAGTCGAGACGCAGTTTGATATCAAGTATTAACAATTTAATTGATAGGTGAGATTATTTGTCGAAATAGAGACGGGCGTCGTAGTGGGGCCAGCGGATTATCTTCTCGTAGATGTTGGGACCGGGACTGAGGGTGTTGGTCGTTTGGTTTTGGGCGACGAGCACGTAATCCGGCGTGATTTTCTCTTCGCGCAGCAGCTTCGCGATCAGCCTCTTGCCGGCCTCCTCCATTTTGTTCGTCATCTTGTCGTAGGGCGCGAGGTAGTTGCCCAGGTAGACGATGTCGATCGCCCGGTGCCTGGAAACCCACGGAACGTTCGCTCGCGCGCCCCACGCCGACTCCTCCCCACTTACATCCACTCGTTTTGCACGTCTGCGCCCCGCCCCTCGTACACGTTGCCGTCGCCGCCCACCAGGAAGTTGTAGCTGATGTCGGGGAAGCCCTTGGTCTGCACCATCCAGCCCTGCAGGGCCAACACCTTGGTCGCGCACTCCTGGTAGCTGGAGCAGTTGGAGCCGCCGGTATGCATGATCCGTACCATGTCCCGGGGCTCCTTCAGCCGAATCTCGCTGAGCGGCGGCCTCGCCAGCCACTCCGCGCGCTTGACGATCTGGACGCCGGCGCCGAGGTCGTCGCGGTGCCCCGGGTCGACGGGCGCCGGGACGACGGCCCGCGTGCCGATCTTCGTGCCGAAATAGACGACGGTGGCCGAGGTGAGCGCGAGCAGAACTAGAAACGCCAACAGCGCCACCTGGGTGGTCCGGTTCCCGGCGAAGAACTTGAACGCTTTGCGTCCCGACGACCCGGTCGTGAGCTCGTCTAAAAACACCGAAAACTTTCCTGTATATATGATATATGAGTACGATTGCAAACGAAACGGCGGATCAGAGAACGGTGCCGTCGAAATAACGCGGCCATCGGACGATCTCGGCCACCACGTTCCTTCCCGGACTATAGAACCTCTTCGGCGACGTTTGGTTCTCCCCCACCACCCGGTAATCTTGAGCCAATCGGCCCGAGTCGAGGCCGCGCGCCAGAAGGGCCGCGGCGGCGTCCGCCGCGACGCTCGTCAAGTTGCCGAAGTTAAAGTCGCCGATAAAAGCGACGGCGACGCTGCCCACGCGCAGGGCGTTCTCGCGCCCCCACCCGCGCCCCACGTAGATGCCCCCCTCGGCGCCGACGAGGAAGTTGTACGCGATATCGCCCCGGCCTCCGTCGACGTCGTCGTCTTGGAGGCGGCGCAGCACGTCGCCGCACGCGGTGAAGGTTTCGCAAGAGTCCGTCGCGGTGTGGCTTATTATGGCCAACGACGAGGGCCCCGAGCGTTCGGGCGCCGGCTCGTCCACGGCGGAGGCGCCCCAGTTGTCCCGATCGTAAACCGGGTGGTTTTCGATGTAGCGGGTGGTGTTGGGGTTGGGGGCGGGGTGCGAGAGGGTCGCCGTTCGATTGAGTATGATTAGAGTCGCGGAAACCGCGACGACGGCCACGAGGAGGACGGAGGAGGCGATTAGCAGACGGCGAAAGCGGGGCGTCGCGACGCCCGAGAATCCGAGGGAGTCTGAAACAAGGACGAGTCGGATTCACTCGTCGGTTACACTATTGTTGAGTCGGTTGATCACGCGCATGGCCCGACTAACCGACCGCGCAGAAATTGCCCAGACGTAATTTTCCTTTATAAAATTGACAAAATTCTTGTTGAGTCGCTTATCTCTTAGTGCTAATCCTTATCGGGTGCGCACTAGGCTGTAGAAAGAATCAGATCCAACTCAACTCACCGCTTATTAGATTCACTCGTTTGTACAATAACAAACGAGATATGTATTATGTTTAATATTCGGCAGCCTCGTCTGCCTGTTTACTTTTGCGTTTATAAATAACCGGAACATTAGCAATTTCCGAAACAAGCCGATCGATGACATATTAAGTACAACTCGAGGAGTCGGGTTTATTTGTCGCTTACCGATAAGATATTAGTGAATCTGACTCGTCGGTTACTTAATACTATGTCAATCGGCTATGTGGGTTGTGGGTCGACATTTCCGGAACGGTCCGCGATATTTTATCAACGCCCTGTAGAAATATAGGCGCGCGATGCTTTTTCGCAAATATTTGCAGTCCCACGCTCGGTACCCGCGATTATACAATTCAACGAGACCTCTGGCGGAAAATTAGCATACTATGCAACGAGCGTGACAAACGTCATACGCGACAACATCCGATGGCTCCCGAACCCGGAAAAGTACGCTAAATCGGTGTGTAATTCGGTAACTGAACTGAGGTGGATTTTGCTTGACGAAAATCGATTTATCAAAATGAATAAGAACTAAAAGTTCAGATTTTCACGAAATTATATATTTTGACATGACAATTGTTTCGATAACACCGTGTCTTTATCAGATGTAATATTTACAAATTACCTGCTACTTTATATACCGAAAAATGACCATAAAACCTTAATTAATTTTGTGAGAATTTAAGTTCCATCAAATCTAATTGATCGTTAAGCAATACATTTGAATGTCTCATTTTGTTAATCTCCATGGCTTCCAATAAATTTAATTTTCTACTTTTTGTGACTGTATGTAAAATATCAATAAAATGTGTTTTTCTGTGTAGCATAATTAGAATCTGGATTATTGTTTTTAAACGCTCTTTTATGTTCGTTAATGCGTTTCTTGAAGCATCTACCCGTTTGTCCAATGTAAATTTTAGGACAAGATCCGCATTTCAACCTGTAGACACCTGATCTTTGGGATTTGGGGACATTTCGTTTTATTGTTTTTTAAATATTTTCCTATTGTGTTGTTGGTTCTGAAAGCTATTTTAAACCACATTTTGACAAATGTTTTGAAACTTTTTCACTAGGTTCTCCTATGAATGCAACTGTTTTAAATTGTTCGTAGTTTACTGTTGTCTGTATTTGTTTTTTACTTATAATTTTACCGATAATGGACGGATTGTAGCCGTTGTTCGGTGCAATGTGTGTAGTGATGTTATTAAGTTCTTTGTTGTAATTTTCTGTTGAGAGTGGCGTATTAAAAAGTATGCAGCCATTTTCTGTGTATAAGGTTGATTTGAGCTGTTATGTATGACTGTGTCCGTGAGTGAAGGTTTATGATATATTGAAAAATCTACTTTGTTTTGCGTTTTCGTAATAGTTAAGTCTAAAAAATTAATAGAATTATCCTGTTCAATCTCGACAGTGAATTTTATACGATTATGTAATGAGTTAATGTATTGGGTTGTTCGGAAAGTCATTTCGTTTTTTTTTTGGGGAACATGAAAGACAGTTTTCGTATAATGAATAAATATTTTATTAAATTATATATTGGCCATTCTGGTTCAACACCTTTTGTCATCTTTCTGGCAGTAACATAATTCCCGTCTCATAAAAGTTTTGGTCCTTGCTGGCAAAAAACTGGTTCAGGTGGTTTTTGACATCTTCATTTGAGGTAAAGGTTTTGCCATCCAAAAAATTTTGCAGGGACCGAAACAAATAGTAGTCGGAAGGCGCCAGATCTGGAGAATATGGTGGATGTTGCAGTACGTCCCATTGAAGCTGTAAAAGTTTTTGGCGAGTGACCAAACTTGTGTGAGGTCTCGCATTATCCTGGTGGAACACTACACCCTTCCTGTTGATTAATTCGGGCCTGTTCTCTTTAAGTGAATCATTCAATTTGTCCAGTTGATGACAATAGACTTCTGAATTAATCTTTGTATTGTCCGGCAAAAGCTCAAAAAAAAACGATTCCTTTGACATCCCACCAAACGGAGAGCATCACCTTTTTTTGGTGAATGTTGGCTTTTGACACGCTTTGAGCAGGTTCATCTTTTCTGCTCCATGACCTCTTGCGTTTAACATTGTTGTATACAACCCATTTTTCGTCCCCAGTAATAATCCGCTTCAAAAATGGATCATTTTCTTGACGTTTGAGGAGCGAATCACACACGTCAACGCGACGACACAAATTTCGCTCCGTAAGGACATGGGGCACCCACACATCGAGCTTCGAGGTTAAGCCCATGCCTTTCAAATGGCAATAAACAGTCGAATTCGACAAATTTAATCTCTCACCGATCTCTCGTGTGGTTATTCGCCGATTTGCATCAACTAATGCCTTTATCGCATCTTTGTCAGCTTCGACCGGCCTTCCAGACCGTGGTGCATCTTCGACATCAAAATTGCCGGATCGAAATTTTGCAAACCATTTCTGGCACTGGCGTACTGTTAACACGCCTTCTCCATACACATCCGTCAATTTTTTTCTCGCTTGGACAGCATTTTTACCTTTTCTGAAGTAAAAAAGTAAAATATGACGAAAATGCTGCTGAAAACTACTGCGTAGAATTAATAGAACTTTTTCACACACAAGCCTTGCAATATCAGCTCTCAAGACATATAATGGTTATGCGGCTTAAGTGTGAAGTTGGTTTCGAAAAAACGTAATTAAGTCCTCGGACGGGAAAAAACGAAATGACTTTCCGAACAACCTTATAATTTAAAAAAGAATACAATTGTCTGTCCGTTCCAACAAAGCAAACAAAGACATCATCCACGTATCTATAACACCATAAAAAACATTTACTTAAAGGATGTTCTAGTATGATATTTTCAAAATTATCCATAAAAATCTCGGCTAACAAAGGACCAAGTGGGTTTCCCATAATCAAACCTTCTTTAGAGATATAAATCTGTCCATTAAATTCAAAATAATTTTGGTCTAAAGATACTATTAAGCAATCTAAGAAATCTTGTTTCACCAATGGGTTAACCTGTTTCCGAGTTGGGGTGAAATCTACTAAATCCATCACATCCATAGGTGGAATACAGGGAAATAAGTTTTGTACATTAAAAGACGATAGTGTTGCGTTAGAAGCGATTTGGTTAACTTTAATTTTGTTGATTAATTCAAAAGAATTTTTGATTGAAAATTGTTGGTTATTGAAATATACGAGTATTCTGGGAGATCGATAGCTATGACTTAAACATAACGTATTAAACATAACGGAAACGTATTATTACGATCCTAAACACAAATAATCGCATATAATTTTTCACTGTCGGCAATTTGAATTAATCAAAACTGCAATAAAAAAGCAATCATTTTTAATTACGTTTTAACATAACTTTTTGAAACATTGTATAATTTTTTTTTTTTGAAAGACTGACTCTATCTGCTAGGGTACTTTATGTCATTTATTGTTTTCATTTTAACCGCGGCTCGCAAAAATGTCTACGAAAAATTTTGGAAAAGTATGCTTTTGTTTACATTAAATAACATTTAAATTGAAACTTTATTTCTATTGAAAACAAAAAAAAAAAATTATGACGCGAAAAGGGTGGGTTTTTAACGTTTTTAGGAAATTTGGTAAAACTCACTAGATTATCACAAACCGCCACTGACAACGTACGCGCCTAAAGTTGTAAGTACGTCGAAGGCTAGAGTTAATGGATATTATAAACGACGAATGAGAAGAGGAAATTAATAAAATAAAAAAATGTTTTAAATATTAGTAATAGTAGAGTACTGGGCTCGATAGAACGTTTGTTCTATCTAACACATTCGCGGGTACCTACGCGCGAGCCAATCGATCAACGCCTGTTGCTGACGGATGAGATTGCCCTGCGACTCCACCAGTTCCTTGTACGACGTCGGGCCGTCGTCCGGCTCGTTTCCCATCAGGTTCGCCAGACTTTTGCACTTTTCAATGTGTTTGGGTAGCATCGCCGACGCCCGCGATTCAACCGATCAATTCGATACGCGCAAGAAGAATACGCTCGTACCTCGACGCTCGGATGACTTTTTATGCCCGTAATCTCCCGGGGAATTACCGTCGAATGCGACCCCCACCATGTTGGATAAACTCTCTTCGCCTTTTGAAACGGGTCAGTGCCGAAAAAATAAACGCGTTCGCGGGACGTGGGAATAACAAAAACTACCGACACTAATAACACTTTAATAACCGGATCAACCTCGATATAAACCGTCGCTCTTCGCGGTTTACACCAACAATCACAATAAACGGTATGTTATCGGAAAAATAACATCTGCGCGTAGGCGTAAATCCCCGTCGCACTTGTCCAAACAACTTTTTTTTTATACGCTTTCGCAAACAACTCGAAAACGGCCGCCACGTGTTTGCACAGCCGTCTTCGATCGTGAGAACGTGGACGCAGTCGCGAAAAATACAATCTACTTCAAAAAAAGCAGTCAATTTTTACGCAATCGGTAAATTAAACGATGTTATTAGGATATTTTGATTCATTTTATTTTTTTATCTTAAAATACAGCTCGATTATATGTAAGGGGATTGCCAATCCCGCCATGTTAGCTCTATTTGTCCGTGTCCGAGTTTTTTGTGTTGCCCATGGTTAGGCTTAAAATCGTCGGAATTGTTGAGAAACAAGTCAGAATTGTGACGTAAACCACAGATGGCTTCATAAATAACGGCCAATCTCTAGGTGGGAGTTACCCGACGCCAAAATTGTTACTGTTAAATGTTACTATTTTATTGTTTCCCGTACATTTTCATCCTGCGGGCACTTGTAAAAAATATCAGAAAAAATAACGTTGAACTTTTCAAATGTAAATAAATCAAAAACTTACAGAGTCTTTTTACGAAAAATGACGAAAATTATTTCAAATTAAAAAAAAAATCATTCGATTTATTTAACAAATATTGCGCTCTTCAGCGGCAATGCGACGAATCAATGAGTACAATTAAAAAGTTGCACGCCCTGTATCTGCGAAACCGGCGCCATTCATAATATTTTGCGGCCTCTACCTTCAGACCGGACATTTTTTATGAAAATCGTAAATTCTGAAATGATTTTCAAAAATTCTAACTCGTGTCCGAAATTCTGGTATGTTTCTCCGGAAATTTTTATTTGTTTTTCAGGATTTCCCTTTTATTTTTTATTGAGCAAATTAATGAAGAAATAATTTTAAATTAAAATACACTTAAAATTGTTTCCTAGAGTTAAATGGTGGTTTAGGATAAAATTTTAAGCTAATAGAAATTTTTATTTCTATTTTTATTATTATTTCGACTTGTTTTCTTGGAATTCTGAAGTGATTTTCGGAAATTTTGACTTGAATTGTAATATGTAATAATAAATTTTGACTCGTTTTTCACAAATTCCAACAAGATTCTCAGAAATTGCCTTGTTGTTCGGAAATTTCGATTTAAGTCAAAAATTCTGACATGTTTCCCACAAACTTTGTTTCGTAGAAATTTTGACGCGATTCTCAGAAAACGTGAGATACTTTTCGGACTTGCGGGAGAAATTAACTTATCTCAGAAATTTTAACTTGTTTTTTAGACATCCTAACACGATTCACAAAAATTCTGATTGAAGTCAGAAATTTTGATATATTTTTCGGAAATTTGACTTTTTTTTAATTTTTGGCGGCGTTTGAAGCGCTTTCGCACGAGGAGTTCTTTTTCGGCAATCTGTAGCCGAGCTTCGCGATCTCCTCGCGTAATCGTTCTCCCGTTTGTTCGGCGACCACCACGCAGAAATCGATCCTCAAGAGGCGGTGAACCCAGAGGCCGATCGAGCCCAGCTCCTGCACCCAGTAGACGTCGGGGGGCGGCCCGACCGACGAAAATTCCCCGACGAAGGCCACGTCGACGCCGTCGCCGACGGGGCCGCCGTTCCGCACGCCCCAGCCCCTGCCGACGTACACGTTGCCGTCGCCGCCCACCAGGAAGTTGTGCCGGATGTCCGGCAAACCGTCGACGTCCATGTCGCGGTTCTGCAAGTGCTGGACGGCGGCCCGGCACGACTCCAAGTCGCGGCACCGCCCGCCGCCCGTCTGCCCGACGATCAAGCGGGAGGCGGGCTCCGTCGTCTCGTTTATCCACGTCGGGGCTCTGCCGAGCCACCGGGACCGCTCGACGACGGCTCGCGTCGCATTCCGGGGCGCCGCCCCCGTCGCCGCCGTCGCCCGGTAGACTCCGCACGCCGTCCCTAACGACGCCAGCACGAGCGTCGCGACGGCGATTACGGCGACGCGCTTCCCGCCCTTCGCCGCCCGGCGCACTAAAACAAACGCGCACTCCTATACCGCCCCGCGCACTCGGCCGGCGTTCAAGCATCGCGCGCATCTACGGCCCTTCTACGATCTCCGGCGAGTAGTACTTCCACCGGGATACCGCGTCGCACAAGTTTCGGCCCGGACTGTCGGTCTCCTCGGTCTGGTTATGGCACACCACCCGCAAGGTGGCGCCGTCCAGGTAGTCGATGAGGACGCCCACGTAGACCACCGCGTTGCCCGCGTCGAGCATCTTCGGCGTGGGCACGTCCACGTCGAAATCGCCCGCGAACGCGACGTCCACGGTACCGTTCGGGCCAGCGTTTCGCACTCCCCACGACCTGCCCCTGTAGATGTTGCCGTCGCCGCCCACCACGAAATTGTACCGCACGTCGGTCAGGCCGTGCACGTCCATGTCTTCGGCCTGCGCGGCTCTCATTAATGCGGCGCACTCGGCGAAATCGCGACAGGTCGCGCCGCCGGTGTGCTTCACGATCACCAGAGAGAGAAGCGGGTCCGTCGGTTCGACGGACCGGGCGTCCCTCGCGCCCCACTGACTCCGCGATACAAAAACTGGCGTTTCGCCGCTGCCCGGAGTCGTCGTGGTGGCGGTGGAACCGACCACGGTACTATCTCCGGTGGTGGCGTCGATCGGCGAGTTCCGCTCGCTGGACCCGTAACGCACAAAGGTAGCGACGACGAAGACGACGACGACGACGACGACCGCCCCTACGACCGCGCCGACCTTGAGGTATTTGGCCACGTCGCTACGGGGCGGATTTCGTCGCACCACTACGACAACGGCGCTCGATAAGTTCGAGAAACGTCGAAACGGACACGTACGCGACAAATGGACTTAAGCGTGGGGCGGGGCTCGCGTGCCGTCGACGATCTCGCCGGAGTACCACGGGGTCCACTTGACCACCTCGCGGTACAAGTTCTCGCCCGGACTGTCCGTCGCCTCGGTCTGATTGTCGCACACGACGCGCACGTTCAGGTCGAGGTTGCCCCACAGCACGCCCTTGATTACGATCTCCTTGCCGGCGGTGATCATCTTCTGCGTGGGCGTCGCCACCGAATAGTTACCCGTGTACGCTATGTCGATGGTGTCGTTCATTTGGGCGTTGCGCACGCCCCAGCCCCGCCCCACGTACACGTTACCGTCCCCGCCCACCACGAAATTGTACCGCAGGTCGGGCTCGCCGCCGGCGACGTCCTCCGACTGCAGCGTCTGCATGAAGCCGAAGCAAGCGTAGGGGTCGTCGCAGGAGTCGCCGCCCGTGTGTTTGACGATCACCAGCGGCACCGGCTCGTCGAGATCGAGCCGGGCGACGGGCGGCCTGCCGCCCCACTGCGTGCGGTTGAAGAAGTAAATGTCTAAGATGTTGCCGGGTCTGTCGGTGGTGGTGGTGGTGGGGGTGGTAATAATGGTGGTAGGCGAAGACGGCAAGATTTCGTCCGTCTTGCCGGCGGCGCGGACCTGCAGGGCCACCAGCACGGCGGTCCCGACGAAGGTGCCCACCATAAGTGCGACCGTGACCGCTTTGCAGCGGCGCCCGCGCGCTTTCGACGCCGGGGGGACGACCCGCACTAAAACAACGGAAAACCGTAGTCGGGCGTTCGCAAAAATCGTGCCGGCCTTATCGGTTTCGTCCTCAATAATTCCGTTCCATTTATTTCCAATTTATTATCGGAGAAAGCGACCTCGCGTTATTTCTTCGTTGTTCGCCGCGTCAATTTAATAAGCGAACACAGAGCGACACAAAAGCCACGAGCACGCACATACACAGAACCCAGATAGCGTTCACTCTCTGGACGTTCGTTTTTGTACAAATTCTGGACATCCAGTGGCGGATATTTTTTCAATATCCTCTAAACATTCCACCGTTACGTAAAAAGATGTGATAATAAGGCAGTTTCGGTCAGGGTTTAATTTCTGCTTAAATTTTTGTACTGCTATTATTAGTAATACTGTTTTAAGACTTTTGAAAGTTGATTTGCATATGATAGTTTTTCGAATCATCGCGAATGGCGCCATTTTGTATAACTACCTGATTAAACCGATTGAAAATAGTAGTTTGGCAACATTGTAAAACTAGACGTCATTTAATGAATAAAAATTCTTCCACCAAACAGGTAAAACTGCAGGATTACTGACACTCTAATGCCAACTGAAGAAAATCGTCAAAAATTACAAGTTGAAGTTCAAATTAAACCCGCATAAAACACGTAGATACGGCGGATATAGGCACGGAATGCACTCAGCACTTGGTGTGAATTTTAGGCCGACCACAGATCCGCTAGAAGAAGAGATCGGTCTTCTTCTTTTCTCAATGTCTGGACACCCCAACCTTAACATCCCAACCAAACAATTCTTGTCGTAAATTATTATTACATTCCATTTCTTTCTTCCGTGGTATTTAAAAAATATTTCCGCACTTGGATTACAAAAGTTTTAAGTGTGTAGCCAAAACGACATCCAGAAGAAAAGTTGAATTTTTAATGGCTTAAAACGTGATATATTCGGGAAATGTTACCGAAAGGCGGTCGAGACGACGGCACCGGAGACACGCCCCTTCCCTGCAGTCCTTACCTTCTTTTTTGAACTCGGCCGTGTGGCCTACGGTGCCCCTGTCTCCTTGCGCGTAGACGTGTTGGATGAGGGTGACGTCCCCGTTGAAGACTGTGTCGTGGCCGATGCGCACCCCGCTAGACTCTACGACGTTAATGTTGGGATTGGCACCGACCAAGTCGTCCTCCGGGACGGCGATGGTGCCATTCTGAAACGCGAACATCGATTCGTTATTTTGGGACACCCGGTACTAACCGCGTTGAATCGTTTTTATGACGCGACGTTGGCCTTGGTACTCGTCGGTGCTACCGGAATATTAATAAGCAGACCCGTCGTTATTCGATGGCGCCCCAAGTTTCGGGTGACTTTTTTTCGAAAATAGTCGGAACTCGGAAACACAGGCGGCCATTTTGAGACGTCACTTACGCTGAGGACGATCTCTTTGTCTCCGATCGAATAAGGGTAGATCTCGGTCGACTCGGCCGAGCTGCCGCTACCGCTGGGACTGGGCGCCAAATCATCCCTGCTCGTTCTACTGTGGGACGCTTGCTGCGTCATTTGCGGTCTTGCATCGCCTTCAGTGGCGTCGGGACCGCTTTTTAGCCGATGTCGCGCAACGTATCGCGTTGTTGTCACGATGGTACTGTCGGCGAATACATGGCAGCGCCGTAATCTCGAAAGATTACAGATAAGTTTGCAACATTCGCGGTCGCGACCAACGCTATCGAGTTATTTGTTTGTTGTTGGGTTTCGATGGGCCGTGGAGGGGGCCGGCGATATCGTTCTCGCTATGCTTCGGGAAAACCGTGTTTAAGAACGCGTCGCGTTATCTATCTTTGCGTACTACAACACACGCGACGGTTTGCAGCGATCTATGTCGGTCGCACTTAAGGTTTAGCCACGGTCACCGATAGATGGTGCTTCCTGCATTTTATAGATGGACCAAAAAAAAACTAATTCGGCGGACTTATTTAGAAGCCCGTTTTCTTAGTTTAGTTTGTTTGTAAATGTATCCGACAATTTTTAGCATTTGAATAATTAATTTACCCGAAAAAGACAACTAACAACTAGTCACAGAATTGCACGAGTGGTTCCAGCAGTCTTGCGCAATGAACGTAAAGATGAAAAGAAGAACCCCACAAACCCATTTTCCTTAGTAGTTTGTAGCATAACCCCGATTTCTTTGCGGTTGCTCGAGATGGTTTGTGACAAGTGCCAGAAAAAGGTGGGCACCGTTATCACGCCGGATCCTTGGAAATCGGGCGCGCGAAACACAACCGAGAGCGGCGGCAGGAAAGTGAACGAAAACAAAGCGCTCACGGCATCGAGGAACAAATTCAATCCATACACGACCAAATTCGAAACCTGCAGGTAAGCTTTAACGATCGTTTTGCGTCGTTGATAGATGGTGCCCCGCGACGCGTCTAATTGTTGAACGTATTGAATTTTGTAGAATATGCAGACAAAAAGTTCACCAGGCGGGGTCGCATTATTGTCAGTCTTGCGCGTACAAAAAAGGCATTTGCGCGATGTGCGGCAAAAAGCTGCTGAGCACGAAAAACTACAGACAGTCGTCCGCTTAAAACAAACATAATTAATTTAAAGTGTACATTATATAATTTTAAATGCTCCCAGCTATCAATCCTCCCAACATTATTTAAGTTTTGTAGATAGTCGAATAATCTCTAAGTTAATATAGTATTTGCAAAAAAAAGGTTGGCATTTTTGATATTAGAAGCGGTTGTAAACGAAAACAGTCTGAAATGAATGTTGTGGGCAAATGGAGCCCTATTTAAATACTTCCTCTAGTTATCGATCGCAATTTCATTACATTTTATTGCATTTTCAACGAACGATGCCTATCAATCCGGAAAAGGAGTTATTTAAAGAGGTCGAAGCAAAGGAATAACCGAATTGGGATAAGGATTTTCTTGTTTTTAAATTGAACTGTTAAATGGAACGATTGATTCCGATTGCACCCCCTTTTGAGCATCATCCACTCTTTTAAAACAAAATTATGACCCATTACATTGTTTTTTTTTGTGTGTTTAATGTGGTGGCGTTGCCTATTTATCGAAAAGGTGGTGCAAGGGAAATTAAAGGAAATGTAAGGTTAGAAATACTCGCAATTATACTTCTGTCGTGTTTATTGATATATTTTAAATAGTCAAACAATCTTTAAATTACATACAGTATATACAGAGAAACAAATAACACTTAACAATACACCAACGATTGCTATTACTCGATGACACATGGAGGTAACTGCGTTGGATATGCCGTATTAGTAATAAAATTTTCCAACAACAATGTGAAAAATAGTAAAATATATAATAAAAGTGAACGATATATATATATATATATAAACGATGTTTCATCTATTTAGACTTGAGCGTTCCTTAACCTGAGCTTACCTGAAATTAACTACGTCACTTGTCCTTGCCGACGGTCACGTTGGTGACGTTCGCGGGGTTGAACACCCACTGCTTGAAGCCGCTCTCCGCGCTGCCGTTGGTCGATATCTGGACGGCGTCCGAGGCGGCGTCGTGCTTCCTGGGGGCGATGGGCGGCCTCCCCGACGGCGTCGGCAACCCCGACGGTATCTTGGAGTTGTTGCGGATCGAGGTAACGGTCACGTTCTTCGGCGGTTTAATTTTCGACGCGAAAGGCGTAGACGTGGACATCAACTCCAGGATGGCCCTCTCGTTCTCGTTGTCCAGGTTGCGCGAGTCCCGCCTCTCGGGACTCATCGGCGGCGTCTTCGCCGTCGTCGCGATGGGGATACGCGACTTGGGCGGCGTCGTCGCCGTCGAGTCCCTCCTCTCGAAATTCGAGCGCAGCAGCTCGAACGAGTGTCGCTTTTCCGGCGTTTTCCGGCCGCCACCCTCGTAGCTGGACGTGCTGAACCGCATCTCGGGCAGCCGCTTCAGCTGCTCCTCCGCCATCTCCTGGATCTTGCTTACCTGCTTCTCGATCTCGCTCGGCTCCTCGTCCGCGATGATCGGCCGCGGCTCCTCCCGAATAAACTCCTCCAGGTTGTTTTCGAAATTCTGCATGTTGCTCTCGAAGTTCTCGAGCCGCGATTCGAAATTTTTCACGTAGTTTTCGAACGCGCTCTCCAAGTGGTCGCCGTTCGAGACGGCCTCGTCCCGACCGGGAGCCGTGAGCACCTGGATCTCGGTCACGTACGTCTTCTCCGGACCGTCGACTTCCAATCGGGAGAACGTGCTCTCGACGATCTCCACCACGTCCCGCGCGGGACGAACGTCCTCCTCCGGGGCCGCGTCCGCGACGCCGACGTCGTCGATAGCGGCGACGTAAAGTTCGCCCGGCTCGTTGACGCTAAATTCGAGGCTGTGCAGGTTCGAGCCGCCGTTCTCCGCGACGACGACGTGGCTCGTAACCGTCGCGTGCCGCGATACTTTCAGGTCGTCGGGCACGTTGGTGTCGTGCTCGTATCGCGTCCGTTCGTGGTGCAAAAACGCGTCCGTCGCCGTTTTCGCGTCGCCGACGTGCTTGGTCTCGTCGGGGACGTTGCCGATGCCGTCCATCACTTCTTCCACGAGGGTCGGCGATCGCGGCGGCGATTCCTCGATCTCCCACTCGTCCCGGATCAGTTTACACGGCGCGCTCTCGTCGCCGACGGGTTCGTCCCCCGGGTCCCGGTGCGGCACGCGCTGTCGCGACTTTTTGCCGCCGAAGACGAAGCGGCGCTTCGGCTCGGACGCGAGCACCGTGACGCCTCGGATTTCGCTCTCGTCCGGCCATATCGCGTTGGTGACCGTCTCCTCCGGCGTCTCGCGCTTGATTTGGTTGGCGAGGTCGAGGAGCGCGTCGAATTGCGGCTCGGATCGCCTCCGTCGATCGTTCAAGATGACGTCCTCCAGGTCGCCCCACTCGGCGGACGTTTTCAGTCGGTTCCTCTGGCACGTGTTCAGACCGTCCAGGATCACCGAGAGTCTCGGCTCCTTGTCGATGATCAGATTCTCGGTCTCGTCGTAGATCTTTTTTTTCACCAGGTTGGCGCCCGACGCGTCGGCGATGTCCAGGCTTTGGGCGCGCTCCAGCGCGCCCGTCTTCGACCTGGCCGGCTTCAGCTTGGACAGGTCACCGGTGCTAGCCGTCTTGCGCTCCTCGTCCTCCGACTGGTGGACGGTGACGTCGCCCGGATTGAGCTCGATGGTGTTCACCGACGACAGGTTCCCCGCTTCCTCGTCCGAGTCCGAATGGTACGCGGGTTCTCGTTCGGGAGGCGGCGCGGGCGCGGGCCCTTTGCCCTTCTTCTCGGATTCCGCGACCTTTCGGTTCGACCTGGCGGCGTTCGCCGCCTCCGCCAAGTAGTCGGGTATCTCTCGCGGTACCCCGTTCTTGTCGCGCTCGATGTCCGAGTCGCCGCGTTCGAACTCCGCGGACTTCCGCTCCCTTTTCCTAGGCTGCGGCCGATCTTCCGCCGCGTCCGCGTCGTCCGCCTCCAGGTTCAGATTGTTCTCGTTCTGCTCCTCGATTTTCGGGCTCCCGTCCACCCCCGGGTGGGCCGGAGGAGGTTTCGCGGCCGTTTGCACCTGCGCCGCCGTCACCACCTCCTCCGGGTCCGGTTTCCTCGCCTTGGACCTTGGCGATTTCGACTCGAGCCTATCGGGGAGGGCCGCGGGACCGCCCATCGACTTTTGCAAGCTGGAGTAGTTCGAGCCGGACGAGTAGTCCTCGCCTCTCGCGGACTTGGTTATCTGCAACGTGACGACCCACCTGAGCACCACGCCCATTTGTTCTGATACTCCTAAAAATATTGAACACGGAACTCTCCCCTGGTGGTAAGTAAATTCTAAACATCAGAATCCATCAAAAACGGTTTTGTGGATGTAAACATAAAAAATTCCTATTTTGAAACAGCTAGAATTCATGCGCAAACACCTCATATTTAATATTAACCAACAAATAGCCTGTATGGAATGAAATGAGAAAATTCTATAAGAATCTGTGCATTCCGCTGAATGCAAATAAAAAAGTGGCCATCTCCCGAAGAGCCTCCAATAACCCCATAAAATAAATTGAAATCTTATTGAACAAAAGGAGATATTGAGAACCTGCTTTCTCACTGCTGACGATGCCCATTGCATATTTTTTAGGAGTCGCCATAAAAATAGATAACAAGACAGGATGAAATTGAATGGAGACAGGTAGGTGTATTTTAAATGGCTATTGGTCAGACAAAAAATAACAAGGCGAAGCTGGGAGTACGCCTAGACGTGCTATGGCTGGATCACTGAGTGATGAAATATCCAATAAAATCATTAAAGAGACAGAAAGTAACTGACATCTCAAAACGTATGGCCCTGTTGGAATGACGAAATTATGTAAAAAAGATCGCGGAAAATCCATGGAAAGCACATTTCATGACTCCAATTGAACAACAAATTAAAAAAGGAACAGCGACGATAATATTATTGAGGAGAAAGATGATTGGATTAAATAGATAGCTTTAGTTTATTTCGGCGGGAGGTATTCTATACCCAAACCCAACGAATGCACTCAAAGAGGGAAGGTCTAAAGATTAATATAAATAAAACGAAATTTCTGGTTGTTTCGGTTTAAGTATTTGAGCGACTTTTTTTGAAGCTAAATACCATCAAGAGGCTGCAGAAATCTACATGACACTTTAAGAAGAAGAAGAAGTTCCTTATGGTTCAAAATGATAATAATGATTTGGACAGTTTCTTACGTGGTACAAGTCGGTGCAAGATGCGTTGCGGTAGACGGGGTGACGCGGGGTGCCCGAGGGGCCGTGACCGCCGCCGCCGCCGCCGCTCTTGGCCTCGACCATAACCTCGTAGGGGCTGGCGTAGCTGAGGATGGCCAGCGCGTCTTCGTACACCATGTGCTCGAAACTGATGGTCACGCTTCGAATGCGATCTCCGGCGACGAGTTTGCCGGACTCGAAGGCGGGTCCACGGTGCAATACGTCCCTCACGTAAATGCCGTCCTTCATATTGCCGCACACGCTAAATCCCAGGCCGGTAAAGTCGCGGCTCTTCAACGCCACCACTTTAACCTCGCAATTCTAAAAAAAAAGGGGCAAGGGTTTAGCCCAGCGCAGCGCTCGCCGATTCCTTATCACTACCTCCAGGACGGAGTCGTCCAAGGCGCGTTTCTTTTCCGGTCTCGCGGCGAGCGCCGCCAACGGGGCCCACGGCGTCCACTTGGGCGGTTTCTCGGAAACGAGCGTCGCGTCTGAAACGACGCATTGAAGTATTGCGGGGTCGCGACGTCGCAAACCGATACTCACCCTTAAATCCGGGATTGTCGAACGCGAAGTCGCTTTTCGGACCTTTCTCGGGGTCGCTTTCCAAAATCAGGTGGCTGCCTGCAACGTCAAGCGCCAAATGTTACGGCTTGTTCACCCGCATATACTTCGACCAGAAATGTAGTGCTTTTACAACCGACCCCGCGATTAACTTTGCCCACTGTTTATTACTGCAAAACCGCAGCCCCTTATAGAACACCCTACCGAGCAGACCCCAAACCATTCCAGGATCGGCCTAGCAATTTATCTACCTACACCGCAGTCGACGGAAAATAGCGGCCTGGGCGCATATTGCAGGTATTGGTGGTCACGTGACCCTAATAGATCCAGGATTGAAATAGGCTGCATCGCAATAAAATGGTTTCCTAAAGATTACCTCTAATATCTAAAAGTATTTAAAAACTTATTTTACAGTCACGTATTATTTATTATATTAGTATCAAAACATGCAATGCAATGTAGGTGTTATTGTCGTCAAATCTTACAATCGATTTAAACAAACTTATCTCCCAGTCATGAAACCTTTGTGGCATTTTCAAAGGTTTTTTGTGTCTCTGGGCTTGCTTTTAACGCAGCGTCTATTTGCTCTGTTTCGACATCACCTAAACGAACAACATTGGGCTGTGTTTGGGTGAAGTACTTTGGGGCATTCTCGAAAATAGTTGGCACAGCACCTTCCGCCAATTTTGGCCTCTCGCGAGCATATTCTTTGTGCTCTCCTTTAATTAGGCACTTGTCAATCCAAATAACATCTTTCTCTGCAAAATGTTTTATACATACAGCTGGTTTCTTTAATTGCTAATATCATGAGGTATCTTTCTTAGTCAAACTTCTTTTTGATTCGGGTCAGATGGTACACTGAAAGTGGAAACGGGTCCCGTTTCTTCGAACTTGTAATTTGAGCGACACCCAAAAACACAACAACATCGCGGCATGTTTGCACTGTTCTTTGTACTTTCTGGTACTTGGTTTTTATCACAAATGCCCACGGGTTTTCTCAAACATTTATCAAAAAACCGTTGCGGTCCATCTCAGGCAAGACCTTCATAATAGAAAATAAAACGATCCTGGGAAGTTCTGCGGTTAAGGTGCTGCAAAACACTTAAAATGTCAAAGCAATAAATGCACTATATTTTTGGTCGTATTATACAACTGTTGCAAATGTTAAATTATGATTTTATATTTTAAGAGTTAAGTTAACAATGTCTATTTTGTGTTATGTGCCTTTTGGTTGTGGTCTGTGTTTTTTGTTTTGACCAAAAACTAAGAGAGACAGAAAACAACGGAACTGTGGTGGTGGTGAACATGTTTTAAGGCATAAAGATTCAGTTAGTTAGAATTCCGTTTTATCATTTTTTAACAGGACATAATCATCATTAATCAGAATGGCTACGTCGTTTTCCATCGGCAGAGGATCCTCTTTTGCCATTTGGCTTCCAACATTCAATTACTTATGGAACGGTGTTATACAATCGAGAAATTAAATTTTAAATGCTTAATCTTACTGTTAAAACTACCGGGATCGTTCAGCCCATATATAATCTAGTAGAATTTTCTTCTAAAAACTTTTCACAAACAGTTGGGCAAGATTACTATGACCATTCGCCCATTTCAAAATTACGCTGCGGTAAGGCCAATGTTTCGCGAAAGTGAAAATCTCTTTTTCGGGGGGTCTGAGTTGAACGTGAAAGCACAAGGGAAATATTTGGATAATCCTACGGTTTATATATTTAGTCATAGATAAAAAAAAAATACAAGTTGACCCAAACATGGATCTTTAATTTTCCAAAATTCAAGACCTAGATTTGTTTTAAGTTATTTTTAAAATACAATTTTAAACAAAACTCAAAAGAATTTGATTTTCGGTTTTGTTATACTTTTTATATTACTAGCCAAAATGGTGCTATTGTTGTGATTAAGTTGTTCCATCAATATAATAAATAACTACCACTAAAAACTAGCAGTATTTTTGAAATAAATAATTGCACACTTGTTAATTCTACATGGCCGGACTATATAGATAATAAATAATATATAATTAATAAATTCAGCTGTTTAGCAACGCCGTGTAGCTGACGACCGCAGTTAAAATTTCTTCCACTAAAAAGTACTTTAAGTAAGTACTAAAGAGTACTTTAAGTTTCCACGCCCGAGATCCACCATCTCCGTGGCAACAAGCATTCCTAACCGGCAACTTATATCCCCATCTGGCGGTACACCGTAAAATTAGGAGGTTTCGATGGGTCCAAGTAAGATGGCGCAATTACGAAATCGATGTATCGGTAATATTTTATTATATTAACGGCGGAGAAGACGCGTCTCGGTCGAGAGGAACTCGCGCGCGCCGCTGCCCACTTAATTATGCGAAAACGCCGCCGCACGACTAGAGATTCCTTTTGCATTTTTTCGAAGGCGAGTTTGTTTACAAATAAACGCCCATCCTTTTGCTGTGTACTAACTAGTTTTATTATTGTTTGTTATTTTTTACATTTAGTTCTGGTTCTGGTCAGTTTGTGGGCTCAGAAGATGGAACGCGTATGCAAATGTATGCAATACGGTAGTTTTGGTTAGTTTGATCCGTATATGCGTCGAATCTGGGGCGTCCTTTTGCGGCGCAACGAACGGATGTAATATAAAGATGGTTCTAAAAGGCGCGGGGATTGGTATGACCCGCGCGTTCCCGTATAATAACGACTTCCTCCGCGTCCGTATACGTCCGCGTGTTACGCAAAAGAATGTCGGATAGGTTCGTGTCGTCTCGCGAGCGCACTCGGCGTCGCAGGTACTTATTCTTTCGTAGAAAGCGCAGGGAAAGAAGAATTTCTCAGAAAAATCTCGCGCCGACAGGAAACAGTTTCCCGCGTGTTCCACTGACCACGTTTCGCTCGCAATTAAAGTCGCCACGTCGATTTATAAATATTTATATTTAGCGTTCGTCACCTTTGATCATCTGCCGCCGACGCCTGTGCAGAAAGTAAAGCAGCGCCGCGACGGCGACCAACGACAAAACGGCCGTCAGAACGACGGCCGTCGCGATGCTACCGCCCCCGTAGCACGGCGATTGAGCCTCCTGCGCCGCCGCGACCGAAAGAGTCGCGACGACGACGTAGACGACGACGGTCATGGTGCTCGATCCTCAGGTCCTCGGGTCGGACATTGCCGCGCCGCGTCTGCAACATAGATAAAGAAATGAAACTGTAGTTTAAATCTGAAAGAGAATCTATCATAGTTTGCATTACAACCGCTTGTCGCTAGCGTCGCAAACAAATGACAGTAAAACTGTCTGCGTCATTTCATTTTGTTTCCCGTTTACTGTTAGTTAAAACTAATGTGTAGTCCTACGAATTGTGATATTCGTCAAAAAATATTTTCATAATAATAAAGTAAGTGTCTAGAATGGCATATTGAATTTTATTATATTACGACAAATCCATTGGGTTTTAGGGACCCTACAATGTTTGTGAAAACTATATTTCATGAATTTTTAAATAAATGAATCTAAAAAATAAGTTTTTTCCATTGGCCATTTTATAGAAGAAAACCAGCGCCCCATAAAGTTGTTTCACTCGCATCACCGTTATTTGATTATGTAAATTCGGTAAAAGTTATTAACGAAATGAATTTTCATAAGTACGGGCCAAGTAAATGAATAGCGGCGAACGTGAGAATTCCCGCAAATTCATATTTCGGTCGGTAAAATTAGGTTCACACCCCAGTCACGTTTCCGTTGCAGTTGGCCGTGTATATTTACATCTCCTATCTGTGGCGTCGCTCGGGCAGTGTGTCACAGCCTCCGCGACGACGCCGGGATTTTAATCGCCGAGTTGCGGTTAGACGCTGGAAAGTTTCGAACGCCGCGGGGGGCAGCCGCGAAACCGGTTCGCGAGAATTAATGCCCGGTTTCATAAGCTCGGGCTAAATTAATTTGAGTTAGCCCCTGGCCGGACGTCGTAATTCCGGCACGAAAAGAAGAAAAAGCTTTAATTTTGTTTCAATTTTTCAGGGGCGTGGTTCGGTTAGCAAGACTTACTTAATGCAGAATAAACATCCATTGGGATGGGCCATATTGCCTTGCGAAGCGGTGCCCAAATAAAGGGTAAAAAGAAAAAGCTTACAAAACCGGCCCTTAATCGAGTTTGCTTCGAATAGTACGTGACCTACGTCTGTGACGTAGTACTTTTCAAACGGGGTCGTCGGGAACGACGGGTCTCCCGTGACGTCACGATTTCTCAACGTCGCCCCGCAACGCAAATATTTGCGCAAACACGGCGCTCGTTCGCTGCTATTTACGCCGCGTTACCTTGAGGCCGGCTTAGGAAAAAATGTCCCGTATAATTGCCGCATTTCTGTGCTGCCGCACGTCTCGGCCACCGATTAGGTTCCCGAGATACGGAGTGAAAGTGAACCCGGGAAACTACAGCCAACGGGAGCCCTACGATAAGGAACAGCTCGCACTCTTTTTCGCGCCTCAAAATATCTCGACGTTCCCTTTCCGCCTTTGGGTCATATTCGGCCGTACGAGATTAGCCGCTGGTACGGTATTGTCGAATTAACATAAATCGTTCGAGAGGAGAGAACCTGTTTGCATATCGCGCGTATTTTCGACGTCGTCGAAATTCCGACGATCGAACGCGTACCTGCTTTGAAGCGTTGGTCGCGGCGCCGTCACGGTTTCCTCGCTTTTCGAAAACGGCGGCTCGGCAAAACGAAAATCACGCGGCTGCAAACAAACGAAAACGCACACACGGAGTTGGTACGGCGCGGCTCGCTGCAGCGACAGCACGTTCTCGCGCAGGTGGAAAAGTCGTACTGAACGGTCGACAGGTGTGCCGCAGGTAGGTATGCGACGGAGACGAAAATTTTCGACCGCCCGGGGGTACGGCTTGAACTTGCCACCTCATTCGCGCGGGCTCGCTCGGATCGGACGCCGTTTTTCGGTTACGGACGCGACATAAATGCCCGAATCGCTAATTGTTACCGATTTCAAGGTTACCGCGGCGATACGTAGACACTCTCCTTCGTTATTACAGGTACTATCGTGTGCAACAGCCGCTAAACTTGAAATTTTCGTCAGGAATTATCTCGGCGGTAGAGCGCCATCTCTTAGCAAACGCGTAAACCGACAGGCAGAGTGCGTGGCCGAGTGCCCCGACTAAACTCGGCACGCAAAAAAAGAACGTTGCTTCGCTCTTCTGTGCGTCCGGCGGTGCTCTCTGTTCGTCGTCGGATGCCGCGAAATACAGCAATTGTATTTAGTTGAATAAATCAATTCGTAAAAATGCCGAGCGACACGCCTCGCCACAAAACCAATTCCATCGAGACATCTATCGTTTACACAAGAAAACAAGCTGCTAACGGAACCTTTATTATTAACTAATAATGATAATGTCAATCCGACGGAGAAATGTTCTGGGCGGCGGCGACCAGCGTGTCGTGGATTTCTTTGGTGTAGGAAACCTGCGCCCCGACCGTCGCCAAAAATTGGGGGTACGTAAGGCTGTTGTCGTTTATGCCCAAGTTCTCGTTTCGGGTCGACACCACAGGCAAGTTCAAGTAGCGGTTGCTGCTTTCGGCCTGCGTGAGGCACTTTAAAGACGTTTTCTGAAACCGAAGATTAGAGGCGCCGAGAGTAAACAAAATCGCGTACCAGATGAAGCTCTATCTGGTCGCATATCGAGTAAAACTCCTCTAAGTTCTTGTCGAACCGCGGGAGTTGCATGTCCATCGCCTTCCTACAAATCGAAACTTACTCCACGACAACAATCGTCGCTTCACTTACTGTGAACCCGAGTCCACTTGGCTGTTTTGGCTCAACGTCTGCGCCGCCGTTTTGATTGTGCTCTACCGAACACACTTTTAACAGGGGAGTTACTAAAAAAAATTAAACTTACGGCCAGAGTATCCCGTAGGGGGCCGATCAGCGATTTGATTTTCGAAATGTTGTCTAAGGGCTGCGGGGGTTGCTGCTGCTGGATCTGTTGCAGCTGCTGCGCCTGCTGCAGCTGCTGCTGAGCCTGCTGCTGTTGCATTTCCTGTTGCTGCTGCTTTGTGACGCAGAACTGCATCGTTTTGTCTTGCAACGAAAACATTGCGCTGGTCCGATATCGTATAAAAACGCGGCGAGTATTTGTTTGGAGTTTACGTTTTTAATAGATGGTCAAACTTTATCTGTGGTCGCCAAATGTCATGCAGCTGCGCAGTGTTGCCAAACTCCTATATTTATTCGATTTAACCAGGAAACACAAAATGCCAATATTATGGTTACATTTGAACAGTGTGTTCCATAATGCAACATTTAGAAACTTCTAAGCGAAGAATTTGATTTCGCCCATATTTCTAATAAAGTTCTTTTTTTGCACAATCAATGAACCATACATAGAACAATGGAACATGCTAAACAAGGGTACCTGAGCCACCTATCGCTACATGCCAAAACTAATAAAATAATTAGTCAAAATAGCGTTCGAAAGTAGCTTAAATCCTATAAACTTTTAACTTTTCTTTTTCTTGCGCCAGCTGCTAAAAACACCAAGTATTTTCTGCGAGGCTACTGATAAAAAAAAGGTCGTTAAACGAAACCCGATGTGAACTTTCGAAATGTCACATGTCATTTGCCAAGAATCATATGATCTCGGAACTTTGTAGTTCAGGCAAGTGAAGGCGTAGTCTCTATCTATTAAGCGAATTACTTTGGTTTTCGAGCTCGACGGATCTGAAACCGCTTCAATATGGCTCTCAGCGACGCAGACGTTCAAAAACAGGTAAAATAGTGATTTATTTATGTATTTCATTATTATTGCGTTCCTTTTTTTCGGTGCTTCTCCTCCAGATCAAGCATATGATGGCTTTCATCGAGCAAGAGGCCAACGAGAAAGCTGAAGAGATAGATGCCAAAGCCGAGGAGGAGTTTAATATCGAAAAGGGGCGCTTGGTGCAGCAGCAACGTCTCAAAATTATGGAGTATTACGAGAAGAAGGAGAAGCAAGTGGAGCTGCAGAAGAAAATGTAAGTGGTTCAATGATGTTTCGCTGGTTTCCGTCACCGGCTGTTTTAGTCAATCGTCGAATATGCTGAATCAGGCAAGGCTCAAGGTGCTCAAGGTCAGGGAAGACCATGTGAGGGCCGTATTGGAAGAGACGCGTAAAAGGTTGGGCGAGGTGACTAAAGATCAAGGTCGCTACGTCCAGATATTGGAGTCGCTGATCCTGCAAGCATTGTATCAGCTGTTCGAGTCGACAGTTACTGTAAGGGTCAGACCCCAGGATCGCGACTTGCTCAAGTCCATTCTGCCCACAATTTCGAAAAAGTATCAAGATATCACCGGCAAAGACGTCAAGCTAGTGATCGACGACGAGGTCCAGTTGTCCCACGAGACCACAGGAGGCATCGAACTGTTGGCGCACAACAACAAAATAAAAATTAACAACACGCTGGAGGCCCGTTTGGATTTGATCTCTCAGCAGCTCGTGCCCCAGATACGTACGGCACTGTTCGGCCGCAACGTCAATCGCAAATTTACGGATTAGATAGTTTTCGGTGCATTCCTAGTATTTGTAAAACTATAGTTAAGATGTTATGTATTCCACTGTATTTGATGTATGTATATAATCCACCGCTGTATTTTGTTGGAATAAAAAATCTGTTGTCGAAATAAAATCCGACGTTGCCTTTTAATTTTTTATTTTCATATTTTTTCGTAACACTATTCAGTACGAGCAGTGACGTAACCCAAGTTCCTCGTTCCAGACACCGCCGTTGATGTTGATAGATTGGCTCCCGTCCGCTGAAAACTCAGTGATTTAACCGTGGTCACAGAAACGACGACGCTCGTGCGCTTCTACGTGTCGCATGACAGCTCACCGTGTTATTTGTTGTCGTTTCCTTCTATTCCTCCCGAACGTCACTTTGAAAAACGTCTCCGTGGCGTTTACACGCGGCTATCGCTCGGATAAACGTTTACGTCGTGCTCGGTTTTCGCGTAAAGATTTTTTAACGAAGAAAAGCAATAATGGCGCCCAAACAAAGAATGCGCATCGCCAACGAGAAAGCTAGTAAAATGGTAACGATGCGGGGCAACGTACCCAAATCATCGGTAAGTATAACTCAACCATATTGTTCGTTCCAGTCGGACTTGTCGAATTCCGTTTTAATTTATAGAAACAAGATAAAGATCAGTCGCCGGTGGGCCCCTGGCTCTTGGCCCTGTTCATCTTTGTCGTCTGTGGCTCGGCTGTGTTCCAAATAATCCAGTCGATCAGGATGGCGTAGGACCTCTTCAAGTCTAGGTTAAATTTTCACTCTTCCAAATTTGAACCTCTCTTTGTCATTACAAAAGCGTTATGTTTGTGTACATATATATAAAGAATATCGTTTAATAAGGGCGTAAACATATCTGTGGGAGATATTCATGCTGTAGCATTCCATGGGTTGCAGTTTGTGTTTTACAATTTAATATATTTTACTTTGACAGTGGCGTTTTATTGGTACGGTCTGTGGCTTATGTGATTAGTCGTTAATAAACGACCCTCTGAATGTGACGTAGTTAATTTTTATGTATTTGTAATGAGGTATCGAACTACGCAAAAAAAAACGATTCGGTGTAATGTTTGTGTGCTGATAACAAAAGCCGAACTTCGATGATCGAAAAATACACTAGCGGCGTGCACCGGAGTAATGAATATATATCTGTTAAATATGTACCTTGAGAAAGTTGACAACGAAAATTTCTTTGTTTATTTTGCTGCCTATTTATTTTTAAGAACAATAAAAACAATTTACTTGGACAGGCAGTAAAAATTCGGGAGGAGGCACAAAAAAAAGACAGGCGACTATTTATTTGTTCGAAATTGTATAAATTACCGGAGTTTCGTTAAATGTGACCGACCTTCTCGAACGTTCGTTGGTGTGGGGTACCGTTAAATTTTGGGGACCGCGCAACGACAGCAAGGAAAATTTTCTGATGCTGTCGCGCAAACTGGACACTCGCGGAAACGCGGAATTTCGCGAAGCCGGCGCCCCGTTGAGAAAATTCTCAGTTATCGCGTCGTTTAAATGGTGCAGGGTGATTTCGACTACGAGTTTGGCGTCGCAGTTGGGATTTCGTTCGAGGAAGATGAGCACGTGCCGCAGAACCCTCATCTCCTGCTCCTGACTGATCTGAAATTCGATACCTATTTGGTTACCAGATAAGACGGTTATGCCTATGCTAATAAACTGAGATGCGCATGCGCGGCCAATTGACATATTGTCGACCAATGAGAGCTCGCGACGTTCAATAACCAACATGGCCGCTGATAGTTCGTCAGTTTAGATACAGCAGAATGGCAGTAATTTCTCAAAATTTGCTCCGTTAAGCGTCCTGGAAAAATGAGTTGAGTGTGGTAGAGATCGCCGTTTAGAAAAATTGCAGGTTACTGGGTAAAATTTGGGGCCACACGACTTTATGAAAATTCACGGCCGCCCGAGACGCATCGGTTACTACTATATTAACGAACCAAAACTTTACTTACCTTGTTCAAAGCGCGGCGGATTTTTAATTCGTCTTTGGTGCTCATCCAGTAAGTTTGCGAAGTTTTTTTCGTAAACAACCAGGTGTAACTGTTATTGTTGACGAACGCGCGTTCCGCTAGTTTGGCGTGTTGGAGCTCCATCAGAATTTGTATCTGAAACGGGGCGTATTCGCTACAACGTACGAGGGCGCGTAACGCTCACCTGTTGAACAAATTGCGACTTCATCCCGCGAACGGTGCCGACGGAAAAATAATACAATCTATCGAGAAGGAAACAGAGTTTGGGGTGTATTCCTGTTGTGTCTTATAACGTTTTGTTGCGAGACTGATTGTTTTGTAAATATAATATTCTATTTGCCGCCCCAACGCGCTCGCTCGTATTACGATCCGATTCTAATAAGCGCGAGATAAAGAGCAAAGTAAATAGTTATTCGATTTATAAATATAGGATTCCGTTTTATTATATCTCTAATTGGGCTTTCGGGCGTTCCGTGAAAATATTAGAGGGTAAATCGATATTGTATGTTTGGTTGCCTATTTACAAGCAGAGAAAAAGGAGCAGCGTCCAATGTTACAAGTTTTGTTTTAGTTGCTCTAAACTCTCTCAGAGAAGTACGTTGTCGGTGGCAGCGCTTCCAAAATTTTAAATAAATTGCATAGGATTCCGTTTTATTGTATCTCAAATTGGGCTTCCATGAAAATATTATATTGCAAGAGTCTGTTTGCTCGGTTGCCTAGTTACACAAAGGGATAAAGCAACAGATATTCTCTGCTAAATATTTTGTTTTGGTTATTCTAACCTCTATCAGAAAAGTGAATGGCATGTAGGCAAATATTGTAATACCTAATTACTGAGAGCGAGTGCGGCAAAAAATAATGGCGGACGCTCTGTCCGCTGTCCTAAACGGCATATTACGGGTGGAAGGTATAGAGGAAGCATTCAGCTGCTTCCTCGTCCATCGTCCGGAGGCGGAGGCTCATAAAATCGCGGGATGGCAGCAGGAACTGGCCAACATATTCCGAAACGTGCCGCCGGAACAACTGGACGCGACATTGCGTCAGTTCCTTTACGTCACCTCCACCTGCTCGCCGAGCCAGCGGCAATTGCTCATGGGTCTGCTCGAGTCGTCTGTGAGAAACGGCTCGTTGCCGGCGAGAAAACTGTGCGAGTTCCTCGTCTGCAGCGAGACGCTGCAGCACAACAACTGCGATTTTTGGATCGAGTGCTTTCGACTCATTAACAGTATCATCGAGTTGGTAGAGTACAAGGGCGTCAGGGAAATAATGAAAGGTTGTTGCGAGAAGGCCAAGGCGTTGCCCTGGAGGCTTTCGTCAGGGTTGCGACCCCAAACGCGGGCATTGATGGACGTGGCTGGGAAAATTATGAATCGGACCGCGTGTCTTTTACCCGGGTACCTCTTGGTCAACGAGCTGCAAAAGGTGCGTGCTTGAGGTGCGTCGTCGCCTCTTTGGTCACAAGCGTTCGAGTTTCCAGGCATATTCCGAGTGTCCCCATTGGAGTCTCGCGGCGCTATTTACGGACTACATCGACAGTTTTCGCGCGTGCGCCCAAATGGTGTCGATCGTGGGGCACGCCCAAATGCGGCCCGTGGTCGAGCACAGCGGCTGCCCGGAACATCTCGTCAATCCGTGGAAGCTCGACCCGTGCACCTTACGTTTCACCCTCAAAGGCACGTTGCCCTACGAGCCCGAGCTGCTGGAGAAACAGACGGGATTATTGCGGTACGTGCTGGAGCAGCCGTACAGCCGCGACATGGTGTGCGGCATGCTGGGGCTGAACAAGCAGCACAAGCAGCACTGTCAGGCCATCGAGGAGCAGCTCGTCGAGCTGGTGATCGCGGCGTTGGAGCGCACCGAAACCGAGGGCAACGAGACGGACGGACTCTGGCTCCACCTCTCCTCTCAGCTGATTTACTTTGTCCTCTTCCAGTTCGCCAGTTTTCCCAACATCGTGATGTCGCTGCATTCCAGATTGCAGGGTCGCGAGTTGAGACGCGGCCGCGACCAGCTGATGTGGGTGCTCCTCCAATTTATCTCGGGCTCCATTCAGCGTAACCCCCTCTCCAATTTCCTGCCCGTTTTGAAGCTCTACGAGCTGCTGTTTCCGGAGCAGGAGCACCCGCTGCCCGTGCCCGATTTTAATCAGCCGCAGTGCACGCGGCAAATGGCGATGACCTGCATATGGATCCACCTGCTGAAAAAGGCGCAGACGGAGCAGAGCAACATCAGCTGGCCGCTGCCCGGCAAGCTGCGAGCGCACCACGAGTTCCTGCAGCACCTGGTGCCTCCCAGCAACACGTCGTTGGCGATGGGCAACGACTACCGCATCGCGTTGCTGTGCAACGCCTACAGCACCAATCAGGACTATTTCAGCAAGCCGATGGCCGCGCTGGTCGACACGATCCAGGGCAACCCCAAGGGCTCGTCGCAGAGCGTGCCGTCGCTGCCCACGTGCCCGCTGAGCATGGCGGTGCTCGACTCGCTGACGGTCCACTCCAAGATGAGCCTCATACACAGCATCGTCACGCACGTCATCAAACTCGCGCAGAGCAAGTCGGGCGTGCCTTTGGCGCCGGCGCTGGTCGAGACTTATAGCCGGTAAGTTCAAAGCAGTTCAGATGTATCGCTTATCAGTTTGCGTTGTTAATTAAAGCGGCTAGTAGTTCAAATGTACCGATCAGTCCAGGGAAAGAGATCGGGGTTTACGGCTATTTGCGATAGTACAGGGTGTTTAAAAAAGACGCGGCAATATTTAAGAGGCTGATTCCTCACTTCCATTTACAAAAAAAGTTGCCACAAGTGTAGGTTAATTTTAATTTTAAATAATATTTATGAGAACCTTAACTAAATGAAAATTAAAACTACTTTTATGGGAAGTTTTTACATAAAATGGTCTGAGGATTTAATATATAACAGTGCCTTTTTTTAAACACTGAGTCCATTATTTCGATCTCTACGAAACAGGGAGCGATTCATACTGCCAACAAAATGTGACCCATTTCCATTTTCAATCCTCCTTATTTCTTAGTTAGGATTTTTTTTGCCTTTAATTAATTCGTTTATAAATTTCCACTGCCTTTTCCGATCTGTACCGGTTTGTTCCCATTTTTTTCTTGAAAAAAAAAGTGCTTTAGGACAATTAATTTTTTTGATCAGAAAAGGGGTTATACAGTGTGTCACTTATTTTCAATTATTCCAAAAATTACTTATTTATCCCCGGCGTTTCATCAAATGAGTCTATGATCGGAAACACTGTCACAGTAACTAACCACAGCTAATATTTTTACTCGCTTATCTGTCATTCTTGTTGCACAGATTCACATATACGAAAGCGATTATTCATATATTCATTGACCTCAGGAAGGTTCTTTTTTAATAAGCTTATGTTAATGTTAATGTTAATGTTCAAACTTGCAAAGTTATATTTTGAATTAGTACCCTTATGTTTTATGATACATTATTTTCGACGTCCCGCGTCCCTCAGCCTGTTGGTGTACACCGAGATCGAATCGCTGGGCATCAAGGGCTTCATCAGCCAGCTGCTGCCCCAGGTGTACAAGTCGCACGCGTGGGGCACCCTGTACACGCTGCTCGAGATGTTCAGCTACCGCATGCACCACATCCACCCCCACTATCGGGTGCAGCTGCTCAGCCACCTGCACTCGTTGGCGGCGGTGCCGCAGGCCAACCAGACTCAGCTCCACTTGTGCGTCGAGTCGACCGCCCTCAGGCTCATCACGGGCCTGGGGAGCGGCGACGTGCAGCCCGAACTCTCCCGGTTCCTCGCGGAACCAAAAACGATCGTTTCCGCGGAATCGGAAGAGTTGAACCGGGCTCTGGTGCTGACGCTAGCTCGGGCCACCCACGTGACGGGCTCGGACGGCTCGTGGTGCCACGACCTGCTCGTCACGATCGCCCAGAGCACGCCCCACGCGTGGGCCCCCCACACGCTCGACTGCTTCCCGCGCGCCCTCGAGGAGTTCTTCACGCAGCACGCGGTGCCCAAGGAGAACAAGGCGCAGCTGAAGAAGGCGGTCGAGGAGGAGAACCGCAAGTGGGCCTCGATGAACAACGAGAACGACATCATGGCGCATTTCGGGGTGCCGGGCGCGCCGCCCCTCTTCCTCTGCCTCCTGTGGAAGATGCTGCTCGAGACCAATCACATCAGTCCGATCGCTTACAAGTACGTGGGGCGGGGATTTTTCCCACAGTTGCAAGGCCATTATACAAAAAGGACTATAAAGAAAGGAAGGATAAAGGTTACAGGGGCGTTCAATAACTTTTTTGGGTTTCCAAAAGAGTTAGCCCGTACACGAAGCTATCAAAGTTATTGCCTTATTTTTTGACTACTCATGACTATTAGAAGCGATCAAGCGGGGTCACAAGAAAGATGTTAGTGATAATTCTCTGCATGGCGTCATATTAATGATATTGTTATGACCACGCAGAGAAGAGGTTTTCATTTAATTAAGTGAAAACCGTACATGGCATTAAAAAAAAAAAAACAAGAAATTAAATTCCTTTAGAAATCATTCGAGCTGGTCAGAATAATTTTTATTTTAAGAGAAATCAGTGCCTGCCAAGGAAGACGTATGAAATTCCATATGGCCGACACGGGTGTATTTGTAAAAAAATTGTGCTACACAGCTGTTCCTCTTGACGTGTCAAATTTCATTAAAATATTTAAAATGTTATTCCAGATATTAAAAAAATATATTTTATTATCCTGTATCTCAAAAGATTTCGAACACATGCGCATATGAAATTTTTTTTTTCTACTCCCGTCTGTACCCATCGATCTAGCGTGCGGGAAGGCGTCCTAGAAGTTTTGTAAATAGTATGGCAACGGTTTGTGGAAGTTTCTTTCAAAAATTAACTTATTTTTAATCAATCGATGAGGGGCTATAGCTGGCGATCCTTTTTTTTTGGAGGAATGGACTTCATGAATTGAAAGGGGTGCGCTGGGCCGCTACTTTTTCTAATGTATTCGGCAAGCTATCAATGTTTGCGGACGAAGTGGAACTTTTTACAAGTTCTGATGTTCATCAGTTGAATGGTTCCAGATCTAAATGTGAAAGGAAGATGCGGATGATAAAATTAGTCGTTTTCTCATATAGACAATTGCTTTAAAATTTTTGATATTTGTGTGGTACTTCCTATAGACAATTTCAACGGTCAATTGGTGGAATGTTAATATTTGACAGCCGTTGTCAAAATTGATAACTCCCATGCCCTGGCAAATTTGGAAGACGCTCAATTTTCAGCTGTCAATATCTCGAAAACAGTTGAAAAGAAGCCACATGAAAAATATCAAGAATTTTCAAAATATTTTTAAAATATCGTTTACCATCTGTCATCAACGCGAATCAAGCCATATACAGGAAATTTTGTATTATGTTTCATTACGTTCATGTGGCTTTTACGATATTGTGGTGGTCCTGCAGGATATTGGAGCGGATCGGGGCGCGCGCCCTCTCCGCCCACCTTCGCAAATTCTGCGACTGTCTGGTGTTCGAGTTTAGCAACTCGCCGGGCGGGCAGCACGTCAACAAGTGCGTGGACACCATCAACGATATGATCTGGAAGTACAACATCGTCACCATCGATCGGCTGGTGTTGTGCCTCGCGCTCCGCACCCAGGAGGGTAGCGAGGCCCAGGTGTGCTCCTTCATCATCCAGCTGGTGCTGCTCAAAGCGACCGAGTTTCGCAACCGGGTGTCCGATTTTGTGCGCGACAATTCGCCCGACCACTGGAACCAGACCAACTGGCACGAGAAGCACCTCGAGTTCCACCGGAAGTACCCGGAAAAGTTCGCGCCCGAGGAGCAGTCGAGCGGCTACCATCCCTACTTCGGCAACGTGTGTCTCCGCTTCCTGCCCGTCTTCGACATCGTCGTCCATCGCTTCCTCGAGATCGCCCAGGTGCAGAAGAGTCTCGAGATCCTGCTCGAGCACCTGGGCTGCCTGTACAAGTTCCACGACCGGCCCGTCACCTACATGTACAACACGTTGCATTACTACGAGGCGAAGCTGCGCGACCGTCCGCCCCTCAAGCGCAAGTAAGACGCCGTTATTCATGTAAAACAGTTTAATGAACAATGTAAAGATAATTGTACACCCGTCTCACTGCTCCGTATTATGTGGAAGGTGTTTTACAACAGCGTATTTGACTTGTTATCACCAAAATTGGAGTTGAGCAATGGGGATTTTTTTGCCATTATGGCGACGACACTTTCATTTGTGACAACAAATTTTCTGGGTTGATCTTCTGAGGCTCCTCTGCACATACAACAGGTTACAAGGTTACGTCTACATCTTAGAGCCTCGCGCGGTCCATACTTTGCTCGGTTGGGTATTTGAAAATCACCTTTACATTTTTTATATACTTATAAAGAAAAATCCATGCTTATTTGCAATGAGGGGATATGAATATAATATCCCGAAACAATGTTAGCACGTCTCGTTTCGTATAAATAGTATAGGTGTAGATTCTGCAATATTTAAGGGTGCGATCGTTTTATGGAAAATGTACCCGCGGACGTACGTACGAATTTTATTTTTAACCAATGACCTTGCGGCATTCAACAATCCAACATGGCCGCTGACAGATCGTCATACGGCATTTTTACAACAACGTTTTCTCAAAATATGCCTAGATCTCGCTAAAATGTTTTTGGGAAAACGAGTTAAGTGTGTGGAAATTACAGTTTAGAAAGAAAATATTAGATAACTACGAATTAAAGCAACTTTTTTTTCCGGACTTAGTGGCCAGTTTGTTAATCTTTTTTACCAATTTCTTATGCAAACATTGTATCTCGCTATTTGAAAACAAAAATTATGAATATTATTACATAAATGTAATTAAAAAACCGCTTGCTTGAAAAAAGTCACTTTCGTGTTACTGTCACTGACAGGTGACAGTCGTCCCATCCCGTATACGCAGCGTTAGTTCGCTAATAATTAATCAAACAAATCGCACAGACGTGGCAATTTTTGATTTTTTTTTGCTTATTCTCGCATCCACACAAAAATTATTTTCTCGAAAACTGTTAACCCGGTCGGGTTAAAATTCGATTCTATAACTTTTATCTTAAGCTTTTCTTCGATTATGTCTAGGGCGTTTAAATTACGGGCAAAAATATAAAAGATACTGAAAATTGCGTCCTCCAGAGAGAGAATTATTAGCCCTAAATCAAAAGTCAAAATCAAAAATCGGCTCAAACAATATCATAGGCCGCGTCAAGAGCTACAATTTTTGTATTTACGTTTTTTTTTGCGTCTATCACGTCCCTTCTTGAGATATTTGAAAAAATATCATAGTCTCAAAAAATATATATTCTATCAAAAACTATTTACTCTGTTGGAAAAATTAATGGACCGGGATACGTGGGATGTACGTTTTATGCATTATATACAAGGTGTGTGGTTTATGTTTGCAAAATATTTAAAAGATGAACGGCAAAAGGTGGGACAATTTGGTTTAAACAGTAACTGTGTGGAGGGGTACAATTTTCTATTTACAGATATATTTTTAAAAAGTATCAATTGAAATCGTGGTGCTTTAAAATGTAAAAATCAGAACATAACCAACAAAGCAACACTGAACGATCTGATTTTCGACAGAACAGAACAACTAGACATGCGCAAACGCTACTAACCATTTTTTTTCTCTTGAACTAGGACATGTATTTTTGAACCCAGTCCGTGGCTGAGGGTAGCTTAGTAAAAGTGCGGTTTGAGCCGGGCCTTAAAGGGCTCGTGTGCAATAACCCCCGAGATCCTGACAGTTGATTCACTGTACCTCTCTTAATCCTACTCAACAACAAACGCTTTTGCTCCCACCCTTAGGCTGGTCGCGGCAGTCCTCGGCAACCTGAAGGAGACGCTGTCGGAGCCCTATCAGGCGTTCCTGCGCAACACGGACGAGGTGTGGCTGCCCGAGCTCGACTACTACATCCAACTGGTCAAGTAAGCCCCCCGCCCCCCGGCCGCGCGAGCGCGTACTAAACTTTTCGCGCGTCGCAGACGCGTCGTCAACGTGCTGAGCGGCTCCGGGGCCAACTCGAAGACCGACTGGCGCTTCAACGAGTTCCCGAACGCGGGGGCCCACGTCCTCTACACCGCGTGCGTCGAGCTGATGGCGCTGTCCGCGGGCCCCACAGCCGTCGCCAACGGCCTCCTGGACGTCGTCGCCAAGGGCTACGTGATGATCCCGCCCGCCGACGTCCACCAGTGGATCAACGCCATCGGCCTGATCCTGTCCGCGTTGCCCAACAGCTACTGGGGCGTCCTGCACGAGCGTCTCCTGACGACGCTCGCCGAACTCGACGCGTGGCCTTTCGACTGCTCCCCCTTCAGGCTGTTCAATTTCAAGGAGACCCACACGGGGCTCCTCCACAACCGGTTCAGCTACGTGCTCGCGCTCGCGCACTCGGTGTGGCACCACGCGGGGCCCGGCCAGATCGCGAGCGTGCCCCGCTGGGTGAGGGAGTGTCTGCCCTCGGTCGTCCGCACCGAGGAGCAGTTCCTGTTCGTGTGCCACCTCGTGGGGCCCTTCCTGCAGCGCTTCAACATGGCCCTCGTCGACCTGACGAGCGCGCTGTACGAGCTGCTCGCGCAGGTGGACACGTCCCAGGCCGAACTCAGGCACATGGACCCCATCTGCGACCTGCTCTACCACATCAAGTACATGTTCGTCGGCGACAGCATGAAGAAGGAGCTGGAGGCGGTCGTGAGGCGGCTGCGGCCGCCGCTGCAGCTCCGGCTGCGCTTCATCGCGCACCTTACCTTGGAAGAGGTCAACGCCACTTGATAAATCGACCGTCGCCCTTTTTTAAGTTTTTATACATAGCGAAACCGTCATTATACAATCTGAGGAATAGGAAAACTATGTAGTTTTATTACGAGGGGGCTGTGTTATGCTTGGGTTGGGTAGGTTGTAGGTCAATTCTCAACGAAGGAAATGTTGATCACTTGATCACCACAAATTAACCAAAGGATTGGGTGGGGATTTTACTCCAAATCAGTGGTCAGCCGATCAGGAAAAACTTACCGGAAGGAAAAGAAAACTGGTGGCTAGGTAGCAAGCTATCCAGCTATCCAAACAAAACAGCAGCTGAACATTACCTGACCATGCTCAGCAAAAAGGTGGTGGACAATACACAACAACTCAGAATGTCCTTAGCTCCCAGTTAGGAGTGGAGCTTGAAGTGAGGGGGAGGCTGGATGAGTATGGCGAGACTACCTTCCTCCACTTACAGATATAGATTTGCAATTAAAGTGTAAAACTTAGTGATCTCCCCGACAGTAGCAGGGAGAGTTTAAAATTAAAACTACACTTGCGTTCGATTCAGGATTTGCTAGGTTAGGTCTGTTTTATTTTTTTCAAATCTTTACATTATTGGTATTAAGCAATCTGAGAAAAACTGGTCGTTTTCATTACGTGTCCCGCCATTTTCCCTAATCGCTGTCGCTGCTCGAACTGGGAAACGTCGGCGCGGCTGTAACCATTCAAAATCCTCAAAGTGTCACCGTCACTCTGCAATTGTTTTTACCTCGCCGATCCTCGTCGCGCCGCCGCTGCTCTTGTTCAATGTACCGGTTCTGTTCCTCGATCACGCTCCGCGAGTCCGCGCACCGCGAGTACGCTTCCAGCAGGTCGCCGTTGAGCGCGAAAAAAGCGTGGCCCCAGGAAAATTTGTTGAGGTAAAACCGCGCCTCCCGTTTGTACCCCGTGATGTACATGGTCGCCGCAAGCGCTTCCACGCAGCTCAGCTGCGAAGGTTTGCCATAATTGATGGGATTGGCGGCCACCAGGAAGGGTAACAGCCGGCCGTGGGCCGGCTTCAGAGCGGCCAGCGGAGTCTCGTCGATCCTAGCCCACGAGCAGTCGACGACCGCGAGGCCTTTCGAGGCCACGATTTCCCTGTCATGGGGCGCGACGCATTGTTCCGCTACGGGCGTCAGAACGATGCCCGGGAACCGCCGCTTCACCTTCAACGGCTTTATCAGCTTCAAGCGGGCCAGTTTGCGGCCCGAACACTTTTTCGGGTCGCACTGGTTAAAGTCCCACATCGCAACGGTGAAAGCGGCAGCATTTTCTGCAACGAAAACGAATACAGCGAGGCCGGTCACGCAAGTTAAGTTGTACCCCCGTCGCCAGACGAACTCTCATCGTCGCCGGACGCAGAACTCTGCGAATCGCCGGCGTTTTCATCTTTATCCATCGCCGGGGTGGAATAAAACAAGCATACGTGAGTTACCTATATTTGTTTACCGTTTTACTGGAAACCAACCAAAACTAACCATGGAACGCGTTTTGGATTTTGATGTAAAGCTGGGCCGACCGAATGCTTTAAAATCCACGAATCATTGCATTTTTCATTTGTAAACAACTCCTTCACGATTAGAATGGGAAACTCTTTTTTGTTGGCAATGAATACAACTAAAATGTAACAAGCGGCAAGACAAATTGTGAATATGAGCACCACGATCCGTGAATATTTCGAATCGCCCAGCTCTACGAGCACGGAAAATAAATTTGTCGAATTGCACGGGCACAGACGCCCGGTTGGAAACGCAGATCGACCGAGAGACAAATTAGAAAAATAAGCGTTCCGTTTATTTCCATCGATGAACTCAGTTTTTATACAAATTCAGAAAAGTTTTGTTGGGCGGCAGTTGCAACCAGTTGTCTTCGGGGTACGTCGTGCCTTTCCCCTCGATCACGTGGAAAGTGTACGCGTCCCTCGATCGGGACGATCGATTGGCTTCGCTAAAGTGAACCACCTGTCCGTGGATCAATATGCACGTGCCCTTGGTCACCGATACGGGTTCGAAGCTGCTCTTTTGATATACGGGGGCCGGAGAGTCGTAGACGAGCAGCTCCGGAGACGCAGGGTCGCGATTCCTACGGTAACGGCGGTGCACGCCGCTCCGGTGGGACCCCCGCGCGAACCACAGGCACCCGTTTTCGATGGTGGCGTCCTCCAACGCGATCCAAAAGCCCACAACGGAGACGGGCTCCGTGTACAGGTAGGACGCGTCCTGGTGCGGCTTCACTGCAATCGGCGTCGTTAGACCGGACGAAATGCGGCAACGCCGCGTTTACCTTCCGCGTCTTTGCCGGGGTTTTTAAATATGTACATGCTCTGCACCACGAGCGGCTCCTCGAAACCGAGCTGAAACGCGGCCTCTTTGACGCGCTCGCTCGTCGTCGCCCTGCGGAACACGGGATCGTGCTCGTGAAGGGCGTGAGCGATTTTGTTCAATGACGCGCGCGGCGTCCGCGTCAGCAACCCGCCGTCGCGGCCGACGGCGCCCGCGTCGAAAAAATAGCCGATCTTGTCGGCGCTCTCCAAGAAATATGTCGCTTTATTCTGAAAAGCGTAGCCGGAAGACCGAAAGTCAGAGATGAGTTCAATGTTCGACCGCAATCCAATGTTGCCGACAGTATACACTTGCCGGCAACGATGGATTACGGTCGCGCATTTAACTCCGCCAAACGGGCGGGCGCGACGTTGCCGTCCGTTTTACCTGTTGATTATCCGCCTCTTTGCCGCTAAAAATCGTCCGCTGCGCCTGATCCGGCATGTTGCCGATCAAAATTTGGATCTCGTCCTTCAGCTCGTCGACCTCTTTCTCGCTCAGAAAGTCCTCGAGCACCACGTAACCGTCCGAATCGAGCTAATTAATCGAGTCGCAGAAAGATAAACGAAACTTGGCATACACGCGTAGTTCTTTAGACTGACCTTTGACCTGATGCTCTCCTTCATCTTCGTGAAGTATTTCGATGACCGTTGCGCCGATATTACTGAATTTACGTATATAAAAGACTGAGTGAGGCGTACACGCGCAACTCTGCACTGACGGATATTTGAGAATCGACGACGCCAATCATCGAAATGGTATTTTCGATGTAGGAGGTCGAAAGCGATTGAGTAAGCGCACGCGCTCTCTCGATCCGAGGGCTTATGCGAGCCACGCTGCGTAATTGTTATGTGTAACTTATGATAACCTAAACTTGCACCAACTTTGGATAATAATAATACCTCGGCGGGGTTATTTTTAGTATCGTTACTTCACGCAGGATGTTGATCAAATTTGCGGTTATTAATAGAAAAGTCGTTCGTGCCTAAAGCAGGAACGAAAAAATTCGTCAGCATGCGATAAGTGTGTCGATGCTAAACACCCGTCGTATTGAACTCTTTACGTGACTCTCAAATTGATTAAAGTCAACTTTATGCTCAATTGCGCCATCTAACGTTTCATGGTGTAACGCCTGATGGAGGGGAAGGGGGGGGGGCGCGTTATTTTGACATTTTCTCTGAACGTTTTCGTTGGGAGGTTGGCGTAAGAAATCGAAAATAAAAGAAGTATTCCAGGCAGGTGTGTTCGAAAAAAGCAGAGTCGCAATCAAAACCATTTGCCGCACTTGTAAGGGGGTTTATTTATTGTGTTCTTCAATTTGTGAAAGGCGAATAAAACGCCCGCTTTAAAACATATCACATTGTATATTTCTCATATTATTAGGTTATGTTGCTTCAAACAATGGCCGTCCGTAGGACGTCGCAGAGTTCCGATTAGGCGTTAAGTGTTTGACCCCGTTCCAATGGCTTTCCTTATTTTCATTAGCCATTGCCATTACTTAAAGATATGTATATGAGAAAGCGCAACTTGGCAACAATGGCCCGCGGCCAAGCATTTAACGGATGCAGGGAAACCCTTCGACCCCTTCACAATTGTCGTTTGTACTTTCACTCTTTGATTGTATTTAATAAATATATACGGTCATATAATATCGATTCACATATACATAAGGAATATAGTCTATTTTTCTTCGACCTATATACACCGAATACTTTATTAATAGATTTTTTTTATACACATGATATGATTTTTGAATTGAGGACATCGTATTTGGAAGTTTTCTCACACGTACATTCAGATAGGAGAATTGATTCGCATTGGTATTAAATATCCGCTAGAAAAATTGTGCACATCACGTTACATAATAGCGCTATAAGATTGTCGACGACACACGAATAACGTGGAAATTGGAAGAAGAAGAAGAATAAGAAGAAGAACGGGGACCGGCGAAAACGTCTCGCTCGGCCGGCACGTTTGTAAACGGCGGACGCATCAGTTTTAGCTAGATTTAGTTAACCTCTCGCTCGATAACCTCGGCATCTGAAATATCTGGTAACGGGCAGAAGCATCGAAGCGGATTCGTCTGCTACATGCAAATCTTGGTTCGGCTGTCTTCGCGGGCCGCGGTACGGTGGCGCTAGTTTATAAGTTGATATTCTTCTTGAATATTAATTTACTCATGGATTTCAATAGGGATTACTGTAGTATTATCAGTGCGACGCATTACTTTAAACCGCCATGACGATACTTTAGTATTTGGACACAAATACTAGATGGAATTCGTAACAGTATGGGCGAGCTTCCCCTCTATCTTATATTCTTTGGGTTAACCTACCAACGTGTCATAAAACGTAATTTATTAATTCGTAGACGGAGCCGCGCATGTTTAACCTAATTACAGGAATTTCTTTTATCGACGCAAATAGTTTTCCACGCTACGGTGCGGTGGCGCTGTTTTTGACGTCTGACGTTAGTATTGCGCGCGTCCGCCGTTTACAAATACGCTTTCGACGCGTTAAAGCTACGTATCACTGAAAATAAGTCAGACTTACTCCGTGGAAGCGGTTCCCGAATGACCCTGTATACGTCCGCAACGGGTATTTCCTTAACTAAAAACAGAAGAGAAGAGGGACGAAAGCGGAAATGCGACAGAAACACAGTATCAACGACCCTTACGTTTATAATTATATCAACACTAATTAGTATCGTCGGAAAATACGAATATATGAAAAATATGGAATTGTATACTCTCTCTCTCGCTCTAAAATCTCTTTTTTTTGTATAGGCGATTGTCAGTGACAGTGTAAAGAATATAAACTCTATACTTGTATACGCGACATCATTTATAGAACAAGGCTTCGGCAAAAAGGACATTCTTTAATGATAGGCCGACGGTCGTCCCGCCCCCGTGGGTTGGCGACGTAGGGAGGGCGGAGCGGGGGCGGGACGCGCGCACGCACGCACACACGCTCACACACACACAGAGACACGGGCACGAGTGCGGAGGAGGACGACATCAAGAGACAAACACATCGGTACGTCCGTCCTGCGGTTCTGATTGTCGATCGGATTGCTCGCTTTCCAATTGCGGGTGGTGGGGGTCGGGGACGGGAAGGGGGCGGCCGACGCACCAGGCGGCGGGTTCGCGCTCACTGGCGTCCCGCGAACAGCTGGTACTGAAACAGGGAGAGGCGTGACGAAGACGTCGCGACGCCCGGCGTGACGGTGGGGGAGGGGACGCTAAAGCTCGTGCGTTCCTCGAAGATGGCCCCGCGGGCAAACGTGATGGTTAGCGTGGGAAGTGGGGGGTGGGAGGGGCCGTATGTGATGGTGGCGGTGGTGAAAGCGGCGGGCGACTTGGTGTGTGTGTATGAACGGGCCCCCTATAATTGAATATCGGGGAAGGGAGAGGGAACGTACCCAGCGAAGCTGGTCACTTTTTCTTCTTCCACTCCCGGGAACGCCACGATCGTATTCTCGAACGCCAGGGAGTCTGCACAGTTCATACTATGCGTAATGCCAAAAAGAAGTGACGGTGATGGTATAACCTTAACCTTACATTTGATTCGCGAGGGAACCATTGCACATGGCGGACATTGCTCTGTGCCCCGTTCCATATAATGTGGAAATCGGTTGAAATTAGTATCGTTTGATGTAAAATACTGCTTTGTATATTCGTTATCTGAAGTGATAGAGGTGCGGTGCCTATAAATTTGGGAAATGGTGTTCGTCTTATGCGGATGTATATGGATTTGTGATATATTTATTCCCTTATGTGTAAGTTAACACGGTTTCCGGTTGTATTATATATATTGCGGGAGCCGTTAGAAGAATCGGTCGTCATTTTATGACAACTTATTTAGAAGTTGTTCCACTGTTTGAATATTAATTCATTGGAGGGTGATTCGTCCAGCCTCTTGTAAGGCATTCTTCCAGGTTATAAAGAAAAGTCACCATTTATCGAGAAAATGGGCGAATGATCCCGACAGTCATGGCCCTACTACGGTAAAAAGTGATGCGCCGCAGGTGGCTATGATATTTTCGTGGTGAAGGTGTGGATCTTTGGCGCATGCGTCACGCCTCAACTGAGTTGCCACATTTCCGTAATTTTTCTAAAAACATTGACTAATTTTCATAAGAAAGCAAAATCATCATCATAATCTGTGCCATTCTTGTTTACATTTTTCGTGGTTATGATTTTCTCCGTACCTTTTTCGTGTTTTTGCGAAAAACTTGTTGTGTTTGTGGTCAATGATTATGCCTTATGTACATAAAAACAAACTGTTTTCCCCGATTTACGTAACCATACAGAGTGACGATGTACCAAAGCAGCAAAAGGATCTTGTCGTTTTTATTGTTGAGGTGGAACGTTTCTCATTATTTCTGCTACTTTTAATCCCCAATTATATATTATATATAGTAGAAACTTTTCTCTTTCGTTTGGGGACGTTCACTTTACCGTCACATTTTCAAGAATACGACTTTGCCGCCCACTTCCCCCCAATTCAAAATAAAAAGGACCCGGGTGTGTCACCGACGGCGGGGGCGGCGGCAATAGTGCGCCGCCGCCGCCGCCGTCACGACGGTGCTTTGGCGGTGTCGGTAGGTGGTATCGGTGGCGAGACAGAAAGTGGGGTCGTTACCGGCGGCCGGGGCGGCGGCGGCGGCGGAGGAGGCGGCCGTCGGCGTCGTCTGTCGTCGTCGTCGTCGCGGCGGCGGCAGGGCACGTGCTCAACTAAAGGTTATGTTCAGGGAGGGGCACTTGCGGACGGGCGGGGCGGCGGTCGCCCCCGCCCGACCGCCCCCGCGCTGTGGCGGGGCTGAGGGGAGCCTTACCATGCCGGATCCGAGCTGCTGGAGGAGGCCGCTGCTGCCGCCGCCTTGGGAGCCGCCCATGGCGGCAGACGGCCGCCGCGACCTTATGGACTGCATACTACTGCTCAACAGGAACGGCACGCTGCTGCTGGTGTTGGGCATCGAGCCGCCCTACGGACACGGTGTCGACAAAAGTTACGCGGGCGCGGAAATTTTATAAAATGCAAAATAGAGAGGACAATATAAAAAAACACAATATAGAGAGGAAAAGATTAAAAACGCAACATAAAGAGCAAAATAAATAAATAATAAAATAAAAATAAAAAGTAATAAATTAAATAAATAATTTTTTTTTGGAAAACTTTAGATAAAATGTAGGCGTTGCCTACATTATGAATTAAATGGTTGCATCATGACCCGAATTATAAAACACTCTGTAAAATAATTGAGTCACCGACTTTTTTCCAAGTTAAATATTTTTACAGTTTTGGCTCACATTTTTATGTCGCCACATTAATTATTTTTTAACAAACGCAAAATAAAGAGGAAATTATTATTAAAAACGTCCGGAGCGACCGCGACGGATATAATACTCACTATCATGCTCCGTGCAAGCTGAACAGAGAAAAACGAACGATTTAATGAGGCGGGCGGCGGTTCTCGTCGAAAGCGGAGGGGGGCGGGCGAGTAACGATAACAATATTTATATGAAAGGTCGATGGGGGGGTCGACAAAAATATGCAACACACTTGACACAATAATGGATCGCACGCGATGACGTGATGGGGACCTGGTGCTTGTTATGGAGACGACGATATACGCACCTCACCAAAAATTATACTGTCATGTACGTTACGAACTTTTTAATATATTTTTTTAAAAACACGGTTTATTTAGTACCACGAAATTGACCGAGGATGATTTAGGAACAGGACAAATCACTTCTTGTTTTGGGGAAACCGATCTTCGGGAAGATTCCTCGAGGTTTTGCAACTTCGCACTTTATACATTGTCGCACGCAACAAGTCTTTGTTCATGTTTTCATATAACAGCAACAAAACTCTGCAATTTAAAACGGAGAAAGTTAATGGAAGTGCCAAATCGTCACTTAACTGTTGAAGAGGCCGTTGTTCTTGTCGAGGAGGATCGAAGCCACACTAGCTGCTTGTCCATCTCTGGAGTTGTAAAATCCACGCTCAGATGACCCTACGTTTGTAATTTTGTTTAGATGGCGAGTTTTGGTGGTTAAGTAACTCTTTTTTGGCCTTATATAGGGGACAATTTCATTTCATCGCTGCAGTGAACTGGTCATTACAAGTGACGCGATAATTTTGGCGGGGTGCGTACACGGATAAACATCGACATGGCAACAAAACGACTTACGTATGACGTCGACGGGACCGAGAGGCTAGAGCCCTCGCGTGACACCGGACCGTACATCGAGCCGTATGCGATCCCGCCCTAAAGCCCAACGAATGTAACGGGCGGCGGAATTAAAGCCCGCCGGCGGTAATAGCTATTTAGTGCCGCGACGCATTTAGAACGGGCCGACTATTCTAGTCTAAGTCTAGCAGCTAACGGTCTAAGGGGGCGGACCGGCGCGCACTAGTTCGTCCCCCGCTCGGCCCAAAACTCGATGTCAATTAAAGATCGTTTTGTTTCGACCTGATCTAAAGTCGGACGGTAGAAAATTATGAATCTTTTACCATTTCGCAATAAAGCAGCGGGAAAAAACTACGTCACGCAAAGCTACGTGACATCAAATATTCAAAAGTGACTCCTAGGTTTCATCGTTAATGCGGTGTCATTAAAATGTACTAACGGGTGATTCGATAAGAGTTTCCACAATCGGAAATATTTTTGAAACGCCACTGTATTTGTTTATTATCATATGAGATTTCTAACCTCAAAACATAAACACAATTAGTCATACGACCGAACAACGTGTAAAAATTGTGCCAGCCTATTATGAACATGGTCGATCAAGAAAAAATGCATTTCGGGCTCTACCTGAATTTTTCGGCGAGCGAAATCGACCTTCTGGAATGTGGTTCAAAAATTTATAACTAACCTCAGAGTCCATCAACGTGCTCCTGCAGGTCGGCCAGCCGAAGATCCAAACACATCGATTCGTCATCGCTCTCAGCAAGTGGGCCTTACGTATTCAACCACACAGCGAATTTTAACAAAACACTTGCATCTACACCCAAATAACTCAGGAGCTGAACCCTCGAGATCATCAACAGCGCCGCGTGTTTGCAGAATGGATACGAGAACAAGGGGCGAAAATCATCTTTAGCGATGAGGCACATTTTCACGTTGGTGGCTTTGTAAACAAACACGATGCTCGTATTTGGGGATTAGAAAATCCAAGAGAGATTGTTCAAAGAGCAATGCACCCTCAAACTAATTGGCCCTTTTTTTTTCGAGGATAATGCGGAGAACGCTGTTACGGTTAATGGCGTTCGCTATCGAAACATCATGATATATGATTTTTTCTGGGAGCGGTCTGAAGGTAAAGGCAAGTTTCCTGGCCGGATTATCTCACGTAACGGCGATATCGATTGGCCGCCGCGATCATGTGATCTTACTCCCCTAGATTTTTTTTGGGGGTATCTAAAAAGCGGAGTGTCTAGAAATAAACCAAACACTATTCCAGAGCTGAAACAGGAGATTAGACGCGAAATAGCCGGCATAGAACCTGAATTGGGTCAAAAAGTGATAGGAAAATGACATCATCTTTCATACCTAATTGTGATACACTAATCTAAAATGGCAAATAAAAATGTTTGTATATTTTTATATTTTTCCGAGTTTTTTTGTTTTAATTTTGAATCATCCTTTATAAATAAGGCGTCTTTGCAAGGCACCGAGAAAATGATCAGAGTTTTCTTTCTATTACCGATTTGTACGCTTTGGAAACATTTGAAATGATTTCCACGTCTTCAATTATCATATTCGCTGCGTCGTGTACCTCGTGCGAGATACAGGGTGGTTAAAAGTAAAAGTTTTATGAACTTTGTGATATTGGTGCGCTTCGGATATTTTAAAATTAAAACTAACCAAATTCCATCTTCATCATGGAAACTGATACTTTTGTTATTTTTTCATTTAAACTCTTGACCCTTTTGACCATTGAAAATCAGACCCAACGTTTGTTCATATATAGGGCTCTAGTTGCTCACGATTTTCCCGCGAGATTTACTCAAAATTTCAGACTACTGTTTCTAGCATTATTGAATTCAAACTGAATTGTGGTGTAACCACAAAAAACCATCTTACAGGTTCATTTTATGCCTTTTTTAAACTGAAAGACTTATTTTCACCCGTCAGTCTCTGGAAAGTCGCAAAAAAAAAATAAAATTCTGACCTTTAAGGGACGTAAAAGGTACGAAAAAGCAAAGTAAAGTTTTTGGTCGCGTAAGGGGGAACCAGCGCGCGGGGGTCCCGGCCGGGTTGCATTTACTACCACCTCATCTAAATAACTATTACGCTAAGGGATGCCGTACGCTAGCGTACTTACCGTCGGCGGCGACAGGTTTACCGTGGAGCCCCGCCTTTCCTGGGGCCCGATGCTCGAGTGGCGGCGGATGGGGAGGCCGCCGCCTCCCGGCGTGCCCCCCGGCGAGGACGCGCACGAAGGCGCTATCCGGATCTTGGGCGTCATCAGCGTGTTGTCCGACAGCCTCCTGTTCGGGAACGCGTTCACCACCCGCAGGAAGTTGCTGTCGGGCGACGAGGGCGACGCCCCGAACCACCAGCCGCCGAGCATCCCGCCCGTCGAGTTCTTCCGCTGCATGTCCTCCGCGCTCGACGTCTTGCGCTGCTCGATCCGCAAATTGGGAATGTTGAAAGGCGGTACGTGCATGTTGTCCGAGCTGTACTGATGGCGGAGGGGCCGGTGCCGATCGGGACTCGGCAACGACAAGTTGTCCAACTTGAGCTTGTTGCGTTGATTGCGATCGATCTGGTCGAGCATGTCCTGCAGCACCTCGACGAGCACGGTGAACTGCTCGAGGTTGAGCGACGGGTTCACGGTCTGCGGCAACAGCGACGGCATCACCTTCGTCGCCATCAGATTCACGCTGAGCCCGTACTTTTTGTCGCTCAACATCAGCCGGTAAACGTCTGCGAATACCACAGTTGTTTAATCGCGGTATGGTCTGTTCATAGATATAAGAAAGTGACCAATCGCTTGCGAATGGGATTATCCAAGGACGGTCTTTAACATACAATGCAATATGATTATTACCTAAAGTTTCGGAATTTAAATTCAGGTAAAATTGTGGGCCGTAATAGAAAATAATTTTATACTTACCTGCGTTTAATATTCTTTGGTCTGGTATACTATTAAGTTTTAGTTTAAAAATTCCAACATCAACTGTATGGAAAATTGTGAATAACCCCATTTCAGCGAAGAAAAAAAGAAGCGATGCTGACATTTTCTCGAGTGTAGACGAAAGTGATCGAGATATAATACGGCCAGTTATACGAGGAACAAAGCGTGCCTACATTAGATATCTTAATTAGGAGGCTTGAAAAAGATGAAACCGGTGTTAAATGTGGCAGAACTACGTTATGAAAGTGGGTTTTAGATTTAAAAAAATTGACAAAGGGCAAGTTTTAATGGAATCTTTTCGAATTCGGAAATGGCAACTGGAATATCTAGAAAAAATTAGGATTCACAGCCTTGTGAGACACTTATGATACCCCGGAAAAGGGTTAATTTTAAGTAATTTAAGTAGGTAATAAAAATAATTTGTAATTTTATTTTAGATTTAAACATAAATACATACATAAATAAATTAATATTGTTTAGTATCTTTCCCAACAGTTAGTCACTTTCAACTATCTATGAACAGACTTTACTTCCTCCTTTACTTCTATGGCCATGTCTAATGGGATCATTCGGCCAATAATTCATCAACAGTTTGCCATAAATTGGGCAAGATTATTCGGGACAATTGCCCATTACCGACAAAGTAGAGCAAGTTTTGGTTAGTTAAAAATTTATGGACCACTCTCATCAACGAATTAAATGCACTTAGTTATGGGCCATTAACTATATCAGAGAACAAAAATATGTAACCTTTCCTTAACTTTACTAAAATGTTTTGGTGTAGCTTGATGTTGCTTTACTTTACTTTTGTAATAGTTATTTTTTTATAGTGGTTGACTGAGTGAAAGAAGTTCTTCAACGCCAACAGCGTTCGAAGATATGGCAAGTGCGTGAAAGTGCCAAGAAGTGTTTGCGTTTTTTTTTCCAAAAGTAAATGGAATTTTATGCAATAAATCCGATAACTGTTGGTATTCCTAAATGTAGCGAACAATATTAATGATGATTTATATCCGTTTGTTGGTCACGGTTTCGGTCCATTGAAATGAATTTAAAAAAATATATTTTAAAATTGAATTCGAAGTCTCAACACAATGGCTATATTATTTGTTCAAAAATCAATAGTTTTCAGTTTAATTATTATAATAATCTCCGAACCGTCCTCGAAATTATTTCTAACCCCAGTTCAGTTTTTACAAGTCCGTCTTCATAACATGTTTTTCTTATTGCTCCGACACATCTCTCAATATTGAAAAAGAATTTTTTTTAAATGTCTGTTCTCTGTCACCCGACACTGAACTTCGGGAAGTAGTCAACTACTTCCCGAAGTTCATTCGAACGGTCGGAACTACGGCCCGCAAAATATCGAATCGATCAGACGTCGGCGGTCGTCTTGGCGACTAGTTTGTGGGTTTTGATAAGAAAGTCGCTACGAAACAAAATATGCGTTCTAAATAGCGAGCTATCGACTCAAAATCTCACAGAAATTTCGATTTCTATGTCCGGATGGAACTTATTGACACTTTTCGAAAAGTTTTGATCGAGTATTGTTTCGTCACTTCATATCATTGCTCTTCTGCAGAGTATTTGCATGATTCGACACGAATTTTAAATACTATGTGGTGTAGTGTTCCCATGTACAGAGGTGCCGAGCGAGCGATTATTCTTTGAAGAAATAAAATCAGCGTCGTGGCCCTACAACGACCGAACGATCGTCACGACAACGGCGTGTACTCACTGACTACGCGCAGCGTGATCTGCGGGTCGGAGAGGCGGATCTCGTAGAGTAACGGCATCACCTCGTCGATGATCTGCGACTTGTCGAGCCTGTCGAGAATGCGCTCGACGCACGTCAACACGTTCGACACCAGTTTGAGATCGTTCTGGTTCCGTTCGTAGATGATCTTCGTCTTGGGCAGGACGATCCTTCGAATGGCGGTCTCGTCCAGGTACTCGGCGATGTTGGCGACCGCGACCAGGGCCGCGTTCTGCACTTGGATGGTGGTACTGTCGAACGCGTTGTACAGCATCGGCAGCACGTCGCCTCGTATGTCGTCACGCGGCGTCTTCTCCAGGATGATGTGCACGTTTTCGAGAAGCGTGACCGCCGCCTGGACCGTTTTCGGCGCCTGGAACACCGTGCGAAACGACGGCAATATCATCGACTCGTACTCCTCGATCGTCGACTCCTGAATGAGGTAGAGGACGGGCTGCAGTACCGCCGCGAGCACCTCCTGCGACCGCATCTCCTGCTGCAGCGACGGCCACACGTGCTGGTACCACAGTTTCTGGAACAGTTCCCTTTGTTACGGTTGTGTTTCAAAAAAAAAAAAAAAAAAAAAAAAAAAAAAAAGGTAAAATACTACATGAAATAGTTTTGAAACACAACCGTGACAGCCTTTAACCACCGTTTGATCACCGCGAGTCATTTCGTAAAGACGGAAGGGTCACGTGGGCCGTGGTAACTTTATTAGATAATTTAGTTAAAGAAGTATCAAGGAAACTTAATGCCTCACAGAAAAAAATTCCCGGAAAACACTATTTTTTATGTCACCTATATTAAAACTTAATTTTTTCTCGACAAGCCGTGTCAGTCTTATATGTCTGACGCGTCCAAACAAGATACAACAAGTATTAACCTGTTGCTTTGAACACAGCGTTGAACGTATGTGTAGGAATAATACCTCGTTACTGTGACTATTTCTTCATAAAAAAAATAAAATAAATATAAATAAAATTTAAAATAATTTCATAGGAAAATCTGGTTTACAATGAGACTTGCCAAAAAATATTTCCGACGCAATCGTCTAAACAAATGGTATCCAACTCTGAGGAAACAAGTTTTTCGACCCTTTAAATATGGATGGGATTAGTTGCGATTGGTAAATATAACTTCTTATTGATTTTTATAAAACTTCGGGATTCCTCCTGCCTACATTCGATAAGAAAACACCTTGTATAACGTGATTTAAAAAGACTATATTAGAAGGCGCTAAAATAAACTTAGGTCTTAGGTCTACAAAGCTATGTATTAATCCACTCTCTATATAGTGCAAAGAAAAATCATTCAGGCTGAAGCGGCAGGCGGTTCTGTCAAAAACTAAGAAACCTACATTTTGAACATTCGGATCGGGCAATGTTGCAGTGGTTCCAAGAGCAACGTCTTAAAAATGTTCCTAAATATTTATATAAAATGTTCCTAAGTAGATGTTGAAATATGTTCTACGTATTTCACTTTTAGGTCATTTGTGAGTTCTAGTTTTTCCCGTTTGACGCTACTTTAGCTCACGTACCCCACGACTTTATTTTTCAGGATGTGTCATGGCCCTAGATCTATCTATCATCTATTATTTTTCCACCAAATGATAACGTCTAATCGAAAAAGCAACAAAACTCCAGCCACACTGTTGCGAGCGTTTGGCCGTCCGGATCTCTGGATTTGTGTCGTATTGGGCGCCCCCTATTGCTAAAATATATTTCGAAACATCATTAAAAAGACGCACCTTGGGCACGTAGGGCAGCGCGTCTTTGAGCGTGTTCCTGTAAAAGTGGTTCTTCTGCGTGGGGTCCTTCATCATGATGGTGTCGAGGTTCTTGAGGGCGTGCACGCACGGATCGTCGAAGTACCGGATGAGGACCAGCAGCTGGGCGGTGGGTCGCTGCCGCGTGTCCTTGCTCAGCATCCTCGCCGTCACCTCTTGGAGCGGGGCCGGTATCTTGCCCAGGACGTTGTGCACCTGGTCCTCCAGCTTGAGAGGGGAGCGAGTCGTCAGACGCGCGTCTCCTCCAATTTAATCACTCACCAGCTCCAGCTGCTTCAGGTACGACGAGCTCGAGTTGTTCGCCTGGATGATCGGCCGGCCGTGGTTAAAGATGGCGCACACGATCATCCCCAGGGAGAACATGTCGCTCAGTACGGTGCACACCGACTGCGTCTGACACTCGGGCGCTGAATTGACGGTAATTTACAGTCGATCAAAATAGTCTCCGTACACATAGTTTTCTTTTAGTTTCTTCTTTCGCTTACACTTAGTGAGAAATACATTTCAAGTAAATACCGGCAACCCCATTAAGAGTAATAAAAATGAAATAAAAATCATTCGAAACACTTTATTTCAACGATAAATAATAAGGCATTTTTAGAAGCAAAAAACTATTTCAAATAAGTTTCCGTACACTATTATTTCTTATGATAACTTGAATAGTTTCTTAATAATGACATTAGGTCTTTTTGGAAGACATAAAACAAGCTTCCTTGCAACTTCTCTTATCCCATTTTTGTGGTCTTCTTTACTCGTAACCCCATGTTTTTTCACTCGCCGCTTGCATTCTTCCCACGGGCGCGTAAACGAACTACTGGGAAAACCAATGAAATAATGTTTTGGGGCACATAAGATATAACATAATTTATACATAAATATACAAAAGTTGAAATTCGACAGAAAACAACTAAAAATAGACAGATTGTTTTCCAAATACAATGATGATGATGATACAAAAAAAACGCATATTTGTGCGTGAGCGCACCACTGACAACATCCGCTTTCATTTTTGCTGATATTTTACAAAGAATGAAGCATGTAAATGCATATTACCCTTGTAAAAGGTGACCTTGATTATCATAACGCACGTCATCTATGGCAGGTGCAAGATTTCTTTGAGTAATTGTTTTATCACTTTTTAAAAGTCGCAAAGCAATGTAAGATTTGCAGAAAGCATACGTCTTCTTTTGAATTCCAGGGTTTCATCATCTGATGAGGTTTAGTAGTTGATGAATTACAGGACTGTTGAAGGACAGCTGTATCTTTCGGTGTAACTCGAAAGTGGCAACTATATCAGTTGGTGCCCCAAACTCTTGTAGATTTCTGTTATCGTTCATATCTTCTTCGTCAGTCACGGTATCCACGTCGGGTGGAATATAGACCGCGTCAATATGTATTGTAAGGACGGAGACTGTTCCACCAAGGCTCTATGGACTACCTAAGATACACAAAGTAGATGTCCCGTTAAGACCAATAGTTAGCGCACCCGGATCACCAACGTATTACTTGGCTAAACACTTGGCATCGCTGCTCCAACCACACGTAGGACACGGCACCAGTTACATCAAGGACTCCACGGACTTCGTGCGCAAGTTTCAAGATATCAATATTGAACAAAACGACATCCTTGTGAGCTTCGACGTCGTCTCACTGTTTACCAAAGTACCTCTGAAGAGTTGCTTGGACCTGGTGAACAGGATATTTCCTGTCGATATTTGCAAACTTTTTGAAGTCTGTCTGTCTGTCTGTCAAAAGTATGGGGTTATCAGAACCTTGACAGAACGAGCCCGTAGGATTTGCGAACCGGAGAACCTCCAGATGGAATTTACACCTAAAACACCTAAAAACTGCTTTCAAGGCAAATGGCTACAGCAAGAGGGAGATCGAGAGATCAATGAACTCGAGATCATCAAGATCACGGGATACCGAACAACGACCCTCCACCTCCCACGCATATCTGCCGTATATTCCGAGTGTCACCGACAGGATTGGCAGAGTATTGAAAAGACACGACATCAAAACAATCTTTAAGCCTACAAAGAAGATCCAGCAGACCATCAGGTCAGCGAAGGACAAGAGGGGCTCACTTTCAGCTGCAGGAGTCTACCGCATTCCGTGTTCATGCGGAAAGGTCTACATCGGGACTACCAAGAGATCAATGGGAACGAGACTTAAGGAGCATAAAGCAAGCTGCAGGCTAGGACATACAGAGAAGTCTGCAGTAGCTGAACACGCACTGGGCAGCGGGGAACACAGGATACACTTTGATAGCTGTAAGTTACTAGCATCGGTCAACGGCTATCACAACAGACTAGTCAGGGAAGCCATTGAGATACAAAAACACCCACACAATTTCAACCGAAAGGAGGAGACCGTTAGACTCAACCAAATCTGGAATCCGATCATTAGGAACGCCCGAGCAGTACCGATCGATATCCCGAGACCAACCGAAGCGGAACAACCCCGCCCACCACCAATCGCCATAAATACAACCTGCGCAGGAGAAATCGTCAGTCTACGTCCAACATCGGAGATGGATGGGCCTCTGAAGAAGCTCGCCACTCGTGCTAGCGAAACGTTAGGAAGTAATTCCAATCGACGACGGCCTTTAAACCCGAATCAAGATAATAGCTTATCAACGGGCCGCGAAAGCCTTAACCAATTTATCATGTTCTGTAAATTTTTTTTCACGTTATTTTTAGCATAAATTTACAAGGAATAGCGAACACACCACTGGCACACTTGAGGTTCTCCCATCGCATCGTCTTTATAAGCTGTTTTTAACATTGAAACAGTTTCAGCAGCACTTTTACCGAGCGGAAAACAAAATTTCACAGCTGCACGTTGTTCTTTTAAACTTGCCATCGAAAAAAACGAAATAACAAAAAAACAGCTTTAACAAAAAATGTGAACAAAACGATTAATAAAAAAGATTAATTTCAAACGTTTTTTTTTTTCGATTTTTTCCCGAAATTGATGGTTTCCTTCGCGCAGCGTTGCTCGTTGCAAGCGGTTGCTAATCGTAAAGGTGTGGAGCGCTTGTTTTACAATTAAATCCAATTTTTTTTACAACAGAAGACTTTTCTCGTGCAGTTAACCTCCAAGTGCATACTGTACAGTTACAATTACTTAAAAGTGGCGTCAAAAATAAACAAGCCCAATTCATTTGTTTAAGCGAAATTTGATACAAGCCGACTTGATAATTAACGGTTCTACCTGCAGTTCCAAATAGTGATTTATTAAAGTGTCCGGGCACTTATTTGACATAGTTTCTTTCTTCTAGAACTTAAATGCAAGTGAACGAAGAAACTAAAAGAAAACTGAAAAAATACTATGTGTACGGAGACTTTTTTGACCGACTGTATATGAAGGGGCGACGTCTGACGCGCGTCGCGGCGCCCCGAGTGAATAATGACATCGCCGTCGGGTGTCGGCGTCGACAAACGACGACACGAATAAAAGAAAACGCGCGAACGATTAATATCCGGAGGGCGCCGCGACGCGTCGTTCATTTGGGGGGGGGGGGGGAGGAGCGTGTCTCACCCAGGTAGTCCAGGTTGGGCTGCGCCATTTTCGACAGTCTCGACGTCCACGGCTGACACGCGACCGGCTCGACGCCGTCGACGTCGGTTACCCTCTCTGGAAATGAGCGTCGCGTGACCGACCGCCATATAAAATTTGATCACTTAACGCGAGTTAACGCGAGACGCCAGTTTTCGGTAAACGATCTTTTATACAGTTCCATCAGCATATTTCAAAAATATTTTTAGACATGCAAAATGGTGGTCTAAAAAAGTGTGACGTCATAAAATCTTTTTCTTTTAAATGACACATCGCACATGCAGAAACCGTCAATGCATACAATCTGCAAACACGGAACGTTCAAGACAGACATTAGCGATATTAGAGTATCTCCTAATATTATATTAATACTATGCTCAGGAAGCCATCAACGGTGTCGCCTCCACAATCCAGAAACACTTAAAGGACGCTACGAAGTAGTCAACTGTCGAAATGAAGGCACGGCCAGTAACCCTAAACATCATTCAGATATACGCCCGACATCTACATCGTCGCAAGACGACCTAGACAACTTCTATCAAGAATTATGAATAGGGAGCTGACAGCTAATGATCGTGGTGCTGACCGATACCTGGTTGACCCTACCAACACGTAATCTCAAAACGATCAGCAGGAGCATAAATAATGATAAAAAGTCATATGTACCAGCCTCGAGATCTTTTTAAAAAAGTTAGAATGCTTTCACAAACATTCCGACCTCATTATCGCCCAATCAAGGATCCCCATGGGATTAGGTTAACAACCTGAAATCACGCAACACTGCGAGAATCTGATGGCTTCAGATGATGAGGACGAGGATCTAGTAGAACATATCCAGGAACGCGAACCAGCTATACCGGAATCTGAAGTAGAAGCCGCTTTGCGCAAACCTAATAGTCACAAATCTCATGGATCAGCTGAAATCTAAAGAACAACGGTAAGAAAGGCATAGATCTATTGCATCAGATCTGCGCAAAGGTCTGGGAAAACGGTAAACGGCCCTCTGCATAAAAAAACAGCTAAAGACGAATGCGGCAATTATAGAACCATCGCTCTGCCAGTAAAGTTCTCTCGCAAATCATACAGGAACGATTGAAGAATTACCTTGAAAACTAAGTCTCTATTGGCGAGAAGAACGTGTCAAACTTTCGATAGTTTTGGCACAAATTGGACAAGAAGTGTTTGAACTCCTTCAACGTGTGGAAGCTGCGAGTTTGGAATCAGGCCTTGATAGGTCCAAATACTGTCTGCTGATTATGGATAGACCTCGGATATTCCCAATACCACTTCGACCCATTCATGATAAAGAAACCGGGGACACTGTCATCTATCTTAGGGGCAAAACTAACTAGCAAAAATAGGATAGCAAAAGAAGCTTTTAGGAGACTGGCTAAAATCTGGTAAATGTTCAGAAAATTACAACAAATGCCAACTTATGAATCGACATCTTGAAGCGTTTGAAATGATAGGCTACCGCATATTTGTATCAAAAGAACCTCATTGCAAGGTGAGTAGTTTCCTTTTGCCTATTCTATCGCCAAATTCGTGCAATTTGTACCAATGTTTTCTTTTTTTTTTCTTCAACGGGAGTAGTTTCGTTTTCTACTTCAGGATTTAATCAAGGTTAAACGGAGGAGAAGATTTTTTTTTTCAATTTGAGTTTATTATGTAAAAGGAAGTTAAATTTGCCAAAAAAAACAAAACGTGTCATTTATAAAATACATATTTTATGACATCATACTATTTCGCGCCACCCTGTATATTTAACAATATTTTTAAAATATGCATCAACCCACATCCTACAACTTTTGTATTACACTTTTTTCCTACTGTTGGAAAAAAGAACGAAGCGACCTTTTGTCATTTATTTTGTAAAAACTTCACGCTTATCAAGTTCAACTTCAACTTACATCCAATGTTCGTAACGGTATCATCAACTCGTATTTTTTTAGAAACGAACAAGGAAACCATGGTAGGTGTGATTTGACACCGACTATTCCATTGTTAACCATATCACGAAACTAAGTTTATCGAAAAAAAAAAGTGTGTTTTTAAGTCGATTTACTTCCAACTCCAACTATGCAACTTTTTTTTCTATCGTTCGAAATTCGCAAGCTATTTCGTTTACCGTTGAATTCCAACCCGGCGAGCTTCCACGTGCCCTTCTTGGTGACCAGCACGCTCGCCGGACATACGTTCCGGTGGATCACGTGCCCGGAGAAGTGCAGGAACGACAGCGCCTCCGTTATCTGCGACCTATACATTGAGGACGGCCGTTTCCGAGCCGAAACGCGTTCTCACCTGAAGTATACCGTACTTGTACTCGATATCGAGAAAGTTGTACTCGCGTTGGAGGACGGCCGGTCGGCCGGGAGGCTGCTGCTGGGCGGCGGGGGCCGAGCCCCCGATCGCCGCCTCCTGGAACGCCAAAATGTTGGCGAGACTGGCGAACACCGGCTCCGTGGCGAAAGCGAGGGTGTCCGCGCACTCCTCCACCGTGTGCAGCACGTGCAGGATCTTCGGGTGGCGGAAACGCTCCAGCTGCCTCACCGAGTTCCGCAGAATTTCCGTGATCGTCTCCTTGCGTTTCGGCTTGTGCAGCTTCTCCGCGCTGCGCTTCTCGAAGATGAACACCGAGCACTCCTGTGGTAAACGCGACCCAATTAGCATTAGTTACGTATACAACCTCCTTTAGTTTCCTAAAGTTACGTAGACAACCTCCTTTACATTTCGAATAAAAGCGCTTCTATTAAAGGACGTGGTACGTGGAAAGTTTCCGACCTCGCTGCGAAGTTTAATTATAAATTTATAGTTTAAAAAACAAGAGTGTTAAAAGTAAATAAATTGTTTTTTAGAATAGAGAGTATACTTTTATTTAAAACGAAAAAAAAAATCAACAACTTCTTATTCCAGTAAACGACTACAGTTAATTTTCTTAGGTTGGAATTCAGTTACATGCTCTAACCCGATAATGGGTACATAAAAAAAGAAACTTATCCGCTATCTAAAAAAGTCTCAACTAACTTTGTTCGATTTCTTTTATCAATGCGACTGTTTAGAGCCAATTTTCCTTCTCCAATGTATTCTTTGCCGCATACGCACCTTAAATGGAATTTTGTCTTTGACGTGACCCATTGGCTACGCCTACACACGCAACGTCATATCTCTCTTGGTTTTATCATGATAGTTATTGTGCGACCAAAAATATAGTGCATTTATGGCTTTGACGTTTTAAGTATTTATGTATATTTGCGATTTTTATACAACTTAGAGTCGTTTCTCTCATCCTAATCGCCAACGCTTTCTGTCTCTCCAGTCCTCTTCTTGTAGATTTCTTTGGGTCATTGCGTTTCTTATACCGTCTCCCCATGTGTTTCTGGGACGTCCTCTTTTTCTTTTTTCTGGAGGAACCCAATTCAATATTTTTTTTGGCCATCGGCATTCGACATAGGTGGCCGTACCATTTTAAACTTTTGGCTTCTATAGTGTCAACAATGGTTTTATCTCATTGTTACTTATATTGTCTAGCAGTGTTAGTCCACAACAGCGTCTCCAGCAGTCCATTTCCATTGCCAATAATCTTTGACGTAAATAATTCGTCATTTCCCATACTTTGGCCCCATAGGTTGTAATACTCTCCTACAATGGTCTTATAAATCCTGATTTTAGTTTCTGGTCGAATTTGGGTACTCCACAGTATTCCATTTAACCGCTTTGTTGCATGTTTTCTCTGTCGGATGCGGTTCTTAATTCACTAGTGCCACTCTTTGTTATATTTACTCCCAAGTACTCGTAGGAATCGACACATTTTATAATTCCATGATCTAGGATTAAATCTCTGTTTGTGCCTCCTGCGATAAGATATTCTGTTTTTTTCATATTAATTGATAGAGCCCAAGACTTGTACGCCTCGGTCAGTTTCCTGACCATATAGTTTATATCATCCTCATCATCAGCAAAAATGACCTGGTCATCGGCAAAGTGCATTCTGAAGAGTTTATCATTACCAACAGAAATTCCCAAGTTTCGGCAGCTGCGTCTCCAATGTCTTAACGTGGTGTTCAGGTATATCTTAAACAAGGTAGGAACGATTGCACATCCCTGTCGTAGGCCTTTAGATATTGGAAATTCCTCCGATAATTTCGTACCCAATAATCTATAAATATAATATGTGTTTCTAAATCCCGAGCCATTCTTTTTTCTAGTAGTTGTTTTAAACAGAATAAGTTATCAGAGCATGATCTGCCTGCACGGAAACCATTTTGTTTATCAGGAATTTGTTGTTCTATTCGTGTTTTAATGATGTTTCCATATAATCTTGAAAGTGAGTTTGTTACACTAAGTCCTCTATAATTGGAGCATAATTTCCTGTCACCTTTTTTATGTAAATTCGATATGTAGGCAGTTTTCCATTCTGGGGGTAATTGTTCGCCTCTCAAGGAACAATTGAAAACAAATGTAAGTAGTTGGAAGAGTAAGTTTGGTCCATTCTTTAAAAGTTCGATGGGAATTCCTTTTGGCGTTAGATAAAAGATTAGAATCTTACAATTAAACATTGTTTGAAGGTTCTGTTTTTTAACACTTTCAAATGGTAGATGGTAGTCGAATGGAAGGCGAACTACCCCAGCAGATAAAAAGACCGATCATTTGTCTTCAAATGCTAAATATACTTTTATAAGAAAGACATGAAATCTTGACCCCCGTATCATTGTATATTTAACCCGATTGAGATGATTTAGTCTGAGTTGAAAGCGCATATAAGAAAAAATGACACTGCACCAAAATTTCATCGTCGTACCGTCGTAACAACTCAATTTTTCTTATATCTTTTTAAAAACTTTACGCAAGCGTTCCGCAATTTTATTTATTGGCATTTAGTATTTACAGACTCATTTTCGGTATATTTTAGTTATGAAGTGCGTCAAAAAAGTCACAAAAAAAAATTAATTAATTTTGATTAGTGACGGTCATGCGGAATACAGTAGATATCAGCTGGTGGGCTTTGAAATCATAACGCTAGCGTGAAACTTCTGATAAAATAAATATTCGCAAGCCAAATAAATTAACCGATTTAGAGTTAGAATAATTAATGAATGACAATCTCGATGACGCTGACATAGTGATAGTGAAGAAGATAATGATGATGTTCCGGAAATGATAGATTCTGAAGATGATATAGAAAGAATAAATAACGATGGTGCTATAGTGAGTGAAATAGTGTCTGAGGATGTGATTATAGAAGAAGAAAATGACAGTGGTGATGCGAGCAGTGTAATAGAGACTGACGATAGTGAAGAAATCTTAGAAGAAGGTAGATTATTTTATCGAACCAAAGATAACATAAAATGGTATAAAATGCCACTTCGACAGAAACGATGAAGAGTTGCAAATATAATTAGGAAAAAACCTGGACTAACCAAAACCAAAAACCAAAAATAGCTGAAAGCAAGCCAGTTATTACAAAGTATACCCACCATCAATTTTACAACAGGTTCATAAACTTAACAGACATGACATTTTCCAAAAATGAAGTTGAATTTCCGGAAAAAGGCTTCAACTTTAACTTACAACACTCGTACATTAATAGAGAATTCGACTGTTTAGGGATCGATTGTGAATTAGAAATTAAGCGATTCTAGTTTCAATAAACATGTATTAACGAATATAATAAACTCTCAATTAGTAGATAACAACAAACACAAAGAAATTTCTCAAATGTCACTAGTTAAAACCATCGAAAACAAAGCTTCTGAAAATAACATAATATTTACACGTGCAGATAAAGGGAAGACAGTCATAGCTATCGATCTCCCAGAATATATTTGGAAAACCAACAATATTCTTAAACCAGAACTTGTCCGAGTTATTTCAAAGACAAATCAAGGATGTAATTACTAGCTCCACACTATTTAGTGACAAAGACAAATATTTTTTAACAATTATTTTTTAACAATTATTAGACCAGTCGTGTCTTATGTAACAGCTCCAGCAGTTAAACTCTGTAAAAAATTAGTAAATATTTTAAAGTTCCACACAGATTTTAAACCAAAATTTGCAATAAAAAATTCTTTTGAATTAATCAACAAGATTAAAGATATATAAATATATTGATGTGAATTTAATGGATAGATTTATATCTCTAAAGAAGGTTTGATTATGGGAAACCCACTTAGTCCCTTGTTGGCCGAGTTTTTTATGGATGATTTGGAAAATATCATACTAGAACATATTTTAAGTAAAAGTTTTTTTATGGTGGTATAGATACGTGGAGGATATCTTTGCTTGCTTTGTTGGAACGGACAGACAATTGAATTCTTTTTTAAATTATATTAATTCATTACATAATTGTATAAAATTCACTATCGAGATTGAACAGGATAACTCTATAAATTTTTTAGACTTAGTATTACAAAAGCGCAAAACAAATTAGATTTTTCAAAACACCCAAATCAAACGCAACCTCTACAACGCATATGGAAACCAAACGGATGCTGTTGAAATAACGGCATACATTTTGATCTTAGATGCCCTTCGAGCTGTGTGTACCACTAGACCAGTTATTCCTGCAACTTTGTCTCGCTCACGTTTTTAATTGTTGACGAGTTTTTTTCATTTTGACGATCCCAAAACAAGGGAAGTCAGAAAGAAAAACTGATAAGCTTGCACCGGTAAGAGAAGTTTTCAACATGTTTGTGCACAATTTCAAAAAGTGTTATAATCCCGGAAGCCATATTACAGTAGATGAGCAACTATTTGGATTTAGAGGTCGTTGTTCATTTAGAGTTTACGTGTAAAGTGAACCAGATAAAGATGGTCTGAAAATTTGGGTGGCAGCAGATAGTGAAAATTCATACACTATAAATATGCAACCACACTTGGGAAAAAATAATAATACAGCAGAAAATAATCTAGGCGAAAGAGTCGTCTTAGACCTTGTCGGAGATCTAGGAACCGGATATGGCATAACCACAGATAATTTTTGTACTAGCAGATGAACTATTAGAGAAACAAATGACACCTTGCGGAACATTACGAAAAAATAAATCTCACATTCCCGAAGGACCCTTGCCAAAACCTTATAAACCTGTTTTTTCGTCAATGTTTGGTTTTCGGAAACAACATACAATTGTATCCCATGTGCTTAGCAAGAATAAGGCTGACCTTATGTTGTCAAAGCCAAAAACAAAAGGTGCTGTAGACACTACCGATAAAATGGTAAAAGAATATTCAGCTCGTCGAGGTTAGCGCCAAAATTTCCCGGCCTGACATAGATGCAGCTCCAGGGTCTCGATAAAACTTTGTCTTCTTTTAAATATGCATCTTAGTAGGCTGCGAAAAAAAAAATTGAAGTCTTGCGTCAAATAGTTTTTTTATTGATAGCATTTTAAACAGTGTCAAATCATATGTGCTGGAAATGTTTCCAGAATTGGAAAAGCGCCATGTTATTTGTGCAATAGAAAGAAACATCGCAAGTCCGGGCAACAATGTTGCGACTGCAAAGATTTACATGCACCGACCATAGTGTAAAACAGATAATTTGCAGGTTATGTATGGAAAAACGTAAGAATTAATATGAGTAGAGGAATTCGTATAACTTTTTTTTTACTTTTCGGAAATTGTTTTGTTCAACTATTTCAATAAACATAATATGCATTATACATATTTTATTTACATTAACTGTTCAACAAAGCGTTCAAATTAGAGTGGGGGTACAATGGTGTTCTGCGTAACTTTTTAAGGTTAAGGTTAACGTAATTCGGTAAGATGTAGAAAAACGAGTAACAAACTATATTATTATTATTATATTTAATATTTTTTATATGTATAAATGTAATACAATAGAACGTAATAAATTGTTACTTTGTACTAATTTTTTTACGTGCATGTTTCAAGAATTTGCTAGAACGGTCCTGGAATGGGGGTATAAGGGGCTGCGGTTTTGGAAACAGTAATCACGGGATCGGTTGTAAAAGCACTATAATTCTGGTCCAAGTATACCAAAGTTTCGGTCACTTTGGACGCGTCCTGCTTCGTGTCGTTTGAGTGAGTCGATGTGAGTGTGAAAATGGAAAAAATTGAGTGTGGAGCTGTTATAAAATATTTGTTTTTGAAAGGCAATACGCTTACGCAAATTAAAGTTGAGTCGGGCTGTGTGTCTGGGGACTCTGCACCGTTATTTACGTTATCGACGATGATATGGCGAAAATTCATCAAATGGTGTTAAACGACCGTCGAATGAAGTATAGAGTTACAAGGAGGCTATGTAGAAAAATGTCGTGTATCATCGTTGGGTCGAAAACTTTTCAAGCAACCCCCGTAAATCGTCTCTGTCTTATTCGATATTTATTTGCGGCCGCGGTTTAGTGGAAATTGTGTTCAACGTGTACGGTATTTTCGAACGTCGAGTTTGAGAACAAAAAGCGCCGGCGCGGGTGTCATTCAAAACGAATTCAAGGAAATTTGCGTCTCCAAGATTTCATTCTAATTTGTTTTCTTCCGGGTAACTGATCTTGACGACCAGGCGGAGTCATTTTTAAGAAGGTCCATGCATGAAGGTCCTAAACAGTTTTGCTGGCTCAAAAAAGCATACCTTTTTTTTAATGCAACGCCCTATTTTTAAGTTTTGAATTCGTCTTGAAATACTTCAACTTTTTTTATTAATTATATAAGACACCTAATAGTTTTTCCAATATCGTAATTTTTATTAAAAAAAAATTTCTGGTTCCGGTCGGTGGGAGAGGGCGTAAAAGATATACGCAACGAAATTTTAATTAGATGCTACAGGGTGTCCAAAACAAACGAAAAATATCGATTTTCTTAAACGTAATTTCGAGTAGAAGGATCAAACCAGGCACGGTCCTCGGGACTTCAGGGCTAAAATAAGCCTCGAAATAAAACTGAAAATCCAAACTTTTCGATGCGATTCGACCGCGACTATTTATTTTATCCAGCGGCGTCCGCTTTTTATATCCGGCTCGACTTCTATCGACGTCAAGTTCGAAGCCGATATTTATTTATTCGGGGTAAATAAAAGGGACTCTTCCAACGGGAGCGATAAAATCGAGAATCCATTTCCGATGCCGCATATATTTGCGCAGCCCCCCACTAACACCCCCTTCGACCCACGCCGCCCCTTCTCGTGCGTACAGTTTCGCATATAAACCCCATTGTGCTTCGAGGCGTATACACAGCTTCCAAGATACTGGGTGTGCGATATTTAACAACGTAGAATTTTGTTTTTCTATAGTGCTCTTAAGGATCGCCATGGAACTTTCGAATTGTATAGTGCGTGCACCCTGTACAAAGTGTACACCCTCGTCGAAATATAAAAATTTGCACCGTTAATAAAGGAGTTTTATTTCGCAACTAAAGTAAATAATAAAAATTTGCGAATGTCACAATCCTAATTAAATAAAAGTTAATTTTTCTATTGTTTTTCCGGGATCTACGTTAACGAAACGAACTTTTTTCTATTTTCTGTTTTTTGTAAAAGTGATATTTGGGTGGATAAATAATTAAGGAATTGCGCTTACTTTGCCGTCGCTCTTCCGGTAAGCGTCGTGGATCTTCCAGACGAGTTCCGGGCCCGCGCTAGCGATCTGCTTGCCGATTTCGAAAAACTGACCGATGGGGTTCGTCTCGACGGGGGTCTGCGCGCCCCCGCCGCCGCTCCGCAGCTTCGAGAACATCGTGGTGGCGGGCATCCGGCCGGCGGCCTGGTTACATGGCTCGCCGCCGCCGCTCGCGGGCGTCCCGAAGAAGGACGCCCGGTCTAGTAGCCGAAACGTTGTTGCTCGCTCGCCCCTAGGTCGACCTGCGACCCGCGTCCCCTTTCGTCGCACATTCCGGGTCGATCTGCAACAACCACCGCGTCCGTTTTAGTCCGACCCGCCGCCATTTACGAATAATTTATCACGCGTCGTAGTCGTTTATTTACGTGCGGACTCGTGTATAGACGGGCCGATTTTCGCTTCACAATTATTTAATTTACGGACACACAATAGTTCGCACGTATCGGCCAACTCAGACCACAGTGGAAGCCCGGCCAAAGAGACGTAACCATAATATAATCGAAACTTCAGAGCAAAGAATAAACACGGCACTCTCTAGTCAGTGGAATCAATAGAACTCGATTTGTAAACTGCCAAAGTGACATTTTGGATAAGCGGCGTAGACAAAACGACTCGGCGCGACATCTACAACAGCGCCGCATAACTAGTTAAAGTTAGTTTGACGGTGCCCGTGTAGATGCCGCGCCGAATATTAACTTTAATGGAATTTTTTGTTTAAAAATTAAACTGAGGTGGCTTTTACTTTTTACTTTGGTGGTCACTGACAAGGCAAACAAGTCTGTACGGAAGAAAGAAGAAATACGGAAATATTTATTGCCAAAAATTCCTTTTACATAAAAAATTAAGTGGCAGGAAAATATTACTTCTCTTAGATAACTGCCCTGCACATCCCCATATTCCAAATCTACGGAATATCGAATTGCCAAAACAACAAGCGAATTACAGCCGATGGACCAGAGCGTAATAAAAAATCTCAAGAGTCGATACAGAAAAAAAAAACATTTTAATGGAAATGATCAAGTCCGAAGACAAATTTTCCATTAATATGCTAGATGGAATCAATTTTATTAGTAAAGGCTCGAGAGAGGTGACAGCAGAAACAATTCAACACTGCTATCGTCATGGAGGACAAGATTTTATAGTGATAGAACAGTATTTGCCTACAACAGCAGACTTGACAACAAGCAAGAAAGGGCGAGGAAGAGCACCAAGAGGAAGAAGAAGATGAACAAGTTGATCTGGGACCACCACCAACCATTCAACAAGCCCTATATTCAGTTAAGCTGCTTAGAGAAATTTTTTATGTATCATGGTGAACTAACCAAAGTAGGCATACTAAAAAAATTCAAAAGAAAATGACCGATTATTTGTAACATTAACATTACATATTTAGCATATGTAAAGTGTACCAAGAACTTTGTCCCGTGGGTTTTAAATACAAGAAGAACCGAGATCGACGGCGTTCGCCCCCGGGGGCGGCGCCCGGCACTTTACGACCCTTTGGCGAGAATCGGAGATCGACGTTTGGCCCCGGCCAGGCGCCGAAAAATCTCCATATTTAAATCGGGCTTTCTCTCTCTCTGCGGAAAAGAGACGTTTCCCCCCTTTAATCTCGCGCCGATTCACGCTTGAGGGGGCCCGTCGGGACACCCCGAAAAAAATATTAAATCTCCTCTCGGGTTTATTTATAGCGGGAGGGTTCTGCCCCCTCCCGAAATCGATACGGCCGCGCCCCTCTCGTTTTCGGGGATTTTCGAAAAAAGAGAAAAAATCGCCCGCCAAAAGCGCATCCCATTAGCGACATATCGACGTCCACCACACGAGCGTCTATATTTATCCAGACGCCTACCGACGTCGCGTCGGGCACCTGTTGTGCGACCCATCGATCGCGCCGTGGCCCCCACCCCCACCCCCCGCTCCGGAAACGCGACGTTTTTCGGCGGAAAATAAAAAACGGGGCGACCGCGGCGCCGCGACGCGGAAATCGACGCTACTAAATCGGAAACGGATTTAATCGCGTCCCGATTGCCAGGGGCGGCGCGCCGGAAATTACCCTTAAGGGGGGGCGCGTCGCGCCCCTCCGACCCGAATTATTCGCGACGCCGCCGACGGCTCGCGACAAATTGGGGCCTTCGGGTGGAAAAACGGAGGCGTTCTGCGGTTCTTACCTTCGTCGTCGAAGCTTCTCCGCGGGCACCTCAAAAAACCTCAAAAGATCGCGACGTAGTTTCGCGCGCCACGCAACAGATGCCGAGCGTCTGGAATGTGCCGTCGGAGCGACGCCAAGCCTCGGACTACCTGTTGAGGCGTCCCGGACGCCGCACCTGCAGGGGCGGGAGCGACGCCTGCGCCACCTGATGGCCCGGATTTAGACGGAGGCGAGGCGGCGGGCCACCCTCGCGAATGTAGGCATGTGGGACGGGCCGCCGCCGATGTGGGTCACGAGGAATCCGCATCGAGGACGAAATATTTGGCCGGATCCGTCCTCGACCGTCTTCGCACGACGTACGTGCAACATTTGGTGGTATTTAATATACGTCATTCATATTATCCCAAGCATAAAAAAAATAAAAAAAATGCTTTTGTGCTGCACTTGCACTTAAGAGTACATTGCGTGTGTTGCAAAAAAAAAAAAACTCGTATACGAACCAGTGTTGAAAACCATTAAATAATTTTTTGGGGCACATAAGATGTAACATATCATTTATACATAAATATACATTTTTGGTGATATTTTACAAAGCATGAAATATGTAAATGCACGTTACACTTATTACAAACGCAAATTGTGTGGCTGTGGCGGATTCTACATCTCCTTCGGGCTTTATTAGCATGAACAATCATAAGATGACCTTGATTATCATAACGCACTTCATCTATGGCAGGTGCAAGATTTCTTTGAGTAATTGTTTTATCAGTTGTTAAAAGTCGCAAAGCAATGCAAGATTTAAAATTAAATCAATCACTTCGTCATCAAAAAACCTAAAAAAAATATTTCAGGCGGAGTTTTTCCAGAAAGCCTATTTTTTAGTTCCTCATGTGATCTAAATCCATCGGATATAGGTGTGTGAGTGTACTCAATCTGACCTTTCTTCCATTTCCGTCTTCTTTTGAATTCCAGGGTTTCATCATCTAATGAGGTTTAGTAGTTGATGAATTACAGGACTGTTGAAGGACAGCTATATCTTTCGGTGTAACTAGAAAGTTCCAACTATTTCAGTTGGTTCCCCAAACTCTTGTAGATTCCTGTTATCGTTCATATCTTCTTCGTCAGTCACGGTATCCACGTCGGGTGGAATATAGATCTCGTCAATATGTTCTGTAAATATTTGTTCACGTTATTTTTAGCATAAATTTACAAGGAATGGAATGCTACAATACATAAGAATACGTAAATCCAAATAATACCTGTTATTGCCCTCATCCATCACGATCTTCCCCATAGCCGCCTCTAATTCCTTTTGATTCAAATACCTCGGAAATGCCATATTTTACGAACTGTAACGTTCACTGCACAAGGCACAAACTAATACTAAAGAACACGCTAATTGTTGGATGTTTATTCTACATTCGCTGACTTGTCTAGACTTGCAGTAACAAAGTTTTGTTTCACAGATAAAAGCATTCACGCACCAGTAAATATTTTCAAAAAATAAAGCATAATCAATATAGTATTTCCAATGTAGGTTTTCTGCGATGTAATCTATAAGGCTGTTCGGAAAGTCATTTCGTTTTTTCCCGTCAGAGGACTTAATTACGTTTTTTCGAAACCAACTTCACACTTAAGCCGCATAACCATTATATGTCTTGAGAGCTGATATTGCAAGGCTTGTGTGTGAAAAAGTTCTATTAATTCTACGCAGTAGTTTTTGGTTGGTGCCCTTTTAAATATGGAGAGCAATAAGCAGCATTTTCGTCATATTTTACTTTTTTACTTCAGAAAAGGTAAAAATGCTGTCCAAGCGAGAAAAAAATTGACGGATGTGTATGGAGAAGGCGTGTTAACAGTACGCCAGTGCCAGAACTGGTTTGCAAAATTTCGATCCGGCAATTTTGATGTCGAAGATGCACCACGGTCTGGAAGGCCGGTCGAAGCTGACAAAGATGCGATAAAGGCATTAGTTGATGCAAATCGGCGAATAACCACACGAGAGATCGGTGAGAGATTAAATTTGTCGAATTCGACTGTTTATGGCCATTTGAAAGGCATGGGCTTAACCTCGAAGCTCGATGTGTGGGTGCTCCATGTCCTTACGGAGCGAAATTTGTGTCGTCGCGTTGACGTGTGCGATTCGCTCCTCAAACGTCAAGAAAATGATCCATTTTTGAAGCGGATTATTATTGGGGAAGAAAAATGGGTTGTATACAACAATGTTAAACGCAAGAGGTCATGGAGCAGAAAAGATGAACCGGCTCAAAGCGTGTCAAAAGCCAACATTCACCAAAAAAAGGTGATGCTCTCCGTTTGGTGGGATGTCAAAGGAATAGTTTTTTTTGAGCTTTTGCGGGGCAATACAACGATTAATTCAGAAGTCTATTGTCATCAACTAGACAAATTGAATGATTCACTTAAAGAGAAGAGGCCCGAATTAATCAACAGGAAGGGTGTAATGTTCCACCAGGATAATGCGAAACCTCACACAAGTTTGGTCACTCGCCAAAAACTTTTACAACTTGAATGGGACGTACTGCAACATCCACCATATTCTCCAGATCTGGCGCCTTCCGACTACTATTTGTTCCGGTCCCTGCAAATTTTTTGGATGGCAAAACCTTTACCTCAAATGAAGATGTCAAAAACCACCGGAACCAGTTTTTTGCCAGCAAGGACCAAAACTTTTATGAGAGGGGAATTATGTTACTGCCAGAAAGATGGCAAAAGGTGTTGGACCAGAATGGCCAATATATAATTTAATAAAATATTTATTCATTATACGAAAACTGTCTTTCATGTTCCCCAAAGAAACGAAATGACTTTCCGAACAACCCAATACATACTATAGACTTAACAAAAATGGCAAAACAAATCCAAAATATATTTTTTTACTATTTCGGATTTACTTGAAAAGGTGATACCAATTTATGTACCACTTTTGTTAACTTTTGAAGTCATATATAAGATCTTTCCTTTACACATAAATTAGCGATTTCTACGGTTTTATGTCCTCTAGTAGTAATAATAATAAAATTTCTAAATGGACGTGCAAAAGTATTTCCTGGATGTGACAAAAAAAAATCATAGAATCGGTAGTGCACCACTGGGACAAAATTGGTTAAAGCGGTCTATACTCTTCCAACTCTCTGTTAGCGTTCTTCATTCGTACAGGATTGCTTTCGAAAAATCGTCAGTGGGCGCGCGGTTTCTTGTGCTAAAAGGACGGACGCATTGCTTTCCTATCGTGCTCATGTGGACCACTATGGAACTTTGCAAAATCGATGTAATTTTATTGTGCATGCACACTGTATGAAGTGTCTTCCGCAGCTCGCCGAACTTCAAAGTTGCGGCAAACTTTGATAAATGCTAAAATTTGTACAAATAATTTTCGACTTCCCATGATATTTTTTCAAATATCTCGCGAAACCTGAAACTCTCTCTCTCTCTCGACTGAATCTACTCAATTATCCCATGTTTTTTAGTATATAATTCCAATAGACTAAACGGTTTTCGAGAAAATACTTGTTTTCTGAAGCCATTCAGTACGTCGTAATAATAAATGACGTCATCGCGTCTAGATTGAGGACGAGCAATGGTGATTCTCATTTTGATTTTTGCAAACATTTCGAACAGCGTATGCGCTAGACGAAACCCAGCTCTTGATGCGGCGCATGACACTGTTTGAACCGATTAGCCATATTTTTTACGATTTTTGATTTGCTGTTAATAATTTACCCTGGAAAAGAACAATTTTGTAAACCTTTTAGATTTTTGGCCCAAAATTTAAAAACCCTCTATCTAATCAAAAAAACGCTTAAAATAAAAGTTATAGTACTGGATCTTCCGCGTCTGCTAGTTTAAGAATTTTGCAGATCGGGTGAATGGTTATGGAGAAAAACATGCTTTTCTGGAAGCCAAAATAACCAAAAAAAAATTCAAAACTTAGCGGAATTTAATTGCGCTCGACTTTAATGGTTAAAATGTGGGTCTGAACTTCTACTTCTCTGCCAAATCTGAAGTAGGTAACTGCAAATTTAGGGCACCTATTACGTTTTTTAATATTGCACGGAATATCGCGAACACCCTGTACAATAGCTGAAAACCTTAAATACAAAAATTTTAGCTGTGTATGCGAGCTTTATTGCCAGAGAATTGTAGGTCTCGACTCAGTTTACGACGCGGTTTAAATCAAATATAATTTACCCACAAGAACGGGAGTTGTTACCCTGTATATAATTCAAAAAATATTCGAAATGGACGTTTTGGACCTGAATGTCCCACGATTCCTGGTATATGAATTTTTCAGAGCGTGACTGAAGCTCAGTTTCAGTGAAGCTCTGAAGACGCCAACAGGGTGACTGGCGAAACGTCAGCGAGTTAAAAGTAGAATATGTTATAAACGAAAACCATAAATACAACAATTGTAGCTCTCGATGTGGCATATTATTTACGAATTTTGATGTACGGCTCATAATTTACTCTGGAAAAGGACAATTTTTAGTTTCCTCTAGATTTTTGACCATAATTGGAAAACCCTGTATATAATAGAAAAAATGCTTGAAATAAAAATTATAGTACTGGATCTTCCACGTCTGATGGTTAAAGAATTTTGCAGATCGAATTAACAGTTTTGGAGGAAATAATTTTTTTCTGGAAACCAAAATAACCAAAAAAAAAATTCAAAATAAAAAAAATAATTTGCGGCATTTGATCGTCTGCACTTCTACTTTTCTGCTAAATCCGATGACGGTAGCTGCAAATTTATATCGCGAACACCCTGTACAATAGGTAAATATAAAAGTCTTAGCCGTCTACACGGGCTATATTTTGGTGTAAAACAAATTGGCTTCTGAATCGCAGTCTTCTAGTTATAGTAAATACTAAAAAAAAAAATACTTCGCGACCCCCCGGCCCCCCAATAGCTTCCGTTAACTGACCAAACGCTATTTTCTAGCCAAATATGAAGTCGTTAGCTTCAAATTGCGGACGCTTATTGTGTTGTTAGTAACCATTTTTCAGAAAAAAAATTCTTGAACCCTTGCAAATGTGGTTTTTACATTTTTAAAAATACCCCCCGCCCCTTCAAGGGCCCTTTCGGTTTCATTAGGTTATAGGTTTTCAGTACCCTAGCTCAAACCCTTCGGAAGATATTCTCATTTTTACGACAGAGAACAGAGAACGGACAGACGAACAATTTTCAGGTTCTTGTCAATAAACCCTGAACATAATCGAAAAAATTCTTGAAATAAAAGTTATGGTACCGAATCCGTCGCGTCTACTGGCTAAATAATTTTTTGTATCAAGTTAATTGTTTTCCACAAAAACCAAAATAAGTAAAAAAAAATCAAAAATTTTCAAAAAATGCAGACTCTACAGGTCAGATGTGGGTGTGAACTTGTACGTCTCTGCCGAATTTGAAGTCGAGAGGTGCATATTTGGGACACCTGTGACATTTTTCAATGTAGCACAGAATATCCCGAACACTCTGTAAACACCTGTAAAATTGCACAAACATAGTCAATAAAATTCCATTCTATCCTATTCACGTTTCGTTTTGGTTGTTGTTGGAAAGTTTATTTTATCTCCCTCTCCTTCTACTCTCGTAATTGCCCATTTTTTCTGCGAAGTTCCTGCGCCAGTGGCGTGGTTAATCTTTTTCCTCTCATATTGTCCCAAGATGTATATGTTGAAACTCGATGAAATGTCGTCAAACATTGGGAACACAACAGAAATCAGAATTTTAGCCGATTTTAACAGTGGGACAGGTAAGAAACTGAATGATGAATGAACTGATCCTAACTTTGGACAATCTGAAAGCATACAGTACGCCTGGATGAATACTAAAACCTGTCTGAGAATATGTCTTTCGAAGAAAGTTACGATATACAACAGCCAAAAAGCAATAAAGTATGGCGGTCAGACGAAATTAAAAAGCTAATAAACGCGAAATAGCAACTGTACCTGAAATGGTTGAAAACCTTCAAAAATGAAAACAGGAAATACCAGAGATTTCTGCGTAACACAGAGCTTTCGCAATGGTAGCTGAAACGGAATACCCCTAACAAATAGAACGGTATTTAGCCTACAGCTTACATATCTAGGGAACGCAAACTAAAAGAAACCTATGAAGATTGAGGACTGACTATGAATCTCGAAAAAAAGAAATATCTATGCGTAGGAAGGGGAAGTGGTAACCTACAATTCTAAAACTCAGAAAAAATAGAAGCCGAACTTGTTCTGTAGTTTGGTTTAGTAGTTAGTTAATAAGTTTTGAACATCAAATGAAACTAGACATGTGTCATAGAAAAGTAAACCGACGACAACCGTAAAGTCAAACTAGGACGCAAAACTCAAAACTAGATGTGAACAATGACTCCGCAAGAATCACCAAAACAATACTAGTAAAAACCCAAAAAAAAACCACTTTGAAGATTCTCCAATGAAGCAGAACCAGCATGAATCCGACCAGTCCAATGAGACACCTGGGCACACTCAGAAGGAAGCAACATCCAAAGAGTAAAATGACTTACAACTCTTGAAGGAAAATGCCAGCATTGCGTTACCACCAACCAAGACGGGGGGAACCTCGTTTACTGGCCTCCCACTGACTGTAACCAAATGCAGCATCAAACCCGCCAAAATCCACCGGCACTCGCACCAATGGAAAATACTCAAAGGGCGGAAAACCAAAGAAAATCCCAACCCCATTAAACAAAAATATGAAGAAAAAAAACAAGTAACCCCTATGTTCCACCTATCATAAGGGAGTGAACTATAGCGCACACCAAGCTGAAAAATGCTGACGGCATTGAATACAAAAGAGCTACCCAAAAAAAAAAGAAAAGGGTGTTCCCTAAAAGGACACTGACACCAACCTTCCAACATCTCTCACCTAAAGGGGCGGAGGCAAGCCGCAGTAGTGATACCCAGTTATTTTATGCACATTTATGAACATAAACCGAACTAATCGCCCCCCAACGTTTGCCCTTCCTAAAGGGATTTGGTGATGAGGAATTTGACAGCACCTGCCATAAAAGGGCCTGTATATGAACAAAGGTGTAATCTCTAGAACCTAAAGCTATGACTAAAACTAATTGAAAAGGATCTTCAAGCATTCTGAAGAAAGAGAAAATACCATACACCACCATTAATGAAAACCCTAAAATATCACCACAATAGTATAGAGATGATGTGATCAGAGTTCGCGCTAAGATCAAACCTAATCTCCACTCTAAATGCGATGTTAGAAGCAACAGAAGTAATGCAACTGAGGCTCTACATTACAACTCCACATGAAGGACTACAGGAACCGCAGCGATCGTATTCTTCCTAAATTAAGAAGTAGTGCAATAGCAAGCTCTATTTCGCGCTAGAGCCCACCAAAACTCTACAACCCTACTTCGCCCCAAATCGCAGAGCGGAACTCCGCAGTTTAATAGCTTTCATGTAGCCAATGACAAATTGATCCCGTTACAATTGCCTTAGGAGGAATTTTTATGTCTTTAACCTTGTCAATTAGTTCGAATAAATTTTTGAAGCATATCTAGGTTTAAAGGCAATGTTATATTCTAAAATTTTAATTAATCTTGTTGAAAATTTAACTGATGGTGCTGTTACGAAAGAAACTTCTTTGTCATTAAAAAGTGATGAATCGGAATCCTATGAACGACAACAAATTACCGAACGAACAATATATACAACTATATCTGTTATCTTCTTGTAACGACGTAACCGTACGTATATAGAACGTAGCGTATTGACGTCACCATCCCCGTGGGATTCCGTGGGGTAAACAATCCGGCGGCGTGGAGACTTTAAGCCGACACAGCCTGCGGGGGAGTTTTAATCCGGTAATTCCGGTTTCGGTCCGGGTACGTAAATCGGATCTGCGACGAGATAGTCTCGTCCCAAAGATCGATATGCAGCTTCCGAGGAGATTGTACGTGACCGAACGTCCACCTAAAGCATTTGCGTGTCATTTAGCAACAAACGGACGTCCGTAAGATTGTCTTTTAAATTAACTCGCCTCACATTCACATCGCGCCATCTATCGGCGACCGGCCGGGCTTGATCAAAGTTTCGCCGATTGGCCGCTAGATGTCGCAGCTGCACTTTTCGTTGAGAATCTATCACTTTCGCTCTCTGGTCAAATGTCAGGGCAAAAAAAAATGTACCGCTCCCTAATTTATAGCGTTCTGGGGCCACTAAATTATCTAGTTAAACGACTTTGCGTTGATTTTGGTGGTTTGATTGGGGCAGCGTTCAAACAAAGATACTTTTGGTAACTTTTGAGATTTTATTGAATTTTTTGTTTCCGTACGCGTACAATATCCGATAGGAATTCGAGTTCTAACCTAAAAAATACGATTCGCTTCGCCACCATCAGTTGTCCTTTCGCGATTCGAAGTCTATGCTGTCCTCGCTCTGCGGCAAAGAAAAGCGACGAAATTAAATGCGAAACGGAGCGTGACGAACGAACCTCTCGATTGAGCAGCTGGCTGCTCAGTCGCTGGCTCATGATCCGGTACTGCAGCTTAACCTCCTCCTGAAATTTGGACGGGATCACCATGATCGTGGTGGCGGTGTTGCCGAGGAACAAAAAGAAGAACATGAAGCAGAGCACGGGCACATGCCAAGTGGCGGTCGGGTGCATGCTCAGGTTGTACAGGCTGTACGCGTTGTACAGCTGGAAAACGTAGCCGCCGAAGAGGAAGGGGTAGAGAAAACTCAGGCCGCGCCACATCCACGAGTGGAACCCTTCAATGGTGATGTCCATGTTGTGGCGCTCGCCTAGGGCCTTGAGCCGGTACAAAACGCCCCGTTGATAGCGGAACTGGAGATACTGGACTAGACCTGAGCCACCGTTTTTGTATGGGGCCCGTTTTAGATCGAGGGTGCCAACTTACTGATGTAGATATTGAACAGTACGAATTGGTTGCGGAACATGAGCCACGTCTCGTTGTCGGGCCAGATCAATAAAACGCCAGCGGCTACGGTGGACGCGAAATGGTGGAACCTCCACCATCCCTTGATCCGCGACCCGTTCAGCTTTAATATGCTCTCCCGAATTGTCAAAGTGCAGTAGTACCAGACCAGGAGGAAAATGTAGCTGAGTTCGAGCGCTCGAAAACGCACGAAGTAATTTAAAATGGCCATCGCGAATCCGATCATGCTCAAAATCAGCTTGAACTTTTCATATTCGTCCTTATACTTGAACCTACCAAACGAAAACCATGTTTTTATAATCAAACAACAAACGGGAGTGTCAAAGGTTATCATCACTTACTTATCTTCCTTATTCAAGATGGAGACGTTCACATTACCCAAGATAATTTTCAGATAGGTGCCGTTTTCTTTGGGCAGCGTCTGCTCGATCGCGTACAATTGGGCCTTGCGTTTCATGATATTGGTCCGTAACTCTTTCACGCGCCCTTCGTTCTCCTTGCCTTTCGCTATACTAAAAATCGGGTTTACTTACCTGGCGGTCTGTGCGAAATCAAACTTACTCCTTTAACGCCTTGGTTATAACTCCTATTCGATATCTTTGGTGCTTGATGTGATCGATGCATTTTTTTTGGTAACCGGACAGCTCAGACAGGTATTGAAGGTAAGCCCTGTTCGCCACCTATCGACGAAACGTCGCTAAAGCAAGACGAAACGTAGGGGCCTTAACGAAACTAACCTCCAACTCTTTAAAGTCGGCGTTCAATTCGTCCCACTCGTCGAAGACTTCGCTCATCTTGCGGAAATGCTCCGAAATTGGTTATATTACATTTCTCGCCCGACGGCCAGCAGTATTGCCAAAAAAAAATTAACAAACGCGTTTTCTTCTTGCGTGTTTTTCTGACCGTCCACCCCGACCGTACGAGATTAAAATCGGCTTCGTGAGCGCTATCTGTCGCATCCGTCATTAAATTGTTTTCGAGCGCACTATCTGTCGCCGAGTGGCTCGACGAAACGCTCGAACTTTAAATCCCGTTGTCGCTCGGACTTCCTGCCGCCAGAGGGCGCTGCGGCGATTTGGCGTGATTATCATCGTGTACAAGCAATTAAAGTTAATTATCGGCAATCCTCGACGGGTTTGAAACGAGCACAAGGGCAGCCTCTATCGAAGACCGTGCGTCCGATGGTTTCTAGAGAACGGAGTCCCATGTGGTGTCTCCTTTTAACGGCAAACTTTGATTTAAAACTGGCCCTCGGGTGGCCCGGCCGTCATCTCCGGTGCGGAATTTTCGGCCGAACGGAGTTCCCAGAAACCGTGCCGAGAAACAAAAAAGACGGCATTGCAAATCCTCGAGATGGTGGGAGACGCACGTACGCGCACTTTCTCTTCCACGACGGGCTCATTGTCAGTGTCTTTGAAAAATCCGAATCGGGTAAATCTGACCCGTCTCGTCGGCCCGCCGTCGACCATGCGTTTGGTTTTTTTCGATTCGTTTTTGTTTCGCGCCGGCTCCTAAGCCGCCCACGAACCGTTTTCGTTTGTTATGTTATCGTTGTCTCGGCCGTCCGCGGGTTATGAGCGGCTGAGTGCCGGGAACCGCGATATGAGACGTCTCCGGGTCGTCGTCGCCCTCGCGACGATCTGCGTCAACGTCCTCGAGTGCGTTAATACAGGTCAGTAGCTCGCGAAAACGGGTTATGGCGACGACCATATGTTTTTCGCGCGATCGCTGCTCCTGTTTGGTTCCGTTTATCTTCGTTTTTTTTTTTGTCGCCAAGGTCGTCCCTTTTAATTGTTTTCTTAAAGTCGGGACGTCCGTTGGCCAGCGGGTTGTCGGCGGCGTTGCCGCTCCTAACCGCGCTTCCGGAAAAGTTGCATCGCGGCAACGCCGCATTCTGGTAATTTAATTTAATGCCGCAAAAAAAAAACGTTTCGATTTACGAGCGACGTTCCGATTGGCGTTTTGACGGGCATCGATCAAAACCGCATAAATATATTTTTTTTTTCCGCGTTTTTATTGCAATTTTATGCGCGTGACTGCGTCGAAGCGTCTTTGGGGACTCGGGCTACGTCATCGCCGATTCGAAAACCCGCTTCCCGCTAATTTATTCACGCGGATGTGGGTCGATCGTTTATCACTCGCGAGCGACTTAATCGGATCACGGATCTCGCGTTAATCTGGCCGAATCCTGTTGCAGAGTCAGCGGCGTACGCGGGGGTGGAGAAGCAGCGCTACGACGGTTGGTTCAACAACCTCGCGCATCCCGAATGGGGCTCGGTGGGTGAGTATGGGTAATATTTCGCGTCGCTTTAGCTTCGGGACGAGCGACGACGACTTCTTCGTATTTAGGTTGCCGCATACTTTAAAAACTTTAAAACCCGTTAAACGCGCCACCGCTGCCACTATTCCTAGACGAATCTTAAAGAAAACGAAAAACTATTTGGCCATTTTGTCTCCTTGCGCGTCGCGAGGCAACGAACGACCCTCGCCACAGACCACCAAAACAGATAGCTATTCATTTCATTCATTTGTTTATGGTTCATTTCATTCACTTCCGAGATTAACACTGACAATGTCAAAATTATACGTCAAAGGATGGCAAAAAAAAACGGAAAATTTCATAACGTACATGCGAATGGAAACGGGCTTTCTTTTAGGGACTATTTGAACGGGTACTTATTTGATACGACGAAAGTTTGTCAATAAATTTATATAAAGATTGTATTAAACAAATATAATTATGAAAACGATCATTATAAAAACTAAATTTTATTTTTTTCCTTCGTATTTCCACTATTTAACTAATCGTAATGAAAAGTATGGAATATTGAAATTATTTTTATAAGACATAATGTATAATAATGTATTAGGAAATATAGATTGCAAAAAATTCAAAACAGCTGTTGCAGGTTCATTTTCGGCTTGCGTAAATTTGATAGGATTTCCAATAAAATCCATTTATCAATGTAATTATAACTTCCTATTTAGTTTTCAATTTAAACATTTAAGAGGTTAGGTGGAGTAGTTTTTGCTAGACTTCGCCTCTTCTCTACTGTATATTTGTATATAACAATATACAACAATAAAAGCATTTTACTATTATTATTATTATTCTTATTATTATTATTATTATTATTATTATTATTATTAGAATCATGTATTTAAATAATTAAAAAAATTATAGATGCATCTTAGTTTTGGAAACCCGGCGTATATAGTTATATCACGCGCGGAGCGAACATACAATCAGAGATCAAAGACACATCAACCGTCATATATTTTAACTACGTAAACGTAACAAAGACGGCTTTCCTTAGACAGCCACCTGGTGCGGAGGGCGCCGCCCGCTTACGCCGACGGCGTCTACACGCTGTCGGGGCAAGACCGGCCGAGCCCCCGCAAACTGAGCCGCCTGTTCATGAAGGGGGTCGACGGGCTCGGGTCCCTCACCAACCGGACCGCCCTGCTCGCGTTCTTCGGACAACTGGTGACCTCCGAGGTTGTGATGGCGAGCGAGAGCGGTTGCCCGATCGAGATGCACCACATCGAGGTGGAAAAGTGCGACGAGATGTACGACGACGAGTGCAAAGGCGACAAGCACATCCCCTTTCACCGCGCCGTCTACGACAGGAAGACGGGGCAGAGTCCCAACAGTCCCCGCGAGCAAGTCAATCAGGTGACCAGCTGGATCGACGCCAGTTTCGTGTACAGTACTAGCGAGCCGTGGCTGAACGCGATGCGTTCCTTCGTCAACGGCTCGCTGCTTGCCGACCCTACGGGGAAGATGCCCGTGCGGAACTACAAGAAGGTGCCGCTGTTCAACAACCCGGTGCCGCACACCATGAAGACGCCTAGCACCGAGAGGCTGTTCCGTGAGTATACCGCCCCTCCGTGCTCCGCCCGTTAAAAAACGAGTCGTTTAGTGTTAGGTGATCCGCGCACCAACCAGAACCCCGCCCTCCTCACCCTCGGCGTGCTCTTCTTCCGCTGGCACAACGTGGTGGCCGCGCGCGTCCAAAAGGCCAACCCCACGTGGTCCGACGAGGACGTGTTCCAGAAGGCGCGGCGCATCGTCATCGCGACGCTACAGGTACGACCGCGACGCCCAAATAGCACACGATATCCCCAGTATATCCGGTCAATGTCCCATTTAAGTCGCATGTCCCGAGGTACGCGCTTTATGTATGGTCTGTTCATAGATATAAGAAAATGGTCATTAACATACAATGCAACAAGATTATTACCGAAGGAAAAAAACGCGTGCATCTTAAATATTGCTGTTCCGGCGATGATTTCGCATACTATATAGATGGCGTCTCCTATGAAACATACTACGGATATACGTATCGGGTATACTGCGGACGTTCCAATTAGTAACATCGTATATGCTTCTTAGCTGAAACGGTATATCCCTAGGATATACACTATGTCCCGTCAGACGTCCCGAGGACGTTTTACGGATGTCCTTGTGCTATTCTTGTGCTTGTGCTTTCGCAGAACGTCATCGCGTACGAGTACCTGCCCGCGTTCCTCGGCGAGAACCTGCCCCAGTACCGCGGGTACCGTCGCGACGTCCACCCGGGCGTCACGCACGTGTTCCAGAGCGCCGCGTTCCGGTTCGGCCACTCGCTGATCCCGCCCGGCCTCTACCGTCGCGACGCCCGCTGCAATTTCAAGAAGACCCCGATGGGATACCCGGCCCTGCGACTCTGCTCCACCTGGTGGGACTCGAACGACGTCCTGGCCAGCGACTCGTTGGAGGAGCTGCTCATGGGCATGGCGTCGCAGCTCGCGGAACGCGAGGACTCGGTCCTGTGCTCGGACGTGCGCGACAAACTCTTCGGCCCGATGGAGTTCTCGAGGCGGGACCTGGGCGCGTTGAACATCATGCGGGGTCGCGACAACGGCCTGCCCGACTACAACACGGCCAGGGCGCACTACGGCCTGGCGCGCGTCGCCAACTTTCCCGACATCAACCCGAAACTGTTCGGAAACAGGCCGGAGCTGCTGCGCACGCTCGTCGCCGCGTACGCTAACGACATCGACAACGTCGACGTCTACGTGGGCGGCATGCTGGAGAGCTACGGCGGACCCGGGGAATTGTTCCGGGCCGTCATCAAGGAGCAGTTCGAGCGTATCCGCGACTCGGACCGCTTCTGGTTCGAGAACGAGGCGAACGACGTCTTCACCGCGGCGGAGATCAGCGACCTGAAGAAGATCACGCTCTGGGACGTGATCGTCAACAGCACCAACGTCGACCCGAACGCGATCCAGAGGAACGTCTTCTTCTGGTTATCGGGCGATCCGTGTCCCCAACCAGCGCAGCTCAACGTCTCGCTGATGGAGCCGTGCAAGATTATCGGCGGCCACGATTATTTCGAGAACAACGAGCTGGTGTACATCTACGCGTGCGTGTTCCTCGGCTTCGTGCCGATCATGTGCGCCGGCGCGGGCTACGGCGTCGTCAAGCTGCAGAACCGCCGCCGGCGCCGCCTCAAGATGAAGCAGGAAGCGCTCAAGAATAAAAACTGCAAGCTGACCGTCGACGGCATGGTGGTGCACGAGTGGCTCCACGCCAACTACAAGAGGGTCGTCAAGGTCAAGTTCGGGCCGGACGCCGCCATCAACATCGTCGGCCGCAAGGTGGGCCCCGCCCCCGTCGCCTTATCGACACCCGTTTAGTCCAAAGTCACTACACAGAGAGATTTTTTTTTAATAACAAACGCTACGTTTTGTTTGGACAAAATTGATTAGTTTTTTTCCTTTAATTGTTTTAACTAAAATATTTAAATCAATAATTCACAACATCGTGGGCCGCAAGGTGGGCCCCGCCCCCGTCGCCTTATCGACACCCGTTTAGTCCAAAGTCACTACACAGAGAGATTTTTTTTTATAACAAACGCTACGTTTTGTTTGGACAAAATTGATTAGTTTTTTTTCTTTAATTGTTTTAATTAAAATATTTAAATCAATAATTCACAACATCGTCGGCCGCAAGGTGGGCCCCGCCCCCGTCGCCTTATCGACAACCGTTTAGTCCAAAATCACTACACAGAGAGATTTTCTTTTAATAACAAACGCTACGTTTTGTTTGGACAAAATTGATTAGTTTTTTTTCTTTAATTGTTTTAATTAAAATATTTAAATCAATAATTCACAACATCGTCGGCCGCAAGGTGGGCCCCGCCCCCGTCGCCTTATCGACACCCGTTTAGTCCAAAGTCACTACACAGAGAGATTTTTTTTTAATAACAAACGCTACGTTTTGTTTGGACAAAATTGATTAGTTTTTTTCCTTTAATTGTTTTAACTAAAATATTTAAATCAATAATTCACAACATCGTGGGCCGCAAGGTGGGCCCCGCCCCCGTCGCCTTATCGACACCCGTTTAGTCCAAAGTCACTACACAGAGAGATTTTTTTTTATAACAAACGCTACGTTTTGTTTGGACAAAATTGATTAGTTTTTTTTCTTTAATTGTTTTAATTAAAATATTTAAATCAATAATTCACAACATCGTCGGCCGCAAGGTGGGCCCCGCCCCCGTCGCCTTATCGACAACCGTTTAGTCCAAAGTCACTACACAGAGAGATTTTCTTTTAATAACAAACGCTACGTTTTGTTTGGACAAAATTGATTAGTTTTTTTTCTTAAATTGTTTTAATTAAAATATTTAAATCAATAATTCACAACATCGTCGGCCGCAAGGTGGGCCCCGCCCCCGTCGCCTTATCGACACCCGTTTAGTCCAAAGTCACTACACAGAGAGATTTTTTTTTATAACAAACGCTACGTTTTGTTTGGACAAAATTGATTAGTTTTTTTCCTTTAATTGTTTTAACTAAAATATTTAAATCAATAATTCACAACATCGTCGGCCATAAGGTGGGCCCCGCCCCCGTCACATTATCTGACACCCGCTTACTCCAAAGTCATTATACAGAGAGGTTTTTTTAACAAACTTTACGTATTTTTTATCCTAGAATTGATATCCGAATGAAAATATAGGGTGCACCATTTGAAAATCTTGAGATTTTGTTAATTGAATTCGCCGAAACGGCACCACCTATTTGGGACACCCTGTGTAGAGTCTCCTTAGTCTGTGGTTAAATTTTCGTCGTAATACCTGAATCAGTAGCGTCACAACACAATTTTATATGGGGCAATCAAAATATAAAAAAAAACACACATAACCTCAATTTCTACCTAAACTATGCAAAATTCGAATAGGAATTTCTTAAGAAAGTGACCTTTATTTTAACCAAGGATTCCAAAAATATCGGCATATACAGGGCGTTTGTATCGTACGCTGGTAATATTTCTGAGACTTCTGACCAGTCTTATTCTCAGGGTGAGACGCTGCGGTCCGTCAACCTGAAAAACTGCGAGCAGGTGGTTGTGGACGAGTCCCTCGACGTCAGCAGCGCGAAGAAGCCGACGGCGCTGATCCGCGTGCCGCGCGACCACGACCTAGTGCTCGAGTTCGACACCGTCGCCGGCAAGAAAAAGTTCCTGGGCAAGCTGGAGACGTTCCTCGCGTCGAACAAGAAGGGCCTGCGGCTCACGCAGGTGGCGCGCGAGCTAATGCTTGCCAAGGCGGAAACTAAGGAGCGCAGGGAGAAGAAGCTGGAGCACTTCTTCAGGGAGGCTTATGCGCTGACGTTCGGGCTGCGGCCCGGCGAGCGGCGCAGGCGCAGCGACGACACCGCCGACGGCGAGGTCGTCACCGTGATGCGCACGTCGCTGACGAAGGCGGAGTTCGCGAGCGCGCTCGGCATGAAAACGGACGCGGTGTTCGTCAAGAAGATGTTCAACGTGGTGGACAAGGACGGCGACGGCCGCATCTCGTTCCAGGAGTTCCTCGACACGGTGGTGCTGTTCTCGCGCGGCAAGACCGAGGACAAGCTGCGCATCGTGTTCGACATGTGCGACAACGACCGCAACGGCGTCATCGACAAGGAGGAGTTCTCGGAGATGCTGCGCTCGCTGGTGGAGATCGCGCGTACCACGAGCCTCTCCGACGACCACGTGACGGAGCTGATCGACGGCATGTTCGAGGACGCGGGGCTCCGTCACAAGGACTACCTCACCTACCAGGACTTTAAGGAGATGATGCGCGAGTACAAGGGCGACTTCGTCGCGATCGGTCTCGACTGCAAGGGCGCCAAGCAAAACTTCCTCGACACGTCGACGAACGTCGCGCGCATGACCAGCTTCCACATCGAGCCGAGCGTCGACGCGGAAAAATCGTGGCTTCGCCTCAGGTGGGACGCGCTCACCACCTTCCTCGAGGAGAACCGCCAGAACATATTCTACCTGTTCATCTTTTACGTCGCCACGATAGCCCTGTTCGTCGAGCGGTTCATACGTGAGTCGAATTTTAAGGTCCGGTACATGTGAACTAGCCAGACGGGTATACGTAGTAGTTCAAATGTACACGAACCCGTAAAAAAGCAACTTGCACGGACTTGATTCTGGTTGTTGTAGTTTCAACGTTAAAAACTGACAGGCCCGACAAGGCTGCGAAACGTTAAACTATGAGTCATCACATCAAGGTTGCGTAACATTCTTAATATCACATTTGAGGGAAAGAAGATAAAAAAAGCACATTTCAATTCTTTATATTATTTTATTGTTACACACACAGTCAGGTAGAAATAGAAGGATCACAGGAAGTGTTTTTAGCTCGTGTTCATTCAATAGTGCGAGTTGTAATAAGATTCGTCTCATTCTATGGCTTTTATTGTTCGGACCAGAGCAAGAGTTTACTAACATTATAGCACAAAAAGATAGCAGAGGAACATATTCGTCATTCATTTCATCGCCTTGTTGTAGGGGTCGCATATACAAAAATAGTAGTATACTTGGACCAGAAATATAGTGCTTTTACGACCCCGTGATCAACTTTGTCTACTATTTATTACTCCAAAACCACAGCTCCTTATAGAACACCTTGCCGAGCAGACCCTTACCCGTAACCACTCCAGGAATTTATTGATCTATACTAACAAGCGGGTTATGAGTATGTTTTCTTGAAACATGTACATAAAATAATTAGTTCAAAGTAACGAGTTATTATATTTCATTACATTTCTACATAGTATCACTATTAATAAACAAAATATTAAATATAATGATAATAAAGTCACCTCGATAAATATTTTCTTCTTTTACTATTCGTTTTTCATTGTTAGACCAATTTTGTACTGATATTTTAGCTACATCTTGCCGAATTGCGTTTGTATTACTATCACTAAATTACGAAATTCCTTGAGAAACCCATTAGCATTCGACGTCTAATTGTTTTGAACGGAAAACCATTTTTTTCAAAACAATACCCAACGACTCTTCGGCACAACTAATATTTAAGTCTGTCAGTACTTTTTACGCTAGGGTTAAAACACTGTACCAGCATCTTCTCTCGACTATCCCATTTGCAACAATTTTTCTGACATCGGATCTTTGTTCATATCACTTATTGCTGCTCCTACTTCCCCTTCTGAATTTCTTATAAAATTGTCAAGCTCTGTCCCACTTAATGCAGAATAAACATCTGTCGGGACGGGTTTTACCAGATAAAGCAAAACTATTAGCCAAGATGGCCCTGTTAAGATTAAAAAATAAACAGTTGTAGCCTTAGATAAAGCAATTTTTGTGAAAATGGCAATAAGCAGTTATACCAACGTTATTCGACCGCAGTTTCAACGTTCAATTTTAGCACGCGGTTTGAGGTTAACATCATTTTCATCGTCTTTTTATGCCGCATTCCTGCGTAGACTACTCGTTCATGGCGGAGCACACCGACCTGCGCCACATCATGGGCGTCGGCATAGCGATCACGCGGGGATCCGCGGCCTCGCTCTCCTTCTCCTACAGCATCCTGCTGCTCACGATGTGCAGGAACCTGATCACGAAACTCAAAGAGTTCTCGGTGCAGCAATACGTGCCGCTCGACGCGCATATCCAGTTCCACAAGATCGCCGCCTGCACCGCCCTTTTCTTCTCGATGCTCCACACCGTCGGCCATATCGTCAACTTTTACCACGTGTCCACCCAGCCGGTCGAGAACCTCAAGTGTCTGACCAACGAGATCCGGTTCCCGTCCGATTACAAGCCGGGCATCACGTTTTGGCTGTTCCAGACCGTCACAGGTACCAACTAACGATTTTATCCTTTTTTATAAAACGATATTTCGCAAAATTGTTTACTAAATTTTATAGGAGCAGTGGGTACTGTGACAAAACAGTACTTAGTCATTATACAGTAGTTTTATGAGAAGTATGGTATATAATGTAAGGATAATCAAATAAAACAATGTAGTGAAGCAGAACGGTGGTAACTACTGCCTTCGAATTTTCCTCCGTTCTAGTACCGGGCGATGCGACGTCGGCGGCCATTTTTCCGTTTTACTCGAAAATTCGCCATGCAACGAAGTAAGCGTCCGATATTACAAGCTATCGAGTTGAAATTTGGTAGGAATGTAGTATGAAGTATTTTTTAAAAAAATTCGATGATTTATTTTCGAGATCGGAGACGACAACCCAAAAATATAGTCGTTCCAAAAATGTACAGGGTGTCGCGGTTGCGAGCAAAAAATTTCGACTGTCGCACAGGGATCACGAAATACGGGCTAGAAAGTGACGCGACAGGTCTCGGGTTCAAACCCGACTGCTGGTCGTTTCTTTTTTGAACTTTTACTTGATGAAAATCCATTTAACGAAACAAATAAGTGCTAAAAGTTCAGATTTTCACGAAATTATATATTTTTACATGACAATTGTTTCGACAACACCGTGTCTTTATCAAATGTAATATTTTCAAACTACCTCCAACTATATATACCGAAAAATGACAATAAAACCTTAATTAGTGTTGTTTGAATTTGAGTTTAATAATGGAGAGGCATTTAAATCTAATTGATCGTTAAGAGCGTTAAAAAAATAGTCTAGATTCTAACACTTAAACTTAACGAATGTTGATATTTTACATACAGCCACAAAAAGTAGAAAATTAAATTTATTGGAATTAGATTTAAATAACTCTCCATTATTAAACATAAATTCTCACAACATTAGTTGAAGTTTTAATGGGGTAGTTTGTAAATAATACATTTGATAAAAGCGCGGTGTTGTCGAAAAAATATATATAATTTCGTGAAAATCCGAACTTTTAGTTCTTATTTATTTAATTTCTTTTTTCTTTATATCGTGACCGCTTAAATTTGGTAAATTATTATAACTGAAATTTTGCAAGGTCAAAAAGTTTTCAGTTCACCATATATGTCGACGGATATCGAGTGTTCGGCCTCGGAGCACTTTTATTACAGTTTGCAGGCGAAACGAGGTTATGCTAAAAGTGTTCCCTTCCGCAGGTCTGACCGGGGTGCTGCTGTTCGTCGTCATGTGCGTGATAATCGTGTTCGCCCACCCCACCGTGCGCAAAAAGGCCTACAAGTTCTTCTGGTTCACGCACAGCCTCTACGTGGCGCTGTACGCGCTGTGCCTAGTGCACGGCCTCGCCCGGCTGACGGGGGCGCCGCGCTTCTGGATGTTCTTCGTCGGGCCGGGCGCGGTCTTCATCTTGGACAAGGTGGTGAGCATGAGGACGCGCTACATCCCGCTGGACGTGCTCGAGACGGAGCTGCTGCCCTCCGACGTCATCAAGATCAAGTTCTACAGGCCGCCGAACCTCAAGTACCTGTCGGGGCAGTGGGTGCGGCTCGCGTGCACCGCCTTCAGGGACCGCGAGTTCCACTCGTTCACGCTGACGTCCGCGCCCCACGAGAACTTCCTGTCGTGCCACATCAAGGCCCAGGGCCCGTGGACGTGGAAGTTGCGCAACTACTTCGACCCGTGCAACTACAACCCCGACGACCGGCCCAAGATCCTGCTGGAGGGCCCGTTCGGAGGCGGCAACCAGGACTGGTACAAGTTCGAGATCGCGGTCATGGTCGGGGGCGGCATCGGCGTCACGCCCTACGCCTCCATACTCAACGACCTCGTGTTCGGCACGTCGACCAACCGGTACTCGGGGGTCGCGTGCAAGAAGGTGTACTTCTTGTGGATCTGCCCGTCGCACAAGCACTTCGAGTGGTTCATCGACGTGCTGCGCGACGTCGAGAAAAAGGACGTGACCGACGTGCTCGAGATCCACATCTTCATCACGCAGTTCTTCCACAAGTTCGACCTGCGCACGACGATGCTCTACATCTGCGAGAACCACTTCCAGCGCCTGGCCAAGACGTCCATCTTTACCGGTCTGAAGGCGGTCAACCACTTCGGCCGGCCCGACATGACCTCGTTCCTCAAGTTCGTGCAGAAGAGGCACAGCTACGTCAGCAAGATCGGCGTGTTCAGCTGCGGCCCGCGGCCGCTGACCAAGAGCATCATGTCCGCCTGCGACGAGGTCAACACCGGCCGCAGGCTGCCCTACTTCGTGCACCACTTCGAGAACTTTGGCTGATTGTGATTTTTTACTTAACTCCCAATAAAGTATTTTTTTACGCGACGATCGTTTAGAAAGGAAAACACCTCCCGCAATAAAACCTCTTTATTTTCGTACAAACTAAACACGTAATGCCGCTAAGTATACCCGGACTATCGTTGGCACCGTCGGAAGAACTCGGCGGACGCGTCGCCGCCCCCCTACGTCTGCGCCGAGCCGTAGGTGCCGGGGGGCGGCTTGTACGCCCTCGGGAACGCGAGCAGCTGCAGCGAGTTGAACGCGTACTTCTTCACGCCGACGTTCTTCACGGTATTCTCGCGTCTGCAGCCCTCGCTACGTCGCGAAACGTCAGAGTAGTTCGAACGTACCGGACCGCGGTTACTCACCTCCGCATGCAGTCGAGCGCCCTCTGAAACTCGTGCTCCGCCAGATGGTACTCGTCCGCTAAGATGCGGCACTGCTCGAGCGTCACCGACATCCCCGTCCTGTCTTTGGCGCTCTTGCAGCTGGTGAACCGCATCCCCTTCATCAGACGTGCGATCTGGGCGGATAACCTCAGCACTTCGACGTTCTTCGGTTTGCCCGAGCGCACCTCGTTCCGGAGGTCGTCGACGAGGGCGGACAACGACCTCGCCTGGCCCGTCGACTCGCACCGATCGATCTTGCGGTACCGCAGGTAGTACTCGTACAGGCGGTCGAAGTTGTCTACGTTGGACCGCTCCTGGGGCTTGGTCGCGCCCACGCTTTCCGCGATGCTCGCCATTTCGTTGATGCCGACGTTGAAGAAGACGGGCGTGACGTGAAAGTTGACGGTCTGCCGCGACGGCACCAGCGAGTACAGGCCGTCGGGCACCGGCAGCACCACGCTCAGCGAGTTCCGCGATCCGGACACCTTGGGCGTAGGGTGGGGCTCCGTCGGGCAACGCGCCAACACGAACAGCACCGTGCGCAGGTCTTCGACGGCCACCGACATGTCGCCCCACATGTCGATCTCGTTGCCGTGGTAGCTCAGCAGGCCCTCGAAGTGGGCCAGAGGTCCGAGCTGCGTCAGGGTGTTGACGAAGGCGGGGTCGGGCTTGTGGCACCACAGGCGCGTCATCAAACCCGCCACGAGAGCGGTGAGCTGCGGCACGAGACGTCGCGAGACCTCGTCGACGCGGAACGCGTTACTTACCGCTTGGGAGAAGCATACGTCGCGCCGGTACCGTACGTTGCACGCCCGCTGCGCCGACTTGGGGTCCTCCTGGACCCGGAACGCCGAGTGGGTGAGCCGGGCGGTCTTCAGCAGCCCGTCCATCGCCTGTCGCAGTTTGCGCATGCTCGGGCGCAGCTCCGCCGCCCAGTCGCTGATCTTGGTCAGGTCGAGGCCGTCGGTGAACTTGTTGCCGTTGCGGACCACCTAGGTGCGTAACAGTGGGCTCCGGAATAACAATTGGTGTTCGAGATATAACGTGTTATTCCGAAAAATGCAGCAAGTGTCTGGTATATATATATATATATATATATATATATATATATATATATATATATATATATATATATATATATATATATATATATATATATATATATATATATATATATATATATATATATATATATATATATATATATATATATATATATATATATATATATATATATATATATATATATATATATATATATATATATATATATATATATATATATATATATATATATTCTCACGTATTGATTCACGGATGGAAAAATGTGATGACACTATATTCCGGGATATCATCCGTTCGCTCGTTGAACTCCGACTGGAATCCTGCAAATCCTGCATCCGACTGGAATCCTGCAGACGTTTCGCCAAAATCTCACTTGGCATCTTCAATGCTCGCGCTCCGAGTGTTCGAAGTGTTTTCGGAGCGCGAGCATTGAAGATGCCAAGTGAGATTTTGGCGAAACGTCTGCAGGATTTGCAGGATTCCAGTCGGAGTTCAACGAGCGAACGGATGATATCCCGGAATATAGTGTCATCATATATATATATATATATATATATATATATATATATATATATATATATATATATATATATATATATATATAACTAGGTGCAATCCGGCATCGCCAAATATTTTTTTAAAAATTTCGAAAATTTTTTTTCTTTTTCTTTCATTTTGCGCTGCATAAAAAAATGCATATCCCGAAAACTATTAAACCGATCAGCAAAATTCTAATGAAAATTGTTTTTTTCTATAATAAATTATTAACCGTGAGTCAAAATTCGTAAAAAATATTATTAATCGGTTCGAACAGTGTCATAGGCTACATCGAGAGCTACAATTTTCAAAAAAATCCATATGAAAATTATATATAACAATAATTTTATATTACAGAACACATATGCGCAGGAAAATAAAAGCAGTGCCTTCAATTTCGCTATGTAGAGTTTCCACCGAATCTATTTAGTTTTCGTTTCAAACAAGGAAGAGGTTAAGCGGAGTTGCTTTCGCCAGACCTCGCCTCTTCTCTACCGTATATTTGTATATAACAATATACAACGATAAAGGCCATTTATTATTATTATTATTATTATTATTATAAACTTCTGAGCGACAGCGTACATCACGAACTCTCGTTTACTTAGATTATGATTCGGGGCGGGGCGACCCGAAACTCACCTTGTGTTTGGCCGAGGGCTGTTCCGTAATCACCCGCCTCTTGGCGACGGGATGCTGCTTGAGTCGGACGGCGGGGCTGCCGCAGCGGCCGCACAAGAACTTGACCTTGCTCACCAGACACATGACGCTCGCCTCGATGTTGAGCTGCGTGATGTCCCAGGGCTCCGGCTCGTCGGTGGGCTTGTAGTAGTTGGCCGACGGCGAATTGCACATGGCGTTGGTGTCCAAGAAGGGCCGCGCACCAGCGTCGGCCACCTCCCCATTCGCGTCGTCCGCGTCGTCCGCGTCCGGGAACAGGACGAAGTCCCGTTCGTCCGGAGTGGCCATGTCCGAGCACAGGGTCCTCAGGCCGTCGCTGGTGTCCAGCAGGCTCTCGCGTTCGTCCGGCGCCGCGCGCCACAACTCGTCGACGCTCTTCGACGCGCACGGCGTCGCGAAGTCCTCCAGCTCGGGACTCTTGAGGTCGAGCGAGGTCAGCTGCTGCGTGATCCGCTTAAACGGCGAGAGCGCGAGGCCGGGCCGGCCGTCGAGGCCGAGGTCCTCGACCACCCCCGAGTCGTCGGCGGGCGGCGCCAGCTTGTGCTCCTCGACGAAGGCGAGCGCCTCCTCCACGAGGCCCGGGTCCCACAGGCTGAGCAGGATGCGCGACTTGCTGACCATGTCGTCGCAGATCGGCAGCATCCCCGCCGTCCGCTTGTCCCGCGCGAGCCTCATCAGGCACTTCATCGCCTCGACGACCTCCTTGCGCAGCTGCTTGATCGCCTGGATCGCGTCGTTGGCCATCGAGATCTTGGCGGCGACCTGGTGACGCGCCGGCGACTCCTTCAGCTGCCTCACCAATCGGATGAGGCCGCCGTTCTTGGAGCGGTGCGAGTGCGCGGCGAACGCGCCCACCGTCACCCAATCGTAGAAGCCGCCCTTGTTCAACGTATCGTTGTGCACCCACATGCGCTGCAGGTGCAGGTTGATCGGCACGAACTCGAGGCTGCGGTCGTTTTTGCGCGAACTCTTCTTGAAGAGGGCGCCCGAGTGCGCGCGCAGGTTCTCGCGCGCCTGCGAGTACAGCCGCAGCAGGTGCAGGTGGCGGTCGAGCAGCTCCACCTGTCGCGAGTGCCACGGCTCGCGCAGCTCGCCCATCCCCGCCACCTCCTGCAGCAGCTCCTTCTCCTGCCGGATCCACACGTCGCTGCTCGCGATAGGGAATTACAACGGTGCCGTGCACGCGTCCGCCCATACTTACAGCAACTGGTGGGGGAACGCGAAACACAGCCGGCTCTCCGCCATGTACTCGTGGACGCAGATGTCGCCGCCCAGGCCGGAATGGAAGCGATAAGTTTGGAGGTGGGGCGCCGCGAACAGCAGTTTCAGCTCCGCCTGGTTCGGCAAGCGCATCTTAACCCCGAGACGGGGCGGTAACGACTGCGACCTCCTGTGCGACCACACCTGAAACCGATCGCCAAAACTCGAAACCTGCGCCTCGTTTTTTAAAATTACGTCGTTTCATCTAACTTATCCGAAATTTGCACGTTCGTAAAAAAGTAAGTCGCGGTCTAAACGACGCCCGGTTATTAAAATTCTCCTCGAATCGAACGTGAATATGTTCTTTTTTCGAAAAATAATATGTTTCCCTTAATAGTGATACGGAATACTCAGGAGAGTTCTTAGAAACCATCTAAGACCTGGCGTTCTAAATAAAAAAAAATAGAATCTGTTAAATCGGGATGCCGCTAACATCATTGTTACTACATCTCTCTGCATACAAATTCTGCATCCAACATAATATCAGGTATGGTATGTTCATAGATATAAGAAAGTGAGCAATTGCTTTGGAATGGGATTATCCAAGGGCGGTCATTAACATACAATGCAACAAGATTATTACCTAAAGTTTCGGAATTTAAATTGAGGTAAAATTGTGGTCCGTAATAAGAAATAATTTTACACCTACCTGTGTTTAATATTCTTTGGAGGAGCGATGCTGACATTTTCTCGAGTGTAGATGAAAATGATCAAGATATAATACGGCGTAAAATTTACCAGTTATACGACGAACAAAGCGTGCCTACATTAGATATCTTAATTAGCAGGCTCGAAAAAGATGAAACCGGTGTTAAATGTGGCAGAACTACCTTATGGAAGTGTATTCAACACATGGGTTTTAGATTTTAAAAAATGACAAAAGGCAAATTTTAATGGAATCTTTTAGAATTCGGAAACCTACCACCAGGTGCCATAGTTAAAATGGCCGAAAAAGGTAGCATGACCAATAATCTTTTTATTGATTTCTAAGGCATCTATATCGTTACAAAGGTCCAGTTGCTAGTTTTTGATGGAGCTGCTAGTCACCTAGACATTTCCATGACCGAGGTCGAGGACGAGTTGCCATTTGCCATGCCATCTAACACCACGCCTTTAGATAAAGCGGTTGAATATCACTGGAACCAAGAAGTTCTCAGGTTTTGGGAGGCACATCCAGATCGTCGTTTGAACGAATCTCGTTTTGGCAAAATTCTGTCTAAAGTTTGGCCCAGATGCATGACCCAAGAGAACACCTGTCAAGACTGATAATACGATCTCAGATAAGACACGGACACAAGAAGAAAGTGAAGATCTTAATAAGTCTTTTAAGGAACTTCTTCTTACATCGGAACTGTACAAATTGAAAGAAAATAAGAGTTTAAAAAGAAAATTCCTAAATTGCAAGGCACAGCTGGCAACCAAAGACCTGTTTTTGTTAAGAAAGCGCCCGGAAAATGATGCCGAAAAACCAAGTCTTGGTATTGCTTTGTGTGTAACAAATGGGAACAATTAGATATACGAAGCTGTGTGTCAAGTAGCACTTGGTGCCACGAAGTCTGCATTGGCTTCACAAAAGACGACATGGACGAGTATATCTGCGTACGTTCTGATTAGATTTTTTTTTCTTTTATAGAGTGTAATTTGCGTTATTTTGTTGATTTTTGTAGTACGAAAAAATATGTTTTATGCAAACTTGGCATTTAGTGTTTATATAAAAAATAACTAAATGTACATTACCTATTTTAGCCTTGTTTTAGGTGGGCCTTCATAACGGGCCCCAATTTTTTTTGTGGGCTTTATTAACCGAATGTTCGGATAAGAAAGTCCGTGCATTTAATTTTTTTTGTAACCCCCGTAGGTTTCGAGATGGGCCCCTCTTAAACGGGCCGCAATGTACGACAAGCGCCTCGGGGACGTTTTCACAAAAACAAACGACGCGATGGTCCGTCCGACATCTGGTGCGCGGACAGTAGTCGGTCAGTCGCGATTCAACCATGTGCCGCACGGGAGTCGCGTTGCTCGTCTGCGCGATTTTAACGGTCGAGGTATAGTACGGCCAAAACTATAGTGCATTTATTGCTTTGACGTTTTTAGTATTTTACGGCACCTTAACCGCAGACCTTCTCAGGATCGTTTTATTTTCCATTATGTAGGTCTTGTATTTGAAATGTAAATCGACAGTTTTAGTACTTGATGAAGCATTGATGCTGCCTGGTATTTTCGAATAAGTAGGAGCGTTTATTTTAACATCTTAAGAGTTTAATCTAAATTGTAATATGTTCGTATATTTTACGGAAGTCTTTGACTGTGACCCTTCTGGTACATTCTACATTCTACAATTAAACATATTTTGAAGGTTCCCGTTATTTAACATATAGCAATAAAAATGAAGGCACCTCCAAGGAGCCCCGACTTAACTCCCCTAGATTTTTTATTATAGGGCGCACTTAAAGATTTAATTTACAAACGCAAACCGTCAACTGACGAAAAATTTAAATGTCGGATAAGAAATGGAATCGGATATTTAAATGGGACCGAATTATTGAACAATTGTTACAATCATTATTATCCTTTGTAAGCTATTTCTTTTTTATTGATCGTTTGTTAATAAAATACTCACCAACGTTATCGCATAATGGCATTGGCAAGATTAATGCCGACTACGAAATGGCAAATCATAGTGGCTGCAATTTATCACTTGTTTTGTTTAAACGCCGTCATAGCCACCTTAACCTAACCTAAGGGTGTTCTATAAGCGGCCGCGGTTTTGCAGTAATAAATAGTAGGCAAAGTTAATCGCGGTTGTAAAACAACTATATTTCTGGTCGAAGTATACTACTATTTTTGTGTTTACGACCTCAAAAACTGTATAGACTATCACTAACGAGTCGCTATATTATATGTTCCTCTACTACCTTTTTGTGCTATAATTACAGTAAACTTGTATATAAATAATGACACTACGTAGAAATGCAAGGAAAGAATTGCTAGGCGAAAAAGATTGAGAACATACTTAGTTGTTAGTGTAGGTAGAGAAATGATGACGGGTGAGGGGCTGCGGTTTTGGAGTAATAAACAGTAGGTAAAGTTAATCGCGGGGTCGGTTGTGAAAGCACTATATTTCTGGTCCAAGTATAAGAGCGTCGGCGCACTCGTGCGCGGGTGTTAATCGGATTGGTTTTAGCGCTGCGACGCGAAGCGGGGCACGGGCTCGGACCTCGTCGCCGTCGTCGCCGAAATGCTCGACGACGTGCGCTATTACGTGTGGGACGCGTGGGAGGCACTCAAGGAGCTGCTGCCGCGCGACGCCCGCCGCCTCCTCGAACGCAACACTTCCCGAGTGAGCGAGATCGTGACGTACGCGCGCGAGCAGCTACTCAGAGCGTACCGAGGCGTCGGGGACTCTTTCAACGCGACGATGGCGGACCTGGCGAGCTTCGTTAAAAGGAAGAAGACGTCAAAGAAAAAAATACGCGTGAAATAAAACATAACCTAACCGAGAGCCGTTGCAAATGGCGGACGAGAAACAGCTGAAATTAATGTCGTTTGATGTAAAATACTGTTTTGTATATTCGTTATTTAAAGTGATCGAGGTGCGGTGCCTATGAACTTGGAAAATGGTGTTCGTCTTATGCGGATGGATATGGATTTGTGATACACGTAGATTAACACGATTTCCGGATATCATTTATTTAGAAGTTGTTCCACTGTTTGAATATGTTAATTCATTCATCCAGTCTCTTTTAAGTAAGGCGCCCTTTCTTATTATAAAGAAAAGTCACCATTTACCGAGAAACTGGCCGAACGATCCTGGAGGTCGCGGCCAATAGAAATAAAAGAAGAAGAACATAACCAAAAACTGGTTGTTTACTTTTACACCCGGTCGCACCTGTGGGTTGGGATGGGCGTTCGGGACCCGCGACGGCGTGTGTTCCGTGCTGCTGCCCCTGTCTTCCGCCTCCGGCGACCACGAGCTGACCGTCAGGAAACCGACGGTCGCGTTTTGCCGCGACACCAGCGGTATCCTCAGCCTGGACGAATCCTGCACGGCGCTGAGTAGGACGCAAGACGAGCCCAGCGGCACGGCGGTGTGCGACACCCGCTCCCGCACGTCGTAGACGGTGAAGCGGACGCGGGTGTCGCCCGCGAGCCCGTCCGACGACCGAAAACTCACGGTGCTCAGGAACTGCGGGTTGCTGCTCCTGTCGACGATTTCCGTGCGTCCGTACTGCACCCACGTCTTTTGCGGCGCCATGAAGACGTCGACCAGCAACGTGGGGTTCGGCGGCCGGCCGTGGCCGTCGCAGAGGAGGTTGTCGCACGCGAGCGAGATTTCGTACAGGGGCACCTCGGTGACGTCTGCGAACCGACGTTTTTCGGACAAAAATGTAGAAGAGCCGGGGATTTCGACTAACCGAACGCGTGGTTATGCTGAAGCCGCCACGTGTGCAGGTCGACGCTCGGCTTGTGGCAGCGTCGGCGCTCCAGGCATTGGCGGAGCGCGTTGAGCTCCGCCCGCACCCCTTCGTAACTCGCGCCGCGGATGGCGTCCATCCAGCTGGAGCGCTCCGCACCCGACGTGGAGGCGAGCGCCTGACACAGGCCGCCGTCAAACACTAAGTAGAAGGGGTAGTGGCCGTCGGCGGCGAGGGGCGAAGACGCCGTGGGAGCGTCGAGACGGACCTGGCACTGCTCGAGCACGATCACGCCCAACGGTTCCGACCAGGGGTCCCCGCTCTTGAAGTAGAAGAGCAGGTTGCCGCGGAGGCGGCACCATCGCTCCAGGTTTACTGCGAAACCACTCTTATTGGACGATCGACAAGAGACGAAAAACACAAAAACAACTGTCCGTTAGAGTGCCGCCCCCATGGTGTTAATAAGCCGGTGGGATGTTAGCGTAAAGCGGTTATGGTGATCGATTTGGTTAGTGATTTACCCCTCGAGAGTGGGCAGCGGAACATCGCGAAACGTACGTTCCGTTGCCCCGCGGGGAGGGGGTCGAATGACGTGGTTAATAGCGGTGCCAGTTGGTCTTAGTACCTTTATTAATTCCACCGACACAGCTCAGATTTCGGAGCCTTTTTTCCTTGTTGCTTTTTTTCCCTCCTGTAATACAACGATTAGAGAACAAAAAAAAAATGTCGGAAATCAGTCGACGTGAATTTAAAGGGTTACACCATGCCGTGACCGTTGAGACAGTAGACTTCCATCAATGTAAACAAAAACCATATATATTTACACCGGACCGGATATTTACACTTGACCTGCAAAGAGAGCGCGCGGCGACTTACTTTCGGATTTACGAAAAAAACCCTCCTGCCTCTCGCGGATGTAAAGTATGCCCTCCTTTTCAAACTTGGTCGACGGCTGAGTGGCCAACGCGACCAACTCTTGCTTGTTGAAGCGCATTTTAATCGCGTTCTACGAAAATTGTAGGGAATGGCACTTTTGCTCCCGGTCTATGCCGATTTTGATCATTCTATCGCGGTATTATCGAAGCACATCACATTTCGAAATTTGAGTGGGCACGACCGGCCTTATGTCAACGTCGACGGCCGCGACCCAAATATTTACCAAATAGAGATGGGCTGATCTAGGATGAATCGATGAGAACCACAGTTTAAAAAAAACTTTTTTATTTAAGGTTAAAAATGTAAATAAAGACTTTTTGCCCCTCTTCTTTTAATGTCTTACTTATCACTCATTTATAAACCTCGTAATGTTTCTTATAAGGTTCGAATTATGAACCGCACTTCCGCATCCTAAAACTTTTAGATTGCGATAAAAGAAATTATTTCTATTAAACAACGAGAGAAACCCGAACTTAACAAACGAAAAGTCCCTATTTTAGACCTGACCGCTCCTAATTCGTCGACCGTTATATCGTTGAAAACAATCGGAAACCAGATTCGAAGAACGGTCGTGCCCACTTCTAACTGGGTAACGTCATTGACCACACCTTGAGAATTTTTTCGTCTGTGTTTTTATTTACCCAAACATCTGATTGTCAGTTTGATGTGTTTCTAAAAAATCGTAAACACGACGAGTAGCATGCGACGCTAATTTCTCGCGCAGGACGAACGGAAAAGATCAAGTCCGCGATGTCGGACTTGCAGAACGATGGTGCGGATCCAGGTTAGGATATAAGACACCGCGAAATACAAGTTTAGGTCTAACCTCTGCGCTTTTAGATTTGCCTTTCAACGATTCGGACAGCGCGTGTTCGGACACGCATTCGGACCACACGTCGGCCTCCGCCGCGACCGAGAAAAGCACCCTGTCCGAATCTACGATCCATGCGCCCGATACCGAGCATGTCGCGTCCCCCCCGAACGGTTTGTCGGAAGCGGGGCGCAGACCTAACGCGCCCCTCGTTAATCGGGGCATGTTGTTGCCCTGGAGCTCCCAGAAAGAACGGGCGGCTCTCCTGCTGGCCGACCAACACTCTGAGGTGAACGCCAGGCCCGGCGAGTTTGTGATGCGCAGCCTCTTCCAAGAGTTCACCGTGCTGGCGGAGAAAAAAATTGAAAACGTTATGACCGAGCCGCAAGAGAAGCCGCTGTCCAAAACATTGCAGAGGGGCGAGGACGCCCAGTTCGATCAGCTGCTGAGCGCGTTCGGCTCGGTGGCCGAACATTGTTTGCCCTCGTTGCTCAGGGCGTTGTTCTCGTGGTACGAGCGGCAAATGTCCGAGGCGCCGAATCCCGAGCAGAAGCGAAGCGACACCAAACAGAAAAGCATTATAAACATAGTCGCCGGGAATACGACGGAGACCGTAGAACGGTCGGAGGCGGACGTGCAGAAGGAGAAGCGAGACCTGGCGGTCGAGTTTATATTTTGCCTCGTGCTCATCGAGGTCTTAAAGCAGCTGTCGTTCCATCCGGGCCACGAGGATTTGGTGCAGCACATCGAGAATCTCGCGCTCAAGCACTTCAAATACCAAGAAGGGTACACACTAGCCTGGTTCAAAAACATATATCGTAAAAGTTGGAGCACTTAATATTTATCCGAATATATTTTTGTGGGAACTCTATAAAAAAAAGCTTTGAAAAAGGAAACAATTGATATTCAACGCTCTACAAAAAAGGTCTGAATATTTTTTTATAATGTTTTTTTTAACTAAGCCTTCATTTTTCACCCAATTTTTTGAATAATTACCTTGTTTTACTATTTTTTTATCAGGACAAGCAAAATTGTAAATAGATGAAATGAACCTGTTCCCAAACTTTTACGATATATTTTTCGTCATTCTGAGTGATTTTATGGATATATTTAACAAAAAGCGTCGTTTTTTTGTCTCAGTCTAGTATATACATACATATATATATAGCGTTTCGTAATGTTTCACTCACTAACTAGCGCTTTGCGCAATTTTGTTTCTAAGCGGCGATTTCCACAAACTTAACTCGTTTTTCCAGCTCAATTAACAGAATTTGGGCATATTTTGAAAAAATATCGCTGTAAAAACACACTGAAACCTGTCAAATTGTACTGTCAACGGCCATGTTGATTGTTGAACGTTGCTAGGCGACACCTCCTAAAGTACGAGTCATCACGTTAGGGAAGGGGTATATCTGGTCACGTGGCGCACAAAATATCAAATACAGAAACAATATAGTACAAATAGTCGAAACTCTATATAACGAAATTGAAGGGACTGCTTTTTTTTCATTATAAAGGCACTTGGAAAAATAACAATACGCATATGTGTTCTGCAATGTTTAATTATTTTATATATACGTATTTTAACATCTACTTAGGAACATTGTATATAAATATTTAAGAACTACATTTAATGTTTCAAATAATCGGTCATTTCCTTTTGATTTTTTTTATTTTTGGTTAGTTGATAAACGCGAAAGCACTTCATTGAATTGACGACCGCTAAAGTCTCCAAATCGTAGGAGTGATATTTTTGTTGGTACTTGTTTGTCGTTTTACTGTATTATCCTATAACTCGTATATTCCCATCGAACTTTTGAAGTAACACTCCTCGATATCCAATACTACTGGCATCAATATGCAGTTCTGTGGGTAGTGCAGGATCAAATACGTTGAGAAGTGGTCTTGAGGTAAGGTGTTCTATTATGTATTTTCTTGCGCATTCTTGCCCTTCACCCAAAGAAAATGACTCATTAGAACGGGTTAGCTTGGTTATACACGCTGTGGGATAAACTTATCAACAAACCCATCAACAATACATATCTCGTACTTTGGTTTGTATTTTCATTATTTCTTCGAGAGGGGCATCTTCCCCATGACACATAAAATAGTTCTCTAGCAGCTTAACTGAATATAGGGCTTGTTGAATGGTTGGTGGTGCTCCCAGATCAACTTCTTCATGTTCTTCTTCCTCTTGGTGCTCTTCCTCACCCTTTCTTGCTTGTTATAATATGGCTTCCTTTGTCAAGTCTGCTGTTGTAGGCAAATCCTGATCTATAGCCATCAATCTTTCAACTGAGTTGCAAAAGGTAATTGTTGTTTGAAACTGTTTCAATATTCCCGTACCTCCTCTTCAAAAATTTGCCATGTCATCCATGCAGACTTGTTTGCCTTGTAAATGACCGGCAAATGCTTGATGTTCTCAAAACATTGTGTGTTAGTTGATTTTCTAATCACGACCAGCTTTCTTTTTTCTCTCCCACTCATATTGGCAGCTACTAGTACTGTTATCTGGCGTCATTTTGTAAAAGAAAACAGTTTCGTCAGCATTAAAAATGTCGTCAGCAGGGTACTTTTCTGCTAGTTTTGGCCACGTCTTCTCCAGCCAATCGCTAGTGACGTTTCTGTCGACATCACGGACTTTGCCACGTATCTCTCCATAATTTATACCATGTATCTGTTTGAACTTCCCCAATCATCCTTCCAAAGCCTTGAATTCGATAATGCCACGGTGTTCAGCAAACTTTGCTGCTTTTAATTTTACGATAGGTCCAGAGAGTGGTACATTTTTAAGACCTTGCTGTTGGAACCACTGCAACATTGCCCGATCCAAATCTTTTGGCTTTCTTAGTTTTTTACTGAACTTGTCCAAAATTTATTTTATTTTTGATACAATTTGTGGGCAGTAAAATTACGTTATTAGCACTTATTAAAATAATAATAATGAATAAAAAATGTGTTCAATTTTGTGGGGGTGAAAATGAAGCTCACATACCTTGAAATTATTTAACTCGCTACCATGTCTTTGTAGTACACTTATAAAAAACAATTTTAGTTGTGTTCATGTCTTTTGTTCCGTTTGTGGGAATAATAAAGTTGACACTTTTGGGCCGTCCTTCTCGCATGTCTCTGTTTTAATAGTTATTTTCCTTTCCGTGATGGCTCATCTGACGCGGGGTCCCTAAGTAACCGTGTTTTTCGCGTTTCAAGGGTGCAAAGCAGCCCCAACGGGGCCAATGTCCACATGATATGCGACCTCTACGCGGAGGTGATCGGGGCGCTCGCGCAGAGCCGCTTCATGTCGGTGAGGTCGCGGTTCATGGGCGAGCTGAAGGATTTGAGGTCGCGCGAGCCGAGTCCCGCGACCAGCCAGAGCATAATCAGCCTGCTGATGGGCATGAAGTTCTTCCGCGTGAAGATGGCCCCGATCGAGGAGTTCGAGGCTTCGTTCCAATTCATGCAGGAGTGCGCGCAGTACTTCCTCGAAGTGAAAGAGAAGGACATCAAGCACGCGCTCGCCGGTCTTTTCGTCGAGATCCTGGTGCCAGTGGCGGCGGTAAGATTCATCCCTCCCCCGTCCGCGCGGGTCCCCGCTCACCTATATTGCGCGCAGGCCGTCAAGCACGAGGTCAACGTGCCCTGCCTGAAGAACTTCGTCGACATGCTGTACTCGCAGACGCTCGACGCGAGCACCAAGTCGAAGCACCGGCTCGCGCTCTTCCCACTCGTCACGTGCCTCCTCTGCGTCAGCCAGAAGCAGTTTTTCTTAAACAACTGGCACTATTTCCTGGCGATGTGCCTGTCGCACCTGAAGAACCGCGACCCGAAGATGTGCCGCGTCGCGTTGGAGTCCCTCTACCGACTGCTCTGGGTCTACATGATCAGGATCAAGTGCGAGAGCAACTCGGCGACGCAGTCGCGTCTGCAGAGCATCGTCAACTCGCTGTTCCCGAAGGGCTCGAAGGGCGTGGTGCCCCGCGACACGCCCCTCAACATATTCGTCAAGATAATCCAGTTCGTCGCTCAGGAACGCCTGGATTTCGCGATGCGCGAGATCGTCTTCGATCTGCTGTCCGTCGGCCGTCCCATCAAGATGATCATGACGCCGGAACGCATGAGCATCGGCCTGCGGGCGTTCCTGGTCGTCGCCGACAGCCTACAGCAGAAGGAGGGCGATCCGCCGATGCCCCGCTCGGTGGGCGTCCTGCCCAGCGGCAACACGCTGCGCGTGCGCAAGACCTTCCTCAACAAGATGCTCACCGAGGACACGGCGAAGACGATCGGCATGAACGCGTACTTTCCGCACGTGCGTCGCGTCTTCGTCGACATCCTCAGGGCGCTGGACACGCAGTACGGCCGGCCCCTTATGATGACCAACACCCAGAACGTCAACAAGGAGCCGGACGAGATGATCACCGGCGAGAGGAAGCCGCGTATCGAGCTCTTTCGCACATGCGTCGCCGCCGTGCCCAGGTAGTAGCTCGTTATCTAGTATACCGTACCTCGCGAGACCACGTGGGGGTTGGATAGTGGGCAGAGGTCGTAGAAGTAACGAAAAGTCGCTACTTGTTACTTTCGAAAATCGATGAAATCGATTTTTTTGAAAGGCAACGTAACTTATATATCGGCAACGGTAGGTCCTAGGGGACCGCCATTGGTACAGAAATGATCTGTGTCGAAAAAAAACTTGTTTTTCTGTTCTCCGTTATCCGTTCTCCGTTTCTTTGTAGAGGTGCGCAAACCAGTAAAAAATGGGTCTGATCAAACCCAGGTGTCTTTTTTTTTTCGATTTTCGTCTGTTTTTTGGACTTTGTTGTGAAACACGATAAGTGTCCGAAATTTGAAGCCATCCACTTAAAATTTGACAGATATATGGAGCTCAGCCAATTAAAACTGGGGGGGAGGGGGGTCGGGAAATCTTTTAAAAATTTAAAAACTGCGCTTGCAGGGTATCGAGAAAAAAATCATTTCTAAAAGATGGTATATGCGATCAAAAAAATTTTTTCTTGATGATTTTTTAAAAAAGTACAGGGTGCGTCGGTAATTTGCAAAAACTGAAAATTGAGCTAACTTTGTATTGATAATTGACCATAACTAGAAGGCTGTGATTCCGTTGTCAGTTTGTTTCACATTCTATGTAGCCCGTATAACAGCTAAAACTTTTGTATTTAAGGATTTCACATATTGTACAGTGGGTTCGGAATATTCTGTGCTACACTCAAAAACTTCATAAGTGACCCAAATATGTAGCCGTCGACTTCAAATTTGGCAATGAAGTAAAAGTCCGTAGGCACACCTAAACATTTGAAACTGAGCTTAGTGAAATGTCAGCAATTTTTTTTTTAAAAATTCGAAAAATTTTCTTTGATCATTTGGTCTTCGAGAAAAACATGATTTTCTCAAAAACTATTCAACCGATCGGCAAAATTTTAGACCCATAAAACACAAAGTAGCATCGCGCTATGCGCTACGAACTATGCACAACGCCCGGCTACGATTTTTCGAAAGCAATCTTGTTAAATTTTCCGAATGCTTGTAGATTAATACCGGACGGGATGACGAGCGGCGAGCTGGTGGACCTGCTCAGTCGCCTGACGGTCCACATGGACGAGGAGCTGCGCGGCCTGTCGTACTGCAGCCTGCAGAGCCTCGTGGTCGACTTTCCCGAGTGGCGCAACGACGTGCTGTGGGGTTTGACCCAGTTCGTCGCCAAGGACGTGCCCGACACGTTCCCCCAGCTTACCGATCACGGCCTGAAGATGGTGCTGACGTTGCTGTGCGCGTGGAAGTCGACGCTGTCCACTACCGCGAAGCGAACGGACTCGGGCAAGTCGGAGTCGCCGTCGTCCGTCCTCCGCCTGGTGGAGGCGCTGGCGCTCGTGACGCTGTGTAACTACCGCCTCGCCCTGCGCCGCCTCGCCGTCCTCATCCTGAAGGAGGCCAAGAGCCTCCTCAAGTTGCTCAATTGCTCGGAGAACGCGGCCGTCATCGACGTCCTCGACCAGCACTGTCCCCAGGTGCTGACGGACAGGTGCCTGCCGCTGGTGCCCGCGGCGGAGAAGGCCGCCATCCAGGCCGCGACCAACCTGGACTTTCAGTGGGTGACGGAGCGGAGCTCGCCGGCGTGGACCGCCGGCCTGGCGGAGGGCGTCTACTCGTTCAACGTCGTCGACCCGTGGAGCGCGTGTCTCTTCGCCTTCCTGGACAAGTTGCCGGGCGCGTGTCCCGCCGTCGTGATGCACTCGTGGCCCATCGTCTTCACGCGGCTGAACGCCCTGTACTCGGTGGTAGATCCGACGCCCCTCAACGATAACCGGGCTTCGCTGCTGCGGAGCGCGACCGCCGTGAAGAAGCCGCCCACCGAGCGCGACGCGTACATGCACCTGTGGAAGAACTATGTCACGTTCGCGTTCAAGGTGGCGCCGTTGATGTCGAGTCCGGTGGTGAGGTGCGCGAGTCCGGACCTGAGCCTCAGCTCGTCGCCTGACAGCCTGAGCACCGACCGAGCGGCGGAGCAACGCTTCTCGAGCGGCGGCATCTCCTCGAGCGCCCTCTACAAGCTGGTGGTGCCCCACCTGAGGTGCGAAGCGGTCGACGTGCGGGACTCGGCCGTGTACGCGGCCGGCAACGTCAACGGGATCGCCCTGCGCGACCTCCTCGACGAGTTGACGGTGTACGTGAGGGAGGCGGTCGACAAGAAGCAGGAGAACGTGAGGCGGCGGAGGCGCAGGGACGCGCTGCGCCTGCAGATCGTGCGCCTTCTCGAATACGTCGCGGAGAACGAGACGTTCGGCGCGAGCGCGTGCGCCGTCGACAAGGACACCCACGGCCTGCATCCCGTGCTCGTCGAGTTCGTCGAGGGCGTCAAGTACTACCTGGAGAACGAGCCCGACAAGAACGCGAGCAGCGTGCGCGACCTCACCTACCACCTGTGCCACTTCCTGCGCAAGACCGTCAAGAATTTCAGCCGTGGGTGTATTGGCGGATGCGTCGGGATCGCGATTATACCGGGTGCGTGTGGTTTCAGTGGACGTGCAACGCGGGCTGCTGAAGCGCGACCTCCGCCGGGGCCTGTTCGTCCTGCTCAATCATTGGGCGGGGAAGTACACGCTGCCCAACTCGAAGACGTCGCAGACCGGCGGCGACGGCGACGCGACCAAGAAGCACGCGGAGCTTCAGCTCGCTTCGCTCCAGGCGATGAGCTCGCTGCTGTGCTGCGGCCCCTGTTTCGACGGATTGACCGAGGAGAGTCCGTACTACGCCTGGCTGGACCGCCTCTTGGACAGCTCCGACGAGAAGGTCTACGGGCTCGCGCAGGAAACCGTCGTGCTGCTACTGGAAGCGAACCCGGACGTGCCGCAGCTGCTCGACTGGGTCGTCGACAAGTGCTACACGGGCGGTTCCGCCAAAGTGGCGGACAGCTGCTTCCTGGCCTTGGCCACCATTTTTAGCGCGAGGTGCGTTACAACCGCCGATTTTGCCATCGGTTGTCGGGAAATTTTGTTAGAACGATTTCTACCCGGCAACTCCACCGAAATTTTGGGCAGTTATTTTTTTTTATGCGGGGGCATGTTGTCGTTGCCCAAGCAGTTTTATTTCGCTAACTTTTAACGTTTAACGAGTTGTTTAAAAGTGGCAAAACTTTCTTGCGGCGTTTCCGCCATCGTTTTATATTTTCATCAATAACTTATAATAGAAATGACATGCCATTTCCTTCATTCGTCAACTTTTGACTTCAAACAACTTTCATAGTCTCAATTAATTTTTCAAAAGAGAATTTTTATTATGGCACATCCGCCGTCGCTCTATACTTTCTCTGATAAACAATATACGATATTAATATTTTTCAACGAAAAGTAAACAGATAGCTCAAAAACTACTCTACTGAACCGCTAAAGACCTATATATACAGCTCGCGTGAATTCGAAAAATCCAAAAGTATTAGGGCACTCATTAGTTTTTTGTGAGTGGCTCGGACAATATCATCAATGACACTTATAAGAGCATTCGCGATACCTGACTTTCGTTTAAAACTGTACTGACTTCCTGGTACTGTTCTATTATCCATTAATTCTTGCGAAATTATTAAATTTTTCTTGAGGCAACTCCGCCATCGTTTTATATTTGCATCGATATTTTATAGAAATGATATGCCATTTCCTAAAATACTTTGTCCGTCCAGTTTTGACTTGAAAAAACTCATAATCGCAATCAACTTTTCGAAAGTAAGAGGATTTTTCTTATGGCGCATCCATTGCTCTATACTTTTTCTAATAACTTATTTTATTTCAATGACAGCACATTATAGTCCATGGCATTTCCAAGAATACTTCATTCGTCAACTTATAACCTTAAAAAATTCCGAAATCGTAGTTGATTTTTGAGAAATTTTTAAACGTTTTACATTTTGAAGCCGCGCTGTGGTCCACAGCATTTCTAAGACTACTTTATTCGCCAACTTTTGACTCGAAAAATTTGCTAAATATTAACCTCCAAAAGCCTTCAGAACAGCGGTTAATTTTAAGTCGAAAGATTTTAAATTTTTTCGAAAACGTACAAAGTTTGGTGTCCGATTTTACTCAGAGAGTACCCGTGCGACCATTACACCGCCATCATCAACGTCACCCTCATGAACACCGGCTGCCCGAGACAAAACGTCCGCGACACCGCGCTCCAGCTGCTCCAGCTCCTGGACAAGCGGTTCTTCGGGTCCGTCGGCCCCCTGCCCGAGAACGATTTAGGTAACCCCCGATCCCCGTCTCCTCTCCCTCGTCTAGTTTCCTTAAAAAGCGCTCCCCGCAGCCGAAGGGGACCGCGGCCGCGGCACCTTGGACGCCATCTTGTCCGCGTCGTACTGCCGCTCGCAGACCCACCTCTCCCGGCAACTGTCCCTGCTGCATCCCGAGCTCACGATGCCGATGTTCTCCGAGATCACCTACAGATTCCAATCGGCCAGGCCGGAGGTGCGCCAGCTCCTGCTGCAGTACGTGCTGCCGTGGCTCCACAACATGGAACTGGTCGATCCCAACATTCCGCCTACCAATCCGCACATGTACCAGTTCTACGCGAACGAGATGGGCGCCGAACGCAAAGAGGGCTGGGGCTCCGCCGAGGCCACCGAAATGGTCCTCAACAACATCTTCTACATCACCGCCAAGTACGGCGACAACCACCCCAAAGAGATCGAGGAACTGTGGGGCACGCTGTGCACCTCGTGGCCCAACAACATGAAGGTCATCATCCGCTACCTGATCATCATCTCGGGCATGGCGCCCTGCGAGCTGCTCCCATACGTGAGTCTCTTCTTCTTCTTCTTCTTCTTCTCCTCCGCCGTAGGCGCTCAAAGACGGATCCTAGGCGAAACGGGTGACCCTCTACCTGGCGCGGGTGCAGCCGGTGCGCCTCCTCGACGAGACGATGGTCGAGTTGCAGACCGTCGAGACGCTCAACTGCCTCATCGAGCGCACGGAGACGCCCCCGTTCTACAGGCTGACGGTGATGAGGAAGACGTCGAGCCACTCGGACGGCGCGAACGGCGCCGCCGGTCAGAGCGACAGCGGCAGCAGGAACGACTTGAGTACGTCTATCGACGCCGTCGGATTAGCGCGCCACCGGCACACGTCTCTGTCGCAGATATCGAGAAGGGCACCATCCACACGAAACGGCACAGCGGCGAGGACCCGACCAAGGGCTTGGCCAAGTCGGAGTCGGCCTCCAACGTCTTCCCCGAGTTCAACGTCGGCAGGCCGCGGCGGCCCGACGACCCGTTGGAGGAGGCGTCGAACCGCGGCGACGACGTCGTCGCGTTGAGGGAGAAACCGGACCCGGCGGTGCCGCAGCCGCACCCGCTGCCGATGCCCGAGTTCGGCGGTTACTTCGCGCCGCTCACCGAGTACCTGCCCGACAGTTCGCAGCCCATATCCGGTTTCCACAGGTGCAACGTGGGCGTCATGCTGCTCTGCGACATCGTCGTCGACGGCATCGAGCTGGACTGGGCGATCCACGTGCCGCTCATGCTCCACATCCTCTTCCTCGGTCTCGACCACACCCGCCCGATCGTCTACCAGCACTGCAAACAGCTGCTGCTCAACCTGCTGACGGTGTTGGGCCGCCACGGCGACCACCTCACCGTCGCCCACATCCTGCTGAACGGCCGGTCGGACCGGTCGGGGCTCGGGCTCAGCACGCCCTCGCTCGACGTCGTCAGCCACACGTTCACCGAGACGGACGGCACCTTCGACGAGTTCCTCTACGCTCAGACGAAGGAGGACGTCGCCGCGGTGCCCGCCACGGTGCCGCCGGAGGCGGAGCCCGTCGCCAAACCGGAACCGACGGTCGGCGTCGTCATCAAGTCGCTGATCGACTTCCTGGCGGCGAGACGGACGCCGCTGTGGAACTACGAGGACATCACGGCGAAGGTGTTCACCGTGAGGAGCGCGGAGCAGATGGACACGTTCGCGCAGTACGTGGTGCGCGTGTTCCGCGACTCGTTGCCGGGGGCGCACGTCACGGAGCGCTGGGCCCAGACCGCCCTCCAGCTCGGGCTGAGCTGCTCGTCGCGCCATTACGCGGGCCGCTCGTTGCAGATATTCCGCGCGCTCCGCGCCCCCATCACGTCGCGCATGCTCTCCGACATCCTCGGCCGGCTCGTCGAGACCGTCGCCGAGCAAGGCGAGGACATGCAGGGCTACGTCACGGAGCTGCTGCTCACGCTGGAGGCGGCCGTCGACTCGCTCGAGTCCGATTTCCGGCCGCTCGACCTGATGAAGGACATTTTCAAGTCGACGCCGAACCTCAACAACAAGAAGCACGCCGACGGCGGGATCGCGAACGCCGCCCCCGTCTACAACCAGTCGGTGTCGGTGGGCCACGCGCGCAGCACCAGCTACTCGGTGTCGTACGGGTACCGGAAGACGCAGGTGGGCGGGGCCGAGGCCAAGGAGCGGAACCGCAACGGCGCCAACGACGCGGACCAGCGGCCCAAGTTCTCGTCGAACCTCGCGAGGTCGAGGTCCGCGCAAAGCTTGAAGATGCTCGGCGATTCGGCGACGCAGGACGACAAACTCACCATCCTCGCGCAGCTCTTCTGGCTGGCGGTGTCGCTGCTCGAGTCCGACTACGAGCACGAGTTCTCGCTCGCGGTGAGGCTGTTGACGCGCGTGATGCACCGCCTCCCGCTCGACAGGCCCGACGCGCGCGACAAGGTGGAGAAGCTGCAGCAGCAGCTGCGGTGGGCGTCGTTCCCGGGGGTGCACGCGCTCCTCCTCAAGGGATGCACGCACCCCAACCTGTACGAGGCGACGGTCGAGTTGCTGTCGCAGTTCACGCCGCTGCTCAACTTCGTCGTGGTCGATCCGTCGCAGAGCGTCGCGTTCCCGATGAACGTCATCGCCCTGCTGCCGTACATGCTGGCCAATTACGAGGACGCGAACGAGCTGTGCGTGCGGGCCGCGGAGAACATCGCGCAGGTCAGCGTCGAGAAGAGCAAGAAACTGGAGAACTTGGGCACGGTGATGAACCTGTACAGCCGTCGCACGTTCAGCAAGGAGAGCTTCCAGTGGACCAAGTGCGTCGTCAAGTACCTGCACGACACGTACGCGCACTTGAGCCTCAACGTGCTCTCGTTTCTGGTCGAGGTGCTCGAGAAGGGACCCAACGGCCTGCAACTGCCCATCCTCAACATCATCCACTGCGTGCTGCACTACGTCGACCTGGCGACGACGGCCGCGCAGCCCATCAACGCGGACCTGCTGCGTATAATAGTGCGCGACGTGGAGGGTCCCCACTGGAAGGAGGCGCTCAAGATCCTCAAGCTGGTCGTCAGCAGGTCGAGCTCGCTGGTGGCGCCGCCCGCGTCGCTGAGCACGCACTGGGAGAGCGCGGGCGTGGTCACGCTGCCCCACCCCTCGTTCGACGAGGGCGTCTTCGCGCGCAAGGAGCTGCCCGGACGCACTATGGAGTTTACGTTCGACCTGTCGCAGACGCCGGTCATAGGAAGGCGCTTCCTCAATAAAACCGAGGAGGCCGACCGGGCGAAGACGGCGGCCACGCCCAGGCGCTCGTGCTCCATCAGTCCCGCCGACGCGACCATGCAGAGCGGCTGGAAACGACCCTGGATGTGTCAGGTAGGTGGGCACCCATCGTTGAGTCCACGAGCTTACCCGTACAATACAAATTATAATGGTTTTCAGAGTTTCCTTAACTTGTACCAAGTGTCACTTTTCGACGTGGCGAAGATTTTTTTTTTTCGATACCATAAAAATATAACCCAAACCAAAATTATAATGTTAAGTTTTTAGAGTTTCTTTAACTTGTACGAGAAACATTGACTTGGCACTTTTTGCAATTCGACGTAAAGGTGAATTTTTCGCAGAGTTCGATTTTCTAGACTCTAGTAACGGACAAGTCATTTTCGTCCAGGCCACTTTAAATCTGTACAATATCAGTTATATATCGAACCCTTTTAAATATTTTTGTAAACCAAATATCACACAGGCATATGATTTCACAGATTTCACATGATTTTGTGGAAAATTTTTCTATTCAGTCGTAATTAAAAAAATATTAAGCAAAAAATATATGTAAAAATTACATTTATAAACTTTTTTACAAAAAAAAATGAAATGGTATATGCAGATAGCGTCTGTGTTAAATTACTAAACATCCATTTTATGAATTCCATAAATTTTGATTTTTTTTCAAAAAAACTTCAACTTTCATTCTAAAAACATTTAGTTAGTAATTTCGGTTATTCTTAATTTTCTGTCCACAAAATGAGTTTTAGAAACACGCATTTCACAGATATAAAAGATTTCACCCGATGGGACGTCGAAAGTAAGCTTAATTGAGTCTGAAATAACACCCTGAAGTGAAACGTTTAGATATAAATCAACCCATTTGAGGATGAAACCGCAGGCACTGAGAAAGTCGAGCAAACAAAAATATTACGAAAGCCTTACTGAACACACTGACACCATTCAGCTCTAAATTAAAACGTCGTCGAGGATGAGTGTATCGTCTGGGATTCCACAGGCTTTGGTTTTGGGTTTTCGATGTCAATAATGCTAAGAATAATGAAACGATGATTAACAACGAATTGGAGGGTTTGTGTAAATTATCTTTGGATTCTGCTGTAAATCTTGGAATCATCGTAGATACGGTACTCAGACTTCGCGAACATGTTAAGAAACCAATTCAAAAAACATCTATCAACTTAAAACTTTTATATTCAAGCAGACATTTTCTCCAATACGACCTTAAAAAGTAATTTATGCGAAATCTTGTTGTAGGCTTGCTTGTGTCGGAAAAAATAAAAGAATTGGGTTATGATTATTACAGGTAATCACTTTTCCCCATCAAAGTCAAGTTTCAGTTAAGAGAACCTATGTCTATGATGTAATTATGTTGTACAATTCGCTGGCAGAAAGTTTAAAATAGAATTTAAAAAATACAAACTTATCAATATTAGCAATATTAATGTAGAGTAATGATTTGGGTGGGTGTGTTTATTATTTTCAATTCCGTCTATTATTATATACGAGGGACCTTTTATATTTCGGTGTATGGGAATAAAAAGATGTCATTAGGTGCTAAATCAGGACTATATGGTGGATGGCTCATCAAATCGACGTTTTTAATGCTCAAAAAGTTTGCACCGACCAGTGAGAGCTAGTGAGACTTCCGGCAAATAAATTTTTTTGTACCATTCAGAATTGACTGTTTTACCTTTCACCAAAGAAACAGTTGCGAGGTGCGAGGTGCTTTGCGCAATAACAACTGTTTTGAGCTTTGTCTCATTTTGAAAGAATCACACAGTCGACTGCTGCTTACTTTCAGGTTCATATACATAGATCTTATTTTTTTTAACATTTCCTTCGAGCCTTTTTTTGAGCTGATTGTTTTTCCAAACATTTGACATCAGCCCAACGCGAACAAATTTTTTTAGCGCCCAAATGTTCATGCAAAATTGTATGTATGCCGGTCCCACTAATGCCCAAAGGTACCTCAACCTCATGGTAAGTCATATGACGATCCATCAAAATCAGGTTTCGCACTGCATCAATGTTTTCTTGGATTTTTTGGACGGCCTTCACGAAATTCATCCTTAAGAAAACTACGACCACGACTGAAGTCCGAAAACCAGCGATAAACAGTAGTCCTAGGTGGTGCTTCAACTCCAAAAGTCGAATTAAGTTCATCGATGCATTGTTGTTGAGTTAGTCCACGTCTAAAGTTGTATAAAATTATTGCACGACCGTCACAGTTTTTTAATTTATCACAAAAAACACAACCAACACCGAAAAAACTGAGTAAACCTAACCTCAAAATGTCAAAATGTTAGTCGCCAGATGGCAGGACTGGTTTAAGAAAATATAAAAGGCAGCCCTCGTACATAGCTTTTAAAGTTTTAAATAAATTAAAGCCATTTTCGATTTGATATTAATTTTATTAAGAAATTAAGTTAAAGAAGTTAAAGAAGAAATTTAAAATCTGGCCTATTCTCAAGTTCCTGTCCCATTTCCATATCGCTAGAAGCTGTATGGGCGTGTCCCTTTCGCTCCTCCCCTATAATTATTCATCCCCACGTTGTATTTTAGGGTCGGGTGCGCGAGTGCCTGGTCAATCTGCTGACCACGTGCGGTCAGAGGGTGGGCCTGCCCAAGAGTCCGTCGGTAAGGTCGCGGAATGTCTAAAAAACGCCCGGCTCCACGTGAACTTTGCAGGTTATATTCAGCCAGACGTCGGACCTGATCGAGCGGCAGTCGAGCATGGCCTCTAGCACGGAGGAGATGTCCGGAGGTAACAACGACACTAGCGGGGGCTCGCGACGCGACGACGCCGCCGCCGAGTTCGGCGTCTTCAAGGATTTCGACTTCCTGGAGTACGAGAGCGAGAGTATCGAGGTAGGTGACGCGTCACGTCGACCCGCCGTCGTCCGACTCGCCTGAAATTTTTAGGCATTTAGTTAATTTAATTATTTAATTAGCTGATATAAGCTCCATTCATAAGAAAGGAAACAAAGATTTATGCGAAAACTACAGGGGGATAAGTGTAACGGCTTCTATTGGTGGACCGTATGGACGTTCATTGAAAAATCGTATAGAAGGCAAAATTGAAGATGCAGAAGAGCAGAGTGGTTTCCGGGCCGAAAACAACTATAGCTTGCTCGAGAGAATTACACCTTATATTTATAGACGTCCAGAAGGCCGTGCCGATAAATAAGTTATGGGATGAAAGGAAAAGAAGTACCAGTACATAAACGTAGTGAAACAGTCCTATCATAACACCCAAAGCTTAGTAAAAATTGGAAAAGACACTTTTCAAGTAGGTAGATAGTAGATAAAGGATGTTGTATCTCTCCCACTTTCTTTCAAATTTACATAGATAAGGCCGTGAAGGAGTGGAAACGAAAATGCAGTAAAATGGGTGTAATGATGAACAGTCTATTATTTGCAGATGATCAAGTAATATCAGCTGACGATATGTTTAGAAAGTTTCTAGAAGAATACAAGAAATACCTGGAAATATTACACACACAAGATCCACAAACTGATATGGGAACTATTAAACATACAAACCAGCATAAATACTTAGAAGTAAAAAAATTAAAGGAAAAATTGTGATACGTCAAATACACCTAATGTGTGCAAGTGCAATTACGTATGGGTCAGAGACTTGGAAAATGAAGGTAGCTTCTACAGAAATGATGTATTGAAGAAGGTGCTGTCAAACCACGTTAATGAGCAAAATCAAAAATGACGAAATTTTGAATAGAATGAATGTAGAAAAGGGACTATTAGATACTATTGAAGGAAAAACAACTAATGTGGTTCGGGCATATGAGTCGCATGAGCGACAGAATACCCAAAAAAAATTACGAGCTATGCAAAAGAGAAGTCTCACAGGTTGTAGCCAAACCGCTTTTATATATATAGAAATTTTACGGTTTCTGTTCCGGCAAAATAAATAATTAAACCTAACAGAATGGCTTATCTTTTAAATTTGGTGCAGTCCGGCAGCCGCTGGCCGCCACTCTAGCCACAGCTGACAGAAAACGCGTTTTATTTAGAGAAAATTAGTAATTAAATCATAACCTCGTACACAGGTTCAATTTTAATTCAATTAAAGCAATGTTAAACACCCTGTATATAAAAGAATAAAGCAAGAATCGGATTATGTATTATATATATTACCAGATGTTTCTTTATTTTCTGGTTCCTCCTGCCAGGCACTAGTTTATACTAGAAAGGACATTTACGATATGGTGAAGGGCCGCCCAAGTCTAAGGGTTATCTGATCTATTGAATCATCTAAAAACGATGATTACTGGACGTTGTGGAAAAACGATTGAGGCATCATTTTCTACTCTATTTACCAAAATCATACAGAAGTTGTAAGCTGTCAACAGGGCCGAGCAAAAATTTGTGCATAAAGTATGGAAAACAAATAGTAAAAAATGCGCTATTAGTAAATTTTATTCATCAGCATCGTCGCATTAATAAATAAATAAAAATAAATGACGTTTTTTTGAGCATGCTAGGGTTTCATACCAGAACTACTGTGCGACCGCTCGAAATACGGCCACGTGACGTTTTTCAGGGCGAGAGCGCGGACAACTTCAACTGGGGCGTGAGGCGGCGGCCGTTCGGCCAAGGCGAGGACGACCACGCCCCCGGCAAGCAGCCCGAGGAGGGCAGTCTGAGCGAAAAGACGCCCGTGTTGACAGTTAGAAAGGTACACGTGTGCCCCTTTAACCATAACGTGAGTGATCGTCTCTTTCGTTGGGGTGTCGGCGTCGCGACGCGGACGGGTTTATAATCGGACGTGGTGGTGGGCGGTTTCAGAGGCTGCTGACGGAGGAGTCGTCGGACGACGAGGTCGGCTCCGAGTCGCCGCTCGACGAGATCGCCAACGTGCCGGACTTCGACAACAGCACCGTCGAGAGTTCGGCCATGTTCCCGCCGTCGTCGCTCGCGTTCAGGGAGCAGCAGGCCACCTCGAGCGCGAGGTCAGACACGAGCGGCTCGAGCGCCGCCGACCTCGGCGAGGTCACGCCGTGCAACGAGTCGCCCAATAATATGTCGACCGTCCTCAAGGGTATCGCGAAGAGCGACGCGTTAGACGCCTGGACCGCCTTCGTCCAGTCGAACATGGTGCAGAGCACGGCGAACACGCTCCAGTTCTTCCACCGCTTCCAGACGCTGGTGCGGGACGTGTGCCGCGTGACCGTCGACATCACAAAAGATTCCTGCACGTATATCTCTCAGTCGACGGCGGGCGGATTGCCCACCGTCAAGCTCATCTGCTCGCGTCTCGCCTCTATGACCGACATCGTCGCCTACCGGGTCTCCCCCGTCAACCACATATGGTTCAACGCGACGACGATCGCCAACTCGAGGTTCTTCGAGGCGCTCAAGTACGGCACGCTCGAGGTGCAAGAGCACCTGGAAACGTTCTGCGATCGAAGGGACCAGGCGATCATGGTGAGCGTCGCCGTCGCACACTGGGCCAGCGAAACCAATAAATTTTACTTCATATTAATAAAAACACGTCGATAAAAAGAAAAAATTGTCAGCGAACATCAAACTTTAATACGATGTAATTATTATACAGGGTGTTCACAAAAATAGTAAAACGAAAAATCCGAGAGTCTATAGAAATCTATAAACAACCTAACAATCTTAGCCGCGACTCAGGTCTCTACCTGTCACCAATATGGGAGTCAATCATCCGAGAGGGTGAGGGCTGCCTGCATTTTGAATTTTGTCAAAAGCTAATTTGTTTAAAAAAATCCCCTCCACTTTTCACACGGAAAATTCTATAAAAAAAACATTCTCCAAAATGACACTGACCACGAAGGTTACAAAATTATTGTTGACTTTTCCATGGTAACAAGACTTAAATCGCTTGTTTTGTGAAGGGTCATAGCTTACTTAATTAGTCTGTGATAAGGAAAACGTTCATTGTACGAAATGTATTATGTTTGGGCTCTCTCTGGCGCACCGTACGTCGCGCCCCCTACCGAATAACGCGGCCCCTTTTCCAGTACTGCGACGCGCTGAAGACCACACTGAAGCTGGAGCTGCTGAACGCCGGCCACCGCTCCGACTTTCAGCAGGAACAGTACCTGCTGGACCTGGGCAAGGCCCTCTACAAGCTCTACTTCCAACTGATCCTGCTCGCGGAGGCGGGCAACAAGATGGTCGCGACGCTCCACGGCAGCATGAAAATGGCCGACGTAAGGGACGCGCGCGTCGGTCAATAGGTATCGCTTCGCTCGAGCTACACGGTACATTTGAACTACTCCATATGCCCGACGCGTAGAAGGTTTATCGAGGGTACCGAAGAGATAATTTATCTGTTGGCTACGTAATATGCAAAGCTTAGTTAAAAATAATTAAAAAAAAAATTGGAAATAAGAATTTCATCATCTTATACATATACATCTTTTTTTATATGTTGGAAGTGTAATATATATACAATTTTTAGAACTGAACCAAAATTTGCACCTAGTACTCTATGATCTTTATTTTTTTTTTCGTACTGTTAAGATCTCTTAATCAACAATAACCGCGACCTCTATATGAACGCATAGAAGAGGTATAGGAATGGAGGTATTAGAAAGTACATGGAAATGGTGTATGAAGATATAGAAAAGGTATGGTAGCGTACATATAAGAATAAGAAAGTATAGAAGATCTCAATGAAGTTATAAAATTGGTATATAGGAAGATAAAGACTTATTGTGTGTAGTTATGTTAAGAGTAATTTTTCTATGAAGATAAACATATTTTTTTTGTTTTGATATATATTAAAATACAGGGAATTCATTCGCAATTTGCATCTTGGTCTGTAGAGTTTTCCAAAATCAGCCCTGGAATTTTCTAGCCTCAAATTGACACATAAGTGGCAGCCAACCCGACGCAGCAAGGTAAAGAAGATGCGACCTCTTCTAATTACTCCATAAATTAGCCTTAGGCACGAATTGTGGACCTTCTGGACCCGCTAATAATGGTTTTTATTATTATTTTTTTAAATTAAATTATTAAAAATACACATTTTATAAGATGGGAGGAAATATGATATCAAGGCATAGAAGAGGTAATTAGCGAGGTATATCTAGAAAAAGATACGGTCGTATTGATATGGAAGCCAATCAACGTACAGAAGGGAAAATGGAAGAATAGGGAAGGTATATAAACGTACAGAAAAGGGAGGGATATAGAATAGGTATATTGATGTATAATGGACGCGTCTGGTTCGAGCGACGCAATACCTCCGGATAGTCGTGAAATTTCAACATTGTTTATAAAACTTATGGATTCCTTCTGCGTCGGTTTTTGTTGACTCAAACTTGCTAACGTTTCGCCAATCATCCTGTTGGCTTCTCCAGAGCGTGATTGAAACTGGCTCGCATTTTACTCTGTACCTGCTTTTATATTGTCTGAGTAGGGGGCGGAGCTAAATGGGGGGCATAAACACCTACTCGGATGACTGATTCCCATACTGGTAACAGGTAGAGACCTGAGTCGCGGTTAAGATTGTTAGGTTGCTTATAGATTTCTATGGACTCTTTTGTTGGTAGAAGAATTGATTACATGCAAGAATTATAGTTGTATCGAATACAATCGGTTTCGTGTTTGTGTTCGGCAACTGCCGATGAGTTTATCTATCTTATCAATTCTTCTACCAACGAAAAATCCGAGAGTCTATAGAAATCCAACCCAACAATCATCAGTCATCCCAGACAGTGTTTATGCCCCTCATTTAGCTCCGCCCCCCCTCAAACCATATAAAAGCAGGTACAGAGTAAAATGCGAGTCAGTTTCGGTCAAGCTCTGAAGAAGTCGATAGGATGGTTGGCGGAACGTTAGCAAGTTCGAGTCAACAACAACCGACGCAGGAGGAATTCAGAAGTTTTATAAAAAGTATAACCTCGTTACAGTTTAGAGACTACAGCGTCGACGTGTTGGCCATGAAGGGGGCGCTGACTCGCGCGTTGGAAGATATGGAGGCGGACGGCGGCATCACGCCGTCGGTGACGGGTGTGGTGACGTCTGAGAACCTCGTCGACAACATCTGCCACCTGGTGGACAACGAAAAGTGGACGTCGGCCATTTTGTTTTACAAGTGCAACAAAGACGAGTTCCTGCGAGAGAACGGGGACGTGTGCGAGAGGGCCGACGACGTCACCTCCATCCTGAACGTCTACTGCAGGAAGCTGGTGGCGGAGAAGCCGGGTAAGGGAGGGCGCGCGGATCGCCGGGCGCTCGCGGTATAACGAGTACCCTTTTCAGCGTACTACGTCATCACGAACCAAGAGTACGACCTGGCCGACGTCTACGGCCGGTTGTTTCAAGTGTCGGCAGCCGTTTCGGATCTGGAGAGCGTCGTAAGGGACGGCGCGTCCGCCGAACCGACCAAGGGGTGAACGGACGACTTTAGTATTATCGTCGAACATGACATTTAGGATTAAAGCGATGTAATGGAAACGAGCGAGTTTCAATTGCCCCTTCCCTTTGATCCGCTTAGAAATAACTACGCCGTTTAATTTCGAAACAAACTATAATAAATAGTCGCGCAGCGGCGTACACCGTGTGCCAAATACAACGACACACTATAGGAGATACGAAAAAAATGTTTTCTCTCCTGAAGATTGAAAATATTATAAATTTGTTAATGCACGGTGTCCCAAAAATGTCCTACCACCCGATATCAACTTGGTTATTTTAAATGAAACGTCCCGTATATTTCGACATTTTTGGAATCTTAAGAATTTACTTTTCGAATTTTGCGCAGTTTAGGTAGAAATTGAGGTTATGTGTTTTTTTTTTTAATATTTTGATTGGCCCATATAAATTCGTATACATTTAATAGACAACGGAGATGATGCACTACTCAATCAGTTTGACAGATGTGTCCCAAATAGGTGGTGACGAAATCCAGATATCAATTCTAGGACAAAAAACAAGGTAAGTTTGTAATTTATCTTATATTTAAATTTTTCTTACTTTCTGAGCTACACCGGTATAAATTTGGCAATATTATATATTTTTTAAATAGCAAAGACACGATACTATTTCTTTTAAAGATATAACATACGAATAAAGCCTATCGCTAACAATACAGGGAGTCCATTAATACGTGGAGATTTTGAGAAAAATCGACTCTATACTACATACTTTAACATATTTAATAAAACTTCAGAATTCATATTTAAAGAAACATTTAGTAGTTATTTATCTAGCTTGATTCAAAATACCTAATAGCAAAAATAAATAATTAACGTTTATAGGTCAACCAAAAAAACTATAACCTATTTAAAATACAAATATACACTAACAAAAAAATTGACAACTATGAACTTTTAAACAGAAATATGAAAAACAACAAAAACAAACTGAAATGTCAAAGTTATACCTTAATGCCAGACGAAACGAGCATTTTAAGAGGAAAATTTTTAACTAAACTTTATGGACCGTATTGAGGAACATAAATATAAATTCCAAAGTTTTATTAAATCTATATTGTTGGCAATAGTTTTTTTTGGTGTCATATCTTTAAAAGAAGTACGATCTTGTCTTTGCTATTTAAAAAATACCTAACATTGCCAACAAGTGAATCAATGTGGGCAGCTTGAGATTTTGTGAATTCGCCGAAACGGCACCACCTACTTGGGACACCCTGTATAAGCTGAGGCGCATCTGTCAAACTGACTGAGTGGTGCATCATCCTCCTCAATTTTATATGGGGCAACCAAAATTTCCGCCTTAAACTATGCAAAATTCGAATTTCTTAAGGAAGTGACCTTTATTTTAACCACAAATGACGATATATACGGGCCACCCCATATCAAAAAACTTTTGCACGAAACTTTCTTTCGTGTCTCCTAATGGTGTTATTTGGCAGACGGCGTACAATATACACACATTATTATGGCCATTATTATGGTCTTAACCCTAAAATTTATCACAAATATCACCAAGTCGGATAAAATTGCACTGACGAGTCCTCGAGCGTCCTCTACCACATCGGCGCCTGGACGCCGTCGCCGTACCTGTAAAGTCACCGGGTTAGCTTGGGGGGCGCGTCGCGCCCCTCATACTCGCCTCAAAATGGGCCGCGGCGCCGAGTCGGGGTACTTCCACGGGCCGCCGGCCAGCTCGAAGTTCGACGGGGCCGCCGCCTTCTCGTCCCGCTGCTTCGACGACAGCCGCCTCAGGATCCGCGAGCCGAGGCCCAACGCGTGCGGCTCCTCGAGCGTCGTCGTTCTCTTGCGCTGGTCCTTGCGGCCCCTGCTGTCCTCTATGATGACGTGGCGATCGTAGGGCGTGTCGTAGTTGACCTCGAGGATCGTCAAGAAGCTGTGCGGTTTGACGATCTCGAGCGTCGTCGTGACGACGCCCACGAGGAGGCAGACGGCGCCGGCGGCGAGCACCAGCCAGTAGCACCAGCCGAAGGAGAAGCGCAGCGCGGCGCCGTCGACGCGCACGAGGAGCGGCGCGTCGGGCAGCATGCCGAAGTAACCGCAGGCGGTCGCGAGCAGCAGGAAGCCGCACGCGGTCATGAGGAGGGCGCCGTAGCGCGGCACCACCACCAGCATCAGGTTCATGAGGAGCCACGCGGCGAACGAGGTCCGCAGCGCGACGGCGGCGAAGTAGCCGGCGGCCCGGTACTGGCCGCCCCACGCGAGGCCGTCCTGTCCGGTGGCGAAGTGCTCCGCCACCGTCAGCACCGGGTACGGGAGGCCGCGGACCAGCGCCTCCCTGAAGCTGTCGCCCATTTGGCGCGAGTCGATCCAGCTGAAGCGCTCGTTGAAGTCGATGTCGTGGGTGGCGTTACCGCGGAGGGTGATGTTGACGTGGTCGAGGCCTACGTACGCGCCCAGGGTGGCGGACACCTTCTCCTTGGAGAAGGCGCGGTAAGTGCCGCGGATGGGCGCGCTGGCCACGTGCCACGCCGACCCGCAGAGGGAAACTGCGAAACGGTTTAAAAAAAAATAATAGTAATTGGCGCGAAGGTTAACGCGACCGATTAATTGGCCAATTAACGAATAAATAAGCGGGACTCACTCGAGATGGTGGCGCCGACGAATAGGGACAAGGTCACCGACCAGAACGTGGTAAACCTCTGAAACACGCAACAGATCGGCAATTAAGAGCGGCGCGCGAGGCCGTCACCCACCTCTCTCCTGATGCCGGGGAACACTATGAGGAAGGCGACGTAGAGGGTCGCGAAGACGGCGAGCCACGCGATCACGGCGACGTCGCCCGTGACCGCCGTCCGATTGCTGAAGCTGTAAAGGGTCGGACCGCCGTCGCTACGGAACGCGTCGAACCACCCCTTCATCGTGGCGGTCGGCTGCCGATTAAAAAATTGCGTATTACGCGGTAAACGGCGGAAATAAGGAATAAACAGTTTACCCAAAATGTGTTGCATACCATACTTTTTCTACGACCCTCAGGAAAAGATTACAATTTAACAAATATATTATGAAACAAGTGCGGTAAAAGTAGCAAAAGAGTTTTTCTACTTCCGTTTTTAAAATGCCTAATTATACACCGATCTAGCGTGCAGGAAGCGTCACTTTAGCACTTCAGTTGCGTTTCCCACGGATCTGAGCCACTTCGGACATTTCCGGGATTGTACCGCACGGATTTGGGAGCAATCGGATGTTTTCGGAGATTTTACCGCATGTACCCAAAAAACTAATACACAGAAAAACGTCATGCAATATATCGGATAATTTAAATACTACGTGCCATAAGCTACAAGTAAAATCTAGTGATCTAGTCGGTAAGTAGTGACATCTATAACTTTAGTGGTTCTCACAGTTTTTATATTAATATCTTGTCAAGACCAATTATACCATTTTCGGTACAAACAAAACAAAAATGAAGGATAGGACAGTTACAGTTTTTTTTTTCTTTAAATAAGCCACTTAAGGACAAATTGTAAAAGTTAAATCAACAACATAACGTTTTAAATTTGTGTTTATTCTGTTGTTTATATGACATATCCAATAATACATCTCTCTCTGTCTAACGTATACAGTTAAAAAGAGACAACAATAGCAGAACCGATCAGAACGATAAACGAGTAGGTTTAATAGGTAAAATAACCAACTCACCTATCACCAATAATACAAAGAAACTTTTAGGTCAAAGAGGTTCTTAATATCCCATTATAAAAAATAAAAAAAAAGTTAATTAATTCGTTCCATGTGGACAAATTCCATTACACAGAACTAAACAGGTAACTAGTAATGTTGACGACGACTCTAATGCTTTGAGTGACTTAAATAAAAATATTCCATATTATTCTCTTTAATCATTAATATTTAATGGAACTGAAGGATATGTTCAACAAACGAGTAAAATCGAGTTGTTTTGAAACATTGTTTATGTTTCCCTTACAATAGAAATACTTTGATTTAAAAAGAATATGCAAATGTCGGCCGGGCTCCAATAACACGGCCGCGTAGCTATTAGACAAAATTGCCAAAAAAGAACTGGAACCTGTCGAATTGACGAAATATAACCGCCCATGTTAATTGATGAACGCCGCTAGATCCTATTGGTTGGTTCGACGTGACAGAAGACATTAAATGTTTGGTTAGTCTCTGTCAAGCTGGCGTAGAATTTAACGCGTTCTAGAACGGCAGACGTTTTTAAGTTTCGGTTCGTTGCGTTTTAGATTTGTGAATTTCGAAATAAAGCCATATTAACTCGGAGGCGTTGCAGTTTCATTACGTCCCTCTAAAATTTCGTTCCTGGTAAATGTATATAAAAAACTCCTAATCATACAAAAAAAACTTTTAGGGAACTGTATTGCGACTATCTTTGATACCCCGAAATCTAAAAAGCCAGCAAAAGAAAACCCAGCCTGCTAACCTTATATCACGAAAATCCCTAGTCGACTTTCCTCTGGCGTTACACCGTAAAACTAACAAAAATAATGCAATATAGGCTTAAACGAACGCGCGCTAGATGGCGCTATTCAAAAATAAGATTAAAATTAATCCCACGTGGGATATTTACTTGAGGAGTATACAATTTTCTGTGTTACTCTATAATTTGCGAACTGTTCGTGGATAATACGACTGCGACGGCCTCCCCGGCGACGTCGTCCTCGCGGCGCTTCCAGCGAGGCCGTGCGGAAACGAAAAACTTCTTCGAAACGGGGTCGGGGCGCGGCCGAAACGCGCGACGACAATGTCGCGGGGCCACTGTCAAGGTCGCCGCCCGATCCGGATCGATCGATCAAAACGCAGGACTGGTTTTAAACGGCGTCGACGTCGGACCGCGTGCCATAAAAAACAAATGACGTCGACAGCGGAGTTTTTTTTTAATCCGTGCTCGTGCGTATAGGGTGGTAAACGCTAGATGGCGGGTTAGACGCGTATTGTTTAGAAAACAAATTGTGCAGGGTGCAGGTAAAATGTAGAAGCATTAGAAACATTAACGCCATTTCTAGGAAAATATCATCGTCACCCTTCAATTTTAACCAATTGCGTTTTCCATCAACGAAGCGTCGAATGTAGCGTAGATTTTATCGAAATCTGTAGTTATGGTTAGTAGACTTTCCGTTTTATATTATCTGTACATCTATATCGCAAGAGAACGATTGGCATCAGCCTTCCACGGTTCGGTGCGTAATAAATTGCGATATTTTCCGGGCTTTAAGGACCGCTTAAGAACGTACGTGGAGTTTTGTTTCGCAAAAGAAGAGTCCCTTTTTCGGGTTTTATTTTTGCATTTATTTTTAGGTTAAGACGTTCGCTCTCCTAATCTGCAAACATAAACCAAATGATGCTTGATTTAAGTTTACAATTAACTTGTTTTGATCAATTAATATGTTACACCACGTGCAAGAATTCGGTACGTAGAAGCAAAAGTATCGACAAATGGAACATCGAGTGACAAGAACATTAAAATGCCATTGTAATTGTAATTCTTTTCAAGAGAGTAAAAGGGTCGCTTGTGTTATATTAGTAAGGGGAATAAATAAGAATAAAACACGTCACAATCTTAATACAGCATAATTTAAAGTTTCGATGTTTTTGATTGACAGATTTCGCATAACATCCATTTTTTTCGAAACTCGATGGATTGGATTAGACATTAAGAAACTTTGACAGTGAATAAATTAAATAATGAAAAATGAGTAAACGAGAAGATCCTTGGACCGTGTAAAAACAATTTCATCGATCATAGATTGTAAACGGTCAAAATTATTCAGAATCGTGTATGTTTCGTTCGCAATGGCGCGAGGCCCGAGCGAAAGGAACGCAATTGGAGCGTTTCGGACGGCGTCGGGGCCGCGTCCACCGGCGCCGTCGCTTTAAACGGCGAATTAACGCGTTCGACCTCCGACGGCGGCCCTTAAACGTCTCGGATGTTATATGTGACGGACGCGAGTCCATTTTACGAGTCTATTTGGCGTATCGACCTTCCGCCGAGTGTGATTTCCGCGAGGCGAAGAGAAAGCCGCGAGAAACGCGTTCGCCTCGACAATTAGCGAACCATTAACGGCGTCCATGCGGGCCGTTTCGACACTTCTCGCCTTTACCAACCTGCGTGGCTCACGGATGCCTCATGCGCTGCGACGGGGGCCGCACAAAGGAAAGCACCAAAACAACGAAACGCTACGTCACACGGAAACCGTCCGGGAACACTAAAAACAAACGAGAATCGCGCTTCTTGCGCCTCGCTCGGCCGTGGCCAGGCCGCAGGAAGGGGCTCCAAGGTCGCCTTGGAAGTGGCGGCGTTGCCGGCTCGCGCGCGCGCGGCAACGCCGCGATCTCGCGACCGCCCGGAACCCCGGAGAAAGTCACCGGTCTGGAAAATAAAGCTGCGGTTTTATTGAGCCCAAAAAAAAAAACACGACACGCACACAGAATTCCACGTTTTTGCACTACGACCGTCGCGCACCGGTAGATTTGCCCGTAAACACGGCGAAAAAAAAATCCACTTCAATTTTTACAAAATAATTTATATGATGGAACCAACGGAATAACAATCATTTTGCGGTAAAGAATTGGAAAATTCACCCAATTCGATAACAATTTTATACAAACTAAGAAATGATAGCGCAACACAGTGGGCCTATTTTATTGCTAGTGTAGATCGTTCATAATTTTCTATGTGTTTATCAAGCACCATAAGCATCTGATGACACAGAAGTGGCCTCTCAAAAATGTTCTCCAAATTATTTAATCCCTTTATTGCGGGCTTCCTGTGTCTTTTCATAATTTATGATTACAGAACAATGAACAACAGCATTAAAAAAAAAACATTTCCACTTGCCCCGAAACAAATCAGTTCGCCGAAGTTCGTGACAGAATTACCAATAATTCTTCTTCTTCTAGGCCATTACGCCGCAAGTTGACATAGGCCGCGATTTAATTAGTCTTAGGCGCGATAGATGGCGCGACTCGATTATGATTTACGCTTATTTCAAATCTTTCGCTAATTCTGATATCACTGTGATTTTGGATGTTGTATATTTGTTTATATAAAAGATTATAATAATGTTAACAGATAAAATTAAATATATAAGCTAATATGTTGTACAAATTATACATCTTATATGATTATTAGATAAATAGGCTATAATTTTCTATAAGTTAGTTCGATGTCGTTTGTGGGTTTTTTAATTTTTATTAAGAAGTCGTATCAAATCAATGAACGCGGACAAATATATCGTAAAAAATGACGTTGTTCGCTCAAACTGAACTTAATGTACTTTTACTTTCCTTCCCGTATTCTTTTGAATTTACAAAAAAATTCAGTTACCCTTTAGAATTAAGACAAATAAAATAAAATAAATAATCACCTTGTTATTAAATAAATAAATAAAGAGCTTCGATTTTTTCTTTATTAGTCACCCCATAATCGATACGGTTTTATCGCAAGGCGTGTATGTGCGATATAAGAGTACAAGATCAGTATATGATCAGTTAAGCACAAATCGAAGAACTATACTGAGTCGTTTTAAGTGTTTAATTAAGTTACTTTCAAAAAATGGCAGACATTTACAGAAGAATTCATTCAGTTATATAGATCGCTACATTGTTTATTAATAGCAAGCAATATTTAAATAAAAGCTTTAAAATTAGGTGCAAAAATTAAAAACAAATTTAGCAGCTACAGTTCGTACCGCAAAGAATTAAAAAAAAATAAGGAAAGACAAAGAAGTGGTGCAAGCGGAACATCGATGTGATATTTTCATCTTTTGGACTTCTTACGTGATCATGAAGTACCGAGCAAGTCCAGTATACAGGAATAGAGATTAGTGAAGATCACTACACCAAAAACTGACGAAAACCCCGTGAACAAAACGTAAAGTGTATGCAAGAGCCTGAGAGAACAGGCTTGCCGTCAGGTTTGCAAATCGGACCTGTTTTCCGGTAAACCGTATCGTCTATGGGGTACCTTACCTATTTTATAGCCTGCTGAGACGCGGTGCTGCGAAGGGCTGCGGTTAATGTACCGTCAAATATAAACGCTCAATATTTTTGATCCTACAATAATTCAATTATTACGTCCGCGATGTCTCCGTTCGTTGTCGGCGGTTTTCAGAAGGCCGGGTCATCGTGGTCGTCGGCGACGAGGTCCTCGTCGTCCAGGTAGTACTCCGGGTGTCATCTGGCCACGTGGACGTGGTCGGGCAGACGCCGCTTCCACTCCTCGGGCCCTTCGGGGTCGCACGTGCAGCACTCGCACTTCCAATAGAGCAGCAGGCCGGCGAGCGTCCAAAAGGCGACGCCCTGCCACACTTCGGACGCGGCGGCGGACGCGAGGGCCACGTGGCCGGTCACGGAGGCGGCGTGGGCGGCGGGGAACGCCCACGTCGGCACCGGGCCCGGCTTCGCGCGTTCCGACGCGTTGGACGGCATCGCCGTAACCAGCAGGACGGCGGCGACGACGCCCACCAGGTAGGGCCAGCAGAGGGGCGTGACCCGCGCGACGTACAAGCCGACGCCGACGGCGCCGGCGACGATGCCCGCGACGCCCCCGACGACCGTCGCGAACGTCGTCCGCGTGGCGGGGCGTCGCGCGTCGTGCAAGTTGCCGCCGGCCGCGGCGACCTTCAGGGCCTCTTTGTACTCCTCGACGATGACGTCGATGTCGGTCGAGCTGTCGGAGCACGACGACAGCACGTCCATTTCGTTCTCCTCGTCGTCCGAGTGGCCGTCGATAGTCGGTGGGACGCCTTCTCCGAGGAGGCGCTCGCGCTCCTCCGCGGGCCGTTTCGGCGACGCGAGCCGGTGCACGTAGACCGGCTTGGCGCCGAACACGCCCCGCAGGCGTTCCTTCAAGGTGACCTCGTGGCGCCTCGCGCCGTTCAGCTTGCGGTACTGCACGCTGGCGGTACCGCGGAGCTCGTCGCGGACGGCGTCCGCCTTATAACGGGCGAGGATCACGCGGCAGGAGTCCAGGGCGCAGCCGACGAGACGGGCGACGTTCAACAGTCGGACGAGGTGGGACAAGGGACACGCGAACGCCAAAATGGCGGCCAGACTGCCGGCGGCGAAGACGGCGAGGACGGGGGCACCGGTCGCGGCGCTCCGCAAGCGGATGGCGCTGACGAGGACGCGCCAATCGCGGTCGCCGAGACGCACGAACGCCGAGTACACCTGGGGCGTGACCTCCGTCAGCAGGAGGCACGCGACGCTGACGGTGAAGACGGCCATCGCGGGCCGGGCCCAATCCACGTCGCGGTTCTCGAACACTTGGATCAACGGGATAGCGGTGCCGAGGAGCTCCCGGTGGCGCGTCATCAGGCCGAACACGACGGCGACGACGCCGTAGAGGAGGAGCGGCGCGAGCGACGCGACGAGCGGTCGCGGGGGACGGTCGAGTCTGTGGACGAAGCCGAACGAGCAGACGGCGGCCGCCCTCAGCACCGTCGGCAAGGAGCGGATCTCAAATGTGGAGAACCACTCGTCGAGGCGGCGGACGGCGTGGAAGCCGCCGACCGCGACGAAGAAGGCCCAGTTGGCGAGGGCGACGAGCGCGAGCAGCGCCGAAATTATCGGCGACCTCTGCAAAAATGGCGACGCACCCCGGTAGAGAAATTTAAAAAAAAGCCTAAGCTTTTCAAGGGCTTCTTAAATTTTTCCTTAAGCTGGGACCTTCTTAGTTGATTTCCATCTCTCGAAATTGACATTTCATGTAAGCACTTTGTACACAAGGTGTTTTCTAATTTAATCTCGATGATGGAGGGGGCGATTTTTGGGTCCGTTTTAAAAAGAAAACTTCGCGTGGACGTCTTAAACGTCTTCACTCTTGAGATGCAGGGTGGAGAAGTTTTCAAAAATAAAATATATATATATATTTTTAAATTGAACTGAGGTGGCTTTTACTTGACGAAAATCCATTTAACAAAATAAATAAGAACTGAAAGTTCAGATTTTCACGGAATTATATATTATGACATGACAATTGTTATTTACAAACTACCTGCTACTATATATACGGAAAAATGACCATAAAACCTTAATTAATGTTGTTGCGAGAATTTAAGTTCAATAAAGGAGAGGTATTTAAATCAAATTGATCGTTAAGCAACACATTTGAATGTCTCATTTTGTTAATCTCCATGGTTTCCAATAAATTTAATTTTCTACTTTTTGTGGCTGTGTGTAATAGTCGTCAAAAATGTGTTTTTCTGTGTTTAAGTATGTAGCGTAATTAGAATCTAGGCTATTGTTTTTAAACGCTCTTATATGTTCGTTAATGCGTTTCTTGAAGGATCTACCTGTTTGTCCAATATAAATTTTAGGACAAGATCGGCATTTCAACCTGTAGACACCTGATTTTTGGGATTTTGGACATTTCGTTTTATTGTTTTTTAAATATTTTCCTATTGTGTTGTTAGTTCTGAAAGCTATTTTTAAACCACATTTTGACAAATGTTTTGAAAGTTTTTCGCTAGGTTCTCCTATGTATGTAATTATTTTAAATTGTTCGTGTTCTGTATTTGGTTTCGGATAAATAAAGTTTGCGGTTGTCTGGATTTGTTTTTTATTTATAATTTTATCTATAATGGACGAATTGTAGCCGTTGTTCAGTGCTATTTGTTTAATGATGTTGTAATTTTCTATTGAGAGTGGCGTATTAAGAAGTCTGTGTATAAAAGAGTTAAATGCAACCATTTTGTGTGTATAAGGGTGATTTGAGCTGTTATGTATGACTGTGTCCGTGTGTGAAGGTTTACGGCAAATGGAAAAATCTAATTTGTTTTGCACTTTCGTAATAGATAAGTCTAAAAATTAATTTTATACGATTATGTATCGAGTTAATGTAATTTAAAAAAGAATTCAATTGTCTGTCCGTTCCAACCAAGCAAGCAATGATATCATCCACCATAAAAAACTTTTACTTAAAGGATGTTCTAGTATGATATTTTCAAAATTATCCATAAAAATCTCGGCTAACAAAGGACCAAGTGGGTTTCCCATAATCAAACTGTCTTTAGAGATATAAATCTGTCCATTAAATTCAAAATAATTTTGGTCTAAAGATACTATTAAGCAATCTAATAAGTCTTGTTTCACCAATGGGTTAACCTGTTTCCGAGTTAGGGTGAAATCTACTAAATCTATCACGTCCATAGGTGGAATACCGGGAAATAAGTTTCGTACATCAAAAGACACTAGAGTTGCGTTAGAAGGGATTTTGATATCTTTGAATTATTTATTGCAAATTTTGGTTTAAAATCTGTGTGGGGCTTTAAAATATTTACTAATTTGGTAGAGAGTTTAACTGCTGGAGCTGTTACATAAGACGCCACTGGTCTAATGGGCATATCTTGTTTATGTAATTTAACTAAAGAATATAATTCAGGCGGTTGTGGATTCATAATTGTTAAAAAATATTTGTCTTTGTCACTAAATAGTGTGGAGTTAGTAATAACATCCTTGACTTGTCTTTGATATAACTCAGTTGGATCGTGTTTGATAAAAAGGAAAAGTTCTGGTTTAAGAAAATTGTTGGTTTTTGAAATATATTCTGCGAGATCGAGAGCTATGACTGTCTTCCTTTTATCTGCACGTGTTTCATAGCAATGTCAAAAACAGCCGAAAAAGAAAAATTGCCGCCAATTTTCGATCGCCGCCATTTTCAAATGTCTTGTGCGTCTAGTGAACTGTAAAAAGGGAGCAAAATTTGAGCCGCCTAGTTCAAACGGCTCGAGAGTTATTGAATTAAAACCCGCGTCTCAGAGAACGGAGAAACAAAAAATAAGAAAAAAATTTTTTTTCGACCCTGATCATTTCTGTATCAATGGCAGTCCTCTAGGACCTACCGTTACCGAGGTACGGAAAAAATTTACTAGCAACAAGATGGCTTTTCAAATATCCCGAACAGAGGACCGTAAATACAAAAATTGTTGCTCTCGATGTGCCTTATAACACTGTTTATACCAATTGGCCATATTTTTTAAAAATTTTGATTTACTGCTCATAATTTACTCTAGAAACGGACAATTTTCAGGGTCATTTAAATTGTTGTCATTAACTGAAAAACCCTGTATATATACAAGAAAATGCTTGAAACAGAAGTTTTAGATCTTCCGCGTCTGCTGGTTAAAGAACTTTGTCGATCGGAATGGTAGTTTTGGGGAAAATAATTTTTTTATGGAAACCTAAATAACCCAAAAAAAAAACAATTTTTTTAAAAATATACTTTGCGGTTTAATGGTTTAAATGTGTGTCTGGACTTCTGCATCGCAACTAAATCTGAAGTCGGTAGCTGCAAATTTAGGGCCCCTATTACGTTTTATACTATTGCAAAGTATATCGCGAACACCCTGTACAATTATGGCAAATTTTCATTAAAAGAGAGACCCCATTCTCAGTTTTTTGCGAATACTGACCACGCCCTGTACATTTTTAAAAATTTCCAAGAATTAAGGTTTACAGCGTTGGGTCCTGCGGATCTTTGGATATCCAATTTTTTTCGACCTCGTACACCGTTTTCGAGAAATGTTTTTTTTTTAAATCCGTGCAAACGCAAACGCGATATAGGTTCCGTTGCCAGGCGCGCATACTTTCGAAAAAACGCCTCTAGTGATTGTGCCCAGTCATGAAAACGGAAAAAGCGCGGGACGTACGGTTCCATTCAATTTAAAGTTCGAAAGGTGAAATGTGAAAAAAAAATTATGTCGAAATAGTTATCAATTTTTTTTTATTACAATATAAATAAAGTGCGGTTATCCATTACAAGCTACTGTAGTATTTTCAGTGTGACGCGTTACTTTAAACCGCCATGACAGTACTTTAGTACTTGGACACAAATAATAGATGGCATTCGTGCGAGTATACGCGACCTCCCCTCTATCTTGTACTCTTTGACTTTCACGCTCACCTCGAGGCCCAGCATGAAGAGGGCGGTTACGACGAGGACAATGGTGACGCCGAGGACGTCGGGCCACGGTTCGCCCAGCGAGTGCTGCTGCAGGCCGAACAGGAACTCCCGGAAGCTGCCCTTGGTGATGTAGTCGACGGTGGCGCTCGCTAGACGGGCGCACGTCGACGCCGCCACCAAGTTGGTGAGCGCGTCGAGCCAGATGGCTAGAAAGGCGAGGAGGTCGCCGAGGCCGCGTCTCCGCCTCGACGGCGCCTCTTCGTCGGCGCCGCAGAGACCTGGGGGTGCCGTTCGAGTCACCCGGACGCCCACGGGGACGGTGCCCACTTACCCGACAACGTGGACGCGCAGCAAGCGATGCAGAGGGCCGCGACGGTCTCGGCACCGGTGAACTCGGAGGCGACGAGCCCCACCAAGACGGCGGAGCCGAACGACCAGTGCACGAGGACGGGGGCGTAGTCCTGGAGGCTGCTCATGGTCGCGGAAAATGTTCGGGGATGGGCATTCTCACGCCGCGACGACCAAAGGTGAAAACTTACGATTGCGTCGCATTTTCCGCCGTAGATAACCGGGGGAAAATCGATGAAACCCGGGCACGCGCGCCGCGTCCCCTCATTTTTCCGCCTCCCGTTGGTAGATGGCGCGCGAAAGCGACCAACTTTTTTTTTTAATTATCATAACTCCGTTAAAGTTAGACTCGGAACGCGCCGACGTTTTAATCGATGGCCGCTGCATCCGACGTTTCTCAATTTCCGATGTTGGGGGTTGGGGGGGAGTCGAGAAACGCTCCTTCAGGACCCGTTCCGTTATCGCAACAACTATTGTTTAAAAGACTTTTTTTTATAGTTTTCGTTAGTGTCGCCAGAAGGTAATAAAAGACATGAAATTATCAGAGTCGCACTAACAAATATTTATGAAAAAGCTTGAATCTTCAGTTTACATCTTTTAATCTTTTTCGGTATTATATTGTGACAGCCCTTAAACTGATTCCCAGTGCTGTCGTGGAAAGAGAATATAGAAATTCTCTCTTTCGGTTTCGAAATACTTTGTTAAATTTAAAACCATCCATTTTTCATGTATATATAAGTCTGTCTTATTTATATTACGATATTTATTTTGAGGCCACAGTTAAACAAAGAGACGGGTATCATTAAACAGGGTGGACAACTTAACGGTTATATCGTTAAGTTTGCAGCCCTTAAATTGATTCCCAGTGCATTCGCTACTACTGGATATTAGTAAAGAAAATTGATATGACGAATCTAAACGAAACTTGAGAATTGGAATCTTAATGGAGGCAAAACGGAAGCTCACGAAGAAATTTGAAATTTGTTTACGGCGAAACCAGTTAGGTTGTCAAAAAACTAAACATTTTATGAAAACTTGAGGGTAATCTCCATCGTGCATATTCTGAAGCAAAGTAGATTTTGCTCGACAAGTGCGTTTTTTCATCGAGCGTTTGCCAAGAGTATTCGCAGTAGTTCGCATTTCCCTGGTTGTGTTCTCCGCTCTAGTTTCCAGTGTCTTACGCAAGTTTTAATTCACTTCTCGTACTCATATATAGGCATCCTGATATTAATGTTTGCTCCTAGATATAATAACTATTACAATGCAGGGTGTCCATTAATACGTGGAAATTTTGAAAAAATCGACTCTATACTACACACTGTAACATATTTAATTAAACTTCAGAATTCATAAATAAGCTTGATTAAAAATACCTAATATCAAAAATAAAAATAGACTACATAAACAAGATTACAAATTTGAATAAATAAATCTAAAAAAAAAAACAGAAATAAATAACTCAAAAAAAAACATCTTCTTTATTATTAGGAATACCATCCCAATATTTTGGATATACCCGTTTTAGATTAGCGATACAAAAAAATACATATTTCGCATAAAATGAAGCTTTAGTACATATTTTTAGTTGTTGTACATGAAGTGAATATTTTCTATTTTTCGAACATAATATCGCATATTTTTGACCCATTCATTAGTTTTGAATGAAAATGTACAAAACAGTTTAAAAAAACTAACAGTATAGAGATTGTTCGATTTGTAAATGAAAGCATAATGGCTGATAAAACACTTCTCTTAGTCACGGACGCAGCAGCTTGTGTGACCAAAGCAGGGATAAATTTAAAAAATATATATAAAAATTTAATCCACATGACTTGCTTAGCGCATGGAATATGAGGGCAGCGCCAAAATTTCCCGGCCTGAATATGAAAGAAACAAAGTAGAATAACATTTTTTTTATTATTTTTTAGTATAATCCCCCTTAACTTCAATACACTTAATACATCTCTTAATTAACAACTCAATTCCTTTAAAAAAATATTCTTTTGGTTTTTCTGCAAAATGAACTAAAACAGCCTCTTTTAACTCAACTTTGTCGTTAAACCGCCGTCCACGTAAGTCCTTTTTCAAATATCCATGCGGACTATAGCGAGGATGATCTATCTGTTCACAATCCCAAAAGATCGTGGCCATCACCTTTTTTGTTGAATGGCAGATTCTGAATTTTCTTGGAGGTGCTTCACCCTTACGACGCCACTATATTGATTCTTTTTTCGATAGAGGGTCATAATAAAGAACGATAGTTTCATCTCCCGTCACAATAGTTTCTATCGCAGGCTTCGGTTCCGACCCACAGAGTTCCAAAAAAGACCGCGCACACTCGACACCGCGTTGTTTTTGAATAGCCGAAAGGTTTTTACTAACCCATCTTGCACTAACCTTATTGATACTTAAATGATCATGCAGAATTCGATGAACACTTGTAGCAGAAAGCTTAGTAATTTCTGAGATCTCTTTCGCCTTTAAACGTCGATCACTCAATACCACCTCTTCCACAATCGCAACAATATCTTCCGTCATGACCTCCACTGGTCGACCAGTTCTTGAATCATCTTCAAGGGACTTTTCAGATTCAGCTGATTCAATTAAAAAAACTAAAAAATTATATGAAAAATGTGAACTTATAGATCAGTGGACATTAATCAAAGCTAAACTAACCAAACAAATGTCTTTGTTACAGTCAATTTCAGTAGAAGAGGGCGAACATTTGTTGAAAAAAGTTCCAAGCAGAATAAGGAAAATTACGAAGGTTTTCCAAAGTTACTTAAAATTTCAAAAACTTTATCGTTGATAATGATTATTTGGAACCAGAACACATTGCATCATTTAAATTTGGGCCAATTACTTCGGTCGACGTCGAAAGGACGTTCTCCAAGTACAAAAGCGATAGGAGACAATTGGTACAATAATAATAATAGGTCTGGTTGTAAAGCTAAATAGTTTTTGCCATAAAGCGTATATTTGACATGTTTTTTGGAAAAACCAGACATTTTTATGTCTGGTTTTTCCAAATATTTTATTTTTTATTTAAGCATTTTCTGTGCATAAAAATCCGAACTCTAATTATTATTATTGTTATCGGGTCGCCTGGTAAGCGAAACCGACCGTGTCGGCGGGTTGTTTTCCGCTTAAGCGGGGCTTTTGTGGTGGTAAAAAAACGGTGGCGATCAACAACAATTATCGAGGACGGAAGCGGAGCGCGCGCGCGCCTGCGCAGTCCCCCTCGGGCGTTTCTCGCATCGCCCCCCAATGCGGCGATGTGCCAGTCGGTAGAATCGGAGCGTATCGGTCGGTCGCATCGGCCGTCGCCGTCTCAACGCCCGCCGCCGATAAAGTTCGACACTCCCACCCCCACACCCCGCGCCCCGACGTAGAATTGGGGGGGCCCCCGGAGGCCCGCGATGTCGCGACGCCTCCGCTGACCGTACGTTTCGCTCAACATGAAACTGACAATGTTCGCGTTTAATTTGCTGGTCGCGTCGGTGGTGAGCGGCGGCCCCGCGTGGAAAGAGGTGCAGAGGGGCGGCGGCCTTAAAATCGGCGCCGAAAAGGGCGGCCGAAACGTGTCTTCGTCGCGCGGCAACGGCATCAAACTGGGCGGCGGCTCCAGGGGGATGAGGTCCACGACGACGACGACCTCTTCGCCGGAGATCGAGGACCACGTCCAGCCGCCGACGGCCGCGCCGTCGGATAGAGGCGGCCGCGCGCACCACCACCTCCACGTGGGCATGGTGGTGCCGTCCAAGTCGTTCGGGGTGCGCGAGTACACCAAAGCGATCACCACCACGAAAAGCATCATCCAGAGGAAGCTCAAGCTGTTCAAGAAGTACGAGATCGAGGTGCACATCGCGATGAACCCGATGACGCCGAGCCCCACCGGTGAGCCTTTTGTCGTTTTCGGTCCTCTATCTAAATGGTAGACGCGATATAGATCGATGGGGCTGAAGGTACTCTCAAATAATTCAGATATTGACTTCTGTCGATAATTTATCGATATTTATAAAAAATAACATGTAAATGCTCCTGAACCTCGAAAATTTTTGATTTTTTTTTATCGCGCTTATTTAAAATCATATACAGTGATCCTTCATTTGACCAACGGTATCGAAAAGTCGATTGAAGTTGTTACCCGTCAGGAGCCATTTTTCTGAGACCGTCGAAAATAGAAATAAAAATAATTACATAGGGGTAGGAGAGACTTGCATGCATTTGTGACACGTTTTCTCGATCTATGTCGATATAGATCGACGGGATTGAAATTTGGCACTCTCAAATAATTCAGATATTGGCTTGTGTCGATAATTTACAAAAAATAACATTTAAATTCAAATTCCTGATAATCGAAATTTTTGTTATCCACTTGTTTAAGATTGTGACAGGCTGTGTATGTATTATACACCTTAGTCCTTCATCTTACGAACGGTATCGAAAAGTCGATCCGAGGTTGTACCTTTAGCCGTCAGGAGTCATTTTTGTAAGAGCGTCGAAAATAAAAAGAAATAATAATGACTGGCTGGCGTAAATTTTTGATCTAGGCCGATTTGGATCGATGAGGCTGAAATTTGGCATGAAGGTTCTCTCAAATAATTCAATTATAAGTAACAATTGTGTTGTGTCGATAAATTGTCGATAATTCATAGATATTTCCAAAAAATAACTCTTAAATTCAAATGCCTGATACTCGAAAAATTTAGATTTTTTTTATCACGCTTGTTTAAAATTGTGAGGGGCCGAAATTTATATGTTATATTCCGTGGTCCTTCATCTGACCAACGGTATCGAAATGTTGCACCATTAGTCGTCAGGAGACATTTTTGTGAGAGCTTCGAAAATAGAAATAAATAACAATTACAACTAAAGGGAGGGGGACCTGGATCTGGTTGATCTTGAGCTTCGCTGAAATTTTCAACTTTTCCGGAGCGGCGTAGGTGTTTAAAAAAATAAAGACGACAATTTTTGAAACGTTTTTTTTTATCTAGGCCGATTTTTATGGACAGGGCTAAAATTTTGCATGAAGATACTTTCAAATAATTCAGGTATAGGTAACAGTTGGTTTGCGTCGATAAACTGTCGATAATTTATCGATATAACAAAAAAATAATATTAAATTTAAATTCCTGAACCTCGAAATATTTGATTTTTTATATTTTATTTGTATATATGTATATGTTATGCACATACAATTAACTTTTCGATGCAGTCCGATACAGCTTTTTTTCTAGTAAACTGTGTTGCGTTTATCAAACGTAGATAATATAACTTTTAATTCCCGACTTTTTCAAAGAATTTTAATGACAACACCCGTTTTCAGGAAAACAATCCAAACTAATAGCGATAATAATAATTCTTAAGCGCCATTTACCGGGAGTCATCAATTCCGATCGCGTATCGGCTGGTGCCGACGTAGATTTGTGTAGAATTCCCGGCAGCAAACGACAGGCTCACGACGACAAACTCTCCCGCGAGACCCCGGCCCACCGCCACCCCACCCCGGAAGGGACCGGTTTCGTCGGACGTGTCGATTCGGGATTTCGTTAGTATTTTAGAATGTTAAAAACGTGTTTTGTCGATAAGTTATCGATATTTTCGAAAAATAATCCGAAGTTCGAATTCCCGAAGCCTCGCGACCTAAGCAAAATTCACGTTTTTCTCCTGGATCCTTCCCCTATCGAACGGTATCGAAAAGTCGATTATAATTTATGGGGTCGAAATTTTAAAAAAGTGAGTACTTTGAGGTATCTACGAATAGACCTCCTCGACCTCTACGTTCGATAAAAATTTCAGAAATGTAGGTTTCCATTAATTAGAATTTTGCTAACCCCTCCTGCATAAAAGAATAGATATTTTCAAAAAAATAATATTAAATACTAATTTTTGACTTTCTAAACCCCCATTCGCTGGTTCAACATTTCATATTTTACATCTCGCTCGTTTAAAATCGTGAGAGATTGATATCTATGCGTCATATACTCTGGTCCTTCCTCTATCGGACGGTATCGAAAGTCGATTATAAGTTTTACCGTTCGCCGTTAGGATTCATTTGTGTGAGAGGGTGGAAAATTTAAAAATACAAATAATTGCGGTCAATATCTCCGAATCGATTTCATCGAGCTCTATCTTCGATTAAAATTTTAACTTTTAAGAATGGTGATTAGCAAAAAAAATGGCTTTTATCGATAAATTGTCGATAATTTATGAATATTTTAAAATAAAAAAAAAAGCAATTACGAGTCAAGGTAGTGGGTACTTTGAAGTATTTACAAATAGGCCTCCTCGACCTCTACGTTCGATAAAAATTGCAACTTTCATGGAACGACGTAGGTATTTAAAAAAATAAAAACGTAAATATTTGAGTCAGTTATACTTCGGAATGCAAAATTCGAAATTACCTCAAAATCCGGTTTCGGCGAGGTTCTTGGCCGTTTCTCTATCGAAAAGTCGATTATAAGTTATAGGGTCGAAAAGAAAAACACCAAACGGAGAGTTTTACGCGGGACTCTTGACCTCTACATTCCCTGAAAATTGAAACTTTCCCGGAGCAACGTAGGTATTAAATACGTGACTTTTTGAAAAAAATGTCGATCGAGGTCGATATTTTATCGATCCGATTTTAAGTTGGCGAAAAAATTGTCGGTAATTTTCGTTTATTTTTTCGATGCTGTCGATATTGAAGCGGGAATTCGCTCCGGCGGAATTCGCGACGTCCGCCCGGAATCCCCGGAACATAGCCCGGATTAATTAGCGCGGTCGGGACGTAATCGAGGCGCGGGCGACGGCCGACGTTTCGAACGGCGCGCGCTCTGTTGTTATTCCGGGCGCGACGGCCCGCCTCCGGATCGGCGAAACTTTGTTCCGAATGGGCTCGAAAACGCGACGGACGCGGAAACTTTCGAGCTGTCGACCCGAATACGGACAAGTGGGGCGCTCCATTTCGATAACAAAATGTTTACTACAACTTTCGCGTATATTTATTAGGCCGTAACATTTTCAAACTAACCGACTAACAGAATTCGTCTATATTTGGACTGGATATTTTTAAAGAAAAAATGGCAGGCCACTGCTTTTTCTGTAAACAAAAACGATTTTTAAAATCCCCATTCAATTTGCAATTTTGCAATTGATGGCGTAAAAAAACGAAATCTTAAATATTAGTTAATGATGTATTGAAAATTTTAAACCCAAATAGAACTTTTTTGCAAAAAGGTATAAAAAGTGATATATTTATTATAAAGCTGCATACGCCAAGGCGCAAAAATGTTAGGATGTATCAAATGCACGAAATGTACCATAGGTAGCGCCCTCTACAATTTGCCCCAAAAGCTCGATCCAATTGATAATAAATCTTTTTTATTAGTTCTAAAGAAAATAAATACAAAATGCATTAAAAAAAAAACAGAATTAAAAACGAGAAAAGCAAAACATGTATATTAGAAGAAAAATGTAATTATGTATTGTATGGGGTTATTTCAAGGTGACACAAAACAAATCCGTGCTTTGAAAAAGTTTCCTTTTGTCGATTTTAAATGCATAGAAAGGTTTTTGAGTGAGGGAGGCGATAAACTGTAAGCTTTATCAGCGCATAGAACAAATGCAAAATGATAAATTAAAAACAATTAGTTATATAGCGCATGCGATAGATATAGGGGGTGAAAACATTTGAAAATTTTCAGTAAATATATCAATTAATAGTGACAATATTATGTGGTGTGGAGTTATATTCAACTTTCCAGTTGGGATCAGTTTTAGAGGCTCTTGTTTTGCAAATGTTATAAGGGAAGAGTAGAAGAATCGCAATGACGGTTCAAGAATAAATTTTCTCATTTTTACATAAGAAAGTTTATATTATTAGCTGGATCCACCCTCATCCCCTCCTCTCACAATACGTCATTACGTGTGTTAGTCACGTGACTTTTTTTTTCGCGTCAATCGAGGATCGAACCCGGGAACCGTCTCTCGTTGAACTCCGACTTTAACGCCCAGCTAACGAGCATATTAAAAGCGATGTGTAATTATGTGTTGGATATTGAGAATGATGATTTACATTCTTGAACTGTCATTGCTATTCTATTGCCAAATTGATATACAGCAAAGCGGAACTAACGAGAAAATAGTGAAATGGCAACGCCCGTATTCTCCTTAACGGTTAAAATTTTATTAGCCTCCGGGGCCCCTGTACCAACAACATGGTCCCCGAAGCAGTTGCCTTTGACTCGGTTCGGGAATTCGGTAAATTTGACATATTCCGGGTCGCTTCAAAGGCAAATAACGGCGGCTTTGCGGACGACGAGCCGTTTTGCCAGAGTTTTCCGGACACTTTAATATTTTACACGCGACCCTCAAGTTTGTTCACAACTTGTTTGTGCTCCAACACTAACCGGAAAGAAAAAAAATTCCAGTATTTCTATGGTAAAATCAATTAAAGATAAGGCTTCCCAAAATAATGTAGTATTTACTAATCAAAACTGTAATTACAGATTTTTAATGACTGACAGGGAAAAATGCCAACTAATCATTACGAATTATTGCGATTAATAAAAAATTTAAAAAATAATCAAAATAAATAAGAACTAAAAGTTCAGATTTTCACGAAATTACATGACAGTTGTTTCGACAACACGGTGTCAAATGTTTTTTTATCAAATGTAATATTTACAAACTACCTGCTACTATATATACCGAAAAATGACCATAGAACCTTAATTAATTTCGTTATGAGAATTTAAGTTCAGTAAAGGAGAGGTATTTAAATCTAATTGATCGTTAAGGAATACATTTAAATGTCCCATTTGTTTGTAAAAAATTTGTTTTTCTGTGTTTAAGTGTGTAGAATCTAGACTATTGTTTTTAAACGCTCAACGCCAACAGGATGATTGGCGAAA